ATCAACTGAATCGGCAGACGTGACATAATTTTCACAATAAATTAAACAAATCATGAGCAAGAAAGATTAATTTTGTCTATTAGTATGAAGTCATGTTTGTATACATTAATAACACCATTTTATTAACTTTATACAAAGGCTGTGATTGTTGATGTCATGACACATTTTTCTCTCCATGTAGGTAAAGTGATCTTTCATGCCATGCTGTTGGAAAGCATTTATGAATTGTAGGTGTATAATTAATAACCATTTAGATGCATTTTTCATACTCAAGGTTGCAATTACATTTTATATTTATTTAATGTGGTGCATTGCAGTGACTCCACAGCCTACAGCGTGTCACGTAAAATAATGACATACAAGGTACGGTATATGAATTTAAAGCAATCACTCACGTGCATGTAATTGGAAATGTGTATCATTAACTTAATAATCGATTTTGCATGGATGCATGTTGAACTTCTTACGCACCGTACGTAGCCAACCGTGCTAATCGAAGCTGCGGAGATACATCGTTAGATCGCAAATACATCGGCCTGCTCTGTCTCAAGCATCTCTATCTCTTGTCGAGCATTGCTCAAGAGAAATAGCACGACTCACTACAACACTACCAGCCCAATATTGTTTACTGAACCCCCGTGGGCAGCCACACAAGAGTGCATTTCAGAAAGGCACTGATTCTGCGAACGCTGCATTTCTCCACCTTGCCCCTCATTTCTGCCCCTCTGTCCACAATGGCCAGGCGCTGCGTAAGGGGCTCACGGGCAGTTGGGGCTCAGGTGCCAGGTTACAAAGAGGGGTGAGGGGGGGGTTAGAGAAAGGAGTGCCCAATTTATTCCTTGCACCAGGGCCCATACCAATCATGCTAGCCCGCTGACTATAAGGGCACGGTGCTATTTATGCAGCGGCTGGGCTGTGTGCGCTGGAGGTTGAGTATTGGCGCAAGAGACAGCAGTGCAGTCTCATGAAGGAATGGCGTGTGAGCGCGCTCGGCTAGCTGTGCTCATCAAGACAGCGGGCAGCATTAATATTTGCCAAGGGCAAAAGTCAGGCCAGGGTGTCACCGTGTGTAAGTCACCGGAGCTGTCTGCGTTTATCCGGTCAATGACCAGCCTGCAAAGATGCTTCTTTATCAGGAGAAGCATGGAAGCCGCAATTCCTTTCTTCCACCATTCCTCACAGCAGACAGATCTCACAACAGGCATTCCTCACAGCAGACAGATCTTCCTGCTTCCATTGCTGACTGCCAGCAATTGTGAGAAATCCTCAACTCTGTTGTTCGTTCTTTGACCTAATATTTTTGAAAATGTAAGTTTGATTCTGAATTTATTTTTGTTTTATTTTATTTTTAACTATTCACCGCAATGGTTAAAAAAAGGATTCAATTCATCTGAATGCAGACAATTCATAGAATTTCAGGGGGGTGAATTGTTTTCAAGCATTTATTTTTACAGCCCTTTGTCAATTTACTGCTGGATGAAGGCCTTACTCATGAAGTTTCAGTTTTGGGGACTCAAATTCTTCTTCTTAAAATTGCCATTAATGTTGACTATTTTTCCATTAATTGCCATGAATGTTGACTCTTTGCTCAGCCGTAGTCATCCTTACATTGTTCTCGGTAACCACTTGCTATTTCTCTGTAAAATGTATATACTTAAGCATATTGGCACACGACACAGGAAAGTGGAAACAAATGACAAAATGTGCAGTGGACACCTACGGGCTATCTGCCCATGGATCGTGATGATGATGATGATGATTATTTTTTTTGAAACAAAACAAATGAATGCACACTCAAACTGCTTCCTTCTTCGTAATTGCAATTTCGGTTTGAATTCAAATGTAACATCAGTTGTCTTGTATTGCAGAGGCGCTGTAATATTAACGGTACACGGCTGAACGAGAGTGACCATGCAGAATGTTAATCGGCAAGCTCCCCACAGTTCCAGCAGATCACTCAAATTGACCGCTTCTTCCGCCACACAATCCAATATTAACCACATGTGGAGACAATGTCTGACCTTCATTAATGCCTGACTCCAGGGATCTGCACGATTAAAAACATTTTCATGGGAAACAAAACGAAAAAAATATACTGTATAGTCCGAATGACATTTTATTTCTCTCTTCAGAAATGCTTCTGAATTCAAAGACTTATTTTGTGTCTGCTCATTTTGCTATCGTAGGTTTGCAAAAAAAAATCCGATAACGAGACTGATGGGCATAGCAGCAACGTGTTTTCTTCAACGTTTAAACCAGCGATTATATTTGCCAAGTTTGCGGGCAGTGCAACTGCACTGGTGGCCACGGACTTGAGGTGCTCAGGTGCCACGCTACAAAGAGGGGGGACATTTGACAAGGGGCCTCATTACATCAACTGCACAAGGGTCCATGCCAGCAAGGCTTTGAATTAATATAGAAACTTTCAAAAAGCAGAATGAGGATATGTGTCAAAAGCACAACACATATATATCCCGGGGACAGCTATGGAAGACAGACAGATTCAAAGTTGTGAAATGGATGAAAACAGATTGGAGTGGTTTTGAAAAACTGAATTTGATTGTGAAAAGCAATATCCCAATGTGCCTAAAGACGATTTTTTTCTTTTAGTTTATATATAAAGAGCATTTTACTTGCCATGACAAATGGATAAGGAATATGGCCACTGACAAAATGGTAGATCCATGTTTGGAATTACACGGAGGGATGGAGAGATGAACTTATGAATCAACAAACACATTTCCTATTAAGGCAGCCACATTGACCGTTCGGAAAACTAAATTGAGTTAGGCACGTTATCGCAAGAAGGAAAGGTGGCTGATGGTCGAGACTGGTGATGGAATTGCAGCCAAAAGCAGGGCACGTGCTCGAGAGTATAAGACCACGTGCTCGAGAGTATAAGACCTCCGAGGAATTGGAGTGATGAGCTCACCTGGTGTGCAGCAGCGAGATAGCTTGTGGCATTGGGGGATTGTGAGAGTTGTGGACGTCATGGGGAGACCTTCATCCAGCAGTGGATCGGTAATAATTACAATGAAATCAGGTTCTGACTGGTTTTATTAAATGTTTATCTATGAATGATTGTGTGATATATAATACTTTGGGATAAACATGCAGTTTTTACTGGTGTTGTCGATATTAAATTCGTTTATCTATTTTAGTTTTGATTCATCTTCACATTAAGTTGATAAACTGTCACCATTTAGGTCATTCTTTCATTCACAAATTCATTATCTCTGTCTCATTTATATTGTTACCTCGTAATTGTACGTCTTTTTGGTATAGCCTTGTTCGCCGCATTTACCTAAATGTAACAATATCATTTGCATATTTCTTCCCATGAATCATTCATCATTACTTCTCACATGCATGATGATTTAATGCATGTGTATTGTGAACATTATGGGGGGGAATAGTGGTCAGGGCACTGTGCTATGAACCAGTGACCCCACATTTGATTCCTGGCCATGGCTAACATCAGCAGCAATTGATAACTGAATCGGTCCTGGGCACTTCCCCCCCCCCCCCCCCCCCCACTTGGAACTTCACGAAACCGTGTTGACCACCGTGATGAAGTGTGATCAAACAACCACCTTGATCGACACAGCAAATGAAGACCATCGTCCATTACTATTTCAGTTAGTCTTTCAGTAAATGGCTGCCATTCTGATTTTGAATGCTCAAAGCGTGGGCCTAGATTGTTAGCGGTAACCGCATTTGTTCTGCTTGTTCGGGATCACCTGATTACAAAATGCATTTATTAGCATTCATTGTGATTATAATGAGTTCATTGTTGAGACGCAACAAGGAGCTGGTAATCTTTGGATGCAGAACAGCTCTAAATGTGTTGATGTGTCCCATTTAAGCAGCCAACCAGGCAGACCCAATACATTCCGTAGTGAGCATTAACGTCAAACCCTCACAGAATTCGATATTGTATGGGAAAACAATCTCTGTGAAAAACTGCAATGCACACACTAGATAAAACAATAAATATGCCAACCTTGAATGAAAGCCAGGCTGGCTTGTGGCACTAATGACCCAGATTGGGGTATTGAACCAATATCGTGGAATTTGTCCGTTGCAGCCTCGAACGGATGACAAAGTGAAATATGGCCACAGTTGACCCCCCCACCAACCTCCTCCCAAGGTGAGCTTGCCCTCAATAGCAATGCCATTGATTGCCCCAACAACTGTTACTAAAGACCGTGCAAAAAAAAAAAACGAACTGCTTAACACGCTTTGGTTTTATGGATCCATTCTACCGCGCTCAGATTCGTGAGCCCGGTCGTGGTGTGAGTGCTGTGGAACTGTGAACTTGTGCAGGTCACGTTGTGTCTGGAAAGGCCGAGGGGCTTCTGCTCTTATTGATTTGGGGCTCACTAGCAATTCTACTAAAGCTCCAAATACGGTGTGCAGTGTTTGAAAAAAATATCTATATATATTAAAAAAGGGAGAAATTATGCTGAAAGCAAAATATTAATTGTTGTGATATAAAAACGATTCCATTACAACAAACTATTTGGTGGTACTGCATTGGCAGTGTTGCACACTCACAAAAACCAAACATTCAACACGTTTGTCAATAGTACTGCCGATGCGAAGCAGAAAGGCCATGGCTCAAAACGTCACCGATGATATATATTTCCTTTCAAGGCAGTGTTACTGATGAAGATGCTGAGTTTTTTGTTATTATTTCAAAGTACAGTGGCATTGTGAGGCACAAATGAGGTTTCTGATCGAAATGCCATCTGTCATGTTTAACAGAAACCCATAAAACAAGAGATACAGGGGAAAAAGTGTTAAAGCTGATTTTTAAGTGAATATGACATTAATAGCACAATTGAATTGCGAGTGGCATTTTCAGACAAATATTTGAGGTTTCCACTCCATTAAAATGTATCCTGAGCATGGCAATTGAAGAGCTTTGATTGCAAAAATTGCAGCATCTGCAATCGCACATGTGCCTTTGGTTAGAACTGTTCCCTTTAGGGTCTCACCTGGTGCATGTCGGAGGTGAGCCCAGGCGTGGGTCACGTTTCCTGAAAGAAAGTGCAAGTGAGGGAGCCTTATTATTCAAACTCACAGACACCAATCACTGGATAAGTCAGTTGTCTCTTTGGAACAAAAAACTGTCTCTGATTTAATCACGGGAGTGGAGACATTATGCGGTTCCTCCCCCTCTCCCATGTCTCTGTGGATTCGCTCAATTTGATGTCTGCAACAGATGTGGGCTGCCACGTCTACAGGCCAGCGTCGGCCGAGCCGTAAAGAGAAATTACAAGCGGATATGGTGCACTGCTGGTAACAATGCTCCCGGTGAAACAATGCCTCGATTAATGAACTCTTACATTTATGATACATGAGCAGAATTGCAAAATTAAGAATCGTGTATTTACAATTGAGTACATGCAATTAATATGGTAATGTTATGTTTCAGCAAATAGGGTGAACAAGGCTGCACAAACGATACAAACAGAAACAAAAAACGATACAAATTACATGGTCATTTTTTTTAAACAAAATAATTAGATATTTTAATGAATCGTGATATTTAATCATAACAATCACCAAAATGCTGCGTGACAACTGTGAGCTAGTAAATCATCACATTCCTACAATTTAAGCTGACCATGTGCGTGAATTGCAGACACATCACCTCCTGTTAAACAAACTGAGCTATGCACATTGCATGACATCAAATTGATACGCTACGAACAATGTGTGACAATGTGTGACCAGACAGCAGTAATGAGCTAGTTGAACCCTTCAGGAAGGATCCCTTTGTTTTTATCCATGTCACACATCCTCTCAGCAATTCCAACCACACCCACGACGCATCCAGACAAGAGTGTCTGCACCCAGACCAGGGGTGAACATTTTAAGGTTGTGAGAAAATAAATATTTCAGCCCTAATAATGTCTCTAACGTTATGTTTTTTTTCTGTAGGTCTGCCTGCTGTTGAACAGCAATGCCTGCATACGTGTAACATGGATGCCTAATTGTTGTCTGCCTCATCATGGCTGCTGATATTGCATCAGCTGATCAGGGATAGATTTGGCAATAACAATGAGATGTGATATTGCCAGTATTAGTTTTACAGCACAAAATGGGTAATGGCAAACAGCATCATATTGAGCTGTGTCTGAGAATGTGGTTTTAATGTAATCTTAAACATGTATTTGCTGACATTTTACATTGTAAAACGATTCTAAGGATTGTCACGATTTGGGGGTCAAGATTAGGTTCGTCTACAACCTCTAGTTTAAGGCATTATGCGAACCAATTACATGTATCATATATGACGTAAAATAATTGATTCTCACATACACAATTACATGCATGTAACTTGAAAATAAGATGTTCATGAAACATTAAATGCATTATATTCTTGGTTCTTTCGGTAATTAAATGCATTGCTACATTCTTTGCAAACAGTGTGGTTATCTGTGAAATAAATATCAGATACATGCATATAACTGCTCATTTGTGCAGTCTTGAGAATCCTAAATATGTATTCCTATTATACTGTGCCGGATAATGTGTAATTTATCAAGATATTGATGCTATTGCAGCACCTATTCTCCTGATGTATACTCTGCAATTTATTCTGCAGATAAACGAAAGAGGGCCAAGCTAGAGACCTTGCTAGAGACCCCGCCTCATCATGTCGGCCCCGGGTGTTTTTCCTAGCGCATTCACAGCCCATGCTCATTCACAAGCACGGATGACACCCTCGCAAATGCACAAGCTCACAGCTACACATGCTCACAATTCCCATGCCGAAATTAAGCACGTGCACTTATTTAGCAGCACACTAATTATAATACGTGAAGCATTTTCCCCAACACATTACTGTATGACCCAAACAATAATATCGGAGATACACATAGCTTTCATAGATTATTTAAGATACTCGTATTTTGTATCGTCATTTGCATACCATTCAGACGTGGATATATTATACTAAGCCACGCATGATAGCATATTGCAACCAATCTTTGGTGAGGAAGACATAATTTATGCGGCATATGCCCCTCACAAATAAATTAATCTCAGTCTGGCAAATTCAATCGCCTATATCTTTCAGACACCATCTGGCCTATAAATATAGCAACCGTGTTGCTGCTTCATTGTGATAAAATAAAACCCACCCCAAATGAAACCTGTAGCGTCGAGTGAGGCAATAGGGATTTCTGAGATAATTTCCTCCATACCCCGTGGCCTATGTAGCCAACAGGAAATGACCCCTGCAGCTGACGAGGCTCAGATTATGTCGCTGGTCCTGGCACAACGAATCGCAGGACAAAAAAAAAAGATCTCGCGAGGGTGTGGCCGTGTTAGAGATTGCAGGATCATTTTGAGGACAGGTGGAATTTTTGCTGCAAAATGCCACTCCCAGCCTTCATTGGACGGTGTTGTTAAAAACGTGAGGACTTCCAAATCGCTCTTACTACACTGGACATTGTTACAATATTCCACAAATTAAAGAATGGACCTCGATGTGTTCTAACATATTTGTCATTGCAAATCGGTGACCGAACCTTTAATGAGTATCTGCGATCACCACAACATCGTCAATCCATAACGTTTTCCTTTCCACATGCAAAACGAATGATTTAATATACATTAGCTATATCCCTCAGGAGAAAGCATCACATGATGGAGTAAAGCAGTGTGGCAAATATGTATTCCCATTTTTGTCATACATCGTTATTAAAACCACAAGACAATCTGTGGCGAATGTATGGCCCGAGTGGCATTGTCGTTGTCTCAGTAATGCATTGCATTTACTCTATTGATGCTCAAAATACGTAGCACAGGGAAAACAAAACAACGCTCCTTGGACAGAAAAGCGTGCAAGCCAGCAGGCGGGAAGGCAGGGTGGAAGGAATGCAACCATGCAGGGATGATTGGCAGGTAGGCAGGCAGGGAGACAGGTAGAGAGACAGATGGGGAGGTAGGCAAGAATAATTGTAGGCAGAGAGGTGGACAGGAAGGAAAAAAGGAAGGTACGCAGAGAGGCATGCATGCAACAAGGCAGGGATGGAGGTAGGCAGGGAGGCAGGCATGTATGCAGGCAGGCTAGAAGGCAGCAGACTCTGCAGATCTGGTTTCCGCTTACCCGTTGCAGTTTTGTTCATTTTGTCGGATGCTTGGGTGAGGCGGGAACTGGCAGGGAGAAGACGAGGCGGTAGCAGTGGTCACGGGCTGGAGCTGGAGGGGATTGACACAGCGTTCGCACTGCAGTTCAGCACGAGGTGAGCAAGAGTGGAGCTGCAACACGCCCGACCGACAGAGAGGAGGGAAAGAGAGAGAGATGAGTTGGGGGTGGAGTGGTGTGTGTTAGCGAGAGAGAGAGAGGGAGTGAGGGAGGGCGCACCTTATAGTTATAATGATGGGAGGGAATGGAGTGAATATTAAGGAGCGCACGCCCCGCAGGCAATATTCCACCAATTCCATTGCGCTACGTGCGCTTCACCCGCCCTGATAGATTTTTTTTTCCACTGTAAAATATGGGCGGAAAGTGTATATCGAACATGGGTTGCACTGTCGAATGATGTGTTTTAATGAAGATATTCCCCCCCCCCTACGTCTGTCGCATTTTGAAACATTCCGATGATCATTTTAGGATGAATAAAATACACAAGGCACCGGCTTGTGAGCAAAGCCTTGTGCTATTATTATCGTGTTTTTTTTATTCACATTACCAACATTGTCACAATTAGAGCCATTTACAGAACATACAAACAATTATTACGGGCGTACAAATCACACGTATACGTATAGACAACATTAACGTGTATATCATACGCAAGGGCGTTGGCGTGTGTGTGATATCGGTATACTTTTAGTGGCAGTCGCCAAGAACTCGGATTGAGTGGTGCAATACAATCCAGCACCGTGTTGTTGAATAGGAAGAGCTGTCCTTGGTGCTGATCTGGTGCCACGCCCTCCCAACAGAGCACTGCAGCAGCATAGCTTGTCAGACCCTTTCATCACAAAAAGACAAAGATCCCCCGAATAGCCTTCACAGACTGTTGGGGCATCTACGTGGGGGTGCGGCCAACACCACGCCCGGCTGCCTTTGTCTCCCCAGTGGCGATGCTTTGACTGCACTTGGTGTTGTACTAATTTGAGGCTCGGTCGACCTAGAGGAGGCCCAGAACCTGATCACAGAATAATCGTCACTGGTGTTGGTGGCCGTGAGCGGGAATCAAACTCGGGTCGCTGGGTTCGTAGCGCAGTGCGATAACCACTTAGCCGCACCCCGCGCAACACACTCACGCCCGTTATCGTTCGATCAGCGTTCATCGTATTCCTGTTTAAATGTTTAATTGAGCGTCCACGCGTCTCGCGATGCAGCTGTATATATGCGTTGTATGAATCCGAAGTGTATTGCTGTATGTGTATAGTACTATGTGTTTGGCAAGTATTGTATTTATTACTTTGCCCATGATGTGCATTTTGTAAGGGTAGTGTGGTTATCTGTACAATCGATCAAACCTTACTGCAGTAAACTAAACAAATTAATTAAATGTGATTATAATTATTATTTTAATAAACAATTGATTATGTAGAATGTTGCAAAATGGGCCCTGGAAACACACATTCTACCGCATAGGATTCTTAATATGCATGGTGTCGAGTATTGGGAAAACAAAGTCTGTCCCACGCATTTAACATTGTGCCTTGAAGCAATGCTCGTCAGAAACCATTAACACAGAGCAGCCAAGAGTCAGTACAGAGCCCAGATCACCTCCCTCTCCCCCTCCTCTCCCCTCTCGCCACGCACACTGCGACACAGTGTGGGCGGCGCAGTGGGTGGTGGCGTATATTTGAACCGGTCCTGGGCGTCCCCTAGGTCAAATCTGCCTCAAATGAGTACCTGGTGCGGTGTGCAAACTTCGCAAATAGGCAGACAACAGCGGCCGGGCGTGGTTTTGGTCACCCACCCCCTCGTGTGCCGTGGCGGCCTTCATGGGTTCTAGTCACTGACAGCACTTGCCCCAACAATCTGTTAACGCTATACGGGGGATCTTTGTATTTAGTGTGAACAGCAGAGCCTATCTCCATGTGCCATTAGTCTATTACTAATACCTCTGCTAACATAATTCTGATGATCATGCAGAAGCGCAGGAATATTTAGTATGTAATTTTCATAATGTGATATGAAGGCCCATTGAGTCAGTGCTGCACTGTAATCATGCAAGAGTCCAGCTAGAATTAATCTTCGTTTTGCAATACGCACAGTATTCAACGAGATAAGGGTCTCTCTTTATGCAATATTCACCATTGAATTGTGTTATAAATACAGTCCACGTTATCGTAATATATTTAAGATATTAGAATTGTTTTTAAATAATACTGTGTATACGCATAAACTATTGTCTTAATACGATTGACAGGAAAAAATCTAACAAAATCTGAAAAAATATGCAAAGAAGCATGCTTGGAATTAGACTGAGAGACAGGAATAGTAACACATGAATTAGAAGAAATTTCCAAATAAGACACAATATACCAACAGTAAGCTAGCCAAATGAGAGATAGTGGCCAAGAAAATGACGAAAGAGATGGACTGATCCATTAATTTGTAGGCAAGATGTACTGTGGCATCGCAAGACCGTGAAGATAGTGGACGCTGTGGAAAATCTTCAACCAGCAGTGGATAGATCATGTCTCATGCCTATGAACACACAGACACTAATCCAAGTTTTGTAGATAAGCCGGGTTAAGGCAATGCACAATAAACAAATAAGAGAAGCAAGAGCGTTATTTATGGCAAGGCCGCTTAGACGACAATCGAAATAATCCTTTTAAGCAGCTGTAGATATGTTTTCGATGCATGGAAGTCGCCAGTGGTTTTGCCATAGAATCACTTCCCCCACCATAGAAATGTGGAATATGTATGACTATCTCATTGATATATCCAGCGATGGTGAAAGACCACCCCCAAGGCTCATTTGAGTCGGGAGAGATTTTAGGATAAAATTCACGTGTACGCAATTATCCCTTTTCTGTTGGTAATATGTACAGACGTCTCCATTACTCACTGGCTGGCAGATCGCCAAGTCATCATCATTATCATCACAATCCATGGGCGGATAGCCCGTAGGTGTGTCCACTGCACATCACGCCATTCGTTTCCACTTTCCTCTGCCTTGTACTAATTGTGCTCAAGTAATGCGCACATCTTTGTGTCAAGACATTCTCGGTTAGGTCTTCCTCTCTCGTACGTCGCCAAATAGGCGACGTATTTTGACACCTTCGGCAAGATGTAGTCTTGTAGACAGTCTGGGCCTTGTCATAGGAATGTGGAAGTTCACCACTGGCTAGAGCACGGGTGGGCAAATTTTTTGACTCGCGGGCCACAATGGGTTCTAAAATTTGACAGAGGGGCCGGGCCAGGAACAGATGGATGGAGTGTTTGTGTGAACTAATATAAATGACATGTAAAAATCATTACATGAAAGGATTTGGCCTTCAACAGGTAGCAAAGCATTTATATGCAAGGCAATTTAACAAATTGCACGAACATGAACAATACAAAAACATGTTGTAACGTGACTGATCAAACATCATGAAAACATCTGAGGCCTGTGCCCAAACCATGACCTCACTTGAACTTCTTCATTATCTACATTAACAGGTTAGAGCAGCCAAGCAGGCTGTGTGTCGGAGATTTGGCTCCAACCTCGCTGCAGCAACACATCATCACTTTCAGTTTCAGTGGGAACAGTGTTGTTGATCTCCCATTTTTTGCCAGTGCATCCAAGTCTGGAGTTATTTTGGTTGTGGCAATTCTCAGGATAGATCTGAGGTGCTGATCCGTTAACTTTGATCTGTGACAGCCTTTGTTGGCGTTCATGACGCTGAATGTCTGCTCACACACATAAGTCGAGCCAAACAAACTCAGCATCTTCTGTGCAGTCCTCCGGAGGTTTGGAAACGTGGCTCTGTTAAGTGAAGCATGAAAGTCATTCAGTTTAACAGAGTTGAACTTCTCCTTTAGGACGGAGTCAGACTAAAGATCTATCAGTTCCAAATGCAGCTCCTGTGGTGCTGTTTCAGAGTCTTGTGACAGGGGACAGGACACCAGCTGAAGTTACTGTTCAATGTTTTCGAAATCAGAGAACCTACGGCAGAATTCTCCGTGCAGGTCCTCAAGTGATTTGCTGTATTTTTTTGCGTTTCGCGGTGCCTCTTCCTGCATGGCAAGTGTGGGGAAATGAGCGAAAGATTTGTTCGCAATTTGTCTGGAGAACAAAGTAAGCTTGGATTTGAAGGCTTTCACATATTTGTACATGACGTGAACAAACTGATCTTTCCCCTGCAGTTTCACATTCAGCTCATTCATGTGTGAAAGTATGTCCACAGCAAACGCAAAGTCACTAAGCCAATTTTTGTCGCTTAGCTCAGGGAATTCGTCAGATTTCCCCATCAATTCCAAAAATGCGATGATGTCCTCTTTCAGCTCCCACACTCGTATCACTTTCCCCAAACTTAACCAGCGGATACGAGAGTGGTACAGCAAGTCCTGATGATCCGCATCAGTTTCCTCCAGGAACGTAATAAACTGACGGTGCTGAAGTCACCTTGCTCGTATAAAGTTAACAAGTTTTACGGCTGGATTCACGACATGATTAAGCTGCAATACAGACTTATACAGGGATTCCTGATGGATGATGCAGTGAAGGAAAATAAGATCCTGGCCAGGGTTTTCCTCTTTCACTTTATTCTGGATTCTTTTCAGCAGCCCAACATTTTTTCCAGTAAAATTTGGCGATCCATTCGTTGTGACACTGACAAGTTTACTCCAAGGTAGCTTCATTCTTTCGATGACAGCAGACACCTGGTTATACAAGTCCTCTCCCCACGTTGTTCCTTTCAGGGACTCCATGGTCACAAAACTCCTCAGTTATCGCAAAACTGTAAATGCCTCGGATAAAAATGAGCTGAGCAGTGCCTTTTACGTCTGTACTTTCATCCAGTGCTAGTGAATATAACTCAAAGGAATCAGACTTTTTGTTTAATTGGCTGGCTATATTTTCATCAATCAGTTTCACACGGCGAGTCACAGTCCTGCGTGATAAACTGACTTTTTCAAATTTGCTTTTGATCTCTGGACACAAGATGTCTGCTGTCTGTACCATGCATTCTTTTACAAACTCGCCTTCGGAGCAAGGCTTGCTAGCCTTTGCTATTTCGAATGCCACCAAAAAACTTGAGTTGGTAGTTGACTCTTGAATCGCAGTTTGTCAGTGAAAAAAATGTTGCTGAGTCTGTAAATTAGTCACCAACCTCTGAGCCGTAGCCGCCCGTTCTTGCGTTGACTGCTTGCTAGCGTAGTTAGCATGCTTCGTAGCAACGTGAAAACTGCGACAGTTTCTCGGCATATCAGGCATACTTCAGTGGAAAAGTATTTTGTTGTCCACTCCGTGTAAAAACACTCGGCACTCATTGTCCACTTTTCGTTTCCTTGATCCGCTCATTTTACAGAAGGGTGCACAGGGCAAAGCGAAAAAGTGAAGGGAGCACTATCTAGCTCAGCAATGTAAACAAACCCTGAAAATGGCGCTGACGGCCCACAATGCATTGCGAGATCATGTGCCCTTTCGAGCCCTTTACACCACACTCCCGGTCAAAGTGCGCCATCTAATGGGGAAATGGGGGCATTACAGGAGAAAGGTAAAATTGCATTTAATAATAATAATATTTGGACAAGTTCGGCGGGCCGGATTAAAAAGCCCAACGGGCCGTATACGGGGGCCATACTTTGCCCATGTCTGGGCTAGAGCCTCCAGTAAGAGATGTGCACCTGGTCAACAATGGTCACAACTTCAGACACAAGGCACCTTAAATGAACAATTCTAAATATCGAGCACCACCAGTTGCTTAGATATGCATGAAGTAAAAATATCTGTAAAAGTATGGAGTTCCACGTTGTGGTGTCGTTACACCCTTTGATCTGTCCGGAATCCACACCTGTCAACCCCTTATCATTGACTGCCTTATTGTAGACCAATTCAGACCTTATTGGTCACCCCATGCACTTATAAATCTCAACGTTCATCTTACAAAGTCCCATCACAAGGGAGCAACACAGACACATTTTTTTGCCCGTATTTTGCCCGTATTGAAACTTAAATTTCCCTGTACAAGAATACAAATAAACCGTATCGGTTGACACGGTATGTGCTTCTGTATTAACATTTGCCTGGTTTGCACTCGTTAGCACTTTCTCTATACTGAGCTATCAGAGGTGCATGTGGCCAAATTGGAATAACATGCGCTCAGGTCAACATGGAACAAAACATACATTTTAATAAAATAACACGGAAATTGAATAGAATAAAAAACGCTTAAAATAAACAAAAATCTATCTATTACCTTCCTTGTTCTATTCACCTTGATTATTCACGGATATCGATAATTCCATTCAAAAACAGTTTATCCCTTCGCATTTGTATGTTTTTTTTAATTCAGTGGTGTAAATCGAGTATGAATAGATTGCTGAAAAGTTATTAAAGTGTAGTTAATCAACAATCCTTATAATAATCAATTTACAATCTATAAGGCTTATAATACACGCGTTGACAAAAAAAATTAGCTTTTTCAAGAACGATCACAGTCCAATACTGACGGCATTGGCGTTAGTTACATGATATTAATTTCACTGAACACAAGCCATAATTGATAAATATAACGAAAATTATGACGTCTTATTTTTGCCATGCAGTCAATTTACCAATACTCAGAAAACCATATCGAAGAGTTGAGAATAGCTATTTATAACTTTAATTATTGACTTTATTATTTAATATTTTGTAAGGCAATTTAGCATTTTATTCAATTAAAGTGAGCAAAACCACAATACACTTATCGTGGACCTTTTATCGTACGATATATCGCGATATCGCGAGAACTCGAGTTTGCATTGTCTGTTCTCACCGGCACAGTCTCATTTGCACTCTGTCCATTAATTATTCATGTATCGTCTGTCTCATCTACTACGTTCGTTCCGGCAAAAATAACCAAAATGTGAAATGTTCACGGGCATAAAACGACCCAACGGAATCGTTACACGCTAAAAAATACAAATGCACTCATCCGCACGTGCTAAACTGCAGTACTTAAAGAAACCTAAGGATCGCGGGTCACGTGACGGCCTCGCGTACAATTCAAATCTCCCGCCACTCTGCCGAAGCCGCCCTTTGATTGGTTCTCCCTTTCGTGACGTCACAACCCCTCCATCGCCTCCCATTACCCTCCCCCTCCCACCACCACTCCTCCCACCACCCTACCTACCAAAAACAAAGATCCCCCCTGTAGCCTTGACAGACTGTAGGGACAAGTGCTGTTAGCGAGCAGCACCTGTGAAGGCCGGCACGGCACACGAGGGGGTGGGCGGCCAGCACCACGCCCGACCGCCTTTGTCTCCCCAGTGGCGATGTTGACTACACTCCGCACCAGCTACTCATTTGAGGCTGAGTCGACCTAACGGAGGCCCATGACCGGTTCTGATAATCGTCACTTGGCGTTGGCCGTGAGCGGGAATCGAACCCGGGTCGCCGGGTTCGTAGCGCAGCGTAGCGCTAACCGCTGCACCACCGCTCCCCTCCCCTGCCCCCTCCTCCACAACAGCTGATCGAGGCCTCCCGGCGTGCATCGCGCGTCCGCCTTGGCGGGCTTCGCGGTTCGGATTCGCCGATGCAGCGCGGCGTGTGGAGGGGCTTGGAGGCTGCTGATCAAGTTAAAGGATTTCGAAGCGGCTGTTCTCTTCTATTTATTGCATTAAATCATTAGTAATTAATCAAAGCGCCCCCCCCCCGTGCCTCCTGGCGAGGTGCCCCTCTGGTCTTTAGCCGCGTTGCTTCGGGTGAGTGCTGCGGCGTTTGCTCTAGCAGCTCTTCGTTAAGGCCGCCTTCGCTGCGAGGTTCATCCAAGTCGTGCGTCTCGTTCCCTTCGTTCGACTCTTTACTCCACTTACCAGTTCGCCCACGGCGGAATGCGCCAGATTTAGTCCGATCTAAGAAGAAGCTAAAACAGGATTCAACCTGAATACTGTTTTGCTTTAATGGTCGACCACCGTGCATAATAGGTGTTTAATATATAGACAGCATGGGGCTAATTGTTGACAAAAGGCAGTGAGTAAACTACATTGAACAGTACTAATGCTTCCATGTTTTTGTGCCGGATTCGCCGGCCCGCATTGACCAGCATGGTGAAGTATGGTCAAACATTCCCCATGACCCGCACAGGTATTGGTGTGCCTCATCAAGCAGCAGATTTGCAAAAGGGACTGTTCATGCGCACGTACTCATTTGTCATTAATTAATGTCATTAAATTATTTCACTCGTTTACCCATTTGTCGTTCACATTATTTTTGTATTCACTCGCATTCGTCTTTCAGCCATTCGTGATTCAATCACTCATTCAACATTCACTTTCATGACTTTTAATACATTCGTTATTCAGTCACTCAATCGTTGTGCAATGTAGTGGCACTTTAAACACGGGCCTACCGCGCCACGGACGATACACAGCCGTCTTTGACGCGAGTGCTGTGTGCTGCAATATAAGTGACGTTCAAGTCCCTGTTGACATTGTCAAACTCGGAGCGTTCATGATAACGGAGTCTTCGGTGGTGATGATGCTTATCAGCATTGGCATTGCTGGGCCATTTGTGGAAATTCCGCATTCGTATGGTGGGAAGGAGTCCACCCCAAGTGCAACCACTGATGTTGGCTTCCACACAAAGTGGTAATCCAATACAATTTGGATTTTTATATAGCATCTAAATAAAACCACAAATCAAGACAATACCATCGTGGTTTTATTTTATATTAAGAAAGAGTCCATGGCAGAGAGAAAAAATGCAGGGTCAGGGTGTCACAATCGCTCCAACACTTAATGATCGTGTGTGTGTGTGACTTCGTAGGGAGGATATGTCAAATGCAACATAATTTGGATCACCGTGGCTCTTAAAAAATTAAACATGCAGGGTCCCTGTAAACTGTACTGTGCATGATTGCAAAGCTGACAAGCTTGTCTTCACCTGTGCTTCCTGCATTCACTGACAGGTTGCTGCGAGCTGTGAAAAGTGAAAGGTTATGCCGGTGCTAACCATAGGAGGGATTCCTGTGAGCTTCCCTTTTACACCCTACAAATGCCAGGAGGACTACATGGCCCAAGTGATCGACTGCCTGAACCTGGTATTGTACTTTCAATACTGTATTTGAATTAGTTAAGGTGCTTTGGATTATCCAGGGTAATGCAGGGGAGGCATATGGATGAAATTAAAATGAATAGTTTAAAACTCGAAAATTAGGTTATAATGTTTCAAGCTTTATCATTTACCTGTGCAGAATGGGGTTCAAGATATAACTTGTTATTTTTATATTCTTAGCTCTTAAAAATATATATTTTATTGTTTCCCTTCAACGTGACTTTACCGAAAGAGCTAAGAATATGAATTACTGCAGTCACGAAAGCTTTAAATCAAAATTGTTATTTTTACTTGAAAACATGTTTGCGGTCAGGTGCGCACGACGAGCTGTTAATAGTGTGGCATTAAAGGCATAACTGCACAAGCCATGCACCAATTGTTTAGGATTGCTGGTTTCCAGATGGCACTTGCTTTTAGAGCTCAGGGTGATGTGGTTGTGTGTGTGGCTTGCGAAGGGAAAGAATGGCATATTGGAGAGTCCAACGGGCACAGGCAAGACGCTGTGCCTTCTCTGTGCAACACTGGCTTGGCGGGAGCACCAAGTGGGCCAGCATGTGCGGCAACGGGAACAGCAGAACAGCTGGGGAGACGATGGACGTGAAGCCGAAGCCGCAGTCACCTACCCTGGTGCGGTAACATTTCGTCTTAGATGTGTCCCCACCCATCCGTTTTTTTTTCAATTGCAGCCAACGTGTACGATAAATTATCCACGCGTAGGCTGATGTTTTGGACAGTCGCCCTTCATCAGGGTGATAGAACGTCTCCACCCAATCAGGTAATCGGTTGCCCAATGCATTTTGGGGGTGCAGCTCAGATGAGGTAAGTGACATGGGGTCACTGAGGGCATTATTATTATTCACGTGCTCTTCGTCATTCTGTCATTGGTACCTCCAGTGAAGTAAAGGTGTTTCATAAACGTTAGCCTTTTGTCTATAATCTTGTCTGTTTTAAAGTACGTGATGAATGCTTGTGCCCTGGTGTCAACAGTTATATTTTTTTATTTTCCTTCAGAAATACTTATGTTGAAACGATTTTCGTGCATTTGTTGCTGCATGTACATTATTCTATAAAAGTGACAACGGTTGTACTCTGCCATACAACTCTAATGCCTGTTCAGCATTGCCTCTTACCTTGATGTAATAAAAATAATACCACATGTATCAAGAAAAACCCAACTGAACCTTGAGACTTTTTCTGGAGTGTTCTGCATTTAGATATTTGGCCACTTCCTTTTAAAGACATTTAGCATTTTGGAAGATAACCACGGTACCCAGAGAAAAGGATACGACACCAAAGGTCTGCACAGACGTGTTCTCAAATTCTGTTTCTGTACTGCTATCTCCTGGTCACCTCGCAACCAAGTGCATTTTGAGGTTTCACATACTGTGTATCTACTTTATCTTCCAACCCTTGCCTTTGAATGGTGGATATCGTTTGATGACTCGGTGTGTGTGGTAACATCCCCAATCCGGCTTCAGTATAAATTGCAGAGCTTAACCAACATTCAAAGCTGCTTGGGTCACTTGGTGGATATATCATTGCGTTATTATTTGTATTACTGTTAAAGCGTTTTCGATTGATTGGAGACTTTGCCTGTTACAGGTGGCGTCGGCAACATTCCCAAGATCATCTATTCCTCCCGGACTCACTCCCAGCTTTCACAGGCTATGAACGAATTGAAAAATGCATCCTACAAGTACGATTGCCTCTACAAGCATACTGGACACATTGTAACAAAAACATCGTCTTATTAATCGCCAACAGCCATTATCTGCCCACTGCAGAACGGAGGCCTCCGAAAATCATCGCCGTGCACCTTGCACAAATGTGATCCAATTGCTCCATCTCTGACCTGGATGTCCTGCTGGGCATGTCCTATACTTTGACTACCACTTTGTCGTCAGTCTTAACCATTAGCCATCCCTTCTCGTGATGTAACTTTCCCGAGCCCACACGCTGATGCACACATTCTCACATTCTGGGGACACAGACAATGCAAAAATGTTTGCATAAAACAATCAATGTATTGCACTTAAAGAAGGCTGGCACATATTAGGTGGTAAGTGTATGGCTTCCATTGCTTTGAATGCAAGAAACTCAATTTAACTCAACAATTTCATATTGAGTATATTGTCTTTGCATGTGTGTGTATGAATGTATACAACGGGGAGCGGTAGCGCAACGGTTAGCGCTCTGCGCTACGAACCCGGCGAACCGGTTTCGATTCACGCTCACGGCCAACACCATTGACGCTTATCTGAACCAGTCCTGGGCCTCCCCTAAATCGACTCACCCTTAAATGAGTACCTGGTGCAATTTGAAAACATCGCCACTGGGGAGACAAAGGCGGCCTCGGGCGTGGTGCTGGCCACCCACCAACCCCCTCTTTTGCCTTTCCGACCTTTGTAGGTGCTCGCAAACAGCACTTACCCAAACAGTCCGTTAGGCTATACGGGGATCTTTGTCTTTGTAATGCTGCATGTGGGGAATGGTGACACATTGGTCAGTGCACAGCGATACAGACCTCGACCTTGAGTTAAATTCATGACTGCGGGGAACATCAGTGGCACACGGCATTTGACCATGCCCGATTCATCCCTGAGATCGACTTCGCCTTAAATGAGTTAAATGCGTGTGGTGGGTGAGGCGAAAGTGGCCGGGCGTGATTCTGGCTACATCTCACCTGCTTGTGTGCCATGATGGCTTCAATAGGCAATCGCTAAGAGCCCCAACAGTCTGTACGGCTTTACAGGACGTCTCGTTGTTTTGCGCGTGTGCTCGCCGCAGGCCACGTGTGTGCGTGTTGGGATCCAGGGAACAGCTGTGCATTCACCCGGACGTCGTAAAGCAGGAGAGCAATCATGCGAAGGTATGGAACAACGACTTGGCATCGTTCACTGGCACCGGGGCTATGATAAAGACTGCCTGCCAAAATTACATCGCATGGAGGAATAGGAACATTTTACAGTATCACCTTGGGTTGTGACATTCAATAAAGAGTTTTGGAAGATGCGGAGTGAATTTCAGAGGCGTTTACAGGAAATGAGCAACAGGGAAGCAGTTCGTTAAATGTTGTTTGAAGTCCTTTACATTAGCACTGTCGAGTAATATTGAGTGTCCGCATGAGCATCGGGTATCCGCAGCATTTGTGTGATGTTCTAATGCAGTTCATGATCCTCCACTGTCGTCGACCGAGTGTGAAACCAGTAGGGTCGACCATAGGGTTACCTATCCCTACTTTGAAACTCCTTTACGGATGTATGTTGAACTTCTTTTGCACCGTATGTAGCCACCCGTGCTAATGGGAGGTGCGGGGAAGGACAACAAATTAAACACAAAAAGCAGTTCTAAAGAAATTAGTTTTCAAATTGAGTATATTACATAAACAATTGGAGACTTAATTTGTGAACTTGACTCTCTATGGTTGTCTAGTTATCTTGTTACACAATGTTTTTTTAATAATGTATTTTCCAGTCCTAATTAAATGTATTTTAACATATTAAAAATCTATAATCTCATAACGTGACCATATCAAATTCTGTTTTTATCCAATATAATTTAAAAGCTGCATTATTTTACAAAAATCAGTTGGCTTCATCTTGGCTAGTGCGAAGATTATGTGCCTCATGGGGCCCAAGTATTGATTGTATTTAATACTCACCCTAGTTTGCTCAAATGCTGAAGACAACACACGAAGCACATTTGTGATTAGGTATGAATGATCTTATAGTAGACATGTAATGATTAATTCACTAAAATATTCATACACTCAATGCAATGGAGAGTTTCTTTGAGTTGATTAGTTATGATGCATGAAAGCCATTTGAAGATGTTGCATAGACAAATTGACTGTTTGAGACTGCATACAAAAGACAGACCAAACAAGAGACAAGATAAACAAGACTGACAATTCAACAAATCTTATTTGATTGAACAGTGACCCCCAAAATCATGGTAATGCTTCATAGTGTGTAAGGGGAGTGAATCGTTATATGCCTAGTATATAGGTACTAGTTTAAGTTTGTGATGCCTCATGGGTGCTTATATTCATGCTTCCTTAGAGTGTGAGATATCAAAAATTGTTAGCATTTGGAGGCTATGTGATTGACCTTTTACGAACTGTGCACGGTAATGGGTGGACTGCATCTCTGCAGGTGCATCTGTGCCGCGCAAAGACAACCAGCAGGTCCTGCTTTTACTACAACAACGTAGAAGGTGAGTGTGCTGTCCATTTGAGTAAGCTGCTCTTTTACACGGCGCACCAAAAGCACTCGCGAATACACTTTGGCGCATTGGATGAGCACTTGCGCCTTGCTTAGGAGAGGTCATCGCTGCTGCCGCTGTCCTGTGAGGGTCAAGAGGTGTGATGAGATCTTTTTGAAATGGTCTCGTTCTCATAGGGGGTGATGTCGACAGGAGAGAGATTGTGCCATCCTGCATGCATAGCTGTCATGGAACATGTATTTTCTGCAACTCGTGTAATTAGATTTGCATGGAAAACTGTAAGCTGCTCAATGAAACCAGGTACAACTTAAATACTCTAAATATGCAATGTCATTGGTTGCCTGTGGGGGTATGCATTTTTATGGATAAAAGAGATCTTATGGCATAAACTGCACACACACAGCATTGAAGTTTTGTAGTGCAGCACATTGATGTACAGTGTTTTTATTCATTATACTGCTCGTTGAGGGCTTCCCAACGTCTGGCGGGCAGTGAGAGATATTTCACCATAATTCACCACCCTGATCCGTGGGGGTTAAAGGTGGGAGAGAAGTGTAGAACAACAACAGATGTTTCTGCACTGCCCTCTACTGCCCGCAGCACCTACACCTGCGTTTTGTTCATGGGGTTCACCCATTCAAGCGCTTTCCAGGCTATTCCTGCTTCACTTCTGAGATCTGATGAGATCGGCTGCATTATTAGTGCTGCAATGTGTAACATTTATTCAGTTGCAGTAAACGTGTGTGATTTATTGTGTTGCCTCTTATGGCATGACTGCTTTGTCTTGCTCATCGGATTTCTCCAGTCTAAATACAGTTTCTGATTCTGAATGTGGTGTTGACAGCAGCTGATGCCACTTTTCCTTCCATTACAGAGAAGAAGACGGATTTTATTGCAGGGATAATGGACGTGGAGGAACTTGTGAAGAAGGGCAAAAAACACCAGTGAATATTTATTTAATTATTCATTTATTGCTTCATTTAGTTATAGCCTGCTGAGGAATGCCCGCAATCATTGGCACATTTTACATGCATTACTGCATCAGGCACCCATTTGAAATTCCCAAAGTGTCATTAAAACCTGCCCTCTAGATAATTACATACAAATACAAAGTAAGCAGTATACCGTATATGTTTATATGTACGCCCCTTATCCGTCCACTACTGGATAAATGGCTCCCCACATCTTGCGGATTGTGTGGATTTTTGACCTTCACGCTTCTCACTATAATTTCACCCTACAGCCTAGAGAACCTGTTATGCATAGTGGTCATGCATCCAAACACTATCTAGGCTCACATCAGCTTTTGAGATCTGATGAGATCAGCAGCCTTCTGGGGAGATTTGGTCAAAGGCAGACATTTAATCATGGTGACCTAAATGCAGATATAGTAATTTAATGAATACAAATATATATGTTTGGAATCCAACAACACAATAAGAGCTTTTGGTATTAACCGTGGAGTTTTCTGAAATAGCAGAATTACAAGTTACATCAACAAACAATCCATGTGATATGAGATCGTCACTTATGCAGAGACCTAATGAGATATCTCTTGTTCTCGTGGTCTCCTTTGTTAAATGCAAGGGTGTGTCCATACTTCATGACCCAGGAACTCAAGCACGATGCTGACATCATATTTATGCCGTATAATTACCTGCTCGACACAAAGGTGAGGCACATAGAGCGTACATCGTGCAGTTTGTCAAATGTGATAAGTGGCCACATTCCCCGAACGCTCACATTCACCAATAGTTTGCGTGTAAATTGACAATGCCGTACGTCAACTGCCTTTCGCAATCAATGAACCCGGTAATCCATTCTGTGTCTGGTAAAGCCACCTCGATGCCTTTTAACAACTGATCGATGTGACAGAGTCGGCGAGCACACAGCATCGATCTCTCGGGAAAGATCGTCATCTTCGATGAAGCCCACAACGTGGTACGTAAAACCAATTGCGGCAAATAATTGCTACTTCCTTAATCAGTGTCTTATGTGGAATGAGTTTAATGTCCGTGTTTATCTCTTGTGCTGCAATATAACAAAAACAATTCTTTGTAAACATGTTATTGTTGAACTTCTTTCGCACCATACGTACGTGAGGTGTGGGGCACATGTAAACATTGTATCTGTGATGTTTTTTGTCACTTGCAGGAGAGGCTGTGCGAGAATGCGGCTTCTTTTGACCTGACCCCGTTTGAGCTGGCGTCCAGCATAGACGCAGTCTCCCACTTCCTGCAGATGAAGGTGAAGGAGGAGGGGCTGCTAGGGTCAACGGACAAATTCAACGGCGACGGCTCATCCACTGGCATGTGACTCCTCGCCACCCCCCATGCCTCTCACCAACACATGCTGCACATAACCCAGTGCCACTTTACCTAATCGGAGGTGCGATTGGCACGGTTGGCTACTGTCAACATACATACGTATATGACCTCATCTTAGTCTCGAACACAAACTGTGTGACAAAATCACCTGGAATGTGCCCAATCTAATCAGATAATTGAAGCTGAGCAGGGTTGAGCCTGACAATTGCTTGGATGGATGGCCACCACAGGTATTATAGGCTATGGGGGCTTCATGGTGGGCAGCAGAGGGCAGTACATAAAAATCCATGAGTGCAATTTACTTGGATCTTCCCACGTCCATGTTCCTTGACCTCTCCAATCCCCATTCAAAAGGATGGTTAAATAAACCCCCAAAGACCCAAACTGTGTCTTTATATTGATCCTGATTATCCTGCATATAAAGACAAAGCAATTGGGGGGGTGGGGGGGTGGCTTCCAACTCTTGTGATGGCCCAAAGCCAGCTGTGTAAATTCGAGTGGAAAGTGATTATTGTATTTATTTTATATCGGAAGGTCAAGAGGTCTTCTGGCTCAAATAATGTAGTGGAACTTAAACTATGAACTAAACTATATTTTTTATCAGGTAAGGTTCACTGAGCTATATAGCTCTTTTTCAGTAGCTCAGTGAAGTGGCTTATAATATGGAAATTTAGAGCAGCCAAATACTCTAAATGCACGCTTGTGTAGGAAAAACCAGAGGACCCGGAAGAAAAACCCACGTGACCACGGGGAGAACATGCAAACTCCATATATGCAGGCGTCAGGGTCGGGATTGAAAACCACAACTTGTATAACAGGCGAGGGAGATAACATCTTGCCACTGGGGCACCCCTTTAGGTGGCCGGAGCCAGTGGCCAGGTGCAATGGTGAATTCAGTTGTGCTGTCGTATTTATCTAACTTGTTTAAGTTGAATGACAGGCACCACATTTGAAACCACAGACACTGCATTTTGAGGTTTCTACAACTGTGGTACAATACACGTGGAATAATATGGCGATCACAAGTACTTTGCTGTCGAATGAACTCGTCTAACTCTTTGGTTACACTTATTCCCACTTTTTCTTGTCTTTCAAGATGTCAGCATAGAGGATGTTGCAAATATAAAGCGTAAGTATTCACTCAATATTTTGTTCAATTTGTTTTATTTTAATTTCTTATTTAATGAATATATGCCTGCGCATGTATGCAGTGTTTTGCTGTAATAATATAATACATTTGAAATACTCCATTATTCTAAATACATGGACTATCAAACATTTGTAATTGTTTATTTAAGTGTGACTTTGCTAAGATAGTTGTCACGTCCCCATGTCATGAAGTGGTGCCATGAAAGTATAGCTGGACCACTAAGCAGTTTTTAGAAGATGTTAATGGAATGCAAATATTGCCTCGTTTGAGAGGGCCTTATGACTTAATTAATTGTTGATGCAAAAATGTTCACAGAGCTGCTGCTGAACCTGGAGCGAGAGATTGATCTTGTGGAACTGCCAAGGGGGGGGTAGCATCACCAAACAGGGCAGGTACGTCATCGCCCACCGTCTACCAAGTATACCATGCCTCTGATACCCCCTCTCTCCGCGTTGATCACACGAGGTCAATGTGTTGGGTGACATTCCGCTGGCATTCTCGCAGCACTGAGCACGTGCTGTGGGGAATTCGTGCTGCATCACAGCACTGGGCAGCTTTCGTTGGGTCCCCTTGCCTTTGCGTTGATCACTACTGAGGCGTCAACACGTGGTGCTTCGGAGGGTGAATATTTGAACAGTGCGGTGACATTCCGCCGGCATCCCCCGCAGCGCTGCGATTGGCTGGTGATGATCTGCGCTAATTTGCGAGCACTGGGCAGCTGCTGTTCAGGGAAGCATGTCAATATCCTGACAGGTTATTGATCCGTCGACATGGGTATATGGGACCTGCCTGAAGAGCTGTAACTCAAGCAGGGGAAACCAGAATCCTCATACCCCTATGTACTGCATACTATGGATACCAAGTGGAAGCATTGCCAAAACTTGTGAGCTGATAATAAAGGAACGTAGGGTGGAAGTTTAACATGCAAGCAATCGACTTGCATTGTCAGAAATAATAGAGGAAGTACTGTAAGGCTGTGTTTGAGTGCATATGGGCTCATTAAATTAATTACAGCATTATACAGATGCAACATTTGTTCCTCTTTTGTAGTTGTTTTGAAACTTATATAAAATAGAATTATATTTATTGTATTTGAGCAACAGGTCCTGCATCTCTCATACTTCTGTTGATGCTTGTGGCCAAAACGCCCAGTGGGTTCGATCTCATCAGATCTTGAAGCGAAGCAGGGGTTGAACCCGGGAAATCCTTGGACGGTTGACTACAATGCACAAACAAGTCGCCATAGGGCTTGTGAGGCTACATGGGTGAGCAGCAGATGCCAGTGCAGCAAAATAACATTGTTGGGCTGTACTTACATGTGTTCTCCACCTGCACAAACCAGCAATGACCAGCATGATGTGATATGTTTAAATAACCCACATGGGCATGGACAGGCCCTCATTCATTAGCGGATTATACACATACAGAGACGAGGTAACGGATTGTTCATCTGTTCGTTAAGCCTAAGATCCACACAGCTGGCTCAGTGTTGAGAGTCGCCGTGCATTGTGCGTGCCCAGCTTCCTGTTTGAGCTCTTTGAGCGGGCGGGCATTGGGTCTCAAATCATGAAAACCCTCATGGACGGTCTGGAGAGCATCGTGGGAGCGATCACCATCAGTGAGTAACGTGTTAACCTCTCCAATTGGCATCTGCTACACGCGATTTGCATCACTCTGATATGTTCTGCTTTAGATGCTAATGTGTCCAGTTTATTTGGGAATGGTTCATAGTCTATGAATATGAGCTGGGCTCTTTGTGGAGTTCTGTATATTGGAATGGTGGTGCATGGAAGTTAGCTACAAGGGGTGCTTTGTGGGGGTGTGTACTTGGGACCACAGTTTTCGTGTAAACCTGCCTGAGTAAATTATCTTATGGCTGTGTGCTTCCTGACTGCTGTGCTGCGTTTGGTGAATTGACAGTGGGAACTTAACAACAATGTAATATAGTTGGAAGGTAATTAGAATTTTTTTTGTGTGAATAGGTAGCATGTGGCTAGGACTAACAGGGCTGAGTCCCTTCGGATATATTTACCAGCTTGTCTTCACACACGTGCTGTGCAGTAAAATCTCTCTGAGCCCGACTTGGCGAGAGCACGAGGGCTCAACGAGTAGAGCACGTGGTAGACTGACGCAGTCCGTGAAACCCCCCACGCCCCTTTGGCTGTCAGCCTACCACGTGCTCAGCTTGAGACAAAGCTGGCAACTCGTTGGTTTTAGCAATGTCTTTCATTAAATCTTGATTTGAAGCTTTCGTGACTGCAGGAATCCATACTCTTTGGTTCTTTCGGTAAAGTCACGTAGTTAGAAATAAAACATCACGACGTTTCGATCGCAACACAAGCGGTGTGTTGCGATCAAAATGTCGTGATTTGTTTTATTTTATTTCTAACTACTGACTTTACCGAAAGAACCAAATAGTATGTCTTTCATTAACTTTCCTAAATTTTATCAGCCCCCTCCAGAGATAATGTTTTACCCACCCACCTATGGTTGTCTGCCATTGATGGCTGCCTATGGATCCTCGTGTTTTTTCATAGAGACGGGGATATTCAACAACACGACTGGGATACAGAATCTGTTGGAAGCTTTCCAGGCATGTGACCGTATTCTACTGTTGTGTATTTTTTACATTCAGAATGGTTTGAGTTACCAAATTATTTGTAGGACCATAGCCAACTTGTACTCTGAGTTCGTGAACATTTTTTCGAAACAATTTGTCTTTTTTTACTCTTTGGGTCTTTGTTTTTTACTGTAATTCCAAATTCCTTTTGTTACTTTACAGATTGCATTTTCACACGAAAACCGACAAAGGGCAAACATGGAGACTTATTACAAGGTACGTTGTATGAGCACAACCAAGTGGAATTTCAGCCATAGCCTTGTGCGATGAAACCCTTAAAAAGTACATTTCCAACTTAATCCCGATTAGGCTATTGGTGTCATGACATGATATTAAGTGTCCATTTGGTTTCCTTACAGAGCAGTGCAACCCTTCGTGTTGTGGAGGGGCAATCGCAATGCTCAGCATCCTCACCTCTAAACCACCTGGTCAGAGTGAAGCCCTCTAAGGTGCAGTTGAACCTGAGTCATTGAGAGCAGGCCTGAGATTTTGGCACACCTGCCTGCCTTGGTGTTTTTGGCTGAGAATTGACAGTTTGATGGATGATAGATCACCTGCAGGGATCCTTTGTATATTATGGGTTGTGGAAACGTTTGGGACTTGAATTGGTGCCCACATATTTCTTGGAAGATGCTTTGAGATTTTTTTTTCTTCAAAACTAATTAATTTTTTTTGGCCCTCTTAGCCAGTCATCGGTGCATAGTTAATTAAACAAACATCTGCAGTTTGCGGTGCAAAAAATTGGCGAAAGAGCTGAGACATCTGCACCCTTGGCAGGTCCACATTCGTATGGATGACAGCAACTGGAAGAAGAAGCAGCAGCAGAAAGCAGACCCCTGGGCGGTGGCTTCTTCAGCCAAAAAACAAGGTGAGGAAGCACGGCAGCAGAAACGGCAGGAACAGAATAAGCAGTCCGCTGTTCTGTAGGACTCCTATGTGTATGGCTATGAACAGCAGCAGAATGCCAGTGTGTAGTGGCCACAATAATTGTACAGGGTGGTTCAAGATAATCTGAACACTTATATGGGACTATCGTTTTTAATGGAAAAAAGAACAATCCACTGTAACATGATAACAAGTGTAATGTTAATAGCTTCAAAAAGTCAGAGTCTCCACTTGTTCGCCACCATTGTCAAAACGTGGCCTGGAATCTTCTCCAGGTGGTCTCCAGAGCCCGGAGGCACACTTATTGTGGTATTGTTGCAAATTCTCAGAAGTGTTAACATTTTTTTTCGAAGTTCCCTGTAATGTATCGATCCCTCAATTGAAATCAATTTTTACACTTTACAGTGTTTGCATCGGATTGTGTATGTATGTTCAACTTTAATTCTAGATTTGAAGTGTTCGTGACTGCAAGGATTCATACGCTTTGGTTTTTTCGGTAAAGTCATGTAGGTAAAAAATAAAATAAATGAAACAACTAAATTCAATCATGACGTTTTGAAGGCAACACAAGCCTCCGTCATCAGGTGTGGCTGCAGTACTTTTGCTGGAGCAGCCACACCTGATGACGGAGGCGGCTTGTGTTGCCTTCGAAACGTCGTGATTTAATTTAGTTTTCATTTAATTTATTTTATTTTTTACCTACGTGACTTTACCGAGAAAAAAACAACTTCTTTCGCACTGCACGTAACCAACCACGCTCGTCGGAGGTGCGAAAGAATCTGCATCCAAGAATCTGTTATTTGTAATATATGCAAATTATACGTGAACATACCTTTAGGCTGATGCAATGAATCGGACATAACAGACGAGACAGGCAATAGATACATTGAGGATGGCAGAGATGAGATTAAAAATAATTGAATCTTAATTTCAGTGGTAATCCTGAATTGGTAGAATTGAAAATGGGGTGAAGAATTATTGCATACCTCACGGCCATACATACAAGCACATAATATTATAATGCCAATTTAGATTAAATGTGCTCTTGCAGGTGATCGCTAATTATATATATATTCAAGGCAATTGCGTTCTCGAGGCGTACAATTTATTTAATGTAGCTAAATAATATCGATAATGTAGCATATTGATTGTTGCAGTCTGTATATTCTCGATAAACTATTTAAAGGTACGTTTAGCTACGTCTCTTAAAATAGCCGCTGATAATCCTTGAGTAATCATTATTGAATGTTGTACGAAGGCGGCTGTACACAATTATATATGCTATCATGGGAGGCACGACCCTTGCACTCTTGGCTCGTGTTTGTGTGAAGTCGTGTAGCCTCAAATTGCTTGGGAACTCTGCTGAGGAGAGATAAGAGGCTATAAAGCCGTGCTCCATATGACGTGGCACTCTCCTATTGGCTGTGTCTGCCAGAGCATGCTGGGTCGTCACATGGGTTTATACACCAATGGGGTGCTCTATGATGGAGAGGCCACTTAGGTTGTGCCATTATTCCAATATGTATGTTTAACTTATGAGGTTACAAAATGGGACCTTTTTTGCCAGTATCAAAGTACAAAAAAATAATAATAGGTTTTACCCTTTTTGGCAATAAAACTGGTGTAGAGATGTTCAAGCAACAAATATAAACCTTTTGCAAGGAATCAAGTTCGCATTAACCACACGTACTTTTGGTAAACATACTGTTCGCGTTTTGGCGTTCTCTGGTCTGACACTGGTGAGACGAGGCCCTAAAGAAGGCTATCTCTGGTGTAGGCCAATCAGTTTCAAAGACAATCCATATATTATCAGAGCATGTTCACCACAAGTATGTGTGCTTAATGCGAACATATTCTTATTTTTTCAATCTTCAGGTTGACTGGGATGTTCAGGGCAATATCCCTGTGTTTTATCATACAAGAATTCAGTTTTAGAATATTTGGAATTTCACTTGAAAAATACTTTGTTTGGTTGCAATATGTGAACATGTATATATTACAGGGTAGGTGAGAACGTGCGTCAAAATGTAGATGATGTGTGATTTGAATTGGAAAATCTACTTCTCAACACACTATGGTCATAGAGCGCAGTTACAATATTAATGGAGTTTGGGGGTTGTAAATTTACTGGTAAATATTTTAAAAGCATGCAAGACTAACAAGTATTAACTACAGGAGTATTGTGTGGGGGGGGGGAAAGAACCTACAAGTTGTTTTGTAAAATAATTTAATGTAAAAATTACTCATCGTAGAAAGGTAAGTTGCATAAAGCGACAGGCGTAACATTTTATATGTAAGTTAATGCGAAGTAAAGGAGTTTTATGAATTTGGGTTGCGTTCAATGGACAGAGTGTCCCAGAGTGCTTTTCTGTCGAATGACCTGTCAACCCGGAGCGCACCGTAAAAAAAGCTAATGGGTCTGAGGAGCTGCCAGGCTGAGTGCTAGGTGGGCGCGTCAAAATATCCAGCCAATCGGAGGCGCCGTATCTTCCGGCGAACTCCCGGTTGTTCACAGGCCCAGTGCACCGCGCGCTCATTGGGCGAGCGGGTGAGTGACGTTGGCTGCCTTCGCGAGACGCTCGGCTTCCGAACTCACCGTCCAATAAGAGCTATGTTCCGCCTCATATCGCCACGGCGGTGCGCCCTGCCCATTGATCGCAGCCCTTGCTCACAGGCTGCTCGTGATGCAATCAATTCAAGCAGCATCTACTACACAGGTCCTTCGATCAGCTGTTTGATGGACAAACTTTTATTTCCTTCCCCAATGCTGTCTTTGGCTTGGTGGGCCAATCGAGTCTATTGAAACCCTCGTGCATTTCTCATGTCATGTTAAGTCGAGGGGATAAAGTTGCATTAATAATTAATCGTCACTAAAATGTCTGTAATGCGAGCAGGGGAGAGGGAGTCTGCGGTTTAACGTGTGGTGAGTGTCAGGGAGGCGAGTGCTCGGTTGGTGACGTAGAGAGAAGACAGTGGGGTCAAGGGTGATAGCGGGAGGTGTGTGTAGGTTAGGTCGCCTTGTTGGGTGGTAGCCGAGTACTGAGGACCCTTGGGCTGAGGTCTTAGAGCAATCCACCCTTGCAAAATGTGTGAAGTTGCCCTACAGTAATTGGTTTGGGGCGAGATGTTATCACCCTCGCAGGAGGTCGTGGTTTTGATACCGACCCCGACGCCTGTATATTTTGAGTTTGCGTGTTCTCTCTCCCCATGGTCACATTGATTTATCTTTGGGTCCTCTAGTTTTTTCCCTCCGCATTTAGAAACGTGCATTTAGAGCGTTTGGCTTGTATAAATTCCCACACATGATACAAGCCTCTTCGATGAGCTATAATTTGTGGCTAGGTTGCCTCTGAAATAGATCTAATAGCTCAATGAGAGTTCCCTGATCAATTAAATGTTTTTGTTTAATAGGTGGACGTTTAGCGTGTGTTCTCGATAATTAAATCACAAGTTTCAATCCGTGAGCAAAAGTTAACCATAGCATTGACAAAAATATTGGTTACATAATGATATATGATCAAAAAGACCCTCTTCATAACATAACAAAACAGAATTGCATAAAGGCGCTCCATATATATAAAATGAGATGAGATTCAAATAAAGTGTCACTCTACCCGCGTGCTTGTGGATCCTATCATCTGCACCTATTCACGAAAATAAATCAATTTGGGTAAACAAGAATACTAGGGTGTTCTGTAGGCCCTTGGTGATTTCATTTATCCATGAAAAAAGCAAATGATAGGATAAATGTCATCCTTCTGCTAGACCTCTTTCAGGTAACTCCTTTTTCTTATCTCTTGTGCATGTGAATGAATAGGAAGATGACCAAATCACCTGGAGTGCATTCGATCTCATCAAATGATTGAAGCTCAGCAGGGGTGCTTGTAAAGGTCACCCCTATGCATAACCTTGAGGACTTGTAGGTCTTGTGGGTGGCAGTAGGGGGCATTACAGGAAAAAGCCATTGTTGCCCTGTACAGTACATGTACGCTTCCACCTCTATGCTCCCCACCGTCACTGACTCGGCACGGTGAAGTATGGTAAAATAATTCTCACGGTCTGGAACAGGCTTTGGAGTGGCCAATATTTAGTAGTGGATTTGCAAAAGGGCTGTACGTGTACAATAGGAATTATTATTGTGGTAATCTATCTGCAGATAACAGGAGTTTCCAAAATAGAATCATGAAAAAGAGTAGTTTCAATGTAATTGTGAAGAATTTGTAAGGACCCCTATTTTGACCTTTTGTGGCCTTGCATTCCAGAATGGCGATTAATTCTGAATTCTTTCCTGAATTTCATTCGCCATGGCAGCAGTTAACACAAGATGTGCAAATGCACGTCTGTTTTAAATGTTTCCTTTGTTTGTTCTCCGTCCCCCTGGATTGTTTTTGCAAGAACTCTGCATGGTTTGTCTAAACAGTAATTATTTTAGTATGGTTTTTAATCGGATTGGGACGCAACTTGGCATTTTTGTCAGCCCTGGTAGTGGGTGTTAATCATAGTTTAATAGTTTCTGTGGTTAACATTTTGCTAAATGTTTTCCCATTGTTAAATTCTGCACGCCGAACATGTTGCATTAAACATTTATAATATTAAACATGGAAACAAGGGATTTAAAATCATGCTGATAGGTGCACACCATGTCAGGTTGGTGTGCACTTTGTCGAGCATGTCCTCTGCTTTGCCGATCAGCTTGTTTTAGTTTCTATTCTGGGCGTAACGTTAATTACTGAAGATTTTGATTGCCGTTGCAAAAAACATGGAAAACTTTAAAGTAATGCACGATTAAGTGTTTCAACAACAATGTAAGTTGATTTTCTATTGATGTGTCATTGCCCTGCACATGTGGCTGTTTTTTTCTTTGTTCCACTAACATACTGCCTTGTATCGAGAAAACTAACTGCTGCGAAATTTTGTTTGGCTCCACCATCATCATTATTGAGCTTGCAGAAGGGGACAGATGAAGGTGATAATGATGATGTACTGTAATGGTTTATTTTCTGCATGCCGCTGCTGCACTTTTACGGGATGCCCAAACAGCTGAAAGAGCACCCCACAGGAACTAACAGTTGAGGAAGATAAAATAAAACGTTTTTATTTTGCCAGGTAAGGCCGTGAGCTATATAGCTCAGAAGTGACCTTGCCACAAATGACAGCTCAACAAAGTGGCTTATCACGTGGAAATTTATAGCGGCCAAATCCTCTTAAACGCATGTTTATGAATGTGGAGGGAGAAACCGGAGGACCCGGAGAATAAATCACGCAAACTCCAAATATACGGGCGTCTGGGTCGGGATCAAACCCACAACCTCCCGTATACCAGGCGAGGTAGTTAACATGTCGCCAGCAAAGGCGCCCCGAGAACCCCGCGCCTGCGTGTGTGTCTCTCACTCGTTGTTTACAGGTAAGGTCGTCAGCTACTGGTGCTTCAGCCCGGGCCACACAATGAAGGAGCTGCTACAGCAAAATGTGCGATGCCTCATCCTCACCAGCGGAACACTCTCCCCCATGGCTTCCTTCACCGCCGAGCTGCAGATGTGAGTGCCTGCGGTAGGCATGAATGGGAAGGCAACTTTATATTTGATAAGGTCAAGAGGTCATCATGGCCAATGGCAATGATGCCACTACACCTGTAAATGCAGTGTCACTGCAGTTGTTATAAAGTTATCTAACCTCCAAGCTTGACTTGTAGTATTTTCACCCTCTAGCTTTACGTGTTACCCTTGTTACACATGAAAGGGAGTCCACAGGAGTTGTCCTTGGAAGGGAACATTTATTGTTCCAAGCAACCCCAACACCAGCGCTGTGTAGGGCACGAACACGTATCCTTGCAATGAGACCTCATCTCTCGGAGCCCATTCTCCTTTGTCTCTCCATCCCTTGTCTCCCCCTCCCTTAAATGCCATCTCCTCATTCCCGCCACTGGGGTTTTCCCCCAATGCCCTATCCCCACCTTTTTTGCCTGCACACCCCCTCTTCTTATTTCTATGGGCGTCGTCCCTCGTCTTCTAAGTGACCCCTACACTCAGCCCCAAAATGCCCCACGAACTCTACGCACGGTTGCCACGTGTGCTTCAAGGACTGCTCTCACATGGTCCGGCAAAAACAACCCACCTACCTCCTCGTGGTGCCGGGCGGCAACGCCGTGCGGGGAGGGCCAATTTAGATTGGCCTTTCCTCTCATGGCTTTTGTAACCACCACAGCGGCTAAATGGGGGCTCTGGAAGGGTGCGAGGGGCTGGTAACCCCTCCACCTTCAATTAATTACAAAACCACGACGGAAAAATATCTAACTAATAAGCTTGTGCCGGGGGCCCCGGGGGACAGGCGTCTATGATGTCTCCTGGCCAAACCCCATTTGGTGGAGGCCATGAGACTGAATCCTTACCCTCGGGGCTCCTCCAGAAACAACAAAAAATCACTACGTGGAACGCTCACTGCGGAAGAGAGGGCTGCCACTCCTCTGTCGGGAGCTGGACCGGTACCGCCTGGATCTCTGTATTCACGAGGTCTGGTGGACCGGCTCTGGCTCCTGTTACCACGAGGGGTGGACAGTCCTCTTCTCGGGGGAGTGGCTCTTCTACTGAACAAAATAATGTAGGGGGCGTGGGAGCGTGGCGGTGAGGTGTGGGAAGCTGGAAGCCCCAGGCTACTTTGGTCTCGCCTTCCCATCAACCAGAGGCGAGGAGTGGTGGTCATGGTTACTTATGCCCCCACTGAAGACGAACATCCGTGGAGGGATGCAGGCAAGGCTGATGAGTCAGATGCCTTCTATGACCTGTCACAGGTGCTAGCTAAAGTGGCCCCTCGGGATAGAGTCATCTTGTTGGGTTACTTCAATGCCCGAGTTGACCATTATGCTGGCACCTGTTCTGGAGTGATTGGAAGGCATGCGCAAGATCAGCTCAATAACAACGGCAGGAGGCTGCTAGATTTTTGTGCAGCCCATGGACTTGTAATTACTAACACGCTGTTCCGGCATCAGCGCATCCACACAACATCATGGGTGCATGCCGGGTCCAAGCAAGAACATCTGCTGGACTACATAGTGACGGAACAGCGGATGCGGGGCCATGTCCTTGACACCAGGACCTACCATGGAGCTAATCTGCCCACTGACCATCGACTTGTCATCTGTAATATACGCCTGCCATTCTTCCACTCCGGAAGTGGGTGTACACCCAGGACCCCATTCAAACCCTTAGTGGCATGGTCTCAAGCTAGCTGACGAAAGTTGCAAGCGAAAATTGCATCATCGCTAGCGGCTGGGGTTGGCATCAACCCCCAGTCCTCCTGATGTCGAGGGGAAATGGGCGAGGTTTAGGACTGTGGCTCATGCAGCTGCAATTGCTGCTTTGGGTACACGGTCCAGACCTCCCCAGGTGCCCTGGCTGACAGAGGAGGTGTTCAAGCTGGCTGAGAAAAAGCGACAGGCCCACTCTCATCGGCTAAAGCATCCCACGTCAGAGAATGAGGAAGCTTACCGCAGCCTTCGCTCGGAGGTTCGGAGAGCCGTGAGGCGCTGCAAGGATGGGTGGTGGTCGCGGGTTGCTGAGGAGATGGAGTCTGCCTCAATGGCCCGCGATCACAAATCGCTCTTTAATTCCATCAAAAAGTAACCTGCAACGCCACACCTATTAAAATCTCCGGCCCCCTGAAACAGGTTTGCAGATTTGCTAAGCATTTCTGTGAGGTCCTGGGAGAGAGGAAATCCCTCAGCCTGGAAAACAACGTGGGAAAAAGTGGGAATGACCCTGCCGAAACTGCGGTGCCTCAGATATTGGAAGAAGTCACCCCCTGTGAGTGGCTGGCTGAAGTACCATCTGTTGAAGTACTGAAGGCGATCCAGAGCCTGAGACCAGAAAAGCACCGGGCAGAGATGATCTCCCAAGCGAAATGCTGAGGGAGGGTGGCTTTTGTGCACAGATTGCCCTACATGACATAACAACAGTCTGGACCACTGGACAGGTTCCGCGAGATTGGAAGGATGCCCTGGTGGTCCTCTTTAAGAAGGGGGACTGCACAGACTGTAACAACTACAGGGGCATCTCACTCTTTAGTGTGCTGGGAAAGGTACTGGCAAGGATTATTCAACATCGCCTGAGGAGAGGCTTGCGGAGCCCCAATGCGGTTTCAGGAAAGGGCGGTCCTGCACAGATGCGATATTTTCTGTCCGTCTGCTACAGCAGAGGTTTAGGGAATTCCAACACGACCTACATCTCTGCTTTATTGACCTGGTGAAGGCCTATGATACCATAGTAGGCCTGGGCTCTGGGTTGTTCTTTGTGCTTTCGGAGTCCCTGACCCTCTGCTCACGATCATTAAGGACCTTCATGATGGTGAGCGGGCCCGGGTAAAACTACGTGACCGGGAGTCGGAGCCATTCCCTGTACACCTTGGGGTGCGACAGGGATGTCCTCTGGCTCCCACATTATTTAACATCTATTTCGACCACGTAGTTCGTGAAGCCTTCATTAGCTGTACCGGAGGAATTTCCATCTGATACAGATACAATGGAACGCTAATAGATGCCCCGGTGCGGTCAAGGGATGACTCCCTATTGCTCAACCATGTTATGTATGCCGATGATCTTGTAATTGCTGCTCACTCAGTGGAGGAGTTGGAGGCACTGTTGCTGAACCTGGAGCTTGCCACTAAGAGGTGGGGCCTTACTATCAGCCCTACCAAAACGAAGCACCTGCCTGGGTATTTTGTACCATCGAACACTTCACCCCCACAACTCCCAATTGGTGATAGGGCAGTTGTGGAGATAGTGGAGAGTTTCCCATACCTGGGCAGTGTGCTCATGACCGGCTCCGGTTTAACAGCAGAGGTCTCACTCTGAATCAGTCGAGCGGCATTATCTTTTCATCGGTTGCGTAATGTTGTGTGGAAGCTACCTGGTCACGAAGCTTCAGCTCTTCTTGGCCACAATCATTCCCTCCCTTCTCTACACTTGCGAAACGTGGACCCCCCTAATGGAACATCTTCGCCAGTTAGAAACATTTAGGCTTGCCTGCCTACAATCCATCCTGGGTTTAACCAGGCTGGATTGTGTGAGGTGCTCACAAATCCTTGAAAGATCTGAATAAAGTCCCATCGGTGAGCTCCTCCGTTAGGAAAGGCTGCGCTGGCTGGGCCATGTAGCCCGCATGTCCAGCCACTGCATGCCTAAACAGCTTTTGTTCGGCCGGATCGAGGGAGCTGAACGGTCGTGGCACGGGCTAGAGAAGAGATGGAGTGATGTGGTACAGGAGGATGTGGAGCTGAGTAGACTTGCCGATGACTGATACCAGCGGTGTCAAGATTGGCCTCTGTGGAGGAGGCTTGTGAAGGACGCTACTGGGCAGTTGGAGGCAGTCGCCCTCCAACAACGGAGGATGGAGGAGCGACGCTCACAACAACGAGCGGAGCGCCGGGTGGCTAAAGCACAGCACGTTGGTACAGTAGGGGGCACAAGTGGTGCATCAGCCAGTCATCTTAGTAATCTAAGTCAGTCGACCCGTGGCACCTGGGTCTGCCCCGTGACCTCTTGCCAGCGGGAGTTCGACACTTCACGTGGCCTCAAGGTGCACATAGCTTGGCACAAGCATCGTGGTGACGTCACCGCCACTTAATGGCGAATGGCGGTTGGTTGTTGTTGCTCTCACATTCTCATCTTCACCACGATCTGGCTTAGGTTTTCCCCTTGGTCAGTGCCTTGTTGGTGCCACTCCATTGCCTGTCTTGTGAAGCTGCCTTCCTTCATCCTGTGCACATGCCCTGCCCCATCGCGTCTTCCTCTCCTTGTTTTACATCCACAGTGGTTTCCTGCTGCATCCTTTACCCACTTGTAAATTAATAATTACACTCAATCTGCAGTGGGATACTCTCTTTAGGGAAGTAAATTTTTCACTTCGCTTCAAAAAAAGAAACTTGTGAAATGGAGCATCTAAAAATACCTCCCCATCCCCATCGTGTAGTTGTTGATTGTTAGCATTAAAGGGACATGTGAACCCATTTCTTAAGCCCACTTATGCTCCGTTGGAACGTGTAATAAATACGGTTGATGGCTTTGCACAAGAAGCTTCCTCAGCTTCTGAAAGTGGCCTCCATCTGCTACTCAAAGCGCAGTTAATTGAATTTATTTTTGCCATGTCAGCATTCTCAATGATTAGCAAACATCCAAGGGAGCCTGATACCCTAGGCTAAACTACAGGACTGCTTGAACCTGGAGGCCACCTTCATTTCCTTTGAAGTTCTCTCCTACCCGCCCAGTCCTGGATGATGGCACCAATGTGAAAACACAACGTTGAAACATGTATGCCAATGAGGCTATAGGGCAAGGCTCTGTTAGAAAGATAAATACCAAGCATCAGTGAGGTGACCTGTATGGCCAGCCCCAAATGTTTTGGTCACCTCTGGATTTGAAAGTTGTTCACAATTAAATTGTCCCCCTCAATGGCAGAGCCAGGATTTTCATGTAGGGGGGGGGGGCAACCCCTACAGCAATGAAAAATGATAGGAGTTGTTAGTAAGTAAAGACTTGTCCCTTGCATTTTATTCGATGCGTGTGCAGCGATGGCGCAGCCATCGATCAAGGGTCGAATTCGAACCGTGTGTGATCGCCATCGCGCTCGCTGAAGGTGTTTGCCTTCAGGGAAGTCGTGTACTGTATACGCAACTGCGCACAATTCTGAGTCACTTATAACCGCTTTGCCGTTACGTATTGCCACTTATGGACTCGGACTAGCGTCCTATCATCTCATAGAGTCCCTGGCACATAATAATATGCTACACAGTGAAAGTGGGGGTCCCAAAATGCCGATTTATTACTAATAAACCCCAATGATCCAATCGAAATTAGAGATGTAGATCGGATCATTGGGGGGGCACGTGCCACCCCACCCCCCCCCCACTGGCTCTGCCAGTGGGCCCCCTCCATCACCAATGCAGTTTGGTGAAGTGTGACAATTTGTGGTTATTATTTGATCAACTCGTGAATTGACTCATTTTTGTCTCATTTGTAGTTTCTGTATTGTTGGTTCTGCCTCTTTCCATTCGCCTGAAGGTGTGAAGGTGATAATTTAATATTGTTTGCATAATTTGTTGAAGGATTGCTTTCGTGCATGATTGGATCCAATTGTCCTGAACGTAAGAATATTTTAATCAACTAATCTAAACACGCATAATTACGGCAAGGTCTCTAAATAATAGCACAGATTGACAGGCACAGTTTATGGATATTTAGAGTTGCAATAATTAATATTTTTACATAATAGCTTTCTTCCCCCAGTTTAATGTAATCAGGTGTGGGCCTCAATAAGCTTACGTGAAATGTCAGAAAAATCATTATGCTTTGTGTGGCCTGTTTTTTTCATCATTTGGGATTATAGGGCATACACTGGAGAAATAACTCCACTTACTAGAATCTAAGTTGTCCACTTATTTAAGAGTGTTGTGTAGTAGTCTTTCCATGATTCACTCCCACACACCTCACAATTATTCAATTGTCACGATTCAGATTCATGATTGTATTCAAACAATAACTTATTTTTTCCTCTTAATGTCTCGAGTTCCATCAACTTCATTTCATTAGCCAAAAGGTGACATTTACACAGAATCTGTAAATACAGTTTACATTTTTATTTATTTTAAATTCTTACATGCAGAAGTCAATGCTTCTGTCACGAGCACAGGAATCAGTTTTAATGAAGGAGCTGATGTATGCCTTGTGTTCACAAACAAGCCGCCTCCTGCCAATGACATGTTTTGCTGCGTATTTATCTCCAACGTTGGCAGCTGCAGTTGGTGGAACTGCACCAGATTTTTTTCCCCGGGCACTTGAGGTTTATCACCATTCCAGTGCTAATTACATTTCCGTGCATTTGTGAACATCAGCCCTCGTTTAACACTTGCGGCGCGTGCATTCGGCACTCCGATTGGTATTCCGATGATTATGCGGCGGCTTTCGGGGCCGTCAGCGTTAGACAAATGAGGCCACGTTGCACCGTGGGATTGTAATTTCCCCGACTGTCATTAGGAGTATACGGTGGCGCCTCTGAGAGGCTCGCTGTGAAGGTCACCTTCCCGCTCACATTGGTACAACAAGCTTGAGCAGAAAAGAGCCACGTGGACACGGACAAATGGGAAATTAAGTTTGTAATCACTACTGGCAAGACCGGCTTTAGTTTAAAGCAGGCCTTCTGCGCCTACCTTAAACATCCATCAATTGGTTATGGTAATTGGGCACGGGCAGAAGAATGCTGAATAGTCGTGGTGGTTTCTCTAGAAAGTGTAAAGAGGTCCCCTTTATGGTACTGTCATGCTTGTGGTTTTAGTGGAGGCAAAAGTGGCATGCTGCGTTAACTTTTTGCCTTGTAAATAATTACCTATTACAGTCCAAGTCCATTATTTAGAATGAGGTGAGGTCCCACTGAGGTACATTTTCTGGCGTTTGACGATGAGAGCCAACCAACCTTGCAAAAGAGAAGGGCACCTATTGTGATATATTTATAATTTGGTATATATTTTTTGTTTTCAGTGATTATGTATAATGAAAACAATTCTAGGGTGCAGCTTAGCTATCAATGTAATTTTAAAACATTGTTATGGGTAAATTGCTCTTAAAGGAAATGTCTTTGTTGTGCGCTACTGACTAAGCTGACTTATCAGCAGGCTTACTCAGCTGGCAATTATTATGTTACAGAGAGCTGTAAAATGGAATTTTATCGGCAGCATTACAGTGGAACCGCTTGCCTGGTTTTTTGTTTTGCTTGCAATTAAAATTGCGCTGAAGCGCAGAAAAGACAGCATTATCCACATAACTAAGTGGGGTTATTCCCCCCCCCCCCCCCACAAATGCCTTCCCTTTATTTACATACATGATGATTAACAATACCACCGAATCAATTATTGTTTGGCGAAAAACTCAAAGCAATGGAATTGTAGCGTGCCGCTGTAAATATTGACAATAATTTAAACTTGTAACACGCACAGTATTCGCTCGCTCTCAGAGAGAGAGAACGACTCGGAGGCGCGAGGAACCAGGCAAGCGGGAAAAGGCAGCCAGGCGGTGAGACAACGCTTTCACCATCCTGCGTTGACCAGCGTGAAGTATGATCAAATAACCCCTACAACAACCGACGGTGTGGGGGTGCCCTCATTCAGCAGTAGATTGAGATGAAGGCTGTGCATTTACATTTGTTTCCTAAGCATGCAAACTGGACAAGTGTTGACTGTTTGGGTCTCAGCTGATTCATGCTTGTTGTAACTTGCGATTGTGTGTGTGTATGAAGCAGGGAGCGGTAGTGCAGCGGTTAATGCCACTGCACTACAAACTCGGCGAACCAGGTTCAATTCCTGCTCACAATCAACACCAGTGACAATTATTTGAACCGGTCCTGGGGCTCCCCTAGGTCGACTCGGCCTCAAATAAGTACCTGGTGTGGTGTGTAAACGTCACCACCAGGGAGATAAAGGCGGCTTTGGCGTGGTGCTGGCCAACCAACCTCTCGTACGCCATGCCGGCCTTCATAGGTACTCGCTAACAGCACTTGCTCCTGTAGTCTGTTCAGTCTCTACGGGTGATCTTTGTCTTTCGCAGCGATTTCCCCATCAAGCTGGAGAACCCGCACGTCATTGACAAGCACCAGGTGTGGGTGGGAATCGTTGAAAAGGGGCCAGACTCCGTGCAGTTGAATTCAGCGTACAGAAACAGGTAAAGCGTGGAAAGCACCCAGCCGTCCCAATTCATAAAGGCCTTTACTCACCGGTGAATACTGTACAATATGACCATCATCACAATGTCAATTTGGCTTTGGAGATGACAATGCTTGTGGCTTTTGCTTGCCTTGGGGTAAGTTAGCAACACCTGAAGGAGAAAACGTCATGATTTTGCCACGTGCAATGCAACGCTGTTAAATGAACAAGAGATGGCGTACAGCAATAGATTATAATTTAACTTGTCTGTGTGGCGTTTTTGAGCGTTTCCCCCAAGTATTTGTGGATTTTCACCGGGTATTTCAGTGCTGTCCACCATGAAACTAAACATATGTTCATGGACTTGCCCAAACATTCAAATGCTGAATACGACTTAATTCTCAGTGAGGCTTCTCTGGGTTAATGAAAGAGTTATAATTATTTCTCAACAGAATCATTGCTAAACCAACTACTGCACAGGACAAAGCAGTTGGTTGAAGGTTGCTTCAAGAAAAGGAATGTTATAGATTGGGCTGAAACGTCAAAACGAATAACAGCATGATGTTTTAATCCATGAATAATTCTACCCAGTTGCACATCCGATTACTATTAACAATTTTATGCATCTGTTTGCAAAGTGAGATAGAAATACGTATTCTCTTTTTGCACCGTGCCCTCCAGATACCTTTCCCAAGTGTATAGCAGCTTCATTTGCCGTCCCACTCTGCTCTTCACGGTGTCGATATAAGAGGGTTGTCTAGTACGAGCTAATGGATGGTGTGTAATGGTTGGGCGTAGGGTTTAAATCAGTAATGGATGCATGTGGGGCTGGCGCGCAACAGTTAATCATCCCACTTGAGTAGGGGAACTACTCAGAGTTGAGTCACTTCGGCCATAGCACCATGATCGACGACCTCGCTGATCAAATGTTGGGTTTCGGGTGCAGGTGCCTTTGCCGAGGCAGGTGGCCCTGTCTGAGCCAAGACCTCGCTCTTTCCCAAGAGCGCACACATTCAGAGCTGTGCCAAAGAGCCGAGCCCAGGGGCGAGCGTTATTGAATTATTCATGCAAAATGGAGGGCATTGTACTGATATCTATTCCATGCACAAATCACCAGATACTGTGGTGCTTGGCCACCCACACCCAACCGTCGCGCACGATCATTTAGCTGCAAATGATGCCCTTCCACACTGAGAAAATTACATATGGTGTAAAACTGCATGGTCTAATTTGTTTTTACATTTTCAGGACAATCTGCCACAGTCTTCTAGCAACCTTAAACCAACTGCCTCGCAATGTAAAGCAGCATTGTCGTCATGGTTGTGTTGAAAAATAAACCAATAATAAAGCCCCTTATTTACCACACTGGTAATGCCAGACACGACCTCGCACTGGTCAATTAGCCTGTACACGCAAGTTATAGGTTTAGCTTATCTCGGCGATGTAGATGTGTTGGGGAATCATACAAACAACAGGATTGTATGATGACTTAGCTTGTTTGAAGGCGATAGCATGTCGACATGATTCTTCCATCATCTGAGTGAGCACTCAATAGTTTTTTGATAATTTGTCGCAATGAGCTGGTAGCATCCTAATAGACGGCTGTTAATCTTACTACTCATGTATTAATTCTGCGGAGCTAAATTGCAGGAAAATCACCGGTTCTCTCTGACCGGCGTGATGATGCGTGGTCAATGAACTCCCACAACCCGCATGTCGTGGCTCGGCGTACCCCTAATTAAGCAGCGGACTAACAAACTGCCGACCAAAGCCTACTTTCACGAATTGCTTCTCATCTCCCCAAATACTTACCTTTTGTTTGCACTCACTTGTGTTGTTGATAAAGCTTCCAGTCTCTCCTTAGTCACAGTAGTAAAAAGGAAACCATTGGAGTGGTTGTCCCCCCCCCCCCCCCGTGAATTATTAACAGTGGCAAACTGCACGTGATTTCTTGTGTCATTAAGTGGCGAGTGCCCCCTCAGGGCCACTGGGATGTGCCCGTGATGGCGACTTTACGTGCAGACAAGCGCTCTCTGCTGCTGAATTGTGCTCCCCTAATGGATGGGAAGCTGGAAATTGCGCCACGCCCGACGTGAACTGGCTGGCCTCCGAGCGTAATTACAGCAGCGCTAGGGCACGCAAGCCACGATTGATGGCCCATCGCGAGCGTGTTCCCGAGAATAAGGGAGGGGGGGGGGACAGGTGGATACGGCAGATTTCAAAACACTTTAGAGGCGTTAAACCCATGACAGCTGCATTGTTTGTTGTGTCGCAGCTTTTAATTTAAAATAAACGCAGGCTAATTCAAAGTGAAGGCCGATCATGGTGGCTGGATGGCCCGCAACCACATGTCGCCCACGCATTGCGCGATACCGTTATGCATCTGCATTGCAAACCGAAACGCTGCAGCGAGTGAACACGTCGGTCGGCTGATACGCTTCCCGACTCTTGAATAAAACTACGTGTCGGCATTAACACATTCCTGCGGAGGGAGCTGGTAGGAACGTTGGGTTGCTCGGTCAATGACCAGGGTCAACGGCGGCGTGGTGTATTCCGCAAATATGCCCGACTGTGAGGGCGGGCACAAGCCAGCGTGAGTAGGTTAAACGTTGAGTTTTATAAGGGCACCACGGGGTGACCAGCCCCTCCCCACCCAGCCGCACCCCTCCCACCCAGCCCCTCCCCACCCTCCCCTCCCCACCCAGCCCCTCCCCACCCTCCCCTCTCCACCCAGCCCCTCCCCTCTCCACCCAGCCCCACCCCTCCCACGTGGACAGACATCCACAGACATACACAATTAATCCCCTGGCTCCTGTGAATTAATCCAGGTTGGGCTTCCAGTCCACTTTGTTTCCTACCAGTAATATTTGGATTGTATCAATTGACACCCCCGATTAGCACGGTTGGCTACATACGGAGTGACAAGTTCAACATACAGTACGTGAATACGAAAGTCCCCGAGCGCTTTGATTAATGGTCGAGTTTGAGTGTTCCGAATTGATTCATTTAGGTTGTTTCTTGGTTTTATCCTCTCCAAATAGCCCTAAATTTTACATTGGAATACCATTTTCTTACATCATACATGGCTTCATCTCACTCGCATGATTCGACGTGTGCATTGTGCGCGTAAGAATGCATTTTTAAGCCACGAATCATTGCATCCTTGCATGTACATCTAATAAATAAGGGGAAATATATTAGCGCACATATTCCATTTAAATTACACCGCACGACTTCATCTGAGCAGATTTTTGTTGTCGATGTAGCTGCCCACTGATGGAATTTATGGATAACTTACCACCAGTGGACAGTGACATTGACTATAAAAGCAAGTGTTTTTTTTGTGTTACCGAGGCACAAAACGTTATTTCACGCATCCTTGCTCCTCAACCGATCGTGCAACAAGAGAATGCGCTTCTTACATGCCTAACCCCTACCACAGTACCCATTATGTGAAACAGATGAGCAGGGTTACACACACACTAGGCATGAAACTGAGTTGATCCATCAATTAAAATAGATCTTTACATTGAATTCTACACACATGAGAATTGCTTTAACATATTTGTCATGTCAAATTGTGCAAATTATATATAACCGTTAAATGTTTACGAATGGAACGAACAAGACTACACATGGCATAGTCAATGAGAAACAGTACAAACGAGAGACGATACGGGCAAGGCAAAACAAATGTTATTCTCCATTTGGTGCTGAATTGCCACCACGAATTATGAAATTCATTGAATTGTGCAGGGGGCGAATTGTTACTTTCCAAATCGTCGTCATAATTTTTGTGTTTAGTTTGTTCTTCCCTCGCACCCCCGATTTGCACAGTTGGCTACGTACGGTGGGAAAGAAGTTCAACATACATCATCAGCCATGTTCTATTCACTGCTGGGTGAAGGCCTCATCCTTCGCAGTCTTGCTATGCTTCAATCTATTTCACTCCCGCACGTGGCCTGTCCTCATGTTAATTATTAATTCTCGAGCTCCCTAACCAAACTTATGCAACTTCAGCATGTGCTTATTTTCATGCCTAATGCTAATCCATACTCCATAAACAAAGGAGGTGAAAGAGATATGTGGCATTACATACTAACTTACGCTTGCTATGCAAGAATATCACACCACATGACCACACGTAACATGCACATGGGCATATGAACCTTTATGTGTGTGCGTGCGCAGCATGTGGCTGCAGGGATGAATGCATTATTAAACGGCTCAAAGCAACGCGGCATGCACTTCCTAATGCCTCCCTTCATTATGTTTAGTGCCCTTGTAAAGAGGCAATTAATAGGTCATCGTGCTGTAGAGCCCAACATGTTTCTGTACAGTAGTCCCTCGGTTATCATTTTAAATCTATTTCACGAAAACTACTGCGAACCGAAATAACTGTTTATCGAATATAGGAATTGAATGTTCAAAGCATTCATCTGTTCCAAGACGATCGGAAGTTGACCTTTTTGATCCTAAAAACATAGTTTATAACAATTAAACACTCACTATTAATACATAAATATTCTAAGAACATATTAAGGGATTATAATATTTATATAAACATAGTCACTCAGTTTACAAGAGAGCTGTTTCCACTGCCAAAACAGAAAACGTATAATGTGAACAAAAGCCGTCAATGTCTAAACGCTCATAGATGGGCGTCGCTGTTTGGCTGAGAGCATGCTCAGCCCCACTTATAGGCACTCTGAAATTGGCGCCCGCGTGCGTAATGTAAACATGACGTTAATCAAAATGTTAACGTTCGTCGAAACCATGGGGTCGTATGGTTGGCGAAATGTTAACCAAATAAAATCGTTAACCGATGCCACTGTTAACCGGGGAACTACTGTACATGGCACTATGTCGCCTCAGGGTAACAAACCTGAAGATGGGAGAGGTTTTAGTTTTCTTGTTTTTGTTCCTAATGTCCAGGTATGAGGTGGATTGAAAAAGTTCACTAAAATATATTTTGACAATTTGAAAGGGCATGTCCTTCGGGATATCATTATTCATTACTCAGGAAAGCCTCACTGAGTCCCAAGGCTGTTTTACACTCAGGTCCTGCACTGGGATATTTGGCCAATACAATGGATGAGAGAAGGAAGGAAACTGGAGTACTGTACCCGGATAGAAGCCACACATAACACCACTGGCATCTACTGTTCACCCATCGGCCTCATGCCTACAATTCCTAACAAGTCCTTGTGGACATATTGGATGACTAAAAATGGGCATAAGGTGATTTTTGGCCCCTCCACCACATGCTCACGGTCATGTGATTTTAGCAGGGTAATCACGCAGGCAAGTCAGCTCGGCATCTGTTTGGGAAACTGTATGCGAGTGGCAAACTAAATTTAGCACGTGTATCTGGCCAGGTGGCTCAGCCTCAGCCGTAGCGTTAACGGCTTACAATCAGAAGGTTGCAATTCATATCCTGGTTGTGAGGGGTTGCCTCAGCTCATTTTCCCTCCGGGGTCGAAACAATGAGCTTAAATTTCAAGGGAAGTCAAAAATGATTTCCTCTGGATGGAATTGTCCCTGCCAAAGTAATGTGGAATTTAGACCACTGGCTCAGAGCTGTAATAAGAGGGATGCTAATTTGAGTAGGAAGTAGGAGACTTGGCTAAGATCATTAATTCTCTACTAAGGTCACTCCATTTCAACCTCTGGAGCTTGTAGTTTAATCACGGATGATTGTTTTAATTCAGACCCAAGGTCTGAGCACTGCCGGCTCGGCCATGACCCCCGAGCAGTGACCCCGGAGCCACCTGACCAGTCCTGTTGAGTGGTTTTTATTTTAAGTAATCCTTACAAACATAACATGCATGTTTAAATTTGGTAGTCATGTGACCGTTAATATTTCAAGGGCTCTGATTGTGTGTAGGCGGAATTAAGACTGTGGCCTAATTTTAAGCAGGGGAAAAGACACCGTCCAATTTACAGTATGATAACAAAAGCATTTGGTCCCTTGGGTGGCCCAGCGGCAGCTGTCGGATGAATAATTTAACCCAACTTAATGCACGTGTGGTGAGCCCATGCATTGAATGCCTAATAAGCCGCAATGGCTGCTGTGCTGGGGCTCATCGTCCGATCGAAAAAGTGTGGTTTTATTTTAAATGCTCAAATGTCGCTTTTCACCGTTGTTGCATTTTGGACCATTAGTTTGGGGCCACTTTCGTGCTCGAGCTCATTCATTGATGGCGTCGTGGCCAAATGTGAATTTCTGTGCAGCCATGTCGATGCCTTGTAAATCCAAATAACTTGTTCACTGGGCAACTTTGCGCACAATTTCTAGAAAACACAAATGGTGTAATCTTGATTTGAAGCTTTCGTGACTGCAGGAATCCTTTAACATCCCACGCTATTTATTACCTTTACACTATAATACCCCATTAACACTACTTCGGCTACCTTTGTTCTCAAAAACGTATATAAACTCTTGCTGGTAACAGCTTCTCTTCACAAGGCAGCAGACATCGTCCTGCTCGCAGCAGACATCGCTGCTATGGCGATTTTCACCTGAAGACGATGGCTTGTGTTGCTACTGAAACGTCGTGATTTTTTTTTCTACCTACGTGACTTTACCAAAAGAACCAAAGAGTACAAATGGTGTAGTGTGTGCATTTGCAACAAGCTGTCATGAGGATTGTATCTCAAGCCATTGATCGATCTTTACAGTCGTTTAAATAATAATTATCGTCGCCAGTGCTTGCTGTAAAGAAGAAATTGGTGTCAACTTGAGGGCGAGACAGCTTTGATCAATTTCCGTTAGATTTTATTCTTTTGTATCCTAAGGCCACGCCAGTGCGACCCGTTTTTTTAAATTAAATTTACTGAGATGTCGTCAACCAGCGCTCACTTCCCCTGGGTTTCCCGGTTCATGTGGACCTTTGGGAATGTTTTCCCCTTCATTCTGGAATCAAGGCTCACCAGAGAGACTCGCTCTTAATAAGACGCAAACTATAATCTGCTCTTTTGTTTTGACATGCTATAGAGGTAATTACTTCATGCATGGAGCTGCCACGTTGATTTTTTTTTTATCAAAATTTGAATGCGGAGTTTTCAAGGGCACATCGTTGTCGCTCATTTGAGAACATTTCAGGGCTGTTTGCTGTTTAATATTCATGTGAATACCGCTAGTTATTGAATACTCTGTACTGTATATAGGTAATAATAGACTGAATATTATTTAGCTGGATGACAGTGGTTATGGGGTTTGATTCACAATCAGGAAGTTGCATGCTCAAATACCAATCCAGAATCAACCCATCATCTTTCTAGAGTATCACCTTACGAGAACAAAACTTGTTATTCTAATATTGAGGCTACCCCGTGGCAATGGGGAATTTCCACCCTTGGCTCTGAACAGTCAATGGAGATGAGTTAGGGCTTCCAAATGTTGCATATTGACCAGGACAGTCCCAATTAAAAAAAATGTACCGGTGTCATCAGAGAAAAGGGGCGGTGCAACTGTGAGTAGTGGGTGGGGCTAGAACATGAGTAGATGGAACCTATGGCCAGTAGATGGGGCCAACTTATGAAAGTAGGCGGGGCTGATAAAGAGAGCGGCTGTCAACTCGAATTTCCCAGTTGAGCCTCCCAGAAATGTGGTAGCGCATAAAATGAGTGCTCCCCTATTCTAGTTTGAGTTGGTAGACACGAACTGGATTTGTCGCGTACAATTTCTGCACAACGCATGTACAATCCTAAAGAATAACATATTTTTGTTGTAGGACTGCTGTGATGATGATCATGATTTGGTGCATTGAGAAGTTAGTAAAAGTGGTGGGTGTGTTTCAGGTCCTGCCCGGCGTACATGTCGTCACTGGGAAAGACAATAGGTGAGTCGACTGCGTCACTGAGCGCACGCCACATTACGCCACTGCAGAGTTTCCAGCTGCCCCATTATTTACACAACACGCAGCTGTTGACAGTGATGGTTGATGCAACGTTTAACTTTAATGAGCCGGCAATGATTGCTCATGCCCCTGTTCCGCTAGCTGTAATTTACACAGTGCAGTTTTAATTGTGTCCAGTTTTGTTTCCTTCGTGGTTTTATTGAGCACTGGGCCTGTTGCATGGAACAGCACAGTGACGTTTGTACCCCAGAAGCCCCACAATGAAGGGGTCGTCAAGACCATTCACTTCACAATTATTGTTATTATTAAGCTGAAACTCTATGTAAGTGTATGCTTACAACACTGAGTATAGAATTGTGCATACAGTCGATCGTGACTGAGTGAGTCCTTTGAATTATAATTATGATTGAGTCGGGGATCAAAAAACTTAAATTTGCCAAAATATTGTCAAGGCAGTGCTCATCACTGGACAAATCCAAAAATGAAATTGTGAAAATATGGGCCCTCAAAAATAATTGCCAGGAGTTTTATTGGCTTTACTCATAGGGCAGGCTCAGCCCGTCCCAATTGGCTTCAAGCCTTACGATAAACACTGAGAAATGTACAGTCCTGATTATCAGTGAAGAAAGTAAGTGACCTCTCCTGGAGTGTGATACTAAAGCCCACTGGTTATTATGAGTGCATGTATGTATGTACGTTGAACTTCTTTCACACCGTACGTAGCTAACCGTACTAATCGGAGGGCTGGGGCCAAGGAGAACAAACTAAACACTAAAATCAGTTTTAAAGACACGAGTTTTCAATTTAGTGCAATATATTGTATACACAGCGCAAGTGCCCAAAAACATTATTAAAAAATATACAACCTACGCTGCAGGGAAATGCTGTTTCACATTTTATTCGGTAATCAATTAAGCCAAACATTCCAATTGATGGGCTTGGTCAAAGGCAATGCTGGGACTGCTGAAACTTACCTGGTTAGGGAAAGTAAAGGAGCCTCATTATACATATGTCGGGGTTTGAGAGCACAAGTTGGGTGGAAGCCAGCTACACTGTGCACCAGCGGCGCTTGGTGGTAAAACTTTAAATCCCGCCGCACGTCCCGGTGGGATGTGGTGGTTCGAGAAGGACGAGCGGCTTCTCATACTCTTTGGTTCTATTGGGTAAAGTCACGTAGGTAAAAAACAAAATAACAACCTTTTACCTACGTGACTTTACCCAATAGAACCAAAGAGTATGGATCCTAGCAGTCACGAAAGCTTTAAATCTAGAGTGGCTTCTCGTTGACGACATTGCGTCCGCGTTGGCGCTTCACCGTGATCCCCATGGGTTGTTTTATTTTTACCGTGTTAAACAGTCGCGGGTCTCGCCTGATTTATTCACCAGCGCATGAACGATCAAAGTGGGCATTGGTGGACAGCATCGAGCCCCAACTCTTCTTAGCTTTAATTTGGTTTGAATTTTTGCATATTTAAATTAGTTTAAGTTGTTTTTGACCCTGAGAACAACAAAAATATGACCACTGGCTTTGACGGCATGAGTTACCAGGTTAATCCTGCATAGTAGACAAGTAACAATGAAAAAGATTACCATATAACCCGCGGGGTATACCACTTTTTACAAACAAAAACATTTTACACGTGTGACATGTCGTAACTCGTTAAATGTTTTCATTTGCAACACTTACCTTTGACTAAAGCACTGCTGAATAAACCACTCACACTAAAATTGCACGTTATCACGTTTTAAATGAATTGTCTGTACAATTAAACGACAATGTTTGAAGTGCGCGCACTGTTTACAGGCGACGGGAGACCTGGGAGGAGGGAGAGGTGGGGGGTGGGGCAGAGCAAGGTCTGTGGTAGTGACGGGAGAGCTGGGGTGAGAGAGAGGTGGGGGTTGGGGGGTGGGGCAGCTGGGGGGAGAGAGAGGTGGGGGTTGGGGGGTGGGGCAGCTGGGGGGAGAGAGAGGTGGGAGTTGGGGGGGTGGGGCAGCTGGGGGGAGAGAGAGGTGGGGGTTGGGGGGTGGGGCAGAGCAAGGTCTGTGGTAGTGGCGGGAGAGCTGGGGTGAGAGAGGTGGGGGGGGCGAGGTAAAGGCGTTACCGTAGTGCCGCTATTATCTGCGCAGTGCGCAATCTACCAGTGCTAAAACTGTACAGTACTTATCTACCAGTTATGTTACTTGTTTACTGTTTTAAGTTCACTCGTTTCCGGTTAGTTTTCTTTGTGCACGTTATGATTTTAATGTTAACAATTGATAGTGGAATGTATTACAAATGTAAACTTCGTATTAATATGATGGAATTAAGCTGCGGTAACGACGTTAAAGATATGAATGCATGCGGGGTATATGGAGGTGCGGGATATCTGAAATTTGTTTTACACAAAACGCTATTTTTGCTGGGTATATGCGTCTGCGGGTTATATATGCGTATGTGGGAAAATACGGTAGTTATGTTCACAGTATCTGCATGAAATTATGCACGTGAGAATGGACCTCTCGGTTGTAATTTGTGGCGGCCCAAATATAACATTGAGGTTTTCTGATTTTATAATTACTAGCATCGACCCGAATATATTTGTGCCAAACTTCAACTTTCTAGCCCCTTCTTGGCACATCACTATACAATTTACATGATTCGTTCACTCGGTCACGATTGTCGGTGTGATTCTATAATACATGAGCACATTCGCAAGAGCCTTTGTTTTCTTGCGTGAATCGGCGTGGGGACAATTGTTTCCTTGACGAAATAAGGACCAATACAGCCCTCATGATTATGTGCCCCCACCGTTGTGAATTGAAAGGGCCCCTAGCACTGTGCTTCGTACATTGCTACAACATTGGGTAATCATTAGCACATCTTTATGGCCAATTGAACTAATTGTGTATGGTAAATTGGGTCAGCGTGCCAGCATGCTCCGTGCAGAAAGCTGTGCGGTATAATTGATAGCATCACCGCAACGGGGGTATGCCGTTGCGCGTGCTTGGCTACAGGTATAGGGTGTGCGGTTGTGTTCCAGATGAGACCACCCTGTGGGAGACAACTCAGGTGCCGGTCTCTTCATTACGGCTACGTCACATTTCGCTACTTTGCATCGATCCATTAGATGCGCATTTGAGCGTGTAATTGTATTCGCCTCCGTGTTAAAGCAGGTAAAGTGCGCCATTATTACGGCGATAATAATCTTCCGTTAACTCGGTTTTATTTTGCGGCTGCTGGGTTAGAGTCAGTAGCTAGCATATGGTCCCTCTCTATGCCAGAGTCTAATTTGCTTCTATCTATTTCGCCTTTAAAGTAAAACACATCCCAAAACGCAAATATCACCTATCCTGTACGTGCACTCCTACGCTTGTCCAACACAGGCTCGAAGCTTTGCTCATGAGAAAGTAGACGTTTCTTTACCATCAGTCACTGATGCGAAAATACTGATTCTTTGATACCCGGGTATGCAGCAATGGGCATGTTAATGGCATCCCAAGGAGGATGGGGATGGTTTTTGCTCGGGGCGGGAATTGGGATTTTTCCACAGCACTGCAGTTTGGACCCTCAGTGTGGTTTTCCTATAAGAACGAGTATTATTATTCTTCTTTGGTTCTTTCGGTAAAGTCACGTAGAATGAGAATAAAATAATAAATTGATAAAATAAAATAACACAATTTATTATTTTATTCTCATTCTACGTGACTTTACCGAAAGAACCAAAGAAGATTAATCATTGCAGTCACGAAAGCTTTAAATCGAAATTTATTATTATTCTTATAAGCTCTCAATTATCTTTGGTAATGACGATGTGAGGGAGGGGGGGAGTGGCAGCCCGCATAAACAATAACACCGAAAATGCTAAAACATGTGTAAATTAGGTACTAAAACACATTGTTTACCTTCATACTGTAGAATGGGGTGAAGACGTAGAATGTGTCACGTGTTTTTTTGCTTGAAAAAAGTATCGGTTTAATTGTTTACGATCACATGGGCACTGAGTTTCTGACCTTGCGATGAGTGAGCAGCAGCTAATTATAGAACCTGTATACAAGTAAATACAAATATATGCAATTTTGGCACGTGTGGTTAGTCCCCAAACCCAGATTATCCACCCGTGGATAATTGTGAGTTAACGGGATTTATCAGAACGGCAGTCTTTTCGAACGCAGCACATCCCCATTGCGCTTGACTCGCGTGTCGCTGCGATTTCACTCCCATGGGTATTTTTACGGCAATGCAGCGATATCGTTGGGGCACTAAGATCGAGTTCTTCACTGTTATTCTAAAGTCGTGTTCTCATCGGTGAAGCTTAAAACCCATACCGGACAGCCCAGAACACACAGTCGTACGTGTCTTCAAGATAAGAGATATTATTTGCGGTGTATCAGGTTGCTTATCCCTTTCATCATTCCTGCCCATCAGCGGTGCTTGCTACGAGGCACTCCGTTGGCACGATGTGATGGTTTGATCACAAAGACGCTATGAATGCAGTGGGCCAAATTCTCCCTTTGGTTAAGTGACGGGAGTGAAGCCACTTCCTCTGGCCCCCTCTCTCTCGTGCCCAGTGAACCTGGCGAGGATCATCCCCAATGGGCTGCTCGTGTTCTTCCCCTCCTACACCGTCATGGACATGTGCCTTCAGCACTGGAAGGTGAGGGGCACGTGGTCGCGCCACACAATTGTCAGTTTCCGAGGAGCAGCCGTTTAATGTCGCACTTAGCGTGGTGTACAGTCTCTTCTCCTATCACGTGTTGTTTTCATAACGTGAATTGGATATAACGCGATGAATATATTCGGGAACGCATTTTTTTTTTATGACGCGGATGCGAATTGGATATAACGCGATCGAGCGAACGGAACTACGTCACGTGAGTAGGAATAAGTGGTCGTACGGCTGCCTCGGCGTAGCATCGCACAAGGCGGGATGCTGCTGGATGCTTCGAGATGCTACCCACGTGCCTGCGCTTTACCCTATATTATATCTTATTTATTATAACGAGATTTTTCCATAACGCGGCGTTCTTCAGGAACGCAAACTACCGCGTTATAGGAGAACAGACTGCACGCATATCACCATCATGCTGTGCTGCGCCTGCGTCACCATCGCAGTGTGCCATAGATGCATGACATCACACCGTCCGTACATCATCATCGCACTGTGGTAATAATACATACATACATCACGATCACAAAGGGCAGTGAATATATCACCATCACACCCGGGTTGTACTTCCATCACCAAAACGCCGTGTCGTACTTGAAGCGCCGTCGCGCAGTACCATGCATACATGGCCATCACACCCGCATCGTACCGTAAATACATCACTATCACAGGATGATGCACATGTCACCATCGCACTGCTGTTCATGTATCACCATCACACTGTGCTGCATATACATCTCGATCACACCACAATACGAATACATTGCCACCACACTGTGCTGTACGTACATGACCATACGCCTCGCTGTAAATGCATCACCATACAATTTGCTGTAAATACATCTCCATCGCATCTCTGCACACACATTTGCCAGGCGTGGCGAATCATGAAAATTGTAACTTTCGAGACATTGAAGCTCTCACCAGGTGCCCCTAATGGAATGCGCTTTTGCAATAACCGCCTGAGCTTTGAAAGGTCACATGCCCTGGTGCAGCAGCGTTTATTATTACATCTATGGTAAATCTGACATTCAGGCACATTTACGATATATCCTGGCGCTATTGTTTCATGCTACACGATATTGTGGTGCATTATGAATAGTAATAATAGACAATACATGACTTATTAAATGATCGAGTACATCATTCAAACGGTAATATACAAGCTGGAGGGGGGTAGGCTTTGTTGGTTTTAAAGTGACGTGTCGCCCGGTTTGCAGAACGAGGGATTATCAAGCAAGATTGAAGAGATTAAACCTATGTTTGTGGAGCCCAAGCAGAAAGGGCTTTTCACAGAGGTACAACATTGCATTTCACATTCACGTTTACGATTTCAATTATTTGATTGGCCAGTCCTTCAAGCGGAAGGTAGCTCTTCTGCCATATCTGATGTTGCTGTCCACCAGTACTGTCCTCCTCCTATGTCACAGGCTTCCTTCCCCGCTTAACGTATTTTAAAGTTGGGGTTGAACCCTCTAGTTCTGCCATGTTCTGTGCCAGCAGGCTCAACTTGGACAGGGACATTGGAGGGTTTTGGTGAGATCAGAGCCTTTATGTTTGATATCCTTGAGTTACACCCGTTATAGCTCTGGGCTTTGGGGAACGAGTGTGAGGGGAGCCGCTGCATGCTGCCCATCCCTGTGAAAGGTGCTGTCCCTCTGGGAGCCCTTGAGGCCGTGACAATTTTTGAAAGTGACATTGGGTTCCTCATAAAGGCTGCCCGCCTGCCTCCGATTTGCTCCAGTGGCACCTTTATATTTAATGTCTACGTGCCGTGCATTTCTGCCTTAGTGCTGCGTCGTGAGCGCGATCAAAACACAAAGGGATTTTTTTTGTTACAATGAGCAAAATGTCGAGTGCGTTAAACCGCAGCCGTGCGTGCCTAGAATGCCCGCCCATCTTCGTCTGCAAATTTCCCAGTGCCTTCTCCCAACCACGGCATGTGCCCACCGAAGGTGCTTTCTCCTTTTTTTCTCTCCAATAAATTGTTTCACAAGCTCCGTGCTCAGTTGGTGATCTATTGTGTCTCCTTCCATTCTAGGCAATTAATGGTTTCTACGATAAGATTAACGACCCACGGTGCAGCGCCGCAGCCTTCTTTGCCGTCTGCAGAGGAAAGGTATTGTGCTTGGAGGAGTTGCCAGACTACATTTGTGCCAAACTTCAACACACACACCAGCAGCCACATTCACACAATCGGTAATCCACCCACTCGAAAGTGTAAGCTCTGAATATATCACAAGCAAATAAAGAAAACTTTTTGGCATTGCGTATATGCGTCTTGTGCATACACACAAAGATCACCCCGCATATATGTAAGCTGCATATATACACACGCACACCCAGACAATGTAATTATAATTGTGGTGCAAAATTTGAATTACAATACAGTAGGTTATATGAGGTTAGGCTACGTAGTACCCAGTAGAGGTCAGGCAAGTACATCATAAAACCAGAGTCTTTTCTGTGACGATGCAAGAGGTTAGAACAGGGTTCGGCAACCAAAATAACAAGAAGGGGCCATTTTTTTCAAATTCGGTAAAAACTCTATTACAAGAGCCGCAATGCACGTGAATACGAGACGGTGTTCCTTAATAAAGAACGTCACGAAGAGCCGCTCGCAGCTCTGGACCCGCAGGTTGCCGACGACCCCTGGCTTAGAATGTAGTCAATAGTCACCTGTGACAGACGCACGGCTTTTACATCGAGACCACGTGATTGGAGAGAGAGAGAGGGGGGACGACCATCATTGCACCCTCGCTGCTCCCCCGCTACTCCCTCGCTCCGCTCAGGTGAGCGAGGGCCTGGACTTCGCTGACGCCAATGGCCGGGCGGTGATTATCACGGGGCTACCATTCCCACCGCAAATGGACCCGTGGATAAAGCTGAAGATGCAGTTCCTGGACGAGATGAAGGCCAAGCGGTCGACGGAGATGCAGGTAGCGGACAGGGACTCCGCCTCGTCGTTTGCGGCGTCGGCCCCGTTCCTGCGGAGCAGCTTCACGGTCACGGCCCTCGTGCGCTCGTTGCAGAAGTTTGCGGTTCAAAGCCAGCAGGCCGCACCTGGCTATTACTGCCACCGAATGAACCGTGTTATATATGCACCGTCCGCTTCGCAGTGGACGTTAAAGATCCCGCGGCATATTCAAAAAGATTACGCCAATGTGTGCCGGCATCATGCTCATGAATTTGGAAATTACCTGCAAATTACTTTTTGAACCCGTTCCAAAGCGTCTGCAAGTTGCAGGGTGGGGTCCCATTCACCGCAGAATCTCGGAACGCGCAAGCGGTTAGCATTCATTTTTTTAGAGAGGTATAGCACCGCTGTTTTTTAAAGACATTGTGCTCACCGCAAAGAACCGAAGCGACACGACCACACCTGATGATAGCCGGCGCTAAACTGTCACACGCCCTCCCACACGGCCTTTTACTTCTGATTCCGGGGCTGCCATTCCCATACGTACGTCGTCGGAATGGAATCGGAAGAAAACATGATGACATACACGTACATGTAAATGGGAAAGGAATTATTTCGATGACTCGTCGCAACTTCGCCCCCCTACTGTGACACTACTACAGACTGATTGTGAAACGTGGCACTTTGTGAAAACCCTATCCTATAAAGGGGCGCATGAGTGCCAAATACACTTATTTATTGTTTCGTATATTTTATTTGCCACGATATAATTTTCACAATGCAGTATGCATTTTAATCATATGACGATCATTTACCTGTAATTGTATTTATCAACGTTATTGTAATATTTTAGCAAAAACTTTTTATATAAATATAACCACCATGCCAGAATTCCTCCATTTACTCCAAAATAAAGTTTTGTAAAGTATTCGTTTAATGGGTGATATTTAATTCATACTTGAATAATTGCATTTGTTGTGTCTGAAAAATTGTGTTGGGAAAAACTATATTTGAAATTAACGATACGATTGTTGTTGACCTTATATTGTACAATGCATAGTTTTTCCATGTTACGACAACCATCATAGTTTACCTCTGAGTCATAATGGTTCATAACAATCAGACCACATATCATTGGAGCTCCGTGTGCACCCTCTACGTATCTAGCTATGTTGAGATGTGGTTACAATGTTTGACTTGCAATCAGAAGGTTGTGATTTTGGGGGTTAACAGCCCATCATCCTTCTGCCGCAACAGTGGCTGTCCTCTGGACAGACTGGCATCACACCTCCGATTAGTATGGTTGGCTACGTACGGTGCGAAAGAAGTTCAATATACATACAGTGAAACCTTGGATTGCGAGTAACTTGGTCTGCGAGTGTTTGCAAGACGAGCACATTTTTTTAATAAATAATAATTTGATAAAGGAGCGATGTCTTGCAATACGACCAGTATGTACAGTATACACTTTGTCTGCCGAGCGTCACGTGGTCACAACTGAGCCAATGGTTTTTCTCTCTCTCTCGCTGCGGGATTGTGGGTAATCATCTCCCATGCTCGGTTTCAGTCGGCGTGCCTCACTCGTATAGTCAACATCCGTGTGAGCGTATACTGTTTACTACAGTACTATAGTGTTGTGACCACGTGTGTGTGCGTAAAGCATTTTTTTTATTTTGTGTCCAAGTGTAGTGACTTATTTAGTAACTGTGCTGCAAGTGAAAGTCGTCCTACACAATAACCCTCCTCTCCTCTCTCTCGTCTCCCAGCCACGATTAAATGTAATTAATAAATTTGATTACTTTCTATTAAATTTAAATAATAAAAATATAAAAAGTTATTTTGTATTAATAATTTTATATGAATACAGTATTTTTGGTTTGTGGAACGAATCATCTCAGTTTCCATTATTTCTTTGATATACGAGTGCTTTGGATTACGAGCACGTATCCGGAACGAATTATGCTCGCAATCCAAGGTTTCACTGTACATGGAATGTTTACATTTGTTTCACGGCTGCCAATAGAAATAACTCCTGCGCAAATTCTCATTTGAACGTGAACACCAACTGTAGGTGGTTGTAAAGCTTTCCGAACCTTAGTTTTTGTGAATGATGGCCCTTGTTCCACTTGTTTGTACTTACACGGTGGCTAAGCATGTGCTATCTGTCTTCTGTCACTGTGAGTTTGTGGGCCTCTCTGGCCAGGAGTGGTACACCCAGCAGGCTTCGCGTGCTGTCAACCAGGCCATCGGCCGCGTCATACGACACCGCCACGACTACGGCGCCATCATCCTCTGCGACCACAGGTACCGTCCCCTTCCTTCCCTTCTGCCGCCGCCCACGCCCTCCTGAAACGTCCTGAGCTCAATTGCTCGGCCAGAATGTTCACGAAGCATCGAGTCATCCATTAATATCGATTGCTCCGCCCACGGTACTTTCACCGGATTGTGCGCATGAGAGTTCTGCAAATGATGCGCAAAATGTCACGTGAAAGCTAGTGCCGTGAAGAAGACTACAAATGAGACGTGGAAAAAATGAGAAGGTACAAAAGGAGATGTAAAATAACCTTGTTGTGATGATCATAATTGAACAATTCATCACATCGCTGTGTTATTTCAATCATGTATTGCACAGCAAGAGTGTCGGACTTAGACTTAAACGATCGATTGGTGTTTATGTTTATGAATTGTATAGTCCTTGTTTCAGGCAGTATTCGGATCAGACGATGGAATCATGGACGTGGTACTACTACGAGACCACTGATGATTCGACCCCTTATCCTACCCGTAATACCATCAATTCGCACAATTTGGGCTCGTGATTCAACCCGAGAAGCGTCTCTCTTCCTTATTGTCCGCACCATATTATTGGTGCAGTATTTACTATCTCCTTTGTTTTGTACATCTCATATGTACTTTATTTAATTTCGACTGCGTTTGGTTTGTCTTGTTCATTCCAACCTTTTAGCCTCAATAATTTTTTTCGATAAAAGATGCATACATTTAAAAGTCATTCATTCATATACTTTTCATTAAATGCATGTGTTGATGGCATTTGAATTTATTTTAATCAATAAATGTATGAATAGTTGCACGCCCTGCAATCTTCCATCAAAATTTTTAACATAGACTTACCTAACAATATAATTAATATACCAGTTTGAAAGTGCATTAATGCAGCGTATAAAATTGTACTTATAAGTCCCATGCTTCTTTAGCAACCCTTTCAGCATACAGGCATCACCACTGAGGCTCTATCCATTGTTCAACTCGTTACTGGTTGTTCATGACGTCAATGATGAGTCTACTCCCCTCTCCGCGATTTAGGGCGTTTCTAAAACATTGGTATCCTGTGTTCAAGATTAAAATTGACAATACTATCCGTCCATCCTCTGTCTCCAGGTCACCCCATCAAGCCAAGCTCTTGTGTTCAAAATACTTCTGTTTCTATATTTCTCTGAAGGTGCACAGTCAAGCTTTCTCACTCGCGTCTAGTACAGTAAGACCTTGGATTGCGAGTAACTTGGTCTGCGAGTGTTTTGCAAGACGAGCAAATTTTTTCAAAATAAATATTAATTTGATAAACGAGCAAGGTCTTGCAATACGAGTAGTACGTATACATGCTTTGTCTGCCGAGCGTCACATGATCACAACTGATATACGAGTGCTTTGATATACGAGTGCTTTGGATTACAAACACGTTTCCGGAACGATTTGTGCGCGCAATCCAAGGTTTTACTGTAGTTCACTTTCGTTTGTTCTTCTTAAGCCATCCACAGGATTCACGATAGTCTCAGCCAGCACCATAGTTAATAATCCGTGATCTTCCTCCAGTCTGCTGCATTCATCACCCACGTGTCTATGTTGCAATGAAAAAAGCCTTTTACTTGCGCATGATTTATATAGAGACCCCCACTGATTTCTCATGGCACTATTATGTTATTATCAACAGATTATATAATATTCTTAGCTTTTTCGGTAAAGTCACGTTGAAGAGAAACAACAAAATAACAAAATATATATAAAACAATAAAAAATTCTCACGACGTTTCGACCATAACTCAAACGGTCATCATCAGGTGTGTCGGTTTGCATAAATTTATTTTGAAAACGGCATATTTATTTATTTATATAAAAATAACGTTTGCGTCACGCGCAACGATTGGCTGTTTGCCAGGACTAGTCCATCTATTTTTTGAAAAGAGGAGGGGGGAGACGAAATTTGTTTTTATGTATGCTGTCTGAAAGCCACTGTAAGCGTGAACAATCAATCAAGAACTGAAATGATTTATCAAATCTTTCCAATGATTGCTAAGATAGAATCCATCTTCTCGGTTGAAATTGTCTCTGTGTTTGTATATGTGGATAGCCTCATGAACGAATCTCTCATGGAAGCCAGATGGCTTACAAAGAACCTCCGTCTTGGAAAAGTCAATGGCATGTGAGCCTACTGAATTAGAACAATGATCTGCTACGGCCGAGGTGTTGGTCCTACCGTGTTTAAGGTCTGCTTTATGTTCACGAATGCGGTCCGAGATATGGCGTTTGGTTTCTCCAATGTAACTACTACCACAGAGGCAACTTAGTTTGTAGACACCAGGGTATTGTATGTCCGGAATCACATCTTTTACAGACGGAACCAGATCACGGATTTTATGTAATGTGTTGAAACGGACCTGGATCTTGTGTTTATTCAAGATTTTGGAGATCTTTTTTGTGATCCCAGCAATGTAGGGTAAAGTGATGGTTTTGAAAGGCTCCTCAAGAGGGTTCTTCTTCATGGTTTGAGTGATAGCTTTGCGGATTGTATAGTCGGAGTAACCATTAGCCCTAAGAGCTTGGTGTACGTGCTTGAGTTCACTGCTTATGTGTTCCTGCTCGGATATGCATTGGGCTCTATGATACAGAGTCTTGATGAGAGAATTCTTCTGTGATGGATGGTGGTGGGAATCCGGTTTCAGATAAGCATCCGTATGGGTAGCTTTCCTGTAGACAGAGTGGCTCATTGAACCATCAGGTCTCTTTTTAATTAGGACATCCAAAAAAGGTATCTTGCCATCTATTTCGACTTCCATGGTAAATCTGATGGCTGGGTGTATGGAATTGATGTGGTCGAAGAATTGGTCTAGAGCAGGCCGGCCATGTGGCCAGATGACAAAAGTGTCATCCACGTACCTCTTCCATAAGGTTGGGCGCAGAGTGGCAGTCTGGATGGCGTCAGTCTCAAATTTCTCCATGAAAATGTTAGCTATAACTGGAGAAAGGGGGGAGCCCATTGGGGTGCCCTCAGTTATAGCTAACATTTTCATGGAGAAATTTGAGACTGACGCCATCCAGACTGCCACTCTGCGCCCAACCTTATGGAAGAGGTACGTGGATGACACTTTTGTCATCTGGCCACATGGCCGGCCTGCTCTAGACCAATTCTTCGACCACATCAATTCCATACACCCAGCCATCAGATTTACCATGGAAGTCGAAATAGATGGCAAGATACCTTTTTTGGATGTCCTAATTAAAAAGAGACCTGATGGTTCAATGAGCCACTCTGTCTACAGGAAAGCTACCCATACGGATGCTTATCTGAAACCGGATTCCCACCACCATCCATCACAGAAGAATTCTCTCATCAAGACTCTGTATCATAGAGCCCAATGCATATCCGACCAGGAACACATAAGCAGTGAACTCAAGCACGTACACCAAGCTCTTAGGGCTAATGGTTACTCCGACTATACAATCCGCAAAGCTATCACTCAAACCATGAAGAAGAACCCTCTTGAGGAGCCTTTCAAAACCATCACTTTACCCTACATTGCTGGGATCACAAAAAAGATCTCCAAAATCTTGAATAAACACAAGATCCAGGTCCGTTTCAACACATTACATAAAATCCGTGATCTGGTTCCGTCTGTAAAAGATGTGATTCCGGACATACAATACCCTGGTGTCTACAAACTAAGTTGCCTCTGTGGTAGTAGTTACATTGGAGAAACCAAACGCCATATCTCGGACCGCATTCGTGAACATAAAGCAGACCTTAAACACGGTAGGACCAACACCTCGGCCGTAGCAGATCATTGTTCTAATTCAGTAGGCTCACATGCCATTGACTTTTCCAAGACGGAGGTTCTTTGTAAGCCATCTGGCTTCCATGAGAGATTCGTTCATGAGGCTATCCACATATACAAACACAGAGACAATTTCAACCGAGAAGATGGATTCTATCTTAGCAATCATTGGAAAGATTTGATAAATCATTTCAGTTCTTGATTGATTGTTCACGCTTACAGTGGCTTTCAGACAGCATACATAAAAACAAATTTCGTCTCCCCCCTCCTCTTTTCAAAAAATAGATGGACTAGTCCTGGCAAACAGCCAATCGTTGCGCGTGACGCAAACGTTATTTTTATATAAATAAATAAATATGCCGTTTTCAAAATAAATTTATGCAAACCGACACACCTGATGATGACCGTTTGAGTTATGGTCGAAACGTCGTGAGAATTTTTTATTGTTTTATATATATTTTGTTATTTTGTTGTTTCTCTTCAACGTGACTTTACCGAAAAAGCTAAGAATATGAATTACTGCAGTCACGAAAGCTTTAAATCAAGATTATATAATGTTGTGAAGGGCGATGGCTGCATATCTTATCGAGGAAAGAGTTAAAAAATGTAATAGGGGTATTGAGATTCGTGAGTTATGTTTTGACATAAAATGCTCTGCCTCCAATTTCTTATCGGGGTATCTGTGCAATGGTCACCATGCACTTATCTCTTTCCATCGCTTTGTGTACAAAACCGTCTGAGCTGTCCAGCCAGCCCCTTGGCCAAGGCTTTCCAATGTTCTGTTCTGCTGCCAGGTTCTCATCCGCTATGTTCTGTTCTGCTGCCAGGTTCTCATCCGCTAGTGCGGTAGCGCAGCTGCCGTCCTGGATGCGTCCTTCTGTTAAGGCCTACCCGGAATTCGGTGCAGTGGTCCGCGAGCTGTCGCAGTTTTTCCGGACTGCAACAAAAATGGTGAGATTGGGCAAAAGCCGCACGCGATTGTATTTCCACATGTGGAGTGTTTATTGCGACAGCCCAAACGCAGTTCCTTTGTCGAGGTTTTAATTGAAGGAAGACGCGGCCTGAAAGAGTGAAAATCTCTTAAACGATAGATATTTAACGAATAGGGGTGGTGTATGTGGTCACGGATAGTTATTTGTGATCACGTGGCCCAGATTGTGTTGAGATCTGCTTCAGAATAAAGTCGACACTGATCCACGATTATATGTCAAAGAGCAAACCAGTGCTTCTGATGTTTGCTTTGTATTTTAGACAAATAATAATAAATAGACTTGCAATCAATGTACAGTAATACTGATAACTACAAGTTAACTAATTAATAATGCAAATCAATTAATAGAATAATGACATTTTTATTAAATATACCAACTTAACAAGAAACATTTGTAAATCGTTAAAAAGTTAAAGATTGCCTCAATGGGACTGCGCTGTATTTCCATGCAGCTCCCATGATGCTCAGCAGTATGCTTGACTCGATACGTGAATGAGAATCGATTCATTGGATTATGCATGCGTGGAATCAAACTCGATAACGTGCATTACAGTATTTGTAATCAATCTTGATTTGAAGCTTTCGTGACTGCGGTAAAGTCACACAGGTAGAAAATAAAATTAAATAAATCACGACGTTTCGGGCGCACGTTTGGATGGCGCATGTTTTGATTTACATTCAAAGATAGACAGAGGAACACGTGGATTAGAGAACGTGTAGGTTAAAGACATAGTTTTGACTGTTAAGAAAAGCAAGTGGGCTTGGGCTAGACATGTCGTGATGACACGATGCTGATAACAGAAGTAGAATACATTTGAATAAAGCAAACATAAAAAAAAAACATTTAGAATCAGGCCACAAAGCACTCCACGTAAACAAAAGATCCCCCCATATAGCTGTACAGACAGTTGGGACTCGCGCTGTTAGCAAACACCTACTAAGGCTGACATGGTGCTTGAGGGACTGTTGTGACCAACACGACCTCCCTTTGTGCCCGCAGTACTGATGCTTACAAATGGCACCCAGGCACCCGTTTGAGTGAACTTCGGCATTCCTGCATGTTGGGAGTGTTTTTATTTTTTGGGCTTAGGTCCCATCCTTGGCCACGTTTCCCCATCCCTGACGTGTGCGCCGGTGTCTTGCAGTTGCCTGCCCCCCAGCGAAAGGTGTCGTGCAGAGGGCAGGTGGCGTGCGGGGAGGCGGACGGGGCGGGGTGCAGCTCCTCCTCCCTGCAGGCCAACGCCTGCGGCGATCTACGCAAGGCCAGGGCCGTAGACGCCCACGTGCCCAGCCTGCGACGACTCGCAGCCGGTAAGGCGTGGGTGGGAGGGAACCTGCGGTCTGGCTCGTGACTTCATTCCACGTCCGATTAGCACGGTTGGCTACGTACGGTGCGAAAGAAGTTAACATACACACATACATGCCCACACGCCCCTTGGTTTCTTGAGGCCTACTACCACTTCAAAATGGCACGCAAACAACATTTATTGGTCACTACAGGCACATTGATTGGGAACAATAGGGGAATATCTTGACCTGGCAATACTTTATTTGAATGTTATCGCTTTCAGTCACTTCAGAATCAGAATCAGAAAGGGTTTTATTCACCATGAAAGTTCACACCGACACGGAATTTACTTTGGCAGGATGGTGCATACATTCAACATATAGAAATCTAAAATCTTAAATAAGTTTTAAACAATTCTTACTATAATAATAAGGGTTAGAAGTCTAACTAACACCAAGGGGCTGAAGTATATAACATTGAATAAATATCAAATATAAAATAGCTTTAAGATATAATAAAAAAAAATACAAATAGGTTAACATAGTTAATATCGGCAAGGTGTCATTATGTAGATAAAATGTTAAAATCAGTGTAAGCCCTTGGCCTTGTTTAACAGGCCAGCAGCAGATGGGAAGAAACTGTTTTTATGGCGTGAGGTTTTGGTCCTGATGGACCGAAGCCTTCTGCCGAAGGGGAGTAGCTAAAACAGAGAGTGTCCAGGGTGGGAGGAATCGGCCACAATCTTCCTCGCTCGCCTCATGGTCCTTGTCGTGTGCAGGTCCTCGAGGGTTGGTAGATTGCAGGCAATTACCTTCTCAGCAGTGTGGATGATACGCTGCAGTCTGCTCTTGTCCTTGGCAGTGGCAGCAGCGTACCAGACGGTTATGGAGGAGGTGAGGATGGATTCAATGATCGCTGTATAGAATTGCACCATCATTGTCTTTGGCAGGTTGAATTTCTTCAGCTGCCGTAGAAAGTACATCCTCTGTTGAGCTCTCTTGGTGAGGGAGCTGATGTTCAGTTCCCACTTGAGGTCCTGGGAGAGAATAGTGCCCAGGAAGCGGAAGGACTCTACAATTTTGACTGGGGAGTCTAACAGGGTGATGGGGGTGAGTGGGGCTGTATTCTTCCTGAAGTCCACAACCATCTCAACTGTCTTTAGAGCATTTAGCTCTAAGTTGTTCTGGCTACACCAGGTCACCAGGTTGTCAGCTTCCCACCTATAGTCAGACTCATCCCCACCAGAGATCAGCCCAATGAGGGTGGTGTCGTCCGCAAATTTCAAGAGTTTGACGGACAGATGATTGGAGGTGCAGCTGTTGGCCATTTTTCTACTCGGTTGACAGGAATGACATTTTTTAAAATAATTTTTGCATAATGCAAATGGTGTATGTTCATGTGTGGCCCCGCCATCGTTTTTGAAAGTCCTGTTCAGCCCTCGGTAATCAAAAAAGGTTCCCTGCCCCAGCGATTACCCTCAGGATTTGAATGTGCAAACGAATTAACATTAATTTACAGTGGGGGCCTTTTTAATCCACAGCATCCAACTGGTCGCATGTCCGCGTTCAATTAAGCCTAAATGATTGAACTTCTTTTTACGTGTGTATTTAAAAGTGCTCGCGCTGCACGCAATGCTTTTATGTGAAAATTATAGAGCCTGACGTGTTTTACGGAGTGATGCAAGAGCGCAGCAATGTTCATCTGCGGTGTGTGGAAGAGGGCGCCCTCTAGGTGGAGCAAAAGCGTCGCGTTTTTGTGACTGGCAAGTTGAGCAATGGTATCCCAGCGAATACTCCACTTTTCCAGGGTGTTAATTGGTTCCAAACTGGTGCGCCGTGAGGTAAAATTATCCAAGATGAACTTGAGTATACTGCGATTCGGGTAGGCCAGGAAAGCGTGAAGAAATTAAAAACCAGCTTTCTGCGGTCAATGCGCAGGCGTCAGCCTGCTATGCGGTTGTCTGGCGATGACGTCGCACTCCCATTTAGGACACGTTGAATTAATTTGGCAATAAAGTATATATTTAACTAATTAATATATGTAAAAATAAATCAAGTGTGCGGCATCATCAGAAAGAGCGTGGCAGGCTGCAGGAATCAGTGAACCAGTGCACTTGAATTTCTGCCACCTACTCTGCTAGATTTCTCTCATGTTTTCACTTTCTTCCTACGATTAAATAGCTGTAAAAAATTTTTTTATCAATGAGCCCGTCAGGTAAGCATCAGCTTTTCACCTTGCTTCATGACGACGGTAACTTTGTGTAAACTGCACATGATTCATTATTGATGTGTTTCTTTTCGATTATAAACGTTAGAAGTGTAAATAGTTAGTGAATGTCTATTAAGTTAGTAAGTGTCAGTGATATATATTCTTGGTTCTTTCGGTAAAGTCACGTAGAAGGGAAACAATAAAATAATAAAAATATAAAACAATAAATTTCTCACGACGTTTCGACTGCAACACAAGCAATCATCATCAGGTGTGAAAACCACAACAAGAAAATTTGAAAAAAGTGATGATGATTGCTTGTGTTGCAGTCGAAACGTCGTGAGAATGTTATTGTTTTATATTTTTATTATTTTATTGTTTCCCTTCTACGTGACTTTACCGAAAGAACCAAGAATATGAATCCCTGCAGTCACGAAAGCTTTAAATCAAAATTTGTCAGTGATATGTTTCAGTAATCGTTTTGTCAGGTTTATTTGAATATATTAATGTATCTTTTCACTTCCAATATGCTGGATGTCCACCATGAACTGAAAGGCTTTTCCCCCAATCAATTTGACTTATTTGCACACATTTTGTAACCACAAATAAATTCAGTAACACAACACTCACAACTACCTACAGAGGTTGCAGATAGTATTTTCAGCAAGATGAGAATGCGTTGAGACTTGAAGGGTTTTTTATCGAGTTACAAACAAAGCAAAGTAAGAGGCAATTCCCAAAACAACAAAAGTTTAAGAAAAATACCCATTCTAATGAGGTAGGATCAATTATTATAAACAATTTGCACTCATTCACAAAGTAATTTCAATGGTCTATCACATAGTATCGATCTCTCGTGAATAGAAGTTAATTGTTGAATTGTGATAATGATCGCCGATGGAGTCATTTGGGAAAATCTAGGTGTTTATTTGTGCTGGTGCATATTTGTCAATCGGCCTTTGTATGAATGGGTGTAGGCCTTGCTGGACATTTCAAGTGCTCACGTTTGCAGGCGAGGGTGTTGAATGGGGTGGGAGCTCACCAGTATGTTCAGCAAAAGGGCTTTCATGCAGGCGTGTTGGTAGGCGTTTCGCTCGCATTCAGAAATGTGCACATTCATTTTTGTTTTAAGAGCTTTGTAAAGCGTGATGTTGCTTTCATTTGTATGGTGTTTGCATTTGAATGTATTCGCACAACTTGTAAATGTAGCTGTAGTCTGCGCGACATTTGAATGTTGATTTTATGAGTGCATAAGTGAGAGAGTTCTGTTTTGTTATCACTGACAGGCACATGGTGCATAATTGTAGAGATCACCTTGGGGATACGGTGGGGTCCCCATCTTTGGAATGTAGAACTTCCACCTCTGCCTCATAACCACCCAAGAAAGATGTGCGCCATTACAATGCTGTTTTGAGCCCGAGATCCCTCCCTGTATGTCGGATTTTTTACGCACGGCAAGTGCTCACGTTGCGGGTTACTGAGGTTGCTTTTTCATTCTGTATACCGGGTTTTACCTGTAAAAATAAACTACCGGAGAAGTTATCCACAGTGACTCGGGTGACAAATGCTGTGTTTGACCACTGAGAGAGAATCATTCAGGTCTTGGCTTCGAATCTGACAAAGCTGCACGTGTCATTAAATCGGGTGCACATGTTATAGGGTTTATAGGATTATTTTTGTATATTTATTCTAGGCATGCGTGTATTTTATTATATTGATTATAACGGTTTTAGCAGCTTGTCGGACTTGTTAGCTAATCGGGCCAGCGCTCCTCCCCCCCCTTAGTGTAGCTACCCAAGAATTTAATCTGAATTTTATTTCCATGCGATTCACACCTCTATAGAAGTGCATGTGAGAATTGCACCAGCTAGTGTGGATAAGAGGACATTTATCGGACATCAGAAGTACTTCTATTTACGTCACCTTCCAGAGGGTCGTTCTCTCATTCAGCGTGATGCTACACTACTTTCTGCCGGTGTTGAGATTATTTATTTTAAAATGTTGTGACAATATGTCGCAAAGAGTGATACTGGAAAGTGAATCATAAAATACGAATTCTGTTTGTACCTTTGTCAATCTACTGCAAGATAAATGCCTTCCCACACCCTGTTAGTCATGCAGATTGTTGCAGCCTGCTTCGTCACACTGGTAAGTGTGGGTTGGTGAAGGTGGAGGAGCCCACCACTGGTGCAGACATTACTCATCGCCAATGTGAACCCTAGCGTGTACTTGAACCTGCCAGATTCATCGTGCGATACGTTTACCACTGCGCCCTGCCGAGACACGCATACACACCTCAATATGTGGTTGTAAAAACAACCTGGAAGCGTGTTACAACAACAAATAATGCAAAAACACGATGGGAGTACGCACAAAAAAGGCCAAGATCCCCCGTATCGCGTTCAACAGACTGTTGGGGCAAGTGCTGTTCGCGAGCACCTATAAGGGCCAAAACGGTACACGAGGTGGTGGGTGGCCAGCCTCAAACCTGGCGGTCCTTTGTCTCCCTAGTGGCGATGTTTACACACCATAGCAGGTGCTCATTTTAGGCTGAGTCGGCCTAGGGGAGGCCCTGGACCGGTTCAAATAATCGTCTTGGCCGTCAGCGTGAATCGAACTTGGGTTGCCGGGTTCATAGCGCAGCGCGCCAACCACCACACTACCGCTCCCTAACACGCACATACGTACAAAGGCTCCGGCTCCCTGACTGCGATGCTTGGTCGCCTGCCCCGCCGTGCCTTCTCTCGCCCAGATCCCGGGGACTACCACGCGGGGGTTAGCGGCCTGGCACGGCTGTGTGTGGAGTTCGAGCCCGAGGACGGGCGCCCGGCATGCCGGCCCGCGGGGCTCTTGGACGCCCTGGAGTTTAGCGAGCGCCGGGAGCGGAACGGCGTAAGCCACCTACCCGGCGAGGAACAGGTGGAGTGCCAGGCAGCGCCGCGTCGGGGTGGAGCATGGCAAACGTGTGATGCTCTTCGGGGTTGGAGCATGAGGCGGGGGGGGGGGGGGGTCTTTAAATTTGAGACAGAATTGCACGCTCTGCGCTGGCAGCGATTTTTAAAAGCTCGGTCTCGATGTAGCTTACGTACATACGGATGTTGAACTTGCTTCGCACCGTACGTAAGCCAACCCTGCTAATCGTAGGTGCGGGAAATGTTGATGTCGAGCACGTCCCTGTTGTTGGACGTGTAGTGGTGCATCGATTAATTGATTAAAGTTGATGCTGGTGATGCGTACGTTGGATGGAAGTGAAAGCTTTTACCACTTTTGACCAATTTGCGGCTAATGGAGTGAACTAAATTACAAAATAAGACTAAAAGTGAGAAACATAAGTAACAATTTGCACCAATTAGACACCTTTACAAAACATTTTACAATTATAACTTATAATTGTTGATTATTGTAACCTGGATAATGGCGATTCATTACCAAAGTCGAGCTTCCGTGACTACACTTGCTTTAGTTACAAGGCAGTGTCATTGGCATTGGCAGTTGCAATAAATTATATTTATATAACTTAAACAGTCAGGCATACGGCATTCTTGGTAAGTACAATCCTGCTTTCCCCAGGCAAAATGTAAGCCACAAAATAAATAATAGTCACTTATGTAGGTTTGTGTGCATTTAATGTGCGCATGTGTACACACATTTGTGTGCGGTGTTGTGGCTTGAGTTTAATTATCCACAGATGACATCAGTGACAAGTGCTGTCTGAACCTGCCCTGAGCCTCCCCTCGATCACCTCGGCCTGAAATTAATACTCATCAGCATTGAGGAAACCATCATCTGGCTCTGGTGATGTTTACACAACACTTTTGTGCAGGACCAGGCTACATAGGTGATTACTAACATTGCTTTGTTATAGTGTAAAATACTATTTTGTTATTTTTTTCTCTGATATTTATTTATGTATGTATTTGTGTGGCATAGAAGATTGGTTGTACTGTGCCTAGCACACTGCAGTCTGAACTCAGCGACCTGGGTTTGATTCCCCATCAGTGTCGGATATATGAACCAGTCCTGAGCCTCTCCAATGTTGCATGGTGCGTAAATGTGTGTTAACATCGTTACTGAGAAGACCAAGGTGACCATACACTCCCTCGTTGACTGCATCAGTCCAGTAGGTGCTCACTAACATGACTTTCCTATAATCTTAAAGCTGAATGGAAAGTTTTTGTCCATTGAGCTTTCTTTGTGAGTGTGTGCATGTGTGCCCCAGGCGTGTGTGGAGCGGTAGCGCAACTTCTAGCGCGCTCCTTAACCCAGTGACCTGAGTTAAATTCCCACTCACGGCCAACACCAGTGACGATTTTCTGAATCGGTCCTGGGTCTCCCCTAGGTGGAGTCGGCCTCTAATGAGTACCTGGTACGACGTGTAAAAACTTCGCCACTGGGGAGACAAAAGCGGCCGGGCGTGGTGCTGGCCACCCACCCCCTCGTGTGCCGTGCCGGTCTTCATAGGTGCTACTCGCTAACAGCACTTGCCCCAACAGTCTGCTAAGGCTATACCGGGAATCTTTGTCTTTGCCCCAGGCCTATCGGCTCTCCACCCAGACGTTGCGGCACGACAAGATTTTGGATGACGAGCAGCGCGGCAGCAAGAAGAAGATGGTGGTGGTGAGCAATCATCAGGAGCGGGCGCATGCCGGCGGGGTGGCGGAGGGCAGCAGCAAGCGCTCGAATCCGACGCCGGCTAGCCACGTGGAACGCTCGCGCGCCTACATTCAGGACGTGAGGCGCACCCTGAGCCAAGAGAATCACGCCAACTTCTGCAGCGCCATGCACGAGTACAAGCGGATGGACGACCTGCAGCTCCTCTTCCAGAAGCTGGGCCCCATCTTCACCGAGGACCCCATGAAGTACCGGCTACTCCGCCGTACGTCGCATGCCCGCTGCCTCTCTTATGCCGGTTCTCGTTTCGCAAACCAAATTAGTGACGGAAATGTTCGTCATCGAAGCGTTTCGTTTGTTGACGTTTTGCAACTGAAGGCCAAAACCTTTAATGCATCGCATCTTTCTGTCTTGTCTGTCCATCTGCGTATGGCATGCGGTTATGATGACGCTCGTAATGATGCTCAAATACAAATGTCGTTTAAAGTTGTATTGCCAGGAGGGGGTCTGGATTTAGGGATGTACCCATAACTAATTGGCCTAATTGTTAAAAAGTTAGCTCAAAACGTTAATAATAAACCAGAGCAAAATAGTATTATTTGAAAAATGAAGACAACTTTTGCCCTAACATTTTCCATACTGCTAATTAAATACTTGCAAAGAAAAATGCATGTTGAAAAGGGCTATAGAATCCATGCGTGTACGCGTAACATTTTGCTGAGAATTAGCATTTTACAGTTGTCGCTCGTGGACATTTGATGGGCTTGATGGCAACGGGTAGTGCCTTATGTTATTTACGACCATTGTAAAGTTTGTTGTACGGCATTGTAATATTAATTATCCTCGTAAACATGTCATAGTTTAAGCACGCGTACAAGACCTCCCCTGGGCAGTGTGTCTTCACAGTCATTTGTAGGGTGTTGTGTAGGGTTATGTTTACACGTTATTTTTACGGATAATTAAAAATATACAATGACATAGGATTTTATACAGCTGCACTGCAGTAAAAACTATTAGCCCTTGGGAGAAAAGGTGAAGCAATAGATTCCTGTTCGTGACAATGAGTTTGACACTTTTCTGAGACCTAACAAGCCGAGCCATGCACTTGCTTTTCTCACCTTGGTGCACGGTCGTTCGATACAGACCACTCATTAACTTCTCCTCCTGGTCGAGAAATGTATCAAAGCAGCTCCACTTAGCGTGATGGGTAAAATAATCGTTACACGTTCTCAGCGTATGGCCAGAGTCAATTCGAGCGGCGGGGGGGGGGGGGGCGAGCAGCAAACGGGACATTTGTTCAGGGGTCTCAAACTCCTGAAGGGCCCATGAAAAAATACCAAGTTGCATTTTTATTCATAAAGGGGTGGACTCTTCATTTAAATTTAACACGTAGGCTTTCACGAACAATATCATCCATATTCTTGGTTCTTTCTTTCGAAGGGAAATAATAAAATAATGAAATAAAACAATTAGTATTTTATTTTCATTATTTTATTATTTCCCTTCTCCGTTACTTTACCGAAAGAACCAAGAATATGAATCCCTGCAGTCACGAAAGCTTTAAATTGAAAAATATCCATAATACAGGTTTTTATGGGTGAGATCGTGTAAATATATAAATGTGTGGTTAAACCCACCACCACCCGACACAGCCAATTAGTAAGATTTGTCACGTAAACAGAACGTGCCAATTCGTCACTAGTACAGCACACCGGTGTGTTGGAGAGCAAAGCCACAACATTTACAATCTGTGTACGACGTTTCGCCAGTAATTACAACTAGCTTCATCAGGCAACAGCCAGATTACTGGCAAAACGTCGTACTCGGATTGTAAATGTCGTGTGTGTGTTTACTCTCCAACACACCGGTGTGCTGTACTAGTAACGAATTGGCTTGTTCTGTTCACGTGACAAATCTTACTAGTTGGCTGTGTCGCGTGGTGGCTGGTTTCATGACACATTTATATCTTAATTTCATATTATCATTTTAATATGAACGGTATAAACAATGACTGTTTATCGCTTGGGGATTGTGTGCGTGTATTTGGATGTAGGTCCTGTGCCTTTCTTGATCAACTGAGCCTTAATCAAATACTTGACGGAAGTTTGTAAAACATCAGCACTAGGGAAACAAAGGTGGCTGGGCCTGGTGTTGACCACTCCCACCCCCCTGATGCGCCATTCCGGCCTTCATAGCTGTGTGCTAATAGCACTGTCAAAAAGTCGTTAACAGCTGTAAGGGGTCGGGCGGGGGGTGTGGGCCTTTGTCTGTGCATGTATAAATGGAGGGCGTGGGAAAGTTGAAGGGTTTATTTTCTGCTCTGGTGTCCAGAGGTGCAATTATACCTAAAGCCAGCCCTAATCTCTCACCTCTCACATCCTCAATTTTATGTTTACCCCACATCCCTTGCTCATATCACCCTCCCTAGTGTGTATGTATGTTTAACTTCTTTCACACCGTATATAGCCAACCATGCAAATTTGAGGTGCGGGGGAAGGACAGCAAACTAAACACAAAAAGCAGTTAAATCTTGACTTAAAGCTTTCGTGACTGCAGGAATTCATATTCTTTGGGTTTTTCGGTAAAGTCACGTAGATGGATCAAATAATAAAAAGTAATAACAATATCACGACGTTTCGATCGCAACACAAGCATTCGTCATCAGGTGAGAAATATCGCGGGAGAGCTGCTGAGAATATATGGTGGGAGCGCTGCTAAGGTAAGGAGTCTTTTTTTAAAGGCTTGGGATGGGTGTAGCCCAAGGGTCAGTGGGAGGGGCTAGAGATTAAATTTGCATGTAAATGTAAGATCGGGTAAATCTTGACAAACGAAGCTGTGGGGGCGGCCTTTACATTGTGATAGATTAGCATGTCAATGTAAGAAATTTTCTTGTAAATGTATGCTCCGAGAGAGCTCTCGGCAAGAGCATCGCCGAGCTCTCTCCGAGCTTACAATTATCTACGTGGCTTTACCGAAAGACTCAAAGAATACAAAAAGCAGTTCTAAAGAAATCAGTTTTCAATCTTGATGATTTAAAAGTGCATAGCTCCAGTGACTTCCTAATATTTGAAGGAAGAGCGTTCCAGACGGCCGCAGAAGCGCGTCTGAAAGCGCGCAATGCGGTGACAATCTTAATTCGTAGGCCAGCCAAAAGCCGGCGCTGCGAGGATGACCGAAGTTCCCGTGATGGTTTATGCCCGTGTCCCCCTCCCTTCCACCACACCACGGCAGAGTTTTACATCTTCGTCCGGCCGCATCACAAGAAGGCATTTGATGAGACTTGCCGGGACCTGACGGGCGAGGGCTGCGGCTACGTGGCGGAGCACAGCTTGACTCGCGAGCAGCGCACCGAACTCCTCCAGCAGAACGCAGCGCAGTCAGGTTTGTTGTTGTTGTAACGTTCTGGTTTGTCATTCTAATCTCGACTTTCGGCAAGATGTGGTGCTCGTGTCTCTTCCCTGCAAGTGGTCTCAAAGTGTGTTGCCGCAATCCCTTCGGGCACAGGCGTCCAGACCAAAAGGAAGCTCAGTTCAGAGGATGGAAGCGTACACGGGAACCCCAAGTCGAAGCTCGGCTGCTCGGCGGCGATCTCCGCCGAGAGCTCCGCGCAGGAGTTGGACAGCAGCACTCACCTGAACAAGGGCGCCGGCCACCTGAGGCCGCTGGAGCAAGCGTCGACCTCGTGCGCCGTCGTGGCTGTGCCCGAGAAACCCACGGCGCAAACCGCCAAGCAACGTGAGGCTGCGCCCCCCCTCCCACCTTCCGGCCTCTTGTCGCTCGCTATCTGGACACTCCCCACCGGAGCGCAACAGCACCCGCCGCCCCCACTCCAGCCCTCCGGCGCAGTAGTTTCACGAGATACTTTTCGGCGGTTTCTCAGCACATTTCGCAGGTGGGCGCGACGTTGAGAGTGTCTCGTAAAGAGGCGTTGGCGAACCTGCGTTAGTGATCGCTCGGAAATGTCGCTTACTAATGGAGCGTGGGAATACTGCTGGGAGGTTTACCTTAGTAGGCAGATAATGGATCATCGCTTTAAGTCGCTTCTTATTACACATGATGAACGCATACAGCCCATTTGTCATTTCACAGTTGTGTTAGGGACTTCAAACACCGTGCGGGTCATAGAGCTTATATGACTATAATTATCCAAGCTGGTCAGCATGGGTTGGTGAAGGCAAAGTTGCATAAATGTTAGTGTAGTACAGTTCAACAATGTATATGCTGCATTGGTCATCTGCTGACGATGTAAACCTGCATAATTCTACAACTCCTGTTGTATGCATGGTGATTGCCCATCCAAGTACTATCTACTGTCAACCCTGCTTAGCTTGTGATATTTACCAAGATTGGGGGCATTCTGCGTGATTTGGTCCTGGGGGGTGCACATGATATTTGAAATATGTGTTGAATCGTGTGTGTGTGTATGTGACCGATTCATGGAAACCTTTTAGGTTCTTGGACACCCTTGAGCCAGTATAGGTTCTACATGGACCATAATGGCAAAAAAAATCAATTCTTGAATGAAATTGTCACTTAATCTTGGCAATTTTCTGAATTGTGTGGGGTGCATTTTTAGAATACTTTTGCTTTTTTTTTCACGGCCCTCTGTCAATCCACTGCTGGATAAAGTTGTTCTGCACATTGATGATGATGATGATGGGTGTTATTTATCCATACTTCACCACTCGGGTCAGCGAAGGTTGGTGAAGCAGTGGTGCAATACTCTTTCAGATACAGTGAGGGAAAAAAGTATTTGATCCCCTGCTGATTTTGTACGTTTGCCCACTGACAAAGAAATTATCAGTCTATAATTTTAATGATAGGTTTATTTGAACAGTGAGAGACAGAATAACAACAAAAAAATCCAGAAAAACGCATGTCAAAAATGTTGTAAATTGATTTGCATTTTAATGAGGGAAATAAGTATTTGACCCCCTCTCAATCAGAAAGATTTCTGGCTCCCAGGTGTCTTTTATACAGGTAACGAGCTGAGATTAGGAGCACACTCTTAAAGGGAGTGCTCCTAATCTCAGCTTGTTACCTGTATAAAAGACACCTGTCCACAGAAGCAATCAATCAATCAGATTACAAACTCTCCACCAAGGTCAAGACCAAAGAGCTCTCCAAGGATGTCAGGGACAAGATTGTAGACCTACACAAGGCTGGAATGGGCTACAAGACCATTGCCAAGCAGCTTGGTGAGAAGGTGACAACAGTTGGTGCGATTATTCGCAAATGGAAGAAACACAAAAGAACTGTCAATCTCCCTCGGCCTGGGGCTCCATGCAAGATCTCACCTCGTGGAGTTGCAATGATCATGAGAACGGTGAGGAATCAGCCCAGAATTACACGGGAGGATCTTGTCAATGATCTTAAGGCAGCTGGGACCATAGTCACCAAGAAAATAATTGGTAACACACTACGCCGTGAAGGACTGAAATTCTGCAGTGCCCGCAAGGTCCCCCTGCTCAAGAAAGCACATATACATGCCCGTCTGAAGTTTGGCAATGAACATCTGAATGATTCAGAGGACAACTGCGTGAAAGTGTTGTGGTCAGATGAGACCAAAATGGAGCTCTTTGGCATCAACTCAACTCGCTGTGTTTGGAGGAGGAATGCTGCCTATGGCCCCAAGAACACCATCCCCACCGTCAAACATGGAGGTGGAAACATTATGCTTTGGGGGTGTTTTTCTGCTAAGGGAACAGGACAACTTCACCACATCAAATGGACGATGGACGGGGCCATGTACCGTCAAATCTTGGGTGAGAACCTCCTTCCCTCAGCCAGGGCATTGAAAATGGGTCGTGGATGGGTATCCCAGCATAACAATGACCCAAAACACACGGCCAAGGCAACAAAGGAGTGGCTCAAGAAAGAGGCACATTAAGGTCCTGGAGTGGCCTAGCCAGTCTCCAGACCTTAATCCCATAGAAAATCTGTGGAGGGAGCTGAAGATTCGAGTTGCCAAACGTTAGCCTCAAAACCTTAATGACATGGAGAAGATCTGCAAAGAGGAGTGGGACAAAATCCCTCCTGAGATGTGTGCAAACCTGGTGGCCAACTACAAAAAACGTCTGACCTCTGTGATTGCCAACAAGGGTTTTGCCACTAAGTACTAAGTCATGTTTTGCAGAGGGGTCAAATACTTATTTCCCTCATTAAAATGCAAATCAATTTATAACATTTTTGACATGTATTTTTCTGGATTCTTTTGTTGTTATTCTGTCTCTCACTGTTCAAATAAACCTTCCATTAAAATTATAGACTGATCATTTCTTTGTCAGTGGGCAAACGTACAAAATCAGCAGGGGATCAAATATTTTTTTCCCTCACTGTATAACTCACCGCTTAAGTTATCCACAGCCGGGTCACGAACTCGGGTCTCGAACTCGGGTCACCTGGCTTATATCACAGTGAGCCAACCATTGGGCCACCACTTAGTTTTCTCTATTTACAAAGTATCCACAATTAAAGATGACTAATCATTGAAAGTTAGGCCAGTTAATGTTCATCTGCATCGGTTTGCTTTACGAGCATCACCTTTGCTTGTGCAACACCTTTGGTTTATGCTCTTCCAAAATTAGAAAACTAGAAAGCTATGCACGTTTAAATCTAGATTGAAAACTCATTTCATTACAACTTTTTTCCGTGTTTAGTTTCTTGTCCTTCCTCTTCACCTCTGATTAGCAAAGTTGGCTACGAACGGTGCGAAAGAAGTTCAACGTACATATCTACGTTGCAGAGCGTAAATCTAATATTACTGCAAATAGAAGAGGTAACTTTTTTTCTCACTCGCGGTTATTACTGAGCACCCACCCCGAGGCCACACGCTCCGGTCCCATCTGCCCACGTTCGTCCAATGCGTGCTCGCGTATTTTCTGCCGCTGCCGCTCGTGCAGGCGACGTGGAGCAGGAGCGCTGCAGGAAAGCGTGCGCGCGGTACGTGGATGAGGTGCGGATCTTGCTCGGCGCTGGGGAGTTTGACCGCTTCTTCGGCGCCCTCAAGGACTACCGATCAAGCGGCGACTTCCAGGCCATGGTGGCCGCGCTGGCCGCCCTCTTCCTGGAGGATCCTACCCACGCGATGCTGCTGCGGAGTAAGTGCTGAAACCTTCGATCTTACATGCTAATTTCTCACATTAGCATCACTAGCCCCGCCCACTTCGTTTATGACCCTAGGACTACACCCTATAAAAAGTCTGCATTCAGCAGCTTTCCTCCTCTTTACTCCTGATGACGATCGCTTGTGTTGTGATCGAAACGTCGTAGTTTTGTGTTATCTTTTTTTTTTACCTATCTACGTGACTTTACCGAAAGACCCAAAGAATATGAATTCCTGCAGTCACGAAAGCTTTAAGTCGAGATTCTTCGCATTGTACACGTGCGTGTTTGTTTTGTACCACATACAGCCCTTTTGTCAGTTCACTGCCGAATGAAAAGGGCCTTTCCATGCCACGTTGGTCGTTTATTTTCGTGATACTTCACCACACTGGTCTGTGTGGGTTGTTGAAGGCGGGAAGTACAGATGCGGGAGCATAGTACAGTACAATTGGGAATTTTGCTATACTGCCCTCTGCTGCTTTTCGAAATATCTCTACAGCATCCTATAACATCTTTCAAATGCATGGCGGTTACCATCCCAGCACGCTTCAGACTCAATTTTGCTTATCTTGTGCAATCTGATGAGATCAGGTGCATTCCAAGAGATCAGGTCATCGGTGAAACTTTCAAATTAGGCAGTAACAATTTACTCTACCCCACAGTTCGATTAATTGTTGCGTTTGGGGGGTCAATCTTATTTTTAAAATCTATTATATTTTCTTCTACTGATTCGTTTGTATTTTCAGGTTTTTTTGGTTTCCATTCGCGTATATATTGTGTATTATTTGTAAAGAATAATTTCTTACAGGCACTATTCAATGAATGTATTGCAATGGTAAGAATGGTTTTAATGAATGGGGAACCTACAAATCACTGGCCCAGTGTGTGAAAATTAATTGAGTATAATAATTAAATGTGTTCCATTGTTCGCAATGCATGCATCAAATCATGCACATACAAACCGATTATAATAATTATTATATAATTGTTATTTACCGGTGTGAAAATGTTCTTCGATTGGTGGAACAAATGATAGAACATATCCGACACAACAAACAAGACACAGTGCAAAAAAATAGAATGGATTTTTTTTATTCCAATCATGTGACCCAACTTTTTTATAATTCGCCCAATGGTGGGGGCATGAATTGTTAAATGCTTGTCGATCGTGTGACCTGTTACCATTCACACGCAATTGATACCTTGGTCACCTTGCCCCGAGCTGACCGGAGCACCCAGAGGCAATTATATGCACTTTGTTAACGTCGATTGTTCAGATTTGTCATCGTTGATTTCCAAAACATTTCGTGAAGTTACACTCCAAAGGAATGGTTTGGTGTTTCGGATTTAAAAACAGACGTGTCGAGAGGTACAATCATGTATTCTCGAGTTGCCGTCGTAGTAGACTTGAGATTTCGCTGTGTTTGGTTTCATCAGACGAGGTTTTACAATTAAGGAATTTCAGCTGTGTAATTTTTTCTCAGTTTGTTTTACTACTACCTTAGCTACTGTGTGTGAGTACAGGGTAATATTTACTTTGAGACATGTGTGCCATTCCTGGGAACGGGGCAAAATTGCAAGCACTATTATACTCTGGTGACACGCTTGTGAAAGAGCTAATGGATATAGGCTGAGTAATCTCATCAATGTCATTACTCGTGAAGTGAAAAATTCCCATTCTCTAAAAGGTGAATGTTTTTGCTTATTAATTGAAAAGATGTATTCCCTCATTCCTTTTGAGGGGAACAATGCTGACCCAATGATACACATCATCGTGAATGATTGATTGGCCATTTCACCGGGATGCCATTAACATCACCTTCTCGGTGTCCCCTTTAGGAATCGCTGCTCCGTACACACGTCTAGTCGGGAACATTTTTGCATTTTAATTTACCCAATTTTAACTGTAGACATCTCTTAACTCATCCAGATTTAACATATCTGAAAGCTTTTGTACGTTTACCCAAAAAAAAATGCTTTTTTCCAATATTTTCTGATAGCAATAATGGTTGTATAAATAAAAAATGTCCCGTGCATGTAGAAAATATTCTACCCACACCGCATCAATCATTAGGGTTAGGTTTCTCTTCTCTCTGATAGTGGAACCACTCAACTGTCACATGGGATGTAATACAATCCCTTGGGAGCATAGTATACATGCATTTAAGTTTAAAGGCTAACAAAACAAACAGCGTACAAACAGATGGGCAGTGATTTCTTGGTTTGCCATTTTTCAAGTAACATTAACTTATCTAACAAGCTTTTACGTGAACAAAAGAGATTAACTCACATTTATTTTGCGAACAATGACCGAAATGAGTCCATAGAAATAATAATAATACTACATAAGGTCAAGGCCAAGTTGTTCTTTGGGGAGCGGTAGTGTGGCAGTTAGTGCGCTGCTCTACGAACCTGGTGACCCGAGTTCGGTTCTCGCTCAGGGCCAACACCAGTGACGATTATCGGAAGCGGTTCTGGCCCCCACCCCCCCCCCCCCCCATGTCAACTCAGCCTCAAATGAGTACTTGGTGCGGTGCGCAAAAAACATCTCCACTGGGGAGACAAAGGCGGCTGGGCATGGTGCTAGACACCCACCCCCTCGTGTGCCGTTCTGGCTTTCATAGGTGCTCGCCAACAGCACTTGCCCCAACAGTCTGTTAAGGCTATATGGCGATTTTTGTCTATTGTTTTTGTCGTTCTCTAATTAAGGCACTCGACTTGCAAACAAACGCTCGAGAGTTAAAATCCTGCATGGGGGTTGACTCAGCCCAAGATATTTGTAGGGTTTCTAAGACACCAAAAGTAATAATTCCATTTGTTAATCTAGGAAAGCCTCATTGAATCGCACACCTATTTGTCAGGAGGGTTCCGTCTTGGAATGTTTGGCCAATTCCACCCATTTAGTGTTTGTGGGCGGAAACCGGAGTAGCTGGAGAAAACTCGCATGTATACGAGAGGTTTAACACTCACAGGCTCGTACAGATTAATTCAAGAATCAATATTTTGTACTGCCATCTCCATTGCAGACATTTAAGAAATGTGCAACTCTTTCCTCCAAAGTGCTGGATTGGAGGCACGGCCATAACCCAACGCACACCACTCTGTCGGAAGCCTTGCGCTGGCTAATAACAGAGAACATCGTTGCCTCATGCTCATTTGAGCAAGGGGGCAGTTGCCACGTTGCCCATGACATTTGGGAAGCAAGCCAGGCATGTTTGCAAACTAGGCGATTGCCACCTGGAGTTCCACAGTAAGCCTTACAGCGCGAAACCAGCACCAACTTGGTCTCGTGGCCTAATTAATTAAGAAAGCCATATGGGCTCTTAGCCTGGCTGCCCTGGGAACCAATTGTGGATGTGATGGAATCGTCACGGATATGAGATATGCAGTTTAAGCATTCCTTGCTGAGGTCAAGAGGAGCTGCACTAAATGAATGTATATTAGTATTGTGATAGCATAGCCTAACAAAAACATGGTTTGAACGCTGTTAAAAACATGTTTTTTTTTACTCTTTGGTTCTATTGGGTAAAGTCACGTAGGTAAAAAATAAAATAACATTTTTTTTTACCTACGTGACTTTACCCAATAGAACCAAAGAGAATGGATCCTAGCAGTCACGAAAGCTTTAAATCTAGAAATGTTTTTTTTGCCATCTTGTCTCTCTTGCCATGGCAGGGGGGGGCAGGGGGGAGGGAGCAGGAGGGGTAGAACTCATGAACTGACTCATGAAGCGTGGAGGCGCATAAACCATCACGCGAACTCGGTCATCCTCGCAGTGACCTTTAGCTCGCCATCGAACAAAGATGGTCACTGCACGCTTTCAGATGCGCTTCTGCAGCCATTTGGAATGCTCTTCCTTCCGATGTTATCTAGATTGAAAGCTCATTTCTTTCAAACTACGTTTTGTGTTTAGTTTGTCGTTCTTTCCCCGCACCTGCCATTACCACGGTTGGCTACGTACGGTGTGAAAGAAGTTCAACATACATACAATAAAGCTGTGCAAGGGGCCAGATCTGACCTGTGCGGGGCCGCACCTGGGCCAACGAGCCTTATTTCTCTTGCATTCATGGGCGAGCATAGCATCGCACGTCATAAACGCACGTTCTCAGCACTGCTTTGAATAGCCATTGCGTTTTCCACCGAGTGAACGGTGGCGACAACGACGACCTTATCTGTGCCCCAACCGTGCGTGCGGCAGAGTTCTCGGTGTTCATCCTCCAGCAGCACCGGGAGAAGTTTGAGGGAGTGTGCCGCGACCTTACGGGCGAAGGCTGCGACTGGGGCCACAGGCAGGCGCAGAAGGCTCGGTCAGATGGAGTTGGTGCCCCGGCCTCCACAGGTAAGGCATTGACTGGCCTTGCCCACCCTGTCACGGGTAAAGGCAAGGCATGGCAATCCTTGACAGTCTGTGATCATAAAAAAAAATTCACCCTGCGGACTCTTATGGTGCAGGAGCTGTGTGGACCTGTTATAAAAAACGTATGAAATAGAGAGGTGTGGCCCCGCAGTGACTTGCTCATGCCACTGCTGATAGAAGGGCCTCTCACGAGAGGATGTTCAAGAGTTCCCCTCTGGGAGGATGTTTGGGCTGCTCTTGAACGCTGGGCAGGTTTTTTGGAAGAGCTTGGTGGACCCACAGTTTAATCCCACCACACCCGAACCTGCTGATCAACTTAACTGGTGGCTTAAGAAAGCGATCCAATTGTCTCTACATGTCCCGTGTGTATACCATTACACCACAGCAGCTCCCCCCCCCTCCATACACCCATGTGTGGATATAAAAGTATTGATTCTTATACACGACATCTGATGCATGAGCTTAAGAATCAGCAATTGACTGATTAATTGATTTTTGATTTAAAGCTTTCGTGACTGCAGTAATTCATATTCTTAGCTCTTTCAGTAAAGTCACGTTGAAGGGAAACAATAAAATAATAAAATATATATAAAACAATAAAAAATTCTCACGACGTTTCGACCATAACACAAACGGTCGTCATCAGGTGTGTCGGTTTGCAACCGACGATCGTTTGTGTTATGGTCGAAACGTCGTGAGAATTTTTATTGTTTTATATATTTTCTTATTGTATTGTTTCCCTTCAACGTGACTTTACCGAAAGAGCTAAGAATATGATTAATTGATGCTTAAGTACAGCCTTCCTGTGTTTAGCTGTTGTGGCAAAGAGCTAGCATTTCCACAGTGGGGCAGCTAAGGTCTTAATTTCAAAAGTAAGAAAGTGTATGCCTTTGTTAACACATGTTTTTACTGTTAAAATTACATGTCACACATTAAAACATGTTTTTCAAGTGCCTTATCCCGTCCCTACAGATAAGATAGTCCAATCCCTTCAGCTGCAGTGTGCCTCAACAATGCTTCTATTTGTTTTACGTAACATGTGTGGCCTCACCGTATCTCCCTGCCCCCCACTCTTCCACCCTCCTACTCCCCCCCCACTTCCACATGGAGCAAGAGGTCCTGTGCTGTGTAGATGGGGACGTCGCTAGATTGTGACAACATGAACATCTGGTTCAATGCAGCAATGTTATGATAAGTGTTTCCGCTCTTTAGCTCCTCATGTCAATGTGTGTAATGCCTTTGTGTTACAATGTTGGAGCACTTACTAACTTGTAATGAGAAAATTATTTAAGAATGGGTGAATATAATTGTATTTTCTTGCTTTGTGTATACAAGTAATGTTATCATTTGTTTTGCTACAACCGTGAGTGATGTCTAGTTATAGTACTAGCAGTTAAATATTTGAAGTCTTTCAAATCGTCGTGGCTCTGTTTTATTTGTTTAGAAATTAGTGCGTGACTAAAATCTGACGTTTTTGAGTCATTCCGCTTTCCAGCGTCTCAGAATGCTGGGAAAAGGGACACCATTTCAGGTCAGAGCAAGATTTCCTCGTTCTTCGGAGGAACCGACAGGAAGGCCGAGGCTCTGGGGTCGAACCGCGGGGCGGCACAAACGCAGGGTGGCGGCAGCGAGCAGCCAGGCTCATCCGCCCAGTCTGGCCTCACCGTACAGCAGAGCAGCAGTGCAGCTCGGCCTGCGAATGTCAAAAGCGGTGCGGAGCAAACGGGCCACCCTGTTCCAAAGGGTTTGGACTCACAAATCAACTTTCTGCTGAAATATGAGGATCATTATTATGAGAGTGAGTGCCTTTGACAGTTTAAATAAACGGTTTTTTTTTGTATGCAGTGACTGCATTCATCTTCTTTGGTTCTTTCGGTAAAGTCACGTAGAATGAGAATAAAATAATAAATTGATAAAATAAAATAACACAATAATATTCTCACGACGTTTCGGCCACAACACAAGCGGCCTTCATCAGGTGAAGGGACGAGACTGTCTGGTAGGACAGCGCTTCACCTGATGAAGGCCGCTTGTGTTGTGGCCGAAACGTCGTGAGAATATTATTGTGTTATTTTATTTTATCAATTTATTATTTTATTCTCATTCTACGTGACTTTACCGAAAGAACCAAAGAAGATGAATCATTGCAGTCACGAAAGCTTTAAATCGAAATAAAATAATAAATTGATAAAATAAAATAACACAATAAAATTGTGTTGTGGCCGAAACGGCGTGATAATTTTATTGTGTTATTTTATTTTATCAATTTATTATTTTATTCTCATTCTACGTGACTTTACCGAAAGAACCAAAGAAGATGAATCATTGCAGTCACGAAAGCTTTAAATCGAAAAGTGACTGCATTGTTTGTTTCATGGTCCAGTAATGTACACGCAGCAACGCAAAAGCAAAATTCTGTTTTCTGTGTTTCTCTATGTGTTATGTTTTTTCTCGCTGAATGTCATTTGTAACACATAGGAAGGCATGAATGCTTTGGAACAATACTCCTTTTATATTGCAAATATCACGCTGAAAGTTCCGAATAAAAGAACACAACGTCATTGACATCCTTAAAGGATTCCTTTCTAAAGAATCCCAAATTTATACCGATTGTGCTAACAGTGTCACGTCACAGCACGAAGAAGAAGCATCCATATGGGGATCTCTTGCAGAACATTGCAACTCTTTATGTTGTCGAACAGCCCACTGAAGCGATGATCACAGAGCTACTTCTGACTTCTCTTCAAGTGACGTCTGGTTCGCACATTTGGGAGCAGCGCTTTGCCTATTGCTGCCCTGCCACAGGGACAAGTGTTTGCCATGTGATAGTGATTTTTTTTTGTTTTGTTTCTCAGAGCTGGAAATGTAGCCACATTGAGTACAGAACCAAACGTAATCTGATTCGTTTTTTTCGTGCAATCATTGGTGACCTGGCTGAGACCATCAACTTGGGACACTTTGAACCTGCTTTCATCACTGGCGTTTGCCTAGAGTTGAACCCATGTTCTCAACAGCGCCCGCTCAGTGCGCAGACCTTTGAGTTGCCCAGCCAATTGCCAGACCAACACGTTATTATTCTGCAGAGGGTTTAAACGGCAATCTTTTTTTTATCACACAATGTAATGTTCGTAAGATCCTTCAGTGAAATTAATACTCTTAACAATTCCAAGTGTTCACTTTATATTTAGCGTATATATCTTTGTTTTCACGCTTTCGAAATAATTGCATCGTGTGTGACGGTCGTGATACGGCCTTGTCTGTGTGTCCGTCGGTAGGGACCAAGTGTGGGATGTGCAAATTAAAGGCATCGGCATACTTAGCGTGCCCATCGTGCAGTGTCGTCGGCTGTGCGCGATGCTGGCGGTTGTGGTGCAAGGTTAGATGATGTGACAATTCATTATTTTGTCTTTGGAGGGAAGCCTCAGCCGACTTCTTGAGGGACACATGGTAGCGAATTTGAAGTTGGGGAGCAAGTAGTCGTGGAGACCCCCCACTGATTAGCCAAGGAGGGCCATTGAAAGTTACTAATCGAGGGGAAACAGCATTTGGCCTGCCACTACCCTGTCCAAAAGTTAGGAGATCGGCTGTTGCACACTCTCCATCACCTCCGTTCCTTCGCCCATGTGAGTCTAAAACTTTTTTCTGAGTGGTACTGCTTTTTGGGGGTATTACGCCAATTCCTTCAAGCAGGAGGAAATCACAGCACCTGGCTAAAACGTACTCATGTGTGGATAACAATGATACATCCATATCTGTTAACGTGATGCTTGGTACAGTGCCTTTTGCAGGACATGATGTGTAGCCCTGAAATTGAAAATCTCGTGTACATGATGTCTGTGTGATCTCCTGAACCACATCATGAACACACGAGAATGCAGAGGTGCTAAATAACTAAGTCGGATAACTCCATGTGAGGGATAATGCATCTCTTTAGCAGACGATATTTGGGGAATTACGCATTGGTTATGGTGTTAAATACTATTTTTGTTACTTTCATTGCATTAAAACCGTGTCCATATATGATACAATGTGCTCCTGGGTGCCTTTAAAGTATAAAAAAAATATGCATAGTATTCACATTTAATTTGTATGCAAGGTAATGGTTAAGTAATACATTTTTTGTCCCGTTTTAAGCATGTTTTTTTTTAAAGCATGTCACTTCAGGAATAATTTAAGGTCAAACTGAAATGTCAGTCGCTCTTCGCGTGACAGGTAGACGTGTGGGCGTTGTAATTTTTTGATGGGTGCCATCCGCAGGATGAAAGTCATCGCAGGTGATAAGTGGGGCGCCACCTAAAAGTAATATAATTGTCAGTTTTTTTTATCAACGTCACAGCCACAGGCAGCCCTGCATGCATATGTACGTAGGTGCGTGCGTGCGTGCGAGGTTTTGATGCCGAGCAATGTGGTTCCTGCACCGCCGCTACTCACTGCGTCATAATTGCCTATGATATTGTAACAGGGTGCCACGCACCCCAATTCATTCCTGGCAGCTGTTAGTGACGTGACCTGAAGAGCTTTCAAAATAATCGGTCACTTGTTGGGGAAATGTGACTTTTCCTTAATGGGCATGCTGGGAGGAGACAAAACAACCCACGTGTTGATTTCCACTTTCTCCCCGTTTTACAGACGTTAATTAAAGCGATGGTCATTCTCCCGGCAGAGTTGTTACCGTGTGTTGCTCAGATTCATGTCCGACGTTTCGCTCCGCGTGCTGGAAGCTTCAGGAACTGACGCTCGGGTTACTGGAAGAAGCTCCGAGCACAATGTATCATAACGGAAGACATAGCACCAAACAACGCACAGTGTAACCAAAAAGAAAACGCATCGAGAGAGCTAGACAGCACAACCGCGACAAACCTACACATCAGTGGCATTCACCGTCTCGGAGCTATATTAAAGTCATCTCCATTGCATAATGTAGAATTTTGTGGTGATAGTACAATTCAAAAAAACAATGCGACAGCATTCTAATGGTTCTACCGTATTTTTCTCTTGCGTGTGGATGTGTGCAGCTGACCCAGACCTGCCCTGATTGCTCAGAAGCGATTAGGTGGCGAAATCTGCTCCCCTTCTTCCATATGTTTGAAGAGGAATGTGAAGACCTATAATGCGACATCCATGACCGTTGTCATTAATTGGGAGATGATTTGTAGCCAAGAGTGTATTAAGGTCCTTCTAAGATCTTGGCTACATGTCAAAAGTTACTCTTGTAAGAGCGAAGCTAATCATGATTATAATTGAGGACATTACAAGCTACATTATGGATCAAATCAGTGTTTGCCGTCACGTTTATCTATGTTGCGTCTTGGTAATTTCCATGGTTGGTTACAATCACACCCGCTCTGACCTCACCGGCCGCTGTACGTGACACTGCTCAATAGTTTCCACCACGAGTACCGAGTTCGTGTTTATGGTCAAATCGAAAGTTCACGCAAATTACATCTGTAAATAGTTTCATGATGATTTCCTAACGTTTTGACCCCCGTTCGGAGCAGTCTTCTGCTCTTATACATCGCCCTGATATATGCTCTCTTGTCCCTCGGGTGTTTTACAACGAGTTCCTCTCGGAGGGACAATGTACATGGCGCGTTTGTTTTCTTTCTCGGGCGACCTTTCCACTCTATCACAAAACGTGATTCTTTCGGGATGCCCCCTCTCCATGACAACTGCAAACGGTGCCAAACTCACGCTGATAGTGCCTGAGAGTGTGCGATTGGCCCCGTCGCATCGCGTGGCTTTGCGCATACTAAATTTCAGAAAGGGTGAAGATACGACCTTTTTTTTTTACCTCTTCTGATGAGCTTTTCGGGTCGCACCGCGTGTCGTTCTGTACGATGTCCGACGTTTTTTGCCCCACGTGCTGGGAGCCTGAAGCTCTTGAGCACGTGGAGTGAAACATCGGATACCACGCCGAACAACACGAGATACAGCCCGAAGACACATCTGAGCTGTAACAAATAATCCGAAGTCCATAACTTCGAGTGCATGCAGTTTGTATCCCCTCTATTGTTTCTTGTAGTTGCCTTAACTGCGCTTGTATACACGTTCCCTTTTGACCAAATCTGATAGCAGTGTTGCACAAACCACCTTGCAATCAAGTTCAATTATTTGATTTCTGGGCACGGTTCTGTCACGTGCGTTTATTTATAGGAGGCTGTTTTTTCGAGAAAATGGTTATGTTTTATTTTGCATGCTTTGCTCATTGTTGTTTTTGTCATTGAATAGCCTTGTTTTTTCAAGTTTCCACTAGTAAGTGTATATAATGCATCCGATGTGTGTGTGTGTATGTACAGAATATATGTTGAGCTGCTATGTGTTCGGTTTTTTGTGACAGGTGAAATAGAATGGTGGAAGGTTTTTGTGGTAGTGATACTCGTGTGTGCGATGACAAAAGAAAACATCTCAGTCTGTGTACGTATGGAGTAAGCCTTGGTTCAACTTGGCAGATGTTGGCTGTCTATCCGAGTAAAATAATATAACACGCTGCCTGGCATGTTAATGTTTTACATTGTTATTGCAATGAGAGTGGAGCATCTCTCTATGTCCCCTGACTTCATCATAATTCATAGCAGCTCTTCTTATTCTTGGTTCTTTCGGTAAAGTCACGTAGAAAGGAAATAATAAAATAATACAAATAAAACAATACAATTCTCGATTGCAACACAAGCACAACAGAATAACTGCTTTTTAAATTTCGATTTAAAGCTTTCATGACTGCAGGGATTCATATTGTTGGTTCTTTCGGTAAAGTCACGTGGAAGGGAAATAATAAAATAATGTATCAGGTGATGATTGCTTGTGTTGCAATCGAAACTTGAGAATTTTATAGTTGTATTTTTATTATTTTATTATTTCCCTTTTATGTGACTTTACTGAAAGAACCAAGAATATGAATCCCTGCAGTCACGAAAGCTTTCAATCGAAATTTAAAAAGCAGTTCTTCTGTTATGCATTGTCGAACAATACTACATAGTGACTCGTTCTAAGTTTTTCACTGCCATATGTGAATCTCATGACAATCATGAGCAGTGGCAACTACTTCTGGATGATGAAGGTATTCCCATGCCATTGGCATCCCTTGCTCACACTCCTACTATGCTGCAATCAGTCTGTACGTATGTATGTTGAACTTCTTTTGCACCGTACATAGCCGACCCTGATAATCGGAGGTGAATTTATCTCATTGCTGAGTGAACTGATCTCATCACTGCACCTGCCTGATAGACTTCCTGGGTGCATTTTCCTTGGATAACATTCCATCACCAGTCTTGCCAGCCTTCCATCAGGCATGTGTCCTGCCCAAGCACGTGTTTTTTTTTCTTAACGTGCTTGTCTTCTGATTGGCATGTGCGACTTCGTGTGTCTGTGTAATTCCAAGCCTTATTCATAAACAGATGGAAGCTCAATGGGATGTATGTATGTAACTATGTTGAACATATTTCGAACCGTACCTAGCCAAATGTGCTAATTGGATACGGGAGACACTTTGGGGTGCGCATGGAATGTGTAGAATTAAGCATAAAAGATGTATGCGGTTGTATACACAAGTTCGGGAAAACATTTAAATAATGTGCAAAATATGTTAAACAAGATTATGGAAAATACCACTCTTGCTTCCGCTTCAACTACCTTGATAGGTTTTCACTGTCAAGTTTTCTTTTAATATCGTTTATTAACCTTGTACGACAGCAACTGATGTATAAACGTTTTAATGTATATAGTTTTTTTCGAAAACATGTACATGCTATCAAAATAATTGTACTGTGGTTTATTCAGGAATTAACCTATGTTTAAAACCTGTTCCGTGGAGAGTTTATTGTCGTGGCTTCAATGACCAAATCATCCGGAATGTGCCCAATCTTATCAGATCGCGTAAGCTAAGCAGGCTGTCATTGGTGTTGTGGGCAGCAGAGGAACCCGAAACTACTGTAAATCCATTCTGCGCTCCCCTTCATCAACCCGCATTGACCAGCGGTTGTGGATTTATGGTCACGTGTCCCTTGTAGCCTTCAATGTGTGGGATGGCTCTCGTCCAAGCAGTGGATCGAATCGGGCCGTACGTGTACGGTCGTAGTGAATTGTGGTCGAGCTACTCCCGTTACCGACACAGCACAGAAGACCTTGATCGTATACAGGAGGTCGTGGGTTCGATCCAGACCCTGACGCCTGCTGTATATTTGGAGTTTGTATGTCTCTCTCCCCATGGTAGGCGTGGATTTTTCTCCCGCTTTTCTGGGTTTCCCTCCGTATTTAGAAACATGTTTTTGTCGAGTATTTGTCTGCCATACATTTCCACGTGATAAGCCACCTCGTTGAGCTTGTGTGTTCAGGTTGCTTCTGAACAAGATTTATACAGCTCGGTGAGCCTTTCCTGGTAAAATAAAATAAAAATGGTTTAGTAGTCGGTTGACAAAAGGGCTGTACATTTGATTGCGTTTGTTTTGAGTTGTGACATTGATGCCTTATACTGAAGACGGTAATGCTGATGAATCGATAGTGGTTACAACACGCCCTTTTTGTGTTAATCTTCAGGCATCACTTTTGCCAGGCGGTGCACGTACGTCACACACAAACAAAAGTTTGTATGCATGTGTTCTGATAATACGCTGATCCAGAAAATATTTGCATTCACTAATACGTCGTACCTTGAGAGAGTCGAGACGAAATTAAAATTACGATTTATGGGATCTGTGGGTGGCCACTCCCTGCTATGACTCAGGAGAGAGGTCGAATTTTATGGTTTATTTCAACATTCACTCATTCATCTACCTTCATCCACTGCTCGATTAGAGCCACCCGTACATATGTGACTGAAGGGAGGTGAATCAGCACATTTTTCCGCCGTTCATGCATTTCAAGTGTGGCAGGTAAAGATGACTTAGCAATTGTAAGTGGTTTTTTTTCACACGAATCAAGGGATCGTAAGTTACAAAATACTTGCTCGAGATAAGTGAATGGGCTCAGAGGTCCAGTGCACTGAGCCAGCACCGACACTTCAGTCTTGCGACGTCGATCGCAGAAATGAACCAAAAATGAGAAAGAGGAGACGTAATAAAATTACTTATAACATTCAACACGTTTTAAAGCAGTGTTAATAAAAATAATGGAGTGTACAGGCGAGTGTGCTTCAATACTATGGATAAATGTGGTGTGACACTTGCCCTCGACACATGGAAGTGTGCTCGGACTGAGAGCGATCTAAATATCGCAACTAATATTTGCATGGGAGAGGAGAAAATGGTTCGTCAAAATTCCACTTGACTTTTTTTTATTTGCATCTTACCTTAGAACCACAATCCTGGTGCTTAAAAACCCCCGTTATTGTGGAGCAAACCTACGCCATATGAGCACAAGACCTGTCAGAATGTATAACCTCAGGACCCGTATGAAGATCGTGGAGTTGTCATTGCTGCGTCAATGGTGCGGAGCGATCTTCTTGAGAGTAGCATTCCTTCTGCACGGGGACCCAATTGTGTCCACTGACTGGTCACTGCCGGGATGGCGACTCGTGGTGCCGCGTGACTTATATGTCCCCTTTAACAATGCAAGAGAGCTGATCAATCGGTATGCTTGCCTCCGAGATAGTTAACATGCAATTCACGGCTTCGGTTCCTGTTACGTCACTGGGAAATGTTCTGCGAGGGCTTTGTGGAAGACGGTGCGTTGCCTCGTGTAAAGCGCGTGTTTTAAGATGTTACTGCTCTCGCCTGGTAGGGCGCAAGATGCCCACGATCATTTGTTCGACACAATACTGTACGGTATCTTATTTCAAAGCTTCTTATGTCTGCAATGTGCTTCATTGCAATGCCATTGGGGCACCATGGTAGCGAAATGTTAACTGCCTTGCCTGGTATACAGGAGGTCCATGGGTTCGATCCTGACCCTGGCACCTGTATATATGGAGGTCGCATGTTCTCTTTCCCCATGGTAGGCGTGGATTTTTTTCCGGCTTCTCCGGGTTTGCCCTCTAGATAAAAAAAAAATGCTTTTAGATTTTTTTTTACTTCTATAAATTCCCACGTGATGATATAAGCCACTGTGATGAGCCATTATGTGACCAGGTCACCTCTGAAAAATAGCTGTCAGCTCAGTGGGCTTTACCTGGCAAAATAAAATGGTGAATTCGAATAGTTGCCCCCATGAATGCCATTGCGCAAGCCAAAAATATCCAACTTTTAAGATTAACTCACTGCAAAGATTACTTTGATCATAAAATGTCACGAATCTCAATTGGCCGCACCTGTTGAAACAAAATGATATTGATGGATTTGCCTTCGGGGGCTTCACTGTCAGGCCCTTTCCCCGCACCGAACCCCCGAGAGCCACCCTAACCCCCTCCGGGCGCCTCCCACATCCCCCCCCCTCCTACCCCCCCTACCCCCCACCACGTCTCTTGCATCACAGACGAGGGCAGGAACGCTCACCACCGCCTCCCATTGGCCCCGACTGAGCCAGTGGGTGGATGAGTTCGAGGTGGGGGGGAGAGGGGAGGCGGTAGTGCTGGTTTTAAAAAAAGTAGCTCGCCGCACACAGGAGGAGCCATTTCTCAGGTCACACAGGTGCGTGTGTGTAGAGGACTGGGACACGACCATCACAGGTCACAGAAGCGGATCGTCAGATCTCCGACTCGGCTGCCCGAAGGTCAGGGTGACATCATTCAATGGTGTTTGTTGTTTTCACGTGCAAATTCTAAACCTTCGTTGCAAGTGTCTTGTCCGCAGTGTGCATTGCTGGGGATTTTTTTGTTTAAAGCCCCCTGCAGTTGTACACAATTGTGTTTCTCGACTTTGGGGTTTGTATAGAAGGCTAACAATGTTGTGCAAAAAGTCTTGAGTGAGTGTTTTTTTTTTGTAAATGTCGTCTGACTAGGTGTTTGTGGGTATTCTCCCACATGTACAACAACAACATCACAAACTCAAAAAGGAAAAATTGGCCAAAATATTCCAAGTAGAATCCACTACCCTCCTTCCACACCGAAAAAGTGCTTTTTTTCTACGTGAATGTCTTTCAAATGGAATAACTGTACGACTTGAGCATTGTGATTGCTCCCATTGAACGTTGCGAGAGAGCCTTTGAATGGAGGTCACTTGCAGATTTGCAGACACAACGCGACCGCAATTTCCTCCGGATGGATTTAAATAGTCTCTCTCGCACCAGTAATCACGACCCCACAGCAACTGTGTGCTGTCATATCGTTATAGCATCTGTTGAATTCTACGTAAACCAGTGAACTGCACACACGTACGTAGCATTGTAATATTGGACTATTGTGTGTTTGTGCTGTCCATGCGAATTTAATGCTTAGAATTCCATGTATCAGCATCATCAACACGTTGCCTATGTACGCTGCGAAAGAAGTTCAACACGCATAAGATGCCTGTTACCCAACGAGTCGGAGGCAAGTGTTGGTGAATCACATTTGTGGGACTCCCACAGCCAGCGCGGCTGTGATGATGGCCAGGAGATGGCGGTAAAGCAAAGTGGCTTGTGAACCCATGTTTTGACTCTTGAGTGTTATTCCCTCGAATGAGTGCTGGGTTTTCTCAGGGTGCCCCATTTTCCTCTCGCACGCAAAGCGTTCGTAGAAGATGGCTCGGAGACCCCCCCCCCAGTAAAAATGCAAAGTTGGGCCGTGGTTGGAACCTTTGGATCAACAATGGCCAAACGTTCCATGTTTATACTGGGTCCGTACTGAGGACTGAATAGGACATTTGAATACCTTTCACGGGACAAAGACAAAGACCCCCCCCCCCATCCCCCTGTAGCCTTAACAGACTGTTGGGGCAAGTGCTGTTAGAGAGCAACTATGAAGGCCGGCACGGTACACGAAGGCATGGGTGGCCAGCACTACGCCCAACCGCCTTTGTCTTCCCAGTGGCGATTTTCTTATTACACATCGCATCAGATACTCATTTGAGGCTGAGTCGACCTAGGGGAGTCCCAGAACCGGTTTGTCGCCGGGTTCATAGTGTAGCACACAAACCGCTGCGCCACCACTCCAAAGGCAAAGATCCCCCGTGTAGCCTCAACAGACTAGGGCAAGTGCTATTAGCGAGCACCTATGAAGGCCGGAACGGCACACAGGGGGGTGGGTGGCCAGCACCACGCCCGACCGCCATTGTCTCCCCAGTGGCGAAGTTTACTCATCGCACCAGATAGTCATTTGAGGCTGAGTCGACCTAGAGGAGGCCCAGAACCGGTTTGGATAATCATCGCTGGTGTTGGCCGTGAGCGGGAATCAAACCCGGGTCGCCGGGTTTATAGCGCAGTGCGCTAATCGCTACACCACCGCCACCACTCCCTACACATGAACAGACACACACCCCAGTCACTTCTGTGCCTGCAAGAGGCAGTGAAGTGGCTGAGAGCGCGGGGGTAACACAATACACAGCTCAAAAGTATTCCCCTCCAGTGCGGCTTATGTGCTTTCAATGAGGGATTCATGTCGTTTGAGGGACAATTTGAATTGGTGGTCCCTGCGTAGCCACAGAGCATAGGGTGGTCACCACCAGTGCACTGATGGGAATTGGCAAAAACTTTTCAATGCCGGGACACTGCTAAAAAATAGTTTTGAGACTCGGTGAGACTTTCCTGCGTAATAAATAAATGGCATAATTGTTAATATACGAAAGTAAGTTGAACGTATTTCGCTCCGTACGTTGCCAACCGTGCTAATCGGCGTCTCGCGGATGAAACGTAAAATATCCGTGCGAGGCTCAGTGCAGAGAAAGGGCAAGAAAATGTGGCACCAGGTTCTGAGGGCAAGGTACAGAATACTGTGTAACGGCTGTCTCATAATCAAGCAGTAAAGTTTGATTCGTACACATGAGGCGTGTGATGGTTAAACCCGGTCGTGGCTCTGTGAAATCTGGTGCATTTTGATGTTCTCAATTCTGTTCTGGAATTATTATTTTTGTATTGCAGACAATGGGGAGTGCCTACTAGTGGCTACAGGAGGTGACGGGAACCGTTCACCTATAACGTCTGCTGATTGCAAATAATCAATTACACATTGTACGCATGCATCGTGAGCTTAAGTATCGATGCATTTCCATTGCTTCTCCAGCATATATCAAGAGACTCCATGGGCATTAAATCGAATGTCTTGCATGCAGGATTGCCTCTGGCTCGTCATGTGCAAAAGAGGGGTGTAATATGCGTTCAGGGCAGCGGAAGGCAGTACACCAAAACACATTGTTGTACTGTACTCCGCATCGACCCCCTCTGAGCAGCGCGGTGAAGTATGGTCAAAATGTTCCCCGGCCTGCAAGGTTCGCTGGGAGGCCCTCATCCAGCGGTGGATTGACAAAAGGGTCCGTCCCGCGTGCACGTAAACATCAAGCGCTGTGTTGTGCAGCATAGCAGACGCTGTTTTCTGCTTCAGTTCCACGAGGTTGTCGTTCGATTCCTAAATACCAATGGTCACATGCGTCACTTTGGTGAACGTAAACAACCTCCTCCCCCCGCCCCACCTCCGGTTTATGTTCTCACGAGTGCCATCGCCGTCCCGTGCGCGGTTGTGAGAATTCAAGCGCCGGTCACCCTGGGCCCCCATTGTTTGATTGTTTTAGGTGAAGAAATTGAGCTCGATGCACCGTGAGTCTGTCGTTCAGACTCACGGTTCATTGCACACGAAGCCACCCCACCACCTCCGATTCGAATTTCCTCCGCTTGTTTTTTCTTCTTTTGTTTCCTCGTTGTTCGCTTGAGCCATTAAAGTCGCCAGCGCTTAGGGGATGTCGATCGCCGACGATGGATTGAAGCACTTGGGTGTCAGGGCATTGTCAAACATGACGCACAGCTGCATTTGCCACCGGCTAATATCATCGTTACGTTAAATGGTTGCAATACGATGTCATAATTTGCAGCATGTTATCGATGCTATGCGATGTCACTTGTGTAATAATTCCATAATAAATGTATTGTAGGGGTGCTATCCTGCGTGTAAAACACAGGGAAATGCTGCCACGATCGGTCGAGTCTTGGGCGGTGCCCATGTCTATTTATAGCCCTGAGCCAGTGGTGGAAAATCCGCATTGCCATGGTGGTAGTGGCCAGCCTCGCCAAAAGTCGACCCCTATGGACTTTCCAAAGTGGTTCGTTAATTGCCTTGGCCCATGAGAGATTATGACGACGATGGTGGGCTGAGTGAAACCGAATGGGAATTGAAGCTGCGAAATGCTGGTTGTGAGTCGAGCGCTTTGCCACAGCACGCACCGTTTCCTTTAATAGACTAAACGGGCCCGCAAACAGGGGTAGAGAAGTGGGGACAGTGGTTTGCGCACAGCACTATGGACCCAACAACCCCGAGTCTGATACCCAGCCGTGGGCGAGTGATACATGAATCCGTTGGAGGGCTCCCTCTTCTCCAATATTCAATCTGCACTGGAGTATGGGCAAATCTAGGAGCGGATTGTATATATATTTATTTTAACAAATTGTTTGGTCGTGCTGCTGCTGCTGCGTTGGCAGTGGTACGTAAGCACAAACAGCAACAAAAACTGAACACGCTTGTCAATAACACTGTGGCCTTCAAAGGTTCTTCGCTTACGAAGATCGGGGAGGAATGTGAGGCCCATGTAGTTGGCGGCAGGAGCACTGGTGGCTGTGCAGGCCGATCCTTGACCTGCACACGTTGTGGCAAGCGGTGCATTTGAACGCCTGACCAGTTGGAGCCTGGGCGATGGCCCTTCTTCATAGCACGTAGATTGACAGTGGTGTAAATTATTCTCATTATTTTGCATGTTAAATTTTACATGTAAAATCATTACCAAGTGCATCATAAACATTGCTGTATTGTATACATACATACTGTACATGTGGTAGGTTAACGGGAAGTTTATTTGATATGCACTCGTGCACCACTACCAACAAAATTCGTAAATTTTTGTTTGGATATTATTATTGTGAACAGCTCGTTGTCAGTCCACTGTCAGCTTCTCCGTGCCGTGTTCGTCACGCGGATTATGACCACACTTCACCAGTGGTGGGTTCGTAAAGGGGGGGTTGGGGCCGCAGGACTGGTTCAGATATCACTCGCCACAGTTATCAGCCATGGCCAGTACTTTATTTAAGACCACCGAGTTTGTTACTCAATGTTCCAATCAGTAATGCCACTCCTCCCATTTTTTCCTGTAGCACACGAAACAGCCATTTTGCCAATCCACTGCTGGGTGACGGAATCCCCGGACTGGTGCGGATCGCGAGGGTTAGTTGACCATATTACTGGTAGGAACCTCCTGGTTACACCAGCCCACAGGGGATTATTGTGTCCGTCCGTCCGTCATGCATCCAAAAATGGGAGGGGTGGGGCTGGGTGAAGAGGGGAGGGTGGGGAGGGGCTGGGTGGGGAGGGTGAGGAGGGGAGGGTGGGGCTGGGTGGGGGTGGGAGGGGTGGGGCTGGGTGGGGAGGGGCTGGTCACCCCGTGGTGCCCTTATAAAACTCAACGTTTAACATACTCACGCCGGCTTGTGCTCGCCCTCACAGTCGGGCATATTTGCGGAATACACCACGTGGTGCCGCCGTTGGCCCTGGCCATTGACCGAGCAACCCAACATTCCTACCAGCTCCCTCCGCAGGAATGTGTTTAACCGCGCTGGTCAATAATACGTACGGCACATGTAAGTGACCGCGGGCTCTCAATAGGCCGCAGCCAGAGAGGATTTAACTTTTCTTGTCCAACAGCGGGGATCTGTTTTGTCTGCGGCGTGTGCAGGAGCTGAAAGAGAATCTAGAGGAGCTGGGAGGACACGAGATAAAGAGTGAGGGAGAGCGAAAGAGAGGAGGAAGAGCGGAACGGCGGCGGCGGCAGCAGCAGCATCGGAGACAGAGCGGCAAGGAGAAATCGCGAGAGCCAGGCTGGTGCAGAGACAAGAGTGTCGGGGAGCCACCATGAGTTCGAAGGCAAAGCTCGTTTACTTTAATGGACGTGGACGCATGGAGTCCATTCGATGGGTGCTGGCTGCCGCTGGCATCGAGGTGGGTCAGCGTCCGAGGCCAAAGTGTTTGCCTACTCAATTAAGTTTCCCATGTCAATGGTATTCAAAGTAATGTCCTTTGTTTATTCAGGAAAAACCTCGCTGAGACTCAAATCTATTCTCGGGAGAGTCCTGCATTGCGACGAATGGCTACGAGTGGCATATGGGATCGAACTGGAGTATCCGGAGATAACCCACAAACTATATGATCTGTCAATACTGATAGCTACGATCGGTTTGGTCAAGCATCTATTGCAGTGCTACCATCTCCGAGGTGTTTCTCAGCCCAACAACTATTAAAAAGCTTGACTTAAAGCTTTTGTGACTGCAGGAATTCATATACTTTGGGTCTTTCGGCAAAACCACGTAGATAGAAACAATAATACAAATAATAGAAATATCACGACGTTTCGATCACAACACAAGCAATCGTAATCAGGTGAGAAAAGACGACGACTGCTTGTGTTGTGATCGAAACGTCGTGATATTATTACTTTTATTACTGTTTCTATCTACATGGCTTTACCGAAATACCCAGAAAATATAACTTAAAAACTATATTCTTTTACTATTTTTATAAAATTGTACCATGTAAGGGCCACAGAAGCAACCTGGCCTTAAATGATAGTTCAATAAAGTTGCTTATCATGTGGAAATTTATAGCAGCCAAAAACTGTTAACGCAGCTTGTTTCTAAATGTGGAGGGGAAAAACCGGAGGACCCGGAGAAAAATCCACGCGACCGCGGGGAGAAAAACATGCAGACTCCAGACATACAGCAGGCGTCAGGGTCGGGATCAAACCCACAAGCTCCTTCATACCAGGCGAGGAAAATAACGTTTCACCACCGGTATTCAAAGGGAGCCTCCCATCCAAGCACCAACCAGGCCCAACCCTGTTCAGCTTCGAAAATCTAACGAGATTGAGCTTATTCGGAGTGAATTGGCCATCAGCATTTGGTGGTCCTGAAGCAAGTGGTGGGAATTCTAAATTATCGTGGCAATAACCAATCTGTCCAGGGAGCATCCGATGTTTACTTCCCACTGAAGTTCTCATTATATTTATCCAGCAGAGATGATTGACCCTCATTTGAGATTCGAACTCGCGCAAACCGGGTTTTAATGGTCGTAACATCTACTGTGTATATGTATATAAACATAATTGCTATTGAGTTACATTAACGTTTAACAATTTAATAGTGTAAGTCGCATAGGCCTCTTATATTAAAATTACCTCTTCATTGCCCCAAAGAATGCACGCATTTTATAGAGACGTTTACTCCGTCAATGCTACTCATCAATGCCATCAACTGCGTCACCACACGGACACTCGCCGTGCTGTCATGCGGGGATGTCCATTGCCTCCATTTAGGGCTCGACAGCACATCGCAGTTCGATGAAGACCCTCCCCATGACATCTCAGTCATGGGGGCGTTGATTGTCCATACTACATCGAGCTGGTCAGTCTACGATGATGAAGGGAGGGGAGCCCAAGCCTGGTTCAGATGTCACTCGCCACTGATGTTATCCGTGGCCAAAAATCTAACCCGGGTCACTGGGTTCACAGTGCAGTGCCCTAAGCACCCCTACACAGCACGGTGTGCTAACCACCGCGCAACTGCCCCATTCCTATAGCAAATACATCATCGTCAGCCATGGCCAATCCGCTGCTAGATGAGGTTCTCCCCAAGCCGCCATCAACACGCGTACCGTAGTGAAAACTGAAAGATGCTCGCGGTGGCTTCAAATCGCGTTCACCGTGAGGAGGAATTCCTGGGGGGGGGGGGGGGGGGGAGGAGGTGTCGAAGCCCTGTGCCGTCGCACCTCACTGTGCTCGCAGCACATTTAGCAGAGACAAAGGGAAGATAATTGGCGATAATTTTCACGTTCCCCCTAGAGCAGTGGTCCTTAACCCTTTACTGGGTTTGAAACAAAGTGGTCGTACTTACGTACCCCTGCTTAATTTGTGTTTCGATTATTTACCTTCCAGCAAAAATCTGGCCATGTCTCGCACACCCAGAAACGGCATCCCGTAACCCCCAGGTGGTGCGTGCACGCCAGGTTAAGAACCACTGCCCCAGAGGGTTCCTGCAGCCAGTCCCCTCGAACAAGAGAATCGCTGCAGCTGCCACCGCCGGATGCGTATTTGCGTAAACGTTGCGTAAACGCTGCGCGCCGAGTAAAAACTCTCGGCTGTCCCCTCCCGATGGCTCGTCGTCATCGTCACCATCGGCCACGATCTATCCACTGCCGGCCCGGACGCTTCCCCCAGCCGTCGCCCATCAACCAAGGGTCTTTGCGATGCAGCGATGCATCCCGCTGCCGCGCACCGATTCTGTCGTGCGGTCTCCGCGGTGGACGTTCTCCTGGGTGTGTTCGCTCATCCGGCTGCCACTCCTTCGCCAGTCTCGACCGTTGGCTGCCTTCCCTTCTAGCCGCGACGCGTCCCGCACAATCCACTTGAACCCTTTCCCGTTCCGAGGCGTCTGCAAGCTGCAGGGTGGGTCCCGTTCACCGCTGAATCTTGGAACGCGCAAGCGGTTCAACGTTAATTTTGTTTAGAGTGAAGACGCTGTACTCACGGCAGAGAACTATAGAGACACGACCAGCCTCTGACAGCTTGTGCCAAGCTGTGCCACACGCTCTCCCGCATGGCCTTATGGGAGCCTCGGTTACATCTTCCGACATGGAGACGTACCGATAATGTTGTTTTATTTTAGTTTTCTGATTCCGTTCCGGAAGAACAAGTAATTACGTAAATGTACGAACTTGTCGTACATGTAAGTCATCAGAATCGGACAGGGTTACTTAATACCCATTATGTTGTGTCTAACTTGCGTTTGTTCTCCAATCCAAGCACAAGTCTTCCTGTCACTCAGTCTAATTCCAAGCAGGAATGAGACTGAGCCAGTGATATGAAATTATGATTCAAAACTCTCAAAGATGGCCAATTTGGACTGCCCTCCTCACCAACTCGCAGATGCCCTCCTACATTTATGAAACAAAACACCACGGCTAAGAAATGTGGACGCCGTCACACCCCACGCACAACGACTGGTTTAGATTTACGACCGAATTACCCTGAATGTGCCCGATCTTGTCGTATCTTGGAAGCAAAGCGTGTTTGAGTCTGGTTTAGCGCTCGGATGGGAAACCGGATGGGAAACCGCCTGGGAATAAAAAAAATGTTGTTCATTTGTTGCTGCGAGGTTGACGGGAGATGGCGGTACAGCAGTGGGTCTTTTAATCTTATCATGCGGGCATTGTTTCCTGCAATGCTTGGGGGGGGGGGGGTGTTTCTCCAGTTATTTTGATTACCTCCTCCATGGGATTTCACAATGCAGGGCCCTCCATGAAAGTCTTAAAATGTATTCTCACTCAATAAGATAGCGCTAATTAATCCCCCCAAAAATGGCATCATTATTACAGTATTATCATTAGTGTGGTTTACTAAGGCTCGTGTTGTGGTGGTGATGGGTGTGTGTATGTGTGATGTGGGGAGCTGTGGTGTAGTGCTCAGCGCGCTGCCAACCTGGTGACCCGAGTTCAATTCCCACTCATGACCAACACCGGTAACGATTATCTGAACCGGTCCTGGGCCTCCCCTAGATCGACTCAGCTTCAAATGAGTACCTGGTGCGATGTGTAAAAACTTCACCACTGGGGAGACAAAGGCGGCCGGGCGTGGTGCTGGCAACCCGCCCCCTCGTGTACCGTGCCGGCCTTAATGGGCGCTCACGAACAGCACTTACTCCTTACAATCTGTTAAGGCTACACGGGGCGTCTTTATTGTGATGTTTTGCCTGCAGTGTTATTCAGATGCTCTTTGAGATAAATCAGGACGGTGAGGTTGGGTGCGCTCAAGCATGCGCCTGCTCTTCCTGCTCTTCTTGCCCCTACGGGAAACCAGACGCAGCTTTAAAACCCCTGTAACAAAAAATGTTTGGTAATACCCCCCCCAACACAAAACCGCAAGGCAATTGGTTAAATTCCTGCATTGTGCAATGAGGGTATGGTCACAGTGGGTTAGGATTTTTTGTAATTGTGTAAAACAGGGCGGTTAAAAAAAGACAAATTGTAGCAGACGGTGGCGATTTTTTTCGGAGTGCCTCTTTGCCACACCCGTTAAATCCACAGCGCTCGGTCAAACCCAGTCACCTGATTCATATCTCATTGAAGGGGAGCCGTGCCACATCACCTTGGCAGATTTCCCACATTGGCGACATTTATCCCTTTTTGGCAACAACAACAAAAAAAAGATGCTAACGCGTGAATCGTAAATGTGCATTTTTTTAAATAAAAACAATTGAGCCTGCCGGAGTGATTCGCACGTTGGAGAATGTTGTTCCCCCCGCCCGTCAGAAACATTTTTTGCGAACACCGGCCAATGTGTTCGTCAGTGCGCAAGTGTCTCCCTTTTCCAAGGCGATGTCCACGCACGAACCTTCTGTACGCCGTCTTGATGCCTGCCGTTGTTTGGACACACTCCATGCCAGTGTTCTTCACTGATTTTCAGAGGGGGAGTGGGGGGGGGAGGGCACTTTCGCCGATAAGACATCATCAGTTGTGAGGGCCGCCACATGTGTGAAACCATCGGGGGGTTTGACAGCAGCACGATGTTGATGATGGGGGGGGTGTTGTCACGTGTTGTGTATTGTTGGGGGCCTCACGTCAGGGGCCGCACTAAAGGCCACCAGGGGCCGCCAGTGACCCTCGGGCCTCGCAGTGAATAACGCCGCTTCTTCGTACGTCGAAAATGTCTTACCGTTGTATTGCCGCCGACCGGGGAAATCGTCGAAACGTTTCGCCTCAACGCGTGAAGCTGCGCCGCCTCGTCCTTGTGCCGGTGACGGCGACGGCGGCGGCGGCGGCGAAGCGACTCGAAGGGCACCGCTTGCGCTGCCGTTTGCTCCCGTGGTCACTTTCTCACTCTGCCACGCGGGTGTCCATGGCTGCGTCCCCCCTCTTTCTGTCAACAGAGATCAATGCCCTGGGGGAACGGTATCCAAAGTGCGCACTGTATGCAGCATCCAAACAATCATAATCCGTTCCCCATTGCATATTTTGTGCGTGTTGATGTTATGTTGCATACATCGGGCTGCAGTGCCACTTTGCCCACTGTTAACCTGTGGTCACAAAAGCCATGGAAGTGTCATACACAGCAAGTACATCCGCAAATCTATACACAGCGTTGTTCGTACGCACCGCACGACAATCCTGAAGGCCGAGTCTTGACCATTGACCATGGACGGTAAGCGTAGCAAGTTGTACTTAAGCTGTCGTAGGCCTCCCCTAGCTCGATTCAGCTTCAAAGGAGGGCCTGTTGCATCGTGTGAACATCTGCAGGGGGAGGATGCAGGTGTTGGCCACTCCACCAGATTGTGTGTGCCGCTGTCCTCATCTAGTAGTGGATCGACAAAAGGGATGGACATGTAAATTGGTCCGTTTTGCTACATAATAAATAAAATAACATTGTAGTCTGTCAGCTTATGGGCCAGCATTTTTTTTAAGCCGGCAAATCTTCGGCCAATTTAAACTTTCTGAGCCCTGTCAGCAGAATGTGAGGTCCATTCTATGCGGAACAGGCTGCAAATTGTTTGTGCAATCTAATGGTCCCATTGCACGTGTAAATCGAACAAGACAGAGAACATATAATTCCGATGTTGTAATTGAGAGATGGGCAGTTGCAGAGTTTGTTGTCCTTCCCCAGCACCTCTGATTATCATGGTTGGCTACGTACGATGCGAAAGAAGTTCAACATACATACAGAGTTGATGCGCTGTTCCTGGAGTGCAGATAAACAGCGCCAGTTTGTGAGAGTATTTCTCAGTGAGGCAGTAGGTCCAGTGACAAAGTGACAAAGTTACGGCTCGCAATGTAGCCGGGCATAATACGCTTTTCGTGAAGACTACATGTCTCCTAAAATCTGGCACTTCGTAATTGTTTAAACTTCCTCTCGGTTTGTTATCACAAGTAAAGTGGTGTTCCAATAATGATGCCAAATGTATGTTAGTTCGGGTTAAGTTTGATGCCACCTTTCTTGTGCGCCAAAGCACGTTCTGCTGCCTTTGTCATTGGAATTCCTTTGACTGGTTTTACGGACATAGTCCATTAGGGATCGTCGACCCTGTTCACGCCCGGTCAATGCAGAAGCCTGGCATCATTATTCCAGTCGCATACGCGTGTGGAATGAGTGAGCCGAGTGCAAACCCGTGTGCGTGTGTAGTGGTTGGCGGCACTGCGCTATGAACCCAGATGTCTGAGTTTGATTCACTGCTAACATCAGTGGGGAATATCGGAACCAGTCCTGGGCGTCCGTAGGTTAACTGAGCCACCTTAAATGAGTACTTGGTGCTACGTGTAAACATTGGCACCGGGGAGACAAAGGCGGTTGGGTATGGGACTGGCCACACCACCTCCTCAAAACACCGTGCTGCCCTTCACAGGTGCTCTCTTTACAGCACTTTGCCCAACATCCCGTGTGCGCGACACGGCAGATCTTTGTCTTGCATTGCACAGGTAAGGGCGTTGGCCATACCCCGGTCATGGATCGGTACCCCGGAGTCGCCATGCTCTCTGCTCGTCCTCCCCTTCAGCTCTGTGATGGCACCGCGCGTTGCATAGTCGGCTGTGTGCTGACGAGAGTGGCTCTCCTGCGGTGGTTGTTGTGTTACACAACGTGGCAGGTGGCGGAATCCTACCCGTACTGATGGCACGAGATGATTGCGACATTCTTTATTTAACTTTGTATTACGTCGCTTTTGTTTTTAAATATCTCGCTCGCTCGCTCCCTCTCTTTCTTTCTTTTGTCCCTCGAAACAGTTTGAAGAGGAGTTTCTGAAGACGAAAGATGAATATCAGAAACTGCTCAAAGGTTAGAACCATTTATATATTTCTGACCTTCACACATTACGATTTTATTTACAAATGCTGTTGACAAATTATAATTGCTCGTTTCTAAGGAAGAATTTTATATTTCAAACAACAGAAACCAAATAGTCATTGTAAAGTTATGTTTATAGATATATATTCTCTGTAAAAACATTAAATGCCAAACCAACAATACCGTTTCATTATTGCCAAGCTAAAAATAACTTCCATGTATTTGTCTCACGAGACATTTTTTTAAAGGTCACTTGAAGGAACGGAGACGGAAGGAGATTCGAGAGAGAGCGCTAGGACAGAAACGGCGAGAGTGGGACAGACGGGGAGAAGGCAGCAGTAGCATAGGCAGGCGGCAGTGAGGGACAGGCAGAGCAAGTGAGACGAGCAGAGATGTACAGGGAGCGGCAGAGACACAGGGAAACTCACACCCGCAGACAGTCACGTGCAGTGACGGAGACGAAAAGACACACGGGGAGACACGGAAGATGGTGAGGCATTCTGAGCAAGAGACCGATAGGTTCGTCCGGAGAAATGCTGAGAGCCTATTTGCATGATAATTGATGCGAAATCCTGCTCCCTGAGGGTACAACTCTGAGAGAGATGTGAATGGACTCTAATCACGTCTTGTGATATGATCCCGATAGCACAACTCGAATGAAGTCGGGGAAAATAAACGGAAATAAAGATTTTAAAAAATAAATATTTATTTTATTGCGTGGCTGCCCCCCGCATGTTGGCAGTGTTTGAGTTGTTGGGCAACGGGGGTTTAAAAAATTCGACTTTGTTTTGAGAAGGACGAGTGATTCTGAGGTCAGAGCTCTGGGCTGACGCTTGGATTCTAATCCAGGCAGGTTTGCCCGTTTATCTCTCTGCAGGATAATAAACATGTTTGTCTGCGAGTTGGCCGGGCAGCTCAGAGGTTTCAGCAACTGAGCGGGTTCATAGTTCATTTAGTTCATAGTTCATTTATTTGGTATAGCCCTGTGAGCCATTCGGCTCTTGAATCGGGTGCAACCGCAACAAATAAAAACATGAACAAGAAAACATCTTAAAGTGTTTATGTGACTGTGAAAACAGAAAATCTAGGAAAAAAACATCAAAATATTCCTGAAATAGCACCGTACACCAACGCTGTGTGCAAAAATCCCAGTGGGATGCAAGTCAAATAACAACAACAACCACAAGACAACTAAGATTAAGGCCATCAGTCTAACAGAGTGGTGAGGCCCTATATGGGCAGTTCAATGCAAATTTTAAGGCCGAGTGATAGATGGAATCAAGCTTCTTCAGTACAGTACTTGGGGCTGATTTATACACGATGTCACAGTAGTCAAGTAGAGGCAGTATGGTAGCTTTTATCAATTCCAAACGGAACATTGGGGGGAAGCAGTACTTGTGTCGATACAGAAAACCAATTTTTATTTTTGTCTTTTTACCAATATAATCAATGTGATCTTCAAAATTAAGTTTTGAATCCAGGATGACCCCAAGATACTTATAGATCTTGACTTGCTCTATTTGACAATTATTCAAGGAATGTAATTGGGGAAAAATAACTTCCTGCTTTAGTCCCGGTGAGAAGCAAAGCACCTTGGTTTTGGAGGTATTCAGGACTAGTTTAAGAGAAACTAGCTGATGTTGTAGTTTGTTGAAATCACCCTGGAGCTTTGCAATCACGTCATCCGGAGAGCGGCCAGCAGTAATCAGTATCGTGTCATCTGCAAAAAGATTTACCCTGGAATGATCCAGGTCAGTGCCCAAGTCATTGACATAAAGAGAGAACAAGAGGGGGCCGAGGATGGAACCCTGTGGAACCCCTTTTGTTATCTTAACACTGTTTGACCTCCAACCATCTGTGAGTACAGTTTGGGTGTGAGAAAAGAGGTAATTTTTTTAACCATTGTACTGTGTTCTTGGAAAAACCGAGGCAACTTAGTTTACTAAGCAGGGTGTTGTGGTCTACTGTATCAAACGCTTTGGATAGGTCAAGAAAAAGACAGGCACAGTACTGCTTATTATCAAGGCTATTGTAAATTTGATTCAAAGAGTCTAATGCAGCAGATGTGGTGCTGTATTTTTTTCGGAACCCAGATTGTTTTAGATGTAGTAGATTGTTGGTGGACAGGAAACTGCTAATTTGGTAGTTCAATAATTTTTCAAAAATTTTCATGAATGGGGACAAAATTGAGATAGGTCGGTAATTATTGGGATCATCTTTAGGGCCCCCTTTGTGAAGTGGATGGACATAGGAATGTTTCCATTCTTGAGGAACTGATGCTTCTTTGATGGACAGGTTGAAAATATGGGCTATAGGTTTGTATATTAGGTGACCAACAGTTAGTAGAGCAAAGATGGGAAAACTATCTGCTCCGGTAGAGGAGGACCCTTTGAGGTAGGACGGTTGTTTCAGAACATTACTTTCGTGGATTAGTTGGAAACTAAATTCGTTTAATGTTTGGACAGGGGTGTAGGAATTTGCAGGAGCAGGGGTGACTCCCAATACATTATCAAAAAGATTACCAGCTTCAGAAAAATTAAGGTTAAAATTGTCATCTATTTTTTTGGGATCTGAAAAATATTCCCCATTTCGGTTAAACTCAACGGGCAGATTGTCTGTTTTGGATGCCTTTTCGATAGATTTGATTGTTTTCCAAAAAATACTGGCATTTCCATGTGATTCCAGGAGAGTGGAGGAAAAGTAGGCATTTTTTGCATGCCGTATTTTTTTACGCATCTAGTCCTTAAAATCCTGTATTCTAGCCAGTCATTTACCAAATTACTTTTCTGAGCACATGCCCAAGCCTTGTCCCTAGTTTTCATGAGCTATGTAATCAAATGATCATACCATGGTGGGCGGTTGCCTTTAGTTTTAAATCTAACCAACGGAGCATGTTTGTTAAGAATTTGGAGAAACGTGTACCTGAATGTCTCCCAAGCCGTAGTCAGGTTGGGGATATCACAGACCTTATCAATATCCGAGTGAAGCACATCATTTGTAAATGCCTGAGTGCTGAAGTGCCTCAAAGAGTGCTTCTCAACAATTTTAGGGGGGGGCTTTTGGTCTGGCTGATGATCTCACCCCAAAAATGAAGGAGTGATCACTAAGGTTATTGCCCAGAACACCAGTCAGTGCAAAATTGTGAGGGGCATTTGTCAATAGGACGTCAAGCAGAGTTGACTGTCCCGGATTTTTTAGGTTGGGTCTTGTGGGGACATTTATTAATTGAAACAGGTTAAATTAATCTGTAAAATTTGTGGCCACAGCCGGCGGGTTTAGCCAATTCCAATTTAGATCACCCACTAACTATTTCACCTTTAGGGAGGCCCCCAAAAATCTCTCTCAGTGCCGATGCAGCTTCAACATCCTTCCCACAAGGCGGTCTATAGCAGCACACTACCAATATCTGTTGATTATTTGGGAGAGTTATTCTAAGAGCCAAACCTTCAAAGCAAGATTTTTTAAACAAGGAGTGAGCTGGTGAATATGCAATAGTTTTACGAACATAGATGGCAATTCCACCTCCTTTAGATCCTCGGTCAAGCCGAAAAAGGTTGTAGTTTTCAATCGTAATCTGCAAGTCATTGACGGCAGGATTGAGAAATGTTTCTGTTAGGCAAAAAATGTCCGGGTCAAGATTTGCCACTTCTAGTTTTAGTTGACTTAATTTAATCACAAGCCCTCTGATGTTGACATGTAGAACACCAACACCTTTCCTGCCAAAAAAATCTACAGAATTATACGAGTTATTTTCATTTGGGCCAGGATGAAGCTCAATACCACCCAGAAATAAGAAAAGTAGAATTAACAGTAGCCGTTTGTAGAGTTGAGTGTGGCACTAGATATGGCCGGGAGGGACAGCAGTATGATACACAGCAGGAGAATTGCCATCTTTAAAATATCCGGGGTATACACAGATTTACATACAAGTGGAATAGAAGAAAATATATGAACATGGGATCTAATCCAGCCAGTCGCCTGTGTTTAAGCTGGGTGTTCAAGTGTAGTGAAGTTGATGGTCTTAGCCTGGTCACTAATGGATTGCAGAAAAATGTGGCTTTTTACATCCTCTGAGCATTAAAAATGACGGTTTGACCGCCATGCAACGGACATCACCTCTGTAGCAGGGCGGGTGGAAAAGTGCTGTTCCCTTCTGTGTGAACCAGGGGTCACTTGAAGGCATCTCAGGAGTAGTTGTGCGATATCCGCTTCTGTGGGTCCATTCTTGAACACGGTGGGTGGGTGGGTGGGGGGTTGCGCTGCTCGGTCAATGGATTATTTGTCTTGTTGTAGTTGGAATAACACTGGGGGGAAGACAAAAACAAATGTTGGTATTGTTTCCCCATTGTGCTATTAGCATCAACGTCAAAGAGGTGGAGCAGTGTGCCCAGAGTGTCAGAGAATGATCTGTGGCAGAGATTTTGAAAAAAATAAATCTTAAAGTGGCCAAAAAACTCTGCTATGAAATTGCTTGTTGCATGGCATCAAGCGGGGGATTTACCAAATCAATTGACAATCTCAACCTTTACGCTGGAGTTTTTTTGTCCAGCCACTGGTAGCAAGGCTAAGTTGTTGAGCTCACTTGGCTTGAGAATATTGTTGATTCACGGGCGGCCTGCAACCCAGATTCCTCTATTTAAATTCCAACAGCCAAGTGTCCCTCCTTGTTACACTCATTTCACGGGAGCTCAAAATCCCGAAATCCGAAACATAAATCCAACGTGATGATAGCTTGTCTTCGACATGCAATGAGGACTTTGGAGGGTGAAACACAGTTTACCCCTACCACAAGATACCCTGTATACCAGCTTTACTAAACAAGAAAGAGTGAAATTTGGTGCTTACGATTATTCAGCGACAAATGTTCTTATTCGCATTGGAGTGAGAGGGCGTTATTAGTGAATCTTGTCATCCGCAAAAAATAGCTTCTGATATCCAAGTGGGTGTACGTGGGATAATAGGATACATTTTCATCCTATTAAGTTGAGAATCCATCGACGGATAAAAATGTTTTTGTCTGATCAACTGGGGCTGTGGTTAATTGGGCCACATATAGGAGGTGTTTCACTAAACAATTACATTTAAAAAAATCATCCCCATGGAATACTGCCAAGGTGTAATATAGCACAATGAACTTGCAATCTAGAGGTCGCCGATTCTGGAATTCCTCCACCTCCGTCCACCCAGAAGTATAATTGGGAACGCCACAGTTAGTCAATCGGCAGGTCACGTGTGGGGGGGGGGGGGCGGGGGGTAAACGTGTGGGTACTTCCACCTCTTCCAAGACGCCTGCCTCACGCGCGCGGGAGAAGAGACCAAAGAAATCGCCGCTCGCTGAGGGCTCTGGAGCGCCCACTAGTGGAGGGCCCATCAGCCTGCATTGACGCGAGCAAGCAAATTGCAGGGCAGTGCCTTGACCGCTTGGCGCGAGTAATCCATGCGCGACAGAGGCCTCTTGACCATGCCCTGGCGGTCATGGCCGTCAGATGTTTGACCGCGCTTCACGATGCCGGTCAGAGCTGGGTCGTGAAGGCTAGTGGTGGCAGGGTCTCCTCTCAGCCGGTTCAGATAACATTGTGTAACAAACAAAAAAATGTGTTCCTGGGTAGTAAGTGTTACTATTTCCTAATTGCTATGCCTCAAAAGTACAGAAAATGGCTATTAGTCCCCCGCAAACTTTGCTTTTGTGACCAGGACAGGGATATTTTGAAATGTACCCATTTTTGTCTTTCGTTCACATAAAGTCCTGGTCACAAAAGCAAAGTTTGTGGGGAATAATAGCCATATTCTGTACTTTTTAGGCATAAGCAATTAAAAAATCACACTTAGTACCCAGGAACAAAAATTGTGTTACATAGTGTAATCATAATAAAGGTTTTTGGGTTAGATCGCATAAGTATCAATGTATCGTAACCCTCCACCACCCGACATTACATCAACCAGCATCATCGGGCGATTTGCCAGATAATCACTATCCCGATGTTCACCTTGGCTAGGATTTCAACTTAGGTTAATCGCAGTGTTCTAACTATGCCACTGCTTCACCCCTCATTGTACGTATTCATATAAACGGAATCATCTGCAAGTAACGAGGGACATTTCTTGTTTTCTCTTTTATTCTATGGGTACCATGTCACCCTATAAACTAATAAACGTTTTTTTTTATTTTACCAGGTAAGGCCCACTGAGCTCTATAGCTCTTTTTCAGAAGCGACCTGGCCACAAATGATAGCTCAACGAAGTGGCCTATCATGTGGAAATTTATAGCCGTCAAATACTCTAAATGCGTGTTTCTAAATGTGGAGGGAAAAACTGGAGGACCCGGAGAAAAATCCACACACCCACGAGGAGAACGTGCAAACTCCAAATATACAGAGCGTCAGGGTCGGGATTGAACCCATGACCTCCTGTGTACCAGGCCAGGTAGATAACATCTCGCCACCGGGGGCTTTATGCTCGTAAACACAGTTAATAGTTGACGGCACTGCATCAACATTTCCCAGTAGTCCCCGTTTCATGTCGCCTGAGCGAAATGACTCCGAGCCACTGACGCCCCAGGAATTGAACGTCACCATGAGAATGTCGTACGCCCCGAGAACATCGGGGTTCAAATGCCATTGTGAGAGAGCTGCCGTTTTTCTTTTAGGCCTGCTGGCATCAAGCCACTTTCCAGTGGGGCAGTGGATGAGAGGGCACAAGGCCCACAGTTGTACAATGCAATACAATTTACATGCACATAGCGTCCGAATGCGACCATCTCAAGGCATTGTATAGAACAGTGGCCATATTTATTTCTTATCAACGACACCATTGTAGGTAGACGGGAAAAGGAAGGTTCAGAGCCTTGACTTGAACAGAGGCAATGGAGGAAATAGCCGGGTGGCGTCCGAGGCAATGCACGCCTTGTGTGCAGAAAGTGCGTGGAAGGGAAGAGGGTGAGATGAGAGGGGAGACGTAGGAGAGTGCATGGAGGGGAGTAGAGTGAGATGATAGGGGAGAGGTAGGAGAGTGCATGGAGGGGAGTAGAGTGAGATGAGAGGGGATAGGTATGAGAGTGCGTGCATGGAAGTAGAGTGAGATGAGAGGGGAGGAGAGTGAGATGAGAGGAGAGTGAGATGGGAGGGGAGGAGAGTGAGATGAGAGGGGAGAGATAGTAGGATGCGTGGAGGGGAGTAGAGTGAGATGGGAGTGGATAAGAGTGAGATGGGAGGGGAGGAGAGTGAGATGGGAGGGGAGGGGAGTGAGATGGGAGGGGAGGAGAGTGAGATGAGAGGAGAGATAGGAGGGTGCGTGGAGGGGAGGAGAGTGAGATGGGAGGAGAGTGAGATGAGAAGAGAGAGATAGGAGGGTGCGTGGAGGGGAGGAGAGTGAAATGGGAGGGGAGGGGAGTGAGATGGGAGGGGAGGAGAGTGAGATGAGAGGAGAGAGATAGGAGGGTGCGTGGAGGGGAGGAGAGTGAAATGGGAGGGGAGGAGAGTGAGATGAGAGGGGAGTGAGATGGAAGGAGAGGAGAGTGAGATGGGAGGGAAGAGATAGGATGGTGCGTGGAGAGGAAGAGAGTGAGATGGGAGGGGAGGAGAGTGAGATGAGAGGTAGACAGGGGTGAGTCCAAGGAGGATCTTGAAGGCAGTGCGATCTTGAAATAGATGGGAGCCAGTGGAGGGAGTGGGGTTATGTCCGTCATATTTACGGATGTAGGTGATGAGTCTGTGGGTAGCATTTTGGATTATCCGGAGTTTGGAGATGAGGGATTTGATGTCAATTCGGAGTGTGAGGAAATCCTAAAGCCCTTGTTGGGTTTCAACGCTCGCATTCCCAGGGTCTCCTTGCATGGGTGGGGTAGTCGGATTTGCTTTTCGAGCACGATTTGTACGTCACCAGGCGACCACAGCTGTCTCTGCTGCAGTATCAAATTCACGTCTGTCATCACGGCACTGAAGGAAGAGACGCTCGTGTAAGCACGCACCAGTGGCAGACGACGCTGCTTTTGGGTGAGGCTGCCAAGTCGGTGCATGATTTTGATTGGCCAGTTTTATTGTTTTTGTTCTTATGTACAGCATCGCGAGGTCTCCTCCTCTCGTTGGCCAAATCGCCCTGAATGCACTTTGCTGGCTCTGAGATGACCGGAATCTAAACGCAGTTGAGCCCACCCACGTGCATGGGTGACCATTGGGTGCAGGACTGCGAGTTATTCAGGAGCTGGCTGGTTTTTCAATGTTACCCACAGGCATGCGTGGGTTTTCTGCAGGTGCTGCAATCTCGCACTGCCACGTGCCACTCGTTCTTGGATGGAATTGGTCGATCATCCGAGTGCAAAGAGAGAATTCTAAGGCTCAGCGAGGGATTCCTGGGTAATTGGGTTGTACTGGAGACCACATTTAGGAGCTGTAAACATCGGCATCTACAGTATGAAAAAGGAGAAGAGGTTTTACCCTTTCTGGCAATAAAACAGGAGGTGTTAAGATGTTAAAACACCAACTAGGTAACTTAATTCACCACACGTACTTGTGGCAAAACATGCAGACAAACACACTTCAGCATCACCAGCACACCGGCGCTGCTGAAGCGCTAATGCATTGGCACGTTTAATTGTCTTGTGTTGGAAGGAGAAGGGTGTACGACACACATTTTATTTACGCTATTCGACTCAAAACAGACACATCTCTCGGTACCTGATCAAAAGGTGTGACTCACTTGGATAAAAACCGCATCGCAGAATTGCCACCCTCCTGTTACAAAAAAATGTGCAAACACCAAATGTACTCCTGTTTCCGTTTGTATGCATGGATGATGAACTTCTTTCACACCGTACATAGCCAAACGGAGGCGATTCGTTTCCACCGTCTCGTTGTCCGTAGACGGCGTTCTGCTGTACGAGCAGCTGCCCATGGTGGAGATGGACGGCATGCACCTAGTGCAAACTCGTGCCATCATCAACTACGTCGCTGACAAGGCTGGCCTGCAGCCCAGGGATGCACGCCAGAGAGCACAGTGAGGAGCACGGCCTTGTGCAGGGGGCTGCTGGGGCCACTCCTTCCTGCAGCCACTCGTTTACATTAACCCCCATACACACCCATACACACCCATACAATGCACTCATTCACATAACCCCTACACACCCATGCAATACACTCATTCACATAATCCCTATACACACTCATACAATCCACTTGTTAATTTTAACCTATATATATACAACCTATTAATTTCATGTTAACCCCTGCATACACTCATGTAACCCACTCAATGACATTAAACCCTATGCGCACTCATACAATCCACTCATTTTAACCCCAATACACCCTCATACAGCCCACTCAGTCATATTAAACCCAACACACACCAATACAGTCCACTCACTCATACGAAACCCCAACACACACCCATACAGCCCACTCATTCACACCGCTGCCTTCAAAGGTGCTCGCTATCGCAGTCTTTGGCCCGGCAGTTGATGGCGACTGCCCCGGGGGGTGACGACTTTTTGTCTTTGTGGAGCAGTGTAGACATGTACGTGGAGGGCATGCGAGACCTGGGGGAACTCATGTTGCCCCTCGCCTTCTTGAAGCCGGAGGAATTCGAGCAGAGGCTGAAACAGGTGGAGGATAAAGCCTCCAAGCGCTACCTGCCCGTCTACGAGAAGGTGTGTGCGCGTCTGTGTGCGCGTCTGGGCGAGCGGCGGTGCAGCGGTTAGTGCTATGTTTCGCTGCGAACCCGGCGACCCGAGTTTCGATTCCTGCTCACGGCCAACATCGGTGACGAATATCTGAAGCGGTCCTTGGCCTCCCCTAGGTCGACTCAGCCTCAAATGAGTACCTGGTGCGGTGTGTAAATATTGCCACTGGGGAGACAAAGGCGTCCGGGCGTGGTGCTGGCCACTCACCCCCTCGTGTACCGTTCCAGCTTTCATAGGCGCTAACCAACAGCACTTGCCCAAACAGTCTGTGAAGGCTATATGGGGGATCGTTGCCTGTCTTTTGTGCATCGAAGCACATGAACACGCACCTCAGTCACTTCTGTGCCCCTCTAGCCCCCGGTAAGTGCAGCCAAGACGGTCACAGTGGTACGCCCCGCATGGCCGCTTGGTAGCATGAAATGAAATCGTGTGCGGCTTGCTGCCCGCAAGCCCGCAGGTTCCGCAGCTCTGCCCCAGGTGGACTTGGCAGCACGATGGACAGCCGGCGGTAGGGCAGAGACTGGACGGGTGGCGACAGGGAGCAGGGCAACCGAGGCGGCGCGTGGTGTCCCCGCGCTCGTTAAGTGCGTTATTCCTGGATCAACCCCAGGTGGGGGTCTGTACTGGTGCCAGGTTGACACCTCCCCAAGCGATGCCAACACCGGTGCCAACGTTCATCCCCCCCACTCGACACCTAGCTAATGAGCATCGCACACACGCCCTGTCTTAATCGCCTCCCACAGGAGGAGCGCTCAACGTGTACTGTAGTAGGTTGGGAACGCGGCGGGGGGGGGGGATAAAGTTCTAAAGAAGAGAACGGAGAGCCGCGTGTCTGGTCAAGGCAGAGAAAAAAGATATACAGGGTGCTTCAAATTAATGTTAACACTTCGGAGAATTTGAAACAATAGCACAAGAAATGTGCTTTGGAGACCACCTGGAGAAGATTCCAGGAAATGTGTTGACAAGGATGGCGAACAAGTGGAGGGACTCTTAGACTTTTTGAAGCGATTACCATTACACTTGTTATCATGTTACAGTGAATTACCCGTTCTTTTCCCATTAAAAACGATAGTACCATGAAGTGTTAACATTTTTTTGAAGCAACCTGTACAATCCAGAGGACTTCTCTAGCCGCTCCCTCTCGTGGAGGCCCACCCGCCAGAAGTTACGTGAGCAACCACTCGCAGGGCTGCACCAGCAAATGTGAATCCATGCAGTATTGTTGTTGTTATTCGTACATCCGTAGAACGATGGAGACTCCCGTCGACAAAATTTGAGCCGATCTCTTCCTGTCATTGTTGATGCTTTGAGTTCATGCTGTGGCTTTATCAGTGTGTCTGATCGGGGAAGCTTTCTTGGTGTTACTAGCGGTGATGCGGTTTTAGGGTGTGATATATGGGGATTGGTCACATTGTGCTGATGCTACTATTGGAGGAATGATGCACTGATGCTGGTCATGGAGTTGATGGTGTTGTACTGTCGCTGGTCTTGATGGCATCAAGTTACTTCAAGCGTATTTGTATAACCAGGTGAGAATGCAAGAGACCGGGATGAGTGTCAGTCGCAAGAGTTGCCTGCATCACCAAAACGGCAGAAGCAAAAACATTGAAGCTTAAGTGCCGATGTCCTGGTTGTTGGTGACGGTGATGTTGCATTGCTGGTGTGGCGATCGTCAGGCACTCGGCGATGGTGGTGGTGGAGGCTTCCTGGTGGGCACCTCCCTCACCGTGGCCGATGTTCTGCTGCTGGAGCTGCTGCTCGCGCTGGAGGAGAGATTTCCTAAACTTCTCTCCGGCTTCCCGCACCTCCAGGTACCTTACGAACACTGGCTGTCCGTCGTCGCCATCCCTTGAAGGCTAGCAGCTCCCGGCAAGTGATGCGGAATGTCAATCATTGTGCCGAGCAGCATGCGGCACGACCCAAAAAGCGCTATACAAGCACAACCGTGAAAGCCTACGCAGCGGTAGCAGCCATGAGCCTCGCGATACCTTTAACCTGGCGTTGCTCCCTCTCCCCGTGCCAGGATTTCAAGGGACGCCTGAGCCAGGAGCCGAACATCAAGCGCTTCCTGCAGCCGGGCAGCCAGAGGAAGGCCATGCCCGACCAGGTGTACGTGGACACAGTGCGCTCCGTCTACAACATTTAACCGGGCGGCGCGTGCGGGAAAACACTGGAACCATCGACCGCCACGGCTCCTCCGTCGCCCGCCTGGCTGCGTGCAATCAAGGGCGAGTTAGGCTCTCGTGCTGAACAGGGCAACTGGCACGTCCGGCTCGTGATGCGAAAGCTTTACTGCTGAGCATTTAACAAGTCAAAGTCGTGCGGCAAACCTTCGTGCTATTGGAATCAATGTGACAACACGTGGCAGAAAACAGTGCGAATATAAATTAAATGGGGTAAATGAGACGAGGAAGAATTGATTACGAAATCGAGATCCAAAATTGACTGTCCATCTAATCACAGGGGTTAGTGGATCATTAGATACCTGATTAATGCATACATTATAGTTTTGAGGCATGTGATACATGAAGTTGGGCTCCAGGGTAAGCCAAGGTTCACGTTGGTTGTCACTTTGCTGTTCCATCCTCAAAGGTCGTGCAGTGTTAAGGTACTGTTTTAAAAGATCCTCATCACAGATGGCAAAAGCCCCCAGTCAACCTCAGTGGGAGGTCACTCATCATCCTCTACTACCTCCACAGTATGGAATTCCCGTCCCCCAACTGACCGTGCTGTCGACTTCCCGCTCCTGTTCAAAGTCCAGGATCAAAAACTTCCATATGTTCTGCCTGTGACCGACTGCCCCACTCTCTCTACAAAATGAACATCGTCTTGAAATGCCGTCGCATTGAGTTGCCATTTAAATTCACATTCCATTGTATCGTTCGGTGATCTATTAAATTCTTTACATTAAATTCAAACGCCCGCTACGCTTGCTCGATTGTGCATTGGGGAGGCGTTCATCTTCACGGGGCACAGACTTAATACGTGCATCTGTAATCTCGCCGATAACCACCTGAAACCCTCGACTCGTAGGAGACCCTGATCTGCCAATGTGTGGGCAGAGCCCCCTCCCGATCGAATGCAGCCGAGGCCCTTATCCCAGACTCCCTCGTTGCCCACCCACCAACATTGACATGCTTGAATATAACCATCTTAAGGCTTTTAGGTGCCTTGAACTGGCTTTAGGTAAACATTGTATTGCTTGTGGGTTTACTGCTGAAAAATGAGTAAATGTTTTGCCTTCAGGTTTACTGTGTTTATAATAATGTATTCAGACTGGCTGTAACTCAATGTACTGTATACTCTTTACATTAAATACACCGAGCATTACAAATGCAGAGAGTTATCCTTACTTAAAATCAGTTTCGTTTTCAATATTAAATTTAATGTGTAACTGTTTAAATAAACATCCAAGACCTACAGCTGAAATGAAGTGGATTAAACGTTGATGCTCAGCCCTGGCAAGATAACATCTCTCACGCGAGCTCAGCTATTTTACAACACCTCGTGATGGACAACATCACATAATGGCAGAAACTCACACATTTCGTTTTTTTTTAACCAGCCGAGGTTGTATGTTGAGCTTCTTTCACACCGTACATAGCCAAACGTGCTAATTGGAGCTAGGGAAAGGACAACAAATTAACACACACAAAAAAGCATTTCGAAAGAAATTATTTTCAATCTAAAATAAAAAGTGGCTTCCTGATATCGGAAGAGCGTTCCAAGTGGCCGCAGAATGCGCATCTGAAAGCGCAGCGCGATGCGGTGACCGCCGCCTTTGTTCGAAGGCCAGCAGCCAAAAGCCACGAGCCAACGATCCACCGTGACGGTGGTTCATGCTGCTTGGCGAGAATCAGCGAGGTATTGAGGTTCATTTGTGGCAAGCACTCTCGTGTGCAACGAGCGCAAAAAGCTTCGATCCGACTCGTGTCGACGCTTCACGAGCCAGTTCATGGGTTCTGCCCCTCCTGTTATGCAACGACTCTCGAGGCTGTTGCGTTCGCGATTTACAAAAAAGTCTCGCTCCACATGCGGCGAGCTTCTTCGGGAACCGGACTGAGCAAGCCATCATTGCGCGGCCGCTGCTGCTGCTGTGGGAATTCCAACTGCATTAAAAACGGCGAAGGCACAAGAGCAATATCTTCTTTAATGAGCTTCGAAGATGCGAACACACAGGATGGAGGACATGCCGACGAGCGAGGCTGTAAACACGGCGCGGATGGATTGTTATGGATGTCTGCACCGGGAGCTGTAACGTGAGCATCTGCGGTAGGGTTGGTTGGCTAAGTGTGTGGGCACAGTGCACACCAGAGCGGATTACACACCACCCGTTGGGAGCTTCAGACACTTGGGAGTAGAAAAGTCTTGGATATTGGCGGCGTCAGTGACAGCAAGGGGGAATGGGGGTGCCCGCACGTGCCGGCACCACTATTCAGACTTTTTTTTACTCCCAAGTGACTGAAGCTCTCAATTTGTGAAGGACCCTCACAACATTACAACCACAAATTTGTTCGTCTTTCGTGCCGTTCATATTTTATTTTTTTATAATCCATAAGACATGCAGCTCACTGGAATGTTTACAGGCCTATTGATGTGTAAAAAAAGCCATGCAATTCAGACAAACTAATTAAACGCGATTGTGCAAACCAATACAGCATTTTAATGAGAGAACATTTGTATTGAAAACCATTCATAAAGAAAAAAAAATGTGCAAATATTTTGAATCACCTGAAGGTATAATGATTATCAGCACCTTAAGAATGCATGACATTTAATAATAAAAACGCCATATATTTTGTCAGAATGGCCTTGCCGAGTCTTTAAGACTTCTTCAGGAGGATCCTGCATTGGAATTCTTTGCCAATTCATTATCGAGTGTATTGTATCTTCTTGGTTCTTTCGGTAAAGTCACGTAGAATGTAAATAAAATAGTAATAAAAATAAACAAATAAGATTCTCACAACGTTTCGGCCACAAAACAAGTAGCCTTCTTCAGGTGAATAAACAGGACTCTCCAGAAGACAGCGCTCGAGCTCCAGCTCTGTCTTCGTGAGAATCTTATTTTGTTATTTTTTTATTATTTTATTTCCATTCTACGTGGTGACTTTACCGAAAGAACCAAGAAGATGAATCCCTGCAGTAACGAAAGCTTTAAATCGAAATTTGAGTGTATTGTATATGGCAAAAACCCGCTATGCATGTGCGGGGTTGACAATACTGCCATCTCCAAACTCCCTTGTAGCCTCCACCCGACAGCAACTGGCCAGCCCTTGTAGTTACTCATTCAAGTAACACAACCAGACTAAATCCAACTTCGCTTCTATGATGAAACACGATCGGGTGCATTGCGTAATTTGTTTATGATACGCTCATCTTCACAGTAGCAAGGTGATACACTGTTGAGTGATGACTCTGCCGAGATGATCATGTTTCTTATTCTTCCTTATTGTAATCTTCCCGTTTCCACCGCCTACAGATAATAACCGTAACCTCATTACAGCATAGCAAGATTAAAGCATCGGGCTGTGCTGATACTTCAAAGGGATTTTATTGCATCAGGCTACGCTAAATGTCTGTTATTTAAATCGGAAAGTCGGTCTGATTTAACGCCAATGCGATTAGTAACACAACATTTAGTGTGCACCTACATCTTTTCGGCTTGGCAGCTAAATCCTGGGTAACTATTAAATATTATTTTTTACATTCAGAAACCAAACCATGCATTATTGCACTTATTTACGTGTTTTTAAACTTGCCTCACGTAGGCTATGATACGGTTTATACAGGAGCCCCATTGAGTTTTCCTACGACTAAAAAAAACTTCCAGCTAGCACCCATTAAAATGTCATCCGTAATTATTTTAAATATATATTTCCCACAATTCCGTATTAATTCATTTGGATTTACACATAACCGTGCATGTTTGTGATATCCAAGTGACCTCAACACACACAGCACGCCAACACCACTTAGTGGAAAAACAGCGGTTGTTGTGACATCTGAAGCTGTAATGGGTTTCTTTTTTTATTTGTTATTTTCTTTGAACCTATCTACGTGACTTTACCGAAAGACCCAAAGAGGATAAACCCAGCCTCGAATGAATACCTCGTAAGGAGTGTACACAAAGACTGGGGAGACAAAGGCAGCCAAGGACTGGCCACACCACCACATGAGTCATACTGGCCTACATAGGCACTCACTCAGAGCATTGCCCTCCTAACAATCTATGAAGGCTATACAGAGGAATATTTTTCTTGTTTACGTATATTACAAGTACATGCATGTGAAATTCATGTGTATGTACACATAGCATGTGTGTGTATCCAATGCAGTATGGTGTTGTATGTGCCTGTATAGAATCAAGAGGTTTAACAATATTTTAGTGGCGTCAAGTGCATAGGTGTGCAATTCATGCGAGTCTTAGTACGGTCCTACGAGTGTGCAATACCCATACACTGATCAATCACGCTACGCATGCCCGATGACCTGCTCATGGCTGCTCCCTCGAAAGAATTGGAGACTGCTGCTGCTGCTGCTTTGAGAACTCGAGCTTGTCACACAAATGTGGGGGGTTTACAATCAGTCCCAACAAAGCACCTGCACGAGTATTTTACAATCGATCCAGCTCAACTCTCGGTGAGAGGGCCACATTGCTGTACCCCGAGTGGTGTGCACATGGCCACGTGCAGTTTAGCAGCAGTGGTCACACTCCGAATAATTCCAGAAAGAAGAGTTCTCTTTTCATCGGCTGTGTCACGTTACACGGAAGCTGCCTGGCCTGTTGTTCCACACAAAGATGATTAAGGTCTCTCCGCCACAATCAAAGCCACCTCTTCTCTATGCTTGTGAAACGACACTCCGGTATCGGCGTGTCATGATCGGTCTTTGCGGAAAAATCTCATGAAGGATGCCACCCTCCAGCGATGGAAGGTGAAGGAGGAGTGAAGCTCACAATGAGAAGATCACCGGGTGGCTAAAACAAAGGAAGGTGGCACATTGGGGGAGGGAGAGGGCGGTGCGCATCTGCTGGTCACCTCCAAGTTAACCAGTAACACCTGTGCCTGTTCCATAACCTGCCACCATGCCTTTGACACTTCACGTGGCCTCAAAGTGCACCTAGACTGGCATAAGCCCTGTCGTGATATCACCATGACTTAGTGAGGAATATTAGCTGTTGTTGTGTGTGTGTGTGTGTAAACGGGAAATAGTGGTGTAGTGGTGAGCGTACTGCACTAAGAACGCACCCGAGCTGAGTTTAATTAACAACCATGGCTTCAATGAGTAGCAGTTATCTGAGAACTGGACCCCGGCCTGCCCCAGCTCGAATCGGCCTCAAATGAGACATAAAATTATGCGTAAACATCTATACTCGCCTTAATAGTTGTACGCTATGAGCACTAGTCCCAACAGTCTGTATGGCGATAGGGGGATGTTTTCGTCGTGTAAACAACTTTGACTTATCAGAGTGTCGAGGTAAAGTTACGTCCATGCGGGTGTCGTTGTGTACGCTTGTGGGGAATTGAGGCCTGGTGGTTAGTAAACTGCACTTTGAACCTGGATACTGGGTCCGATTCCTGGCCACGAGTAACATTCGTGGCGAGTGATATGTAAAACGGCCTCCCCCTTAGGATGACTCAGCATTATATGTGTACCTGGTGGGTTGTGTAAACATCAGCACTGGGAAAACAAAGGCGGTCGTGCTTGGTTATAGACACGCCACCCACTCCTATACCATTCTGTCCTTTCACAGACGTGAACGAGCAGCAACTTGACCCACTCCCAATAGTCCGTTAATGTGTGCATGTCACGGGTCGCGGTAGTGCAGTGGTTAGCGCGTTGCGCTACAAACGTCACAACCCGCGTTCGATTCCCCCTCTCCTAGGTCGACTCAGCCTCAAATGAGTAGCTGGTGCGGAGTGTAAACATCGCCACTGGGGAGACAATGGCGGTCGTGCGTGGTGCTGGCCACCCACTCCCTCGTGTGCCGTGCCGGCCTTTATAGGTGCTCGCTAACAGCACTTGCCTCCAAAGTCTGCTAAGCCTATACGGGGGGTATAGGACTTTATGTGTCTTATGCATGTCAAGTGTGTGTGTATATCGTTTGTATCTTTCTATTCGTGTGTTTCGAACTGAGACGTTTATCATATGTCTTTGTAATGTCATGTGCATGTTTGCAATTAATGTGTATGTCTTCCTGTGCCCCTGTGTGTATATATAGGTTATATGAGGGAGGGGGGGTCCTATTTTTTGGAGTCTTTGCATGTGTGGGTCTATGTGAAACAGAGAGGTTGTGTTTAGTTTGTTGTCCTTCCCCCGCACCTCCGCGATTCGCACGGTTGGCCACGTACGGTGCGAAAGAAGCTCCACGTACACACAGCATACATAACGGTCTCATCATTGCTCTGCCCGGATCGCTTTGACCGGCCTCGCCGCGGGCCAAACGGCGCACGTGGCCATGGCCCCAAAAAACACTTACACCGCCGCGACCGTGCGGTCTGCGTCGCCGGCCAGGGCGGCCCGCGGCTCCCCCTCCACCTGCTTGACCGGAGAACGGCCGCCGTTCGCTCTGCGTCGCGCCAACCGCGAGCGGGCCGGCGGCGAGAGGCGCATGGAGTGCAGCTGGCTGGCGGGGGGCCGGCACTCCTCCGCGGCCGCGGCGAACTCCGCGATGTCCACCAGCGCCGCTCCTTCCTCCCCGTGCCCGTGCTCGTGCTCGTCCTTCTGCGAGATCTGCCGCTTGAACGCCACGGCCTCCGCTGCAAACTGCGTGAGGCCGGTGACGCTGCTCTTCCTGCGGGGAGGGGCAGCGCAAACGGGTGGAGTCGGACACTCGACTATGATGTGCCGGAGAGCTGGAGCGACCCGTTGATCCAGTTGATAGTTTGCATCCGTGGGACCTTTTTTACAGTATCAATATTTATGAAAAATAAGAATTGGTTTAACCCTTTCTGGCAATAAAACAGATGTTCAAACACCAAATCGATACATTTAGCAAGGCATTATGTCTGCATTAACCACACATCCTTGTGGCAAAACATGCAAACAAACATGCTCCGTTTAACACGTTGTAGGCTTTCGCGACCAATATCATCCATAAGGTTTTTTTTTGGGTGAGATCGCGTAAATAAATGTGTCGCTAAACCCGCCACCACCCGACACAGCCAACTAGCAAGGGTTGTCACGTAAACAGAACGTGCCAATTCGTCACTAATACAGCACACCGGTGTGTTGGAGAGCCAAGCCACAACATTCACAATCGGAGTACGACGTTTCGCCAGTAAGTACAACTAGCCTCATCAGGCGACAGCCAGATTTGTGGAGAAGTCCACCTTTTTCGTTCCTTATGTAGAGGCGTAGATGTGGTGACCACACACTTCTGCGTTCTTGCGAAAAGTGGGGTGGGGGGTTGGGAATAATAAGTCAACGTACAAAATGGGACCTTTTTGCCTTTTGGCGTTCTCTGCTCTGACACTGGTGAGACTAGGCCCTAAAGAAGGCTCTGGTGTAGGCCAATCAGTTTCAAAGACAATGCATTATATATTATCAGAGCATGTTTTGTTTGCATGTTCACCACAAGTATGTGTGTGGTTAATGCAGACTTGATTCATTGCAAAAAGCTTCTTAACACCTCCTGCTTTATTGCCATGAAGGGTAAAACCCATTCTTATTTTTTCGAACAGTTTTGCATTGACACAAGCAGTTTTACTTTGGCAGATATTGAGTAGGACACAAACCATTATAAATAATCAAGGAAGCACAGAAAAAACACAAATTGCACTTAAGGTCACGCGATGGTTGATGGTCCTTGCTTACCGCTGTAGCAGCTGCGGCGTTAGCAACGTGTTCTCGAGGGCGTTCTGCAACAACAACAAAACCACACCAAACCCAGGGTTACTGGAACAGCGGTGGCCGACTGCTCTCTGCTGGTGGAAACGGATCAAGGCGTCAATGTTCTGCCCTTTGCTGTGCACTGCAGCCAACTCTCATCTGGTGGGTAAGGATGGTCTGCATACACATTTTTTACTGTTTGGCCGTGTCGGGTGGTGGAGCGTTACGATACATTTATAAATAACGCGATCTAACCCAAAAACCTTTATTATGGATACAAAATATATGGGTAATGTAAATTTAGGTTTTTATATATATACAAAAAATACCCGAGTCACCGTTTAGCTATGTAGAATGGGGGTGTGAACGTTGAATGTGTCATCCGTTTGTAATGTTTCTCAAAGTTATCAATTTACTTGCCCACATGTTTGGGCATCGAGTCACTGGCACATTGTGTAAGTATGTTGAACTTCTTTCGCACCAGCCAACCGTGATAATTATCGAAGGCGATCGTGTCGCTATTCATTAAACCATTGTGCAGATAAAGATGCAAATACGCACAGTTAATCTGCAACTGGGCTAATCCACCCACAGATTTTATATGAAGAGTTCACTTTATAATGTACCACTGACTTCATCACGCAAATAGTAGGGGCGCAACGGTGCATCAATTCATTGACGATTCTTACACTCACGATGCGCATATCGAATCGCACGGATGATAATTGATTACAACTATACTGTACTGTATTTGATCTGAATGTTGTGCGAGCGTGTACTTGCTTTAGGGTGATCCGTGAACCCACTCTAGGCGCTACGATGCACACTAATTTAACATGTAGGCTTTCACGACCAAATACTATCATTCATAATTAGTTTATTTTTGGTTAAATCAGGGGTGGGGAATGTCCGGCCCAAGGGCCGTATAAGGCCCGCGAAATCATTTGGTCTGGCCCTGCCAAGGCAACCGCAGGCAGGACTCGAAATTCAATAAATCTAGGAGCAAACCTGGAAAAGCAGTTGCGAGTAGCAGCAACATCGTCAATACCAGCTAATATCATCACCACACGCCTCGCCAAAGAGAAGCAGTTCCAGCCATCACATTAAGGGTGAGTTAATTAAATGTTTGACCAAATATAACAGGCTAATTTTTAAGTTGATAATTGTGTATGGCCCGCGAATGCTGTTATAAATATCCAAATGGCCCTTGGCAGAAAAAAAGGTTCCCCACCCCTGGGTTAGATCATGTAGGTATCGTGTCATTTTTTTGTTTTACTAAAACCATCACCCAACAGCCGATCAATTAAGTTGTCGCGTGGACAAATGTGCCAATTGACTTGGTTATCGGCAAACCATCGTAATGTTAAAAAGCAAAGCTGGATGTAATATCCCGCAAAACGTCGGGGGAAAAAAAACATTCGTCAAAATTTTTTTAGCTCGCTATTCCACATTCTGCTTTGTTTAAAAAACAAAACAATAGTAATATTTGCCCACGTAACAACTTGATTTGATTGACTCTGTCGGGTGTTGGAGGGTTATAGTAGACAAAAAATGCAATTATACCGACACGACCTAATCCAAAATTAATTATGAATCAATGCACAACGCTGTTTTTGTCATCCTTGAATAGATTAATGACTCCCGAAACGTGACAATTCACTGAACCGGGATATTTCCTGCTTTCACAACTACAATTATGCTGCCCTCTCCTGGCGATTTAATTAATCGTTGCCATAAGGCTGGGTCACGCCAGCCTTTACTGCAGTTGGCAAGGTAAAATATTTCTTAGGCACATTGATATGTTGGTGTTATATATAATATCGGTATAATGGTACATTGCTATATAATATATTACCCTGCTATGAGATATGGATCAGAAACATGCACAGTGACAAAGAAAATGGGACAAAAGCAAAACATTCTGGAAAAAAATCCTCAAGCGCACACTTTAAATTACACCGAGGGACAGAACCACCACATGGGTCAGAGAACATATGCAAGTTATAAACATCAAATTGATTGTTAATAAAATTAAGCGGTTGGCATGAGGCAAGGCACGTCGCCAGAGAGGATGATGGCCAGCGGTTGTTTCTCACGAACGGGTGGCAGCCAAAGGAACAGGCCCTAGAAAACATCCGCCATGGAGACGGAGCAATGAAATGAGCTCATGTATATAGGTGCAAGGCAGCCGTGGATTTAACATGGCTGAAGATGATACCAGTGGGAAAAATAATTGGCCTTTTGTGAAAGGATGCCACATGGCTGAAAAGAACATTCCCTTTCTTCCCGTGACAAGCACAAACCCTGTTATGAATGAATGAACCACTGTGTTCATTTTGAAAATGCGCTGCAGCAGGAATTTTATACCAAAATAATTGGAATGATCATAGGACCACAATCTGTCGAGGCGATTTCAACATTGTCTGCCTCGGCGTTAATTCGTTACTTATGTTCGATAATTCTCTTCAGCGTCGTGACTGCACACAGAGCAACATTCAGCAAGCGCAGCATTGTGCCCACGATCCATTCCTGGAACATCCAGATTCAATTAAATACATTTCGGCATCTCAATGCCCCTGGGAAACTAAACAGCAAATCTTATGGGAAGATTTTGTTTATCGCGAAAAAATCCCAGCCAGACAGCTTAACGGACAGCTTACACAACGCCTTCTCAAAGCACCGCTCCCACGAGGTTTACCACCTGTGAGTGACAGTAAAACCAGGGCATACCGTGGGAAGACGAATATCTCACAGTACAAGAAGAGGGGAGGAGAGCTACATGTAAATGCATCGTCTTGAGTGGTTTCTTTTTAAGTAACTGATAAAAAAAACGTAACTTTTTTACGTCCCAGAAAAATCCCAGCACAACCAGGGCTGCCACCCATACAGGTGGCAATCCAAGGTCCCAAATGCCAGTCCCTGAGCAAGCACTGAAACAAGTGTAAACCAAGCTGGCAAGCCGGCCCATGAAGAAAGCTTCCAGTTTATCGGAGCATTTATCTGTACAATTGTCTGCAGTGGAACACACAAGTGCAAAACAAAGACAAAGATCCCCCGTATAGCCTTAACAGACTGTAGGGGCAAGTGCTGTTCACGAGCACCTATGAAGGCCAGAACGGTACACGAGGGGGTGGGTGGCCAGCACCACGCCCGACCGCCTTTGTCTCCCCAGTGGCGATGTTTTTACACACCACACCAGGTACTCATTTAAGGCTGAGTCGACCTAGGAGAGGCCCAGGACCGGTTCAGATAATCGTCACTGGTGTTGGCCGTGAGTGGGAATCGAACCCGGGTTGCCGGGTTCATAGCGCAGCGCGCTAACCGCTACACCACCTCTCCCCACAAGTGCACACATACTGTGTGCGCACATTAGCCACATGCAGTTATACCTATGTGCTTGTCCTCCAGCACACATACACTAATTGTGCTAAAGCTTTTTTAAGGTGTTTGCAATCTTTCCCAAAAACTATACCGATCTGGGCATTGGTATTGGTCAGTTGTGTGGTAAGTTTCATAGCTGTTGCTTTAGGGGTTTTCCATTTTTTATTAACTTGATAAATGGCTTACAGCTCCTTTGAATTGATGTCTTCATCAAGCATTGGATTGATACGGGGTTGTATTTTCTTCGTATTATTACACTCACTGGTCCATATAATTAAAATACAAATGGCATCAATAGAGAAAGGTTCAGTGTTATTTGTCGGGGCTTAGGAAGGGGCTTTAGCACCTCCTAAATTACTCTCGAGAAGACATCGTTTGTTTGACTTGGAACATGCATCTATAAACTGGCACGTGGTTACAATCGCAGGGTGCCCATGAAAGTGTAATGTATTACATCGATCATCATAATCATTAGCCACGATCAAACCTCTGCTGGATGGAGGCCTCCCCAAGCCGTCGTCATCTTTTACGATCTTGCGACAAAACAATCCACAGAGCATCGACTCGCGAGGGTAGCTGCCGCCCAGGGGTGTTTTCTCTCCTTTGGCTGCCATATGAGGAATTTGTCTTTACATAATCCTTTCCCTCCAATTAGCATGGTTGGCTGTGTTCGGTGCAAAATAAATGCAACATATATACACCAATGTAAAGTGTAAATAAAAACAATCTGAATATCTGAAGTGACCTTCAACAGCACATGAACAGGAGCATTTGAAACATTCCCACCTGAGATATTGGCAAAACATGGGAGACTCACAAATCTTAATGCAATATATGTCGACAATGCCAGAGTGGCAATTTGGAGAGTTGGATGGTTGGAGGGATGTGGCTCATATGATACAATATTCATACTACCAAGTGTCTGTGGTTTGATCATCGTAGCTCAAACTGCTGTCTAATTCTTGATAATGGATGATGGCTTCATGAACGCGCCGTACTGTATTTACCACCAGTGTAGAATAATTCAACAGACTACGTGATATGCCCTTTGCTGTGCACAGAATATTTGTTTTAAAATGCTATATTGTTTGCAGGCCTCACACCACGTCGGTGCCAACACGCACTGGCAGTGTGCTGGAAGGAAGCTCGCCACCGTTTTACATTGCAGGGGAACAAAGCCTGACCCACTCCATTCGGTCAAAGGGCTATACAAACATGTGTCGAATCTTGACTTAAAGCTTTCGTGACAGCAGGAATTCATATTCTTTTGGTCTTTCGGTAAAGTCACGTAGATAGGTTCAAATAAAAATAACAAAAAATAACAACCTATCTACGTGACTTTACCGAAAGACCCAAAGAATATAAACATGCGTCGTAGAGGCAACCCCAGTTGTGGCCACCCCCACAAGCCCTCGGGGTAAAGTGGGCATGCAAGTGACGCTCGGCTAACGTGGATGTTCTGCCGTGCCAGCGTTTGGGCTGCTTGGGCATGAATGACGGACACGCGAGTCGGTGTGAACTAGCAGAAACAGACTGATGGCTCTTATGCGCCTCTGAATGCTGGGAATAATATTTTGAAGAAATGTACAATATTAATACACCTCACATTTTATTTCCCTGGGAGTAATTTTCATTATTTGTAGATTGGAAAAATATGGAGACATGTTTCGCGTGCAATTTCTATAACACGAATAACACCTTTCACGGTTTATTTTTTCAAATTCATAAATTGCTCTTTTTTTTGGTTGGCACAGATGGAATTTAAATACCGCTTTTTTGCTTTCATATAGTTGAAGCATTGGTTAAAATCATTTATAGCGAGGTGATGTATAATGCTAAATATATTGTTATGTTTCCCAAAGTTGTATATTTTAACAAGCCATAACCTTGCACTATGTTTAACTGTACCCATCATCAGCCACCATCTATCCACTGCTGGATGAAGACAACCCCAAGTTGCCACCATCTTTCACGGCCCTCCATTTTACATTTATCTTTCAAACATACTTATACAATTTCACCCCCTGGTGTACATTTTTCCGGATGTAATATTTTGCTCAGCTCAACCTCTTCAAGAGACCTCTCTCAAAAGGAATCTCGCCTGCTTACAACTTAAGGCACGATTAAAGGGACGAAGAAAAAAATGTATTTCTAGGTGAGAACGCGCGAGCGTAACGCACGTCCGGGGACCGCGTTCGCCTGCTCCCTCTCTCGCACGTGGCAACCGACGCACGTGAGAGTGTCGGTGTGTGCGTGTAATGGCCTCACCCCTCTCAACCAGGGATGATCCAGCACCTGCGCTGCACTCAGCCTCTGTTTGGCGTTGCGCACCAGCAGCTTGGAGATCAAGTCCTTGGCATGGACTGACACGCCCGCCCAGTCCTTCTCCGGGAACTCGTAGTGACCCTCTTGGATCCGTGCAAATAGCATTTTCTGCAGGTGAAGACAAGGGCAGTGGCAGTGATGGCATGCCAAGTCACCGTGCATGCATCAAAACATTTCAGATGTCGGAAATTAGGCAGGGTTAAACCTGATTGGTACTGAGACTGCAAAGTGGCCAGAAGATGCCAGGACGGCAATGGACACTTGAATCTGTTTCCGAGTGTCATCCTCTCACGTGCGTTTTTTTTTTTAAGTTTCCTCCCACACAAACATTCAAAGACATTGTCCTGCTAAGATAGCCTTAGGACTCAGCGAGGCTCTCCTGGATATACTGATGGCATTTTGAGTTTGTTGAGTTTAGGCCTAGAGTTACTTAAAGTTGTGTCGGAAGACACGAGTAATGTTGTGGTTGTCTTGTCAGGTCTTGGAAAATAAGCAGGACTAAGTAGGCCAGATTGCTACTTGGATGAAATATTACTGTGGCTGCAATTTAACGAATTACAGAACCACAATTGGCAGATGTACCAGATTTATATATTTTTTTAATGATCCGTATGTTTCCGAATGATTATTATTTTTTGCCAAAAAAATACCTTATGTTGAGACACAAACACCGATTGAGAATGCAAAATATTACAAGTGAACAATATTTTTTAAAAAAATAACAACACGCGCACTAATGTATGCATTTAAATTGTATGAAAAAAAAATCGAGGTATGAATATACCTGACCATGTGGACCATATTTTTTATTTTTTTTACAGCCTAACCCACAATCTTCACTCAAGTAGCTTCCGACCAAAGGAAGCACGTTCATAACCAGCACGTGCCAGCGTGTGGTTTCCAACTAAACGAGCCCTCGTTTTATGCCAAAACAAACCGTGAATAAAAACACGTACAGCGGCAATCACCGTACACACGCGCACCTGGCAAGGCGAGCAGGGCTGCCCGCTGTCCCAGCCGCACTGCCCGCCGCAGTTGCCCACAAAGGGAGGGTAACCGCTGAGCAGGATGTACGTGATGACGCCCAGGCTCCAGAGGTCGCAGCGTTTGTCATAGAAGGAAGCCTCCTCCTCGTTAAAGGCTTCGACCACCTCGGGGGCCATGTACTCGGCGGAGCCGCACTGCTCGCAGCGCCAACGACAACACACGCAGCGGCTGTCGAGAGCGTGCCAGTGACCTCATCTCAATCGTAAAATTCTGTTCCCAATATGTCAAAGCAGTGAGCTAGCTTATCAAGCGTGCAGGACGGTGCAACTGCCCTGTATGTTGTATGTATTATGTTGAACTCCTTTGGCGCCGTACATAGCCGACCGCGCTAATCGGAGGTGCCCTGGGGCCCACTCGCTGGACAGGCGCCGGGCAACAAAGAGGGGGTGGGGGGGAAAGGGACAAGGGGTCCCCACCCCCATCCCGAGGGCCCATGTCAAGCGTGTAACACCGCCGCTTTAGAGCGAGGTGGCCCCGGTGGCTCAAGAGGCTAATACCATATCAGAACATTAATCCACACTGCCAACATTAGTGATTAAAACTGTGTTGTCAAGTTAAGGAAGTTGATGGTCTCAACCCTGAGACTAATAACTGCATGAAAATCTCCCAATAAGTTAATTTTTCCACTTAATTTGTCGAATTTCAGCTAAGATATATTTTTTTTGTGACGAACACTCTGCAGGGCAAATGAATTGTCCACTAATAATCGAATAAACACGCCTATGGGAATTACTTTAGAAGCAGATCTATGATGTAATTTTCCCTGGCCATTCGCTGACACAAGGTGGTGTACTCTTAGCTGTGACATATTTTGAATGGAAATGTCAATGTCTCATGCCCATAGCATAAATTGTATTTGGAGAAACTAAACAAAAAAACATTCCAAAGTTAAAATATACTCCTGCTGAAACAGACCAAGAGTGGTGCTCATATAAAATTGAGTCCTGAGCCTGTAATGGAAATTCTACTATTCTATGACAGGAACTAGTATTTGCATAGTATATCCGACTGCACCACAGTTAGTCCTCATTTGATAGACTTGAAGAGACAGTGGGGTAATTTGACACCTGAAATGGATTTTAACTCACAACTTTACAACTGCTGAGTTTGGCACTCTGCTACATCTTAACTATGAAGTGAAAATGACTAAATGGAATTATATAATTTTTTTAGCCTTAATAATGTCTGACAACAATAATAAGTCATATCAACATTTGAAAGGCTCTATCCAGTAATCCAGTAAACAATGCCGATGGAAACTCACGACAATAATTATGCAAGTAATCCTACACTCTCACTTAATACAGTATAACAAAAAGGAGAACATATAAAGTAATAGTACCCCATCTACACAGCTTCAAATAAACAGTGTGTCTGTAGCAATTGCTCTAGGGATGAATTTCTCGCGGAATTTTGTTCCGGCTGAGCGGAAGACTATTTGTCGGCGGCATGTGTGCTCGTAGCCACGGCGATGGCTAGAGATGGACTGAATCTGGTGGACTGGTTTCGAAAATATTTTCCAAGTTGCCGACCCGTTACGGACCCGGCTGAAATTAAGCCGCGTGTGCGTGCGTGTGCGTTGGCACGTTAGGGGGCACAGGTGGTGCATCAGCCAGTCATCTCAGTCAGTCGACCCGTGGCACCTGGGTCTGCCCCGTGACCTCCTGCCAGCGGGCGTTCGACACTTCACGTGGCCTCAGGGTGCACATAGCCTGGCACAAGCGTCGTGGTGACGTCACCGCCACTTAGTGGCGAATGGCGGTTGTTGTTGTTGTTGTGTGCGTGCGACACGGTGCGAGTGAGCTGGCTACCGGTGTGGCCAGCTCTGGTGTGGAGATGGGCGTGCTGCCGACCGGCACTCCGCTGCCAAGATCAAAGTCACAAATCCGCACTGGGGTCACCTGCACAGGTGACACATCACCCACCAAAGTCATCGCTTCACCATCACGGGCGTGTCACCACTGCCGCCCAAATCTGCGTGTTACACGTATTTACGTATACTTGTCCAGAGAACAAACCGCTTTGCCAATTTCATTGAATAAGATGTAACGTAAAAGATGATGAGCAATATATTTTATAAGAGGTCGAATTACTTAAAAAAATCTTTGCCCTGATAATTCGGCTTTTCGGCCTTCATACTTCTTATCCACTTTATCGTTTACAATAGTTTGGTGTCTGCCATGAACCTCTTGGCCCTGTTTCAAAATTATACAATGGATAGACATGTGCCATTGGTGTGTGAGGGGGAGATGTTTATCTCGATGGGCTTCTCACTGCAGTACTGTATATTATAGTCTATAGGGCCTAAGAAAATCTATGGGCCTTATGAAAATCTGTGGTTCCAATGCGAGTCTCTTCGTCCAAAGTGAGAATAATAGGTCATTACGGCTAAGGAATTTTAACAATGCTCAGGATACCCACTAAGGCAGAGTGAGTCAGGAGACAGTCTAAAGAGAAAAGGATGGATTGTAACCACCCATTAAAAAAACATTAATATAAAGCAGAACATGCAATGGTGTTTCTCCGAATATTCTAGATATCAATACAAATAATCTGCAACACACTAAATTATCAGCAGCGAGTTCCCTTAAAAGTCTGAGTGCATAGTAATTGTTCGTGTTCGCCAATATACAGGAAAGGCCCAGTGATGGTCTGTGGATCCAAATCGGACAATAGGCACAAGACGTCACCTGATCGGCCAACTCGCACAGGATGTTTTCAGGCTTGAGATCTCGGTGAGCGATTCCTTAAAAAATATATGTCTCATATTAGTGAACAGAACATTTGGGCCAAACCATGAAACATTATTCGTAGAATTATTACCAATATCACGAAGTACAAATATACCAGGCTTATAGTGATAGTCCCCCCCCTCCCCCTTGCATTTCGATGAATCGGGATCACAATTTTTTTTTTATGTCTTCTCCATTATGGAAAATATAGCGTCTCCGATGACTGTAGGCGTTAGACAAACCAATTGCAATATAAATACATACAAAGAATCAATTCTTTTACGTGTAATTTTAAGCGTGTATCACGAGAATAAAGGTCCATATTAATTGACGAACCAATGTGGCATTACATGTTAATATCGATGCAAGAATCTTACATGACAAGAGTGTTGAAAAAAAAAAGCCTGTAGGCTAGATGAATTGCATTTCGTGAGACCTACCTTTGTTGTGCAGGAAGTGAAGGGCGCTCGCGATATCTCGTACAACCCGGCTGGCTTCCTTCTCATTGAAATGCTTCCGCATCTGGATGTGAGTCAGGATTGAACCTGCGGCAAACCCCACAAATAATCAATGCTGTAAATGATGATAACGAAAAGCCCCATCGTACAAGACGAGGAGAAAATCCATCATAACAGCAAAAAAGCCTTAGCATAATGCCCTTATGATTTGTACTGGAGCGAGCGTTAATTTGTCAACAATATTAGTGATGAAAACAGTCTCCATTGAAGTGATTTAAATTTTAGTCGGCGATGACTATGAGTGGACGAAAATCAAGAGCGTGAAGTCGACTATGAATGCCCACCCCTAAGACCGACCGAAGCATGACTGACTAGGTCGAGATGAAATTAGCTAGTCCGCATAAAGATGCAGACTAATATAGAGCAGGATTATTGGGGACGGCAGCGCACTGAGGAAGACCAGCATATATAAAGTTGTTTTATAGAGTGCACTCTGGATCAACTGATAATACTAGCCAGGGAGGGGGGGGGAGTGGATTGTGTGCCCCACTCACACCCAAATTTAATAACTATGAGTGAAATATAATTTAGACGGCTTTAGTCAGAATCAGAATTTATCCTTTATTTATCCTGGAGGAATCCGATGAGCTAGGAAGCTATTTTTCGCAGATGTCCAGTATGGGCGGGTCAGCAAGTTACATCAACTTGACTAAGAGAATTACTAAATTCTATATCTACATGCTAAGACTTCATTAACATTCCACAAGGTGTTGTTGACTAGATTCAAGCCTCAAACAAAACAATAATATCGAAATGAGCACCGATTTCACAATGACTGGAGTCAACTTACAAATGTAATTTCAATTAAAATGTAGAACATCTAAATGCAACTGCATTTCAAGATTGCACAGAAAAAGGGTCCACGCATATCACGGAGATCAGCAGACAAACACTTTTAAATATGGTCAGAATTCTACAGTGCTTTGGATAGATGTATGAACTTTATTTATAACCTGGTTATAAATAATGGAAATCTATCTGATGCTGTAGATCTAGAAGCCTTCAAACCTAATGGGGGATATCGCGAGTGACTCCTAGATCCGGTCATTGACTGCAATCAGGTTTTATCCACCAATGCATTTACACTGTTATGAAACGTTTAATATTCTTCCCAATATCTAAGTGGAAACCCACTTATTATTTGGCGAATGGATACACGGAGGCAAGGTTTACCCAACATACACCAACATCTTGTGGTGAGATATTTCTCTGTAAAAATCATGCGTGCCAAATGCGTTTCTGGACGCCAGTTATCTGATAATGACTTTGCATCCGCATGAGTCACGTCTGGTGCATGTGCACTGCATCAACACATTGGGGATAGTCAGTGTTTTATGAAAATACAATTTAGTTTCCTACCTCCATGCATCTTCTCAAACACCAAGTAGAATGCTTTCTCATCCTCAAAGAACTCAACTAGCTCTAAGATGTTCCTGGAATAAATGTAAAAAAGAAAACGGATGTCATTTAACGTAGGCAACTGCCACCTTCACATACAATTAACTGAAAAATTACTTTACAGATTATAAATCGCCTGCATTTGCAAATCAACAGGAGTTGAAAACATGCTGTTGACCTCACTGAAAGATGCACAAGACACCATCAGTCCTGAGGCCAGCTGCATGCAATACAATGCAGAAGGGCCAATTGACTTGTAATCCAATTCTACAACAAAAATGTAGTGGTGCGCACAATTTGCACAAGGAATTCACGGTGTACTTGTGTCCACAAGTCCACCGTGCACACTCTTTGAAGGTGATTGGGGCCGTGACGTGCCACGTTCGGAGCGCATTCGCCATTTGTTGCAGACGTTTACGGTTCAAAACCGGCAGGCCGCCCTGGTTAACACCGCGGGCGCATTAACCATAAGTACTACAACACCGTCCGCCTCACAGTGGGGCGTTAAAGATAACGTAATGTCATTTGTAACGAGGCAATTGTATGCTGGCGTCACGGTCCAAATATGGCAAATCAGTCGGAAATTCAATATTTTGTGAAATAAACCTATCGCCCCTTGCTGCGAAAACATAGCAGGACTCTCCTGACAATGGACTCGGCGAGGCTTTCCTGGGTAAACAACAGCAATAACACGAACAACAATAAAAAATAATTCAGCAGTCACCTACCTATGGCCTTGGCACTGGTACAGCATTTCCACCTCGCGGAAAACTCGGTCCCGCCTCTGTCCTTGACACTTCTCTATGATCTGGACCACAACATCGACATCGAAAGCAATGAATGCAACGGCGGGCACCCAGCATTTGTGTGCGTGTGTTAATTCAATAAATATAACATTTCTGCAGCGCTATTGCCAGTCGTGATGATAACAACGGATCAGAAACGCGGACATTGATGAAGCGAATTAACGAAAAGCCGCGGAGTGCCTTGTGAAGAAGCTCGGTGAGGAGGCATGCTTGGGATGACACAAACAAGAAGAGTGGACGCATGTGCAGTGGGTGAAATTGAGGCGCACACTCAACTTGGAGGCGGCACTATATTAACGCATAACAAACCAGGGTGGTGACCACCGTTCCTAATCTCACTAACACTCGGGGACTACTACACAGCGTGACCATGGCAGGTGACGGGCTGCCTGGTCACAAACGACGAGGACCGCTGATGGCATCTTCATCCCAGTGTTGAAGAGCCCAGCTCTCTGTTCACACCCCGCTTATAACCGCTGCGGCGTGGCCGGCTCCGCCCCAAGCCACGCCCCCCCCCCCCTTCTCGATCATTCGAGAAAGTCCGGGCCCCCAACCACGTGACCCCCAAGCTCCCCGCTGGGGCCCCTAGCCCCCCTTTATCGGGTCACGTGTCCTGTTGGGTTCACGCAGAGTGTCACGGCCTGACACGACCCCCGTGACACCCGCCTACAGCACCCGCACCGAGCAACACAGTAGTGACATCATGTGTCCCTACGCTCGTTTCAGTCCCGACACAGTTGTGACGTCGTATGTCACTACACATGAATGATAAAAAACTTTGGCACATTCTAGAAAACAGTTTATACTGTTAAGAAAAGCAATTGGGCTTGGGCAGGACAAAGTGACGGGAAGAGAGGATGGCCGGTGGTCGAGAGTAACGATGGAGTGGCAGCCGAGGCAGGCGACACAAACATTTAGATGTGCCACATTCAAATTGTAATTACATTTGTAAGTGGAACCCAGTTATGGTGAAATCGGTGCTCATTTAGTTACAATTGTTTTGTTTTACGCTTGATCTAGTCAACAACACTTGGTAGAACGTTAATGAAGTCTTAGATATAATTGAGTAATTCTCTTAGTCAAGTTGATGTAACTCACTGACCCGCCCCTACTGGACATTTGTGAAAAAGAGCTTCCTAGCTCATCGGATTCCTCCAGGATAACTAAATAAACAACTGCCGAGATGGAGCGATGACATCAGCTCGTGCGCAGGTGGTTCGTGGATTGTTACATCTCAGGATGGCTTTGGGAAGCCTTCATTCAGCAGACAATTGATAGTGTCTGATGTAATAACTTCAAGTAATACTTCAATGATTGTAAATTGAAGGGGGGGGGCGTTAAACACAATCTTAAGACAATGTTGTTCTTTTATCACGTACCCAGCTATTTCACTAACTCACACCAGCTGCCAGTATCGTGATAAATGTTGAAAGGGTAAGTGCCATTATAGTAAACAGCATGAGGGGGTGGTTGGGATGTAGCGAGCGCAAACGTGATCCCAAGATCTCTGAATTTTGTTTATAAGAACCCCCATCTCATTCTATCAGAGATGGTGTTCTCTGCGTGAAAAATGTGAAGGTCCAGGGTCATGGGTGTGACCAACAACTCTACGTGAGTACAAAAAGGAGCACTAGAGGAATGAAAGAGTTAATTGAGGTTCTCCACGGGTGTTGTCTGGAAGTGCAGCTGGCACAGGAATTTGTGCAGCTGACTGGCACCCTTTTAGCTGCCTCCTGAAAGGCAATAAAACATCACACCATCCTCAGTGGATGATAAAGCTTTCTCGCCGATTGCTTTTCCAAACGCCATTTGACAGCCTCCTGTAAAACGAATTCAACTTGCACTGCGCGAGCAATCTGCTCCCTATGCAACCAGCCTTGTCTGTAAATGAGTGAAATTAACGAGTGGCAGGCAAATAAGGAAATCACGCCCTGGATATCCACCACGGAGATAGAGCTATTAAATTAGCTCGTCAGTAAGAGTTTAGTGAATTGTTGCATGGCTAGACTGTTAGAAATGGCGAAGACTTGGATAGGCATTCATTCAGCAGTGGATAGATCATTGCTGGTGTTGATAATGATGATTAAGTTATGGTAGAAGACAACAGTGTCAAACCTTGGCGGCAAACTCCTTGCCATTGAGAAGGGACACACAGCACTCCACACGCGCATATGACCCTTGACCCAGGACCTCTCCCGTCACATGGTACACATCTGTGGATGTATAAAGGTTACACGCAAGGCCCAGCGGACATCATCAATCCTCCCCGAAGCCAGCAGCAGTTTGCACACAAGCAGCAATTGCCAGCATTCACAACACCACTGGGCAGTTTTGTAATAATAGCAAACTTTTAAATGTTTGCAAATGTGCGGAAGTTCCTTGTTTTCATGCTTAATTACAGAGTTAAGTCTCAAAATGAATCACATTTTATTTAATATACTTATTTACATGTCATTAAAATATAAATTTCTCACACTGTGCAGTATATGGAAATCACTTAATCCACCCGAATGTGGAGGGTGCTATTGGCAAATAATGGGACAAATATGTGTAGCTAAATGTGATGTGTAGCTGAGAGGAATGGGGTGGCTGGGTGGCTTATAGGTCTGAGCACCGAGGCGTTACTGCTGAGATTCTGGGCTGGAATCAAGGCAGCTACACCGTGGTTCATCTGGGTTGTCAAGTATAGAGAATTAGTGGTCTCAGCTCAGTTATACAATGACTTCAAAAAAAATCCATCGGATTAAATTTGTTTTTGCAATTGATTTGACCTACCTGCTATATGAAGGGAAAATAAGGTCACTTGAAATAATTGTTGTCGATGTCTCTTCCACGGGCTGTTCCCTGACACACTGGGATTGCTGCGGAGCCTGCTGCTTTTACATCGCAGTAAAAAAAATTATACCAAGGTCTGGCTACTGCTGCGTAAGAGCGCAGAAGCGTGGTCACCACATCTACGCCTCTATATAAGGAACGAAACAGTTAAGACTTCTCCACAAATCTGGCTGTCGCCTGATGAAGCTAGTTGTAATTACTGGCGAAACGTCGTACTCAGATTGTTAATGTTGTGGCTTGGCTCTCCAACACACCGGTGTGCTGTACTAGTGAAGAATTAGCATGTTCTGTTTACGTGACAACCCTTACTAGTTGGCTGTCAGGTGGTGGCGGGTTTAACGACATATTTATATATTTACGCTATCTAACCCAAAAAAACCTCTATTATGGAGGAGATTAGTAGTTGGTAGGGAAGGTTGGTGGTAATTAGGTAAGGGACTCGCATGGTAGAGGTGATATGGGTTGGTGGTTGGTGGGGGATAGGTTGTGGTGACTGGGTGCGTTGCTGACTAATTGGTCTAGGTTGGCCCCCCTCTGCTCCATCCACGTGTTTCCGAGGGTCTCTGCTGATGCTTGTATTTTCGGTGGCTGTTGTGACCTGCTGTGCGCGTATGTAGATCGTCACTTGCCACTGTCTGTAACATTATTTATTAGTTGTTGCCCTGGTGATGTATTGCTGTTTTTTGATGTTGTGTAAGCTGCTTTAAAACGAGCGCGATAAATGATAAAGCCGTATCTTCGAGAGAAAAAAAGGATTCAGAAAATCAAGGTAATCGGATAGATGAATGTGTGGTTAATAGGCCATTCCACAGATGAATTTGAGCCACTTGTAAGAGGATAAGCAAATTACAGATAAGACGAGTTTCACTGGAATATTATAAAATGTAAGAGCCTAGCGTTCTGCATCTCGCTATCCATATCACCCGGAATCCAAAATGATCAAATAACTTTCTCATAACGAATCAACATATAAATCGTGCAACTGGTAACGGCAACCATTGGCCAATGAATACCACAAAGGCAGCCTTGAAGCAATAACTCCGACTCACCTGAAAAGCTGTCTTTACGCGCCTCCTTGAAATGCGACCGCCTTTTCTTTTTGCGGCGCTTCTTTGCGTCCGTCATTTCAGCAGAATTTTCCATTTGCGCTTCTGCAGAAACGTTCCCAGCAGGGGCAAAAAAAACCCAAGACGGCAAAAAACCTCCACTGTGTAAACGCAATACGAGAATCTCTTTAAAGCACCCAGCTGAGCTCATGTGTTTGGCCTCTGTGGCAGAGGCGCAAAAGTCCTCCAGCGCGGTAAAGTCGTCGATGTCTCAAGAGTGCAGGGTTGAATCTTTCACCGCCAAATTGTCTCTGACATACTGGGGGGGGGGCATTTACGCCGCATGTAAAGTCAGCTTTTTGTTGCGAATGCGTTGACAAAACCCTTCAAGGGAATTAAAATAATGCTGACGGTAAAATGTGTATTGTTAACCATTTATTATTTACAGACTATTGTCCAATGCTGGTCTCCCCATGCCGTGCCGGTCATGCAGGTTGTTTAACCAAACTTCACACATCGGGTCAGCGCATGTTGGTGAAAGGGGACCAGGACTGGTTCAAATATCACTCGCCACTGATGCTAACCGTGGCCAGGAATCAAATTTAGATCGCCGAGTTTGCAGTGCTGTGCGTTAATCATTACACCATTGCTACAACCTCAGTTTACCAATAATTCCTCAGAAGTATAGCGCTTCTAAAAGAGCCTCTTTCCTTCTTACAGTCTACTATACTTGCTCGAATGTTTAACAAGACAACTATTTCATATCCATATACTGGTGCAGCATCTAAGAGCACTGCTCCGCAGAAGAATGTCTGCACACAGCAGCCTGCCCGGCAGGAAGCCTGGGTGTTAGATTATTAACCACAAACAAGGAACAGCATAGCAGTTGTGTAACTAGTCAAGGAATTTACAATAGATAATTGATATTACCACACACGGTATATAATTACATGTTTCGATAATATCCAATGTAGGTGTACTCATTTATGCCCGCCAAGTTATTTGATTAAATTGTGCCATTCAGGGTAAACAAATCGATTGAGTAAGCAATATTGTTGCACAATGTGCTGAATTGTAGTAGCTCCAGGGGTCAAACTATAATGAGTCACATGCAACATATGTCTCGAAAAACTGGTTTATGCGCACTGCATTTATCATGAGCTTCGGAATAAAAGTTAATCCGATGACTCAAAGCATCGTTGTATTTTTGTTAACCAGAACATTGCTTACAACAATTTGTGAAGGCAGAGCTTGATGAAGGCCTGCCAACAATGTGTCGGTCATGGAGGTTTTGTGACCATACTTCACAACGCGGGTCAGCGCAGTTTGCTGACTTTTAGGCCCACGACTGGCTCAGAAATAATTTGCCACTGATGGTAGCAACGACCGGTAATACAATGCAGGTCACCGGGTATGTAGTGGAGCAGTGTGCTAACCGCAGTATCACCGCTCGACCCCGATTACCATACATCCATGTAAAAATATATATTATCATCTAGGTATCATCATTGCAACGCAAATAACATTGCTGTTTGTCCAGATGGCATAGTGATCCTTTGCAGAAGAAACCAAACATCGCACCCCCCGAAAATATAATGAAACACTCCAAAGATAATAATCTACATCTGTCGTTCTGCAATGCAACTAGGCAACTATGAATGTGTTTGCTATTTATACTGGGCATGTGCCATATGTGAAGTGAAATCATCCATCTTTAAACAAACACTTTCATTCTGTATGAACTATTCATGTAAGACAATGTGGCTAGTTTCTTAATATAAATATTCATGCAATTTTCTCTTGAACACATTATGCCTTGTCATCAACATGTCAAGACATGTTGATGACATGTTGGGGGGGGGGGGGTGTGGGAGAAGTCCATAATTGCCACAGTAACACAGTAACACAGTAAATCCTAAATTTTCCCCATAACAAGACACATTCCTGAACTCCCACATTGTGTCTGGTGCCAAGTGGAGCGCGGCGATGTCCTCATCAGTCAGATGCTATGAAGGGTCGTCAGGGGGAACGATAAGGCCTCGTACCAAGTCCAGCGTGAATGGTTTCCGACCCCTCCAGTGATCCCAGATCCCTTGGCCCCAGCATGGCGGACTTGAGCCTTTGGTATCTGAATCTACATGAAGAACAAAATTTAAGAGATGTCACGCATTGCTCGTGAGACACTTTACCACCATATGTATGTCTGCAAAAGTAATTGATAAGTATGATGGAAGCCGACAGGTACCTCTTAGAGGAATGTGTTTGCATGATTGCGAATCCTTTTTCCTCTAGATTTTTAGTACCCAAGTTTTGGGGAAGGCTCAATATGGCTTGTTTTCAATCGGGTATTTCCATATAACAAAACCTTTATATTACTGATACATATGGAATCATCTTCATGAGAGTTAAAGTGTCACCGCCCCTTTACGAAGGGATGGACAAACAGCACTAACGCATATAACAGTTGGAAAGTGCTGACAAAGTCCAAAGTGGTTATGAGTCGACACCCATCCTTTAATGTGTTCCAATTTCAAATGCACATCTGACCATACTGCATGTTGTAGTGTCAGCTAGATGCATCAACATATTAATTTATAACCAAGTCAGAACCCAATGAGGCCGGAAGTATCTGTTCAAGGGAGACCTGGATAAACACATCATTGAGCAAAACAACTTCACTGAAAATACAAACCAAATATTTAATATCGGATGGACAGATCATATATTTAATTAAATATTGTGCTTCATTCCAGATGTTAACAAAACATTAAAGGAAAACGGGGGGGGGGGGATAGAGGGGGGATATAATAAAATATAATTCAAACGAAGTATAATTCACTCATTAAGCGTAAACCTTTTCCAAAAGTATGTCCAAGTGATTTGAATGAAACTAATCGGCAACATATTCTTGGTTCTTTCGGTAAAGTTTAACATGTTGTCTTTGGGACAGCGTCCTAATGGAGAGCTGTATTTCTGACAGCTCTGTTCTTCACCTGAGGACGGCTGCTTGCGTTGTGGCCGAAACGCCGTGAGAATTGTTTTATTTTCTTCTATTTTTATTTTTCATTATTTCCCTTCTACGTGACTTTACCGAAAGAACCAAAAATATGAATCCCTGCGGTCACGAAAGCTCTAAATCGAAATTTAATCAGCAACAATCGTATTGCCTCCACAGCTGGAGTGGAGGGCTCGGTTCCACGCGTCAACCCGACGGTGATGACGACTACGATGGCAAATTTAGCAGCAGCAGCAGCTGACAAGACACCAACACCGCTTCTGTTCCAGCTGGGGGCTTGTGACCATCAACTGTGTCAAATTAAGGTGCCCCCCCTCCCCCCAAATACATTCCAGAGCCATGGCTTAATGCAGAAGCACAGACAGACCAAGTTAATCTCTTTACACCAATGCTAAAGGGGCTCAGTTGTGAATAGAATTAATGACCTTTTCAAACACTTTGCAACGAGGTTAATACGTTTAGGAATTGGCTCAATCCATCCGTCAGTTTGTTTAGTAACAGCATAAGTCTTGCACAGATGATCCATTGTGATTTATGCGTTAGTGCGTATATAGAGTTGTGTGGCTATTCGGGACCTGACCGACAGAAAGTGGCCAAATTTATTAAAATGTTTCGTGGGATGTACCCGTCCCAGCCACTTTATCCAAGCCTCATGTTGCCGCGTTCAAACATACTGCTTCCTGTTTAACACGGAGCAGCAGCAGCAGCAGCAGGAGGCTTTCGTGAGCAATATCGAAAGGAGGTTTGTTTTTGGTAAGATCGCGTAAATATATTAAAGTGTCGTTAAACCTGCCACCAACCGTCACAGCCAATTAATATCGGGGTTGTCACGTAAGGGGCCGTCCATAAATGACGTCACGCGATTTTGGACGATTTTTTAACCCCCCCCCCCCCCCTTCAGCACACGGCGTCACAAAAAGTCAGACCGCCCTTCAAATATGACGTCACAAAGCTCTGCCGCCCCCCCCCCCCAAAAAAAATATAAAACATGCTTCAAATCGCTTTAAACTATTGTCATTGTAGTGCGTATTTAATGTGCCGCTGCACTGATGTCGTAGGAGAAAACATTTATTAAAAAGTCTATTTAATTAAGTAGAACGTGTTGTCTATATTTATTTAAAGTTGCGCTTTTTGATGACGTCACATTTCTAAAACTCCCCCCCCCCCCTCCTCGTCACACATCTTCACAAATGTCTGACCCCCACCCCCCCCCCCCTCTAGGGTGCGTGACGTCATTTATGGACGGCCCCTGAACGGAACAGGCGCGTGAACGGAACACGCGCGTGGACGGAACACGAGCGCGAACGGAACAGGCGCGCGAACGGAACACGCCCCTGAACGGAACACGCGCGTGAACGGAACACGCCCCTGAACGGAACACGCGCGTGAACGGAACACGCGCGTGAACGGAACAGGCGCGTGAACGGAACAGGCGCGCGAACGGAACAGGCGCGTGAACGGCGTCAAGGCGCTTCGTGAAGTGTTGCACAAGCGATTAGAGAGGGCGATCACTCACAATGACGCCCTCATCCAGCAGTGAGATCAATCACGGCCGATCGTTACGTGTGCGTATATACCGTCAACAGATTATGATGCGCGATTAGACAAAGGCTCGTTGATGCATATTACATCTACAATATATATTAATGTAGTCACAATGTACAATTATAATACGGCACACATTAATTACCGAGTGCGAGACTGGCAAAGCTACCGGTGCCCAGGGGTCATCACCCGTTATTGGGGGTGGGGGTGGAGAGGGGAGTGGGGACACGGGGGTGGAGAGGGGAGTGGGGGCACGGGAGGGGCTTAACTGGGAGGGGGTGAAGAGGGTAGTGGGGACACGGGGGGAGGTTAAGTGTGGGGGGACAGGGGGGTTGAAGAAGCTAGTGTGGGCACAGGGAGGGAGGATGAAGAGGGTAGTGGGGGCACGGGGGGGGGGGTAGCGGGGTGAAGAGAGTAGTGGGGGCACGGGGGGTAGCGGGGTGAAGAGGGTAGTGGGGGCACGGGGGGTAGCGGGGTGAAGAGGGTAGTGGGGGCACGGGGGGTAGCGGGGTGAAGAGGGTAGTGGGGGCACGGGGGGGGGGGGTAGCGGGGTGAAGAGGGTAGTGGGGGCACGGGGTGAGTTGGGGGTTGTGGGGGCATGGGGAAGGGGGTTAAGGGGGGGGTGGGGGGCTGTGGGGAGCGGGGGGTACCCACCGGCTCGAGGGGCGCGCGAGCGCTTCCGGACATTGCCGCGCGCGCTCGTTCTCTTTTAAACGCGCGCGCGATTGGTCCGCCGGCTCTCATCGCTGCACGCGATGAGAGCATTGGCCAATAGGATCGGGAGCTGTCGGGGGGGGGGGGTTAACCCCCGAGCCCCGCCCCACTTCTGTGCTCCGCCCGCTCCGTGGCCCCGCCTCTCTCCCCGCGTGTGACGTCACAGGGCGACCCGTGATATGGGGGTCCCCTCACGAGGTCCTCATCACGATTCTGACTAATCGCCTGCTGAAGCTGTTTGGTGTAATCTTACCATGTCAACCCACACGGTTTAACCCGTATTCTTGTGCAGGGAAACTGAGTTTTCAGGTCAATACGGGGTACAGCCGTTTCAACAGAAAAAAACTTTATTTAAAAATTATATCTTTTTGTGTTTCCCCATTGTGATGGGACTTTGCAGGATGAACGTTGAGATTTACAAGGTCACGGGGTGACCAATTGGTCTGTAATAAGGTCGGCACTGATAAATGGGTTGACAGGTATATGTAATCACCAGCGAAACGTCGGACTAGAATTGTAAATGTTGCAGTGGCCTTACTCTCCATGACAACCGGTGTGCTGAAGTGGTTACTAATTCGCACGTTTTGTTTACGTGAAAAGCCTTACTTCATTGGCTGTATCGGGTGGCGGCGGGTTTAACGACACATTTATATTTACGCGATATAATCACCAAAAAAAACCTTTTATTATGGGTCCACTTAGGTGTTAAGTTTATTTTGTGTGAACAGGTGAGAGAGACCAGCTGGAGTGTCGTTTTCAAGAGTCACGTGGGTCATCAAAATAACATCAGCAAAAATAAATACCGTTAAATAAAGTACAGCAATGAAACAAATTAAAAAATCAGGGCAAAGCGACATGAGAAAAAATATAATGCTCAAGCATAATGTGTCATAGGCAGCCATGGTCAATCCACTGCTGGATGAAGGGATCCCAAACCTGCGCACTTTCACACAAATCTGAAATATAATTCATGTCATCCCACAAAAATGTCACTAAACAAAACAGACGATTGGCTGTAAAACTACTAACAATTAAAATAAACATTACGTTTAGGTGGAGCTTACAGTATTTTTGAATCAATGTTTCCCAAAAACGTGTATTTAATTATACGGTTATGCATTTATAACAGTAACGGCTTGTTTACACAGGAAAGTGTCTCAAGACGTTTAGTCGGAGTACAGATGGATGCAATAATCCATGGTTGTCCTCGCCACCTCACCCTGAGTGCGCCAAAGAAAAAACATTCTCAGCCTGTTTAGCTTTCAACATCTGACAATAGTAATTTGGTGATTGAATGGGGAAATATATTTTAAACCTGTTTCTACTTCGATGAGTCTCATCAGCAGTGTATAGCCCGTGAGACAAATGTTGCTGCGTTGCCTTGTTGTTACCGGATAGACAACCCGTATCCATTAACAGCAAGTACATTATGTTCAAAATGTATTTCCTGTCCTAGAAAGCTAGGATATTATTTAGCTAATAGGTTATTGATTTGAAACCATCAACCCCTACACTACGATCTTTTTGCAACAACAACGAAAACGTGTCTTGTGTAATCTTGATTTGAAGCTTTCGTGACTGCAGGAATCCATACTCTTTGGTTCTTTTGGTAAAGTCACGTAGAAGGGAAACAATAAAATAAAATAAAAAATATTTCAGGACGTTTCGATCGCAATACAAGCGGTTCACCAGTGGAACTGCAATTCTGCAGTTCCACTAATCCAGCAATGGAAATGCAGTTACACTGCTGGATTATTTTTTTCCGCCTGAGGACAACCGATTGTGTTGCGATCGAAACGTCGTGATATAATATTTTTTTGTTTTATTTTATTTTTCCACCTACGTGACTTTACCGAAAGAATCAAATAGTGTGCCTTGTGTAGTTTAAAACACGCAGATTACAGTGCCCAATAGAGGAGCCTGAGAGAGAATATGTTATAATATTGGTCGCGAAAGCCTACGTGTTAAACAGACAGTATGCTGCAGTGGAGGCTATACAATTTCAAGTTGTTCACGAATATGCGGTGGTGTCTGCACGTCAACGTCTTTGGGTTAAATGTGGAAGAGAAACCTGTGCGGGTAGATGGGGTTTAAATACACAACGCTATATACACATCCACGGTGTTTATCGCACTGCACGATGCACGTGGCGACCTGAGTTCAATTCCTCCTCCCCCCACCCACGGCTAACACCAGTGACATACGCAGCATTGTATTTGATATCGGTCCTAGGAGACCCACCCCCTTCACGAACTCACCGCTGACCAGAGTGGTGAAGCATGACAAATCAACACTTAGGATCAACACGGTATAGGGAGGCATTCATCTATAAGTGGATTGACAAAGGGCTACACATTATAACTGTCATAATTCCACATCCATTATGTAAAAAACTCAGCCATGCCATTTGTAGAACCCCCACCCCCTCCGCCTGGCAGAGTAGACTTGATCGTTCCCAGACAATAGATGCATTTCGCCGGTATTGCAATCCCCAATGGTGGACGGAGGCCATTGGATGGATTGACTGGTGAATTATACCAGGATGGTGACACCACCCTCTGTATCGATTTCTCTTGCGTAGAAGCACCCTATCAATCAACCGTGACCTTTACTCTTTGGGTCTTCGGTAAAGTCACGTAGGTATGAAATTAAATAAATCACGACGTTTCGGGCGCAACACAAGCGTCCGTCATCAGGTGTGTTGCGCCCGAAACGTCGTGATTTATTTTATTTTATACCTACGTGGCTTTACCGCAAGAACCAAAGAGTATGGATTCCTGCAGTCCCGAAAGCTTCAAATCAAGTTTGAACCGTGACCTTTATTTACACGCGGCGAGAGCCCATTGCCTATGACCAAATCACCAGGAATGCACCCAATCTCATAAAATTCCAGAAGCTAACCTGGATGGGCGACCTCCACGCATATAACGGGCATTGTAGGCTGCTCTGGGGTTACGTTGTCAGCAGAGAGCACTGCAGCGAAAGCAGTTGTTGGATTGTACTATGGTTCAAAGTCTTCGCTCCCCGCCTTATCCAACCGGCACCGATCAGCGTGGTTGATATGTTGATCAGGGATCCCTAACCCCCGGGCCGCGGACCGGTACCGGTCCGTGTCCTGTTAGGAACCGGGCCGCACAGCAGCAGGAGGTGAGCGGTGAGTCTGCGCGTGGCCCGCCCATTATTTTATTATTTACCACTTCCATCCGCGCCTCTTTCCCGCACTGCGCACTTGTCTCAGTCACAGTGTTGGTAAAGCCCACAAGCTCTAACCCCTAGTAGCCAACATGAGTAACAAACAAACGTCGCTGGAGAGCTTCTTTGAAAAGGGGGAAAGACCCAATGATGAACCCCTCCCCCCGGTCCGTGAAAAAATTGTCTTCCACGAAACCGGTCCCTGGTGCCAAAAAGATTGGGGACCGCTGATGTGGATCAAACAACACGCACGGCGTGGGGCGCTCCTCATCCAGCATTGGCACAAAACATAAACATTAAAACACAAGATCAAAGGCAAATTAATAATATAAATCAGTGTTACATTGCCTAAAAAAAGCACGAGTACAATACTGAAGAACAGTATGAAGACCAGGAAACGTGTCTTTGTGACCGACATTTTTCAGTGTGGGTTATCTACAGCAAAGGGACACTTAACTACAGCCCGAGGCAAGGTCGTATTTTAAACCACTGAACTATTTGGAGACACATGTATTGACGTGTGGAATTCATAATATATTTATTAATTTATTGTCGAAATGTTACTACCCCACTGTACTGTAGAACCCGATGTACTGGCATACAAACGCGCAGAAATTATACTGATAAGCTACAATCTAACGTCTTGAGTAGAGATCATTCCAGTATATATGCCATATGAAAAGACAAAACCAAAATCATAGAGGCCATGCACACACTCGATGCAGACTCCAACATTTGTATCAATGGGTTTGTGTCGACATGATCATCATCATCACTCCATTTCTTCCGTGGCTCTCTCGTGAGCACGTTCCTTCCTTGACTGCCACTACATTATTCTTGACACCTCGTCATCACCCGTTCTAGCAACGTGTCCTGCCAAAGTCCACTGATTTTTATTAAGTCAATGACGTCTTTAATTGGTTTATATTCTCTAGTTTATATCCCTCTTTTTTGTAGACATGTAACACTATGTAACACAATTGTTGTTCCTGGGAATTAAGTGTTATTTTTTATTGGTTATGCCTAAAAAGTTTCGAAAATGGCTATTATTCCCCACAAACGTTGTTTTTGTGACCAGGACAGTGATATTTTGAAATTTACCTATTTCATTGCACTCCAGGATCTTTTTTTATCTGTGGTCCGACGAAGACACCGGCTTTGACCTTTGCCTCAGACAGCTTAGGGAAGAAGTCTTAAAGGTACTTGAAGGCTGCCGACTCCTTATCTACAGCTCTGACAAATTGTTTCATAAGGCCCAATTTGATGTGCAGTGGTGGCATCAGCACCTTCCGGGGCTCCACCAGTGGCTTGCAAAAATACTAAACTGATGCTGTCCCAAGTATGGTGAGTGCAGGAATAGACCTTTCAGTGTTGAATCATTATGCTACGTTTTCTGTATTATCCATTGTTTTGGACGAGGGGTTGGTGGACACATAACATTGCGTGACAGTAGATTAAGGTACAAGATTTGGCTGGGAGAGTCCTGATGTCAGAAAGGCTGTCCCGGTGTTCTATATCTTTTGCAAAAGTTGGGATTATATCCAGATTTATAATCAGTTACTTTTATGTCAAATCGTGTAGGTACGTTGTATCACCGTTCAGCTATCACGTGGGGAAATATATCAATTGATTCGTTTTTTTCAGCAAACTGGAATGTTGAAAAGCAAGCAAAATGTACACGTTTACGTTTCGCTAAAGATTACATCCAGCATCATCCTGGTTTAACATTCTCTTTCTGGCTCTTGACTCGTATCTTCAAAGAGCAAGGTTGGCAGACTAGTAGGTGGGGCCTATGAAAAGCAGAGCCAGTGCCAAAAAAGTGAGTAGGCCACTGTGTCGACAGGGCTTGTGGTTGAATGGGCGTGGTTATTACCGAGTACTGTAGGATCGCTTGACAGAGGGATGACGAAACGTCGTGAGAATTTTATTGTTTTATATGTATTTTATTATTTTATTGTTTCCCTTCAACGTGACTTTACCGAAACAACCAAAAATATGTGTCCTCAGTTGAGCCTGCCAGAAATGTGGTAGTTTTTTTGTATTAGATAACAGTTCCACAAGTACTGCACATTGTTTTCTAACCCATTCCTACAAATTGTTGATTAGTAGTTATCCATATTCTTGGTTCTTTCGGTAAAGTCACGTAGATATAAAATACATATTTATTTCAATTAAAATATATTTTTTTTATTTTCTACCTACGTGACTTTACCGAAAGAACAAAGAATATGAATTCCTGCAGTCACGAAAGTTTTAAGTCAAAATTTAGTTATCCCCTCGCACGTGCAAGGTTGCCTCTGGACACTCCAGTTTCTGCCATCACCAAAAAGTGGCCCAGCATCCACCACAGCCTTTGAGGGCCCTTACCCCTCATCCAGCAGTGGATTGGACAAACGGGCAGCAGAAGTGCACGTGTGCATAACTGTCGTCCCACGTGGGCGGGTGAGGCGCGCGCGTGCCTTTACACGCAATCCCGGTGGATCGTACCATTCGTCAGCTTAGGGCGGGGGGGAGCAGGAGGGGAGGGGTGTGGCTTGTCCCCAATATAAATGAATCGGGGGGCGGGGCACCGGAGGCGGTGTGCGCGTGTGTGTGACGATGCAGAAGCGGCGAGGCTGTCGGGCCGTACCACTTTGCTAAATAGTGGGGAGAGCCGGGAGACGCGGCCACACAGCCGAAGGAACATGGAGGCGTCGGACGACGGTCTGAGGAAGCGCAGACCCGGGGCCGAGGGAGCGGCCGTGCGGGAGGGAGCCGAGGCGACCGGCTCGGCGAGACGGCACGACGGCGGGAGCCATGGCGCCGGCTCGTCGGAGCTGCTGCTGTGGCTGCTGTTCGCCTACACGGCGCTACTGCTGCTCGCCGTGCATCGCTCCTTGCTGCATCTTCCCGCGCCCCTCGACGAGGCGAACGCGCAGCCCGGGCAGTTCGTGGCCGAGAGGGCGAGGTGAGGGGAACGGGGTGAGAGTACGGGGGGGGGGGGTGAGGGGTTGGATGGGATGAATGATGGAGGGGGTGGAGGTGAAGGAGGTGGGGGGGGGGAGGATGTGTTGAGGAGTCTGGTGAGGGGGTCTGGTGAGTTGAGGCGGTAAAAAAAGGTGAGTGTTGAGGTGCGGTGAGTTGAGGGCTAGGGTGAGCGTGTGAGGGGGTTATCGGGTGAGAAAGGAAAGTGGGGGATGGATGAGGTGAGGGGAGTGGAGTCGGGTGAGGTAATGAGGAGACGCCGGTTGGGGTGCGATGAGGGGGTGACAGTTTTGGGTGGGGGTGAGGTTTAGTGTAAGAGGTTAGATTGGATGAGGTGAGCGGTGGGATGAGCTGAGATGAAGAGTGGTGAGGGGTCGGATGGGGCGAGGTGAGGAGTCGGGGTTAGGATTGAGTTGTTCGGGCTTTGGTTCGGGTGAGGATCGAGAAGTAACGGTGGCGATGGGGAGTCATGCGGTGGGCGTGATGGGCGTGCGAAGTGAGTGCGGGTATCGGGTGAGGGCGAGGCGTTTGGAGTGTGTTTGAAAGAGAGATGGGGGCGAGTAGAGACCGGGTACAGAGTCCCTCATCCTCGGCTGGTTTGGCGTTGTGCAATTGTAAAGGGGATCGAATGGGTCACCTTGCTGATGTTTGACCCCCCCCCCCAGCAGTGGGGAAAGAACGGGGTCAGTAGAGCATGGTACCTGCATTGATTTGCAATACAGTTGTGCAGGCATGGGTTGATTGCCAGGGCAGCACCTGCGCAGCGTTTGAATAATCACGGCATTCGCGTTGAAGATTAACGGTAATTTTGTAAGCCAAAGGCTAAAATTAGTTGGAGAGTATGTCCGCTGACGAGGTGGGTGAGATTCATGAAATAACATCGTATGGAGGTGCAAGGTGCATTGTTATTTTGCAGGATCATGTGAGATTACAACGGACTGGGGAAACCTTTATCCTTCAGTGGTATTATTTATGGCTAATGTTGATAAAAATAAGAATGGCATGGATTTAATTAAGTTGTTCGGGCGTATGTCTAGTAACCAGGCCAAGTGGGGTCGTAATGACAGCGTGTGACTGGAGTTTCGTGGACACGGTATAATTGTAAAAGCATGGTCTGAATACAAGGGCAGTGTCTTTTTTTAGATGGAAAATGGTCTGAATGAAGTTCTAAGAACATAGGCTGAACGAAAGTTGTGCAGTGGAATTTAGGCTTGGTCAGGGTGGGTGGTGGGCAGGCAGGGAGGGCAGCTATTCTAAGCCTCGTGCAGAGGGCAGAGGCTGCTTTGTGTGCAGGGTTTGCTAAATTCCGGGGGATTGGATAGCTTAACAAGACAGAGCAGAGCAGTGATTGGTGACAGACACCTTGCAAAGAACAACATTTTTAAAATACAGTGCATGCAGAAATACTTGCCGAGCATAGATGAATTGTTAAAAGGGCTAAGATAATTCAACAGTAACCTTTGTTGGTTGCGGTAAACTAGTAGTAATTGACTGGGACTGTGATACGAGTGTTTATAAGGATAACGCTCAAAGATCAAACTGTTTGCAGTGCGTACGTCACAAATATAATGTACCAGTGTTGCCATGTGTTTTGTAAGGTTTGTTTATATCATTAGCGTGTGGTTGTTGCATACCCATTGTCTGCTCTTCAACAAAGCAACAGCGTCAAAGACAAATTTTCTCAATTTCTTAAATATTTTCATTTGAAGAAGATTCTGGGCATATGTAGCATTATATTGCCATTTCCCATATTAACTGCTCTTTCATGCTGGCACATCCATATTGTTGAAACCACATCTGCCATCAAAAACACATTTGCATTTATCGCAATGACCAGACCTTCAAAACACAACGTGGCAATGATGGGCGTTTGATTGCCTTGCTGAAAATATCTCGCTGTCAAATTCCTGCCGCTCTGATAACAGGAAGCACCTGGAATACATGACTGGTTTGGGGCCGCGTCCCACGGGCAGTGAGGCTGCCGAGGTCAAAACCGTAGCGTACATCCTGGCCCAAGTGGAGGCCATATCGCAGTCGCTGGAGGCGTCGGCATCCTCGTCGCCGGCTGGCCGACGACCAGCTCACCGAATCCGCGTGGACTTGCAGCGCCCCTCCGGCTCGTTCAACCTTGACTTTCTGGGAGGGTTCACGAGCGTCTATGCCAATGTCAGTAACGTCGTGGTGAGGCTGTCCCCGCGCCACCTGGGCGATGGTGATGGAGGCCACGGAGGAGGTGCCCGGCGCCATGCCCTCCTCGCCAACTGCCACTTCGACTCGGTCCCCTTTGGCCCAGGTTTGTTTGTTACTTTTTTTTGTTCAGCAGAGTGCAAAATTTTTTTTTACCAAGGTGATGATGAGAATGGGTGCAATGCCCTGCATTAAGTAATTTCCCAACTCCACAGAAAATGTTACATATAAATGGTTATTACAGTGGCTGCATAGTTAACAGAGATGAAATAATATTACATTGATGTTAACAGCGATGTGGTGATTAACTCCTTCCACATTTCGGTGAATTGTCACAATTTGGGATATTTTCTATACAAAGCCTTTTTATCTTCTGGGTTTTTTCGGTAAAGTCCCGTAGAAGTGGAAACAACATATTTGAAATAGCCTATCTGTATGCCAGTTTCATGTTGTGTTATACAGCATAAAATACATGTTAATGGGTAAAATATTATGTTACAATCACTAACATGCATTTAGAATTTAATCATATGTTGTTTTTATTGACGTTTGGCTTAACAGGCAATGAACGCAATGTAAGACTAGAGTCGTAATTATTGTTTCATGTGTGGGTACACAATGTTATTTTCTTTTCACACCTTGATATCCTCTCGGTTCTATTCACGGGGGACTTTAGTTGTGTCATTGTTTGTTTCCTGGTCCCGGTGTTCCTTTTTAAGTCTCTTGGGAGGACATTGAGACTCAGAAAAATAAACCCATAGATCAGGGAACAAACAAAAAATTAGAGATCAATTTTACAATGAAGAAAGGTAAATGGGCTTGGGCTGGATATATCACCATATGGGATGATGGCCAATGAACAAGACTGGTCACGGAATGGCAGCCAAACGGAGAACGTCCAATAGGACTACTACCGTGTAGATGGAGCAATTAGATCATTCGTGTGTGGAAGTGTGATCAATGGTAGCAGCACTGGACTTTGAGGGATGGTGACAATGTGGCGAGGCCTTCATCCAGCAGTGGATAGAAAATGATTGATGATGAATTTACCTTAATCCAGCCCTGGCTCAGGAGGCACGAGGTTGTTTTTCTATTGTGTAAGCCGACCCATGCTACTGACATCACACACAATGAACAAGCCGAGATGCATGTAGGTAACACGGTTACCCTGTGTCCTTGGTGTACTAATGTCACACAAATTACTTTGCTTAGCACTGAGCCAAATTCAGATGTCAGCGTATCACAATTTGTTGCCAGTTCGGCACAGAAAAGATAGCCAGTTGAATGCCACACGAACTGTGAGGGCCCCTTGCTGGTTTGACCCTGATATTCCACTTGAAATATTAGTATTTGATTCAAATACTTCTCCACGGTGGGTGCTGTACAGGGGCGAGTGACGATGCGGTGAGCTGCGCGGTGATGCTGGAGGTGCTGCAGGTGCTGGCACAGCTGGAGACTCCACTCCTGCATGACATAATCTTCCTTTTCAATGGCGCCGAGGAGAACGTTCTTCAGGTCTGAGAAGGCTGCCCAATTACCTGTTTCAGATTTGCAGTTCTGTCTCGTTAGGGAACTAGCCTGGCAGGTGAATCCTTGGGCATTTTCTCTGAATATTGAATGTAAAAAAAATGGATGGCTGCCTCCTGCTAAACTCGATGGTGCAGTTACTGACATTTACAGGCCCACTTCGGTATGTAACAGATAAAGTATTATGTAACAACAGCTGTGTTATTTGCCTGCCATTCTATGTCAAAGGGTGTGCTGAGTAATGAATATTTGTTTTATGACTTGCTACGTGTCTGACAAGGAACTTTGCCCAACACTGTGTCCACGTGATAATTTCTTCAGGGATGCTGTCAAATTAATAACATTAGTCTATCAGCCTAATGTGGAGGGAGGAATTTAGGTTTGGTGCCAGTGAACCAAATGGTAACCTCAGCTGCACCCTTGATGTTACTTTTAAATTGATTATTATTGCAGTGTGCTTTTTAAAATATGTCCTGAGACATACACTTTTGTTAAAACCCTGTGTGAAGAAAAAGACTAAAACACGTTTTTGCTCTTCTTTTGAGAGGCAATCGATTTCCATGACTCCATATGCAAAAAAACATCTATTTTCATGAATAGCACAGTTGAGTAACAAAACATTGAGTACCTCCTGTTGATGCTGCAGATGGAATACAGTTTGGATTTGTAACGCATTTAAATATAACCAAAGATGCCACGGTGTAATGGCTAGCAGTCCAGAAGTTACCAATTCAATCTCCTTGCTCGGCAGTTTAAATAATGAACATTTTTTTTAACGAATCCTCCCGCCTCCGTTCACCCAGCATTATATATGGGTGCACTACACTTAGTCAACCTGCGTGTCGTAGGATAGAGTGTGGGTACTTCCATTTCCTCCAAGATATCTGGCCAGTGAGGAAGAGTAGGCCAAAAAATATCTAGAAGGACTCTCCAGAGCTCCTTCTAATGGGAGACCCTTTCGTAAGCAGTAGCATACGCAAACAATTACAGGGTTGCACCTTTACCTTAAATATCATCGCATCTGAAGAAGATTCAAGAAAAAGAGGGGCATGTGTTTAATGACACGTTGAGCGAAAGAGGATAATAATTAATTTAGTGTATTGGATGAAACTAAATTGGTATTAAATGCAATATGTATTTAATTTTAAGTGTATATATAGTGTGTGTGTGTTGCCAGTTGTAAACGAATAATGCAAACCTTCATCACTAACACTTCACTGTCATGGTGTGCAGGCAAGTCACGGATTCATCACCAAGCACCCGTGGGCATCGCTTGTCCGTGCTTTTATAAACCTGGAAGCAGCAGGAGTGGGTGGCAAGGAGCTCGTCTTTCAGACCGGTACGATTAAACCCTCCCTCTGTAATCTTTCCTTCAGGAGTAAGATTCGATTCTACATCACTTTGAGCCGGTTGATAGCCAAGACAATATTTAAAATAATTTTCTGGACAGTATGTTGATATAAAATAAGGACGCGAGAGTGTATGGAAAATGACATTGGTGTTACAGTTCAGGTAATTTCATAGGCATGTAACCATACACCAATCCCCCCCATACTTGGATGAATTGTCATGTTGCGGGGTCAACATTTTGGTTCAAGAAGCAATTATTTTATATCTCCTGTGGACTGTATTGCTTTCTTTTATCTGTTCTGTCTCATTCATACTATGTATTTCACTCAATTACTTTACATGCAACATGGCATATATTATGTTGTTTGTAACAAGAATGGTAAATAATATCATTTCGCACATTCAGTTTTTCGTTATTTTATAATCAGTCAATCATTATGTGCCTATGTCCAGATTAACCTGAATTTGTCTTATCGTATCAGATCTCATAAGCTAAGGAGGCTTGAGCCTTGTTCATTTTTAGATTGACTTACCACTTACACATGTACCAGGCATTATAGGCATAGGGGTGTGGGGAATTCAGGAGATGGCAGAGCAGTGGATTTAGTCTGAAGATAATTAAATAGATTGAATATATATTTGGATGAAATGTCTCTGCGGAGATGTGATTGTTAACCACTTGTATGCATGGGTTTGCTGCAGGCACTGATATTCTCCCATTGTCAAACAGTCTTAAAAACAGTCTTCCAAACTTCCCAATGCACAACCCAACTGAAAAAGAGTCTTTAACTTGCTAAGGCTTTCCTGGGTGATGAAATTACATTATTATTAAAATACCAATACTTTACAACTCTGTTTTTTTTCATGCGGTCATTGATATATATATTTTTTTTATCTGCAGGTCCAGAGAACCCGTGGCTGGTGCAGGCGTACGTGCGTTCGGCACAACATCCCTTCGCCTCCATCATTGGGCAGGAGGTCTTCCAGAGCGGCATTATCCCATCTGACACAGACTTTCGAATCCTGCGCGATTTTGGAAACATTCCAGGTGCGAAGCTCAGTAGAACTGCACGCGTCTTTCTTTGAGGTGTGCTCATATCTGAATTTTATTCTTTCTCGGTTTTAAAAGCTACCGAACAAAATACTCATATTTCATAGTAGTTTTCTTAAGTTTCTTGAGGCTTAATATAAAGCAGGGGTGGGAACCTTTTTTCTGCCAAGGGCCATTTGGATATTTAGAACATCATTCGCGGGCCATACAAAATTATCAACTTCAAAATTAGCCTGTTACATTTGGTCAAACATTTCATTAACTCACCCCTAATGTGATGGCTGGAACTGCTTCTCTTTGGCGAGGCGTGTGGTGATGTTAGCTGGTATTGATGATGTTGGTACTCGCAACTGCTTTTCCAGGTTTGCTCCTAGATTTATTGAATTTCGAGTCCCGCCTGCGGTTTGCCTTGGCAGGGCCACACCAAATGATTTCGCGGGCCTTATATGGCCCGCGGGCCGGACGTTCCCCACCCCTGATATAAAGGTTGATTTAAATGTTTACATGCGTTTAAGGGCAAGTGCCATTTAAGATTGCTAGTTCAGGTACTTTGAATGTACTGAATTTGGTACGAGCAGTCCATACCGAGGCATAGTTGGCATATGGTCTCATTTAGATTGGCATTGAAAACAAGCCACGCTGGCTCACAAGATAATCTGAGTTTTGTAAGGCATGTTTCGTAAACATTCACAATACCATGTTTGTGTAGTGTTGGCTTACGCAGCTAAGCTCGTCTCTCTTACGATACGCAATTAAGGACTGTATTGTATACTATGTTCACAGCAGTGTTGAACGCAATGCATTTTAACTTGGAAACTCTGCTTTTAGCACTTTTACCATTAAAAAAGGGAACTACTGTATGCGATTGCACACTAAGGCCATATGTGTACGTTTGATGTGTGATCCTGTTTAGGAATTGACCTCGCGTTCATTAAAGATGGATACATTTATCACACGGAGTATGACTCGGCTGACCGGATCCCGTCTGGAAGTATCCAGAGAGCAGGTTTTACATTGCACCCTTGAATAAAAAAAAGCACACAAGATAACATGTAATGAGATTACTGATGTTAGCGTGCTGGATATGAGCCCTGGTGTATGAATGAAATGGGCCCCCCCCCCCGTTTGATTTCCCACTTCTTTATAAGCTGGCCCATGAGCCTCAGTGCAGTTGCAGTGCCGGCACACTCGATAGCTACGCTACTGAATGAGATACTCCCTGTATTTCGGTGCTTGATTAACTACTTGAGCATTCTGTATGTGTCAGAATAATTTAGGTAATTGTCACCATTAATAATGAATGTGTTCAGAGACATACAAAAAATCACAGTAATGACGACACTCGTGCACTCTAACAAAAATATCAAGAGGAGAAAAAACTGGATTTGAAGTTATTCACAAATTAACATGTAATTTGCACCCTTAATCACGCTGCTGTAATCCATTATCTTCATTGAAGATCATTGACATTAACAGAGCACAGCGCCCTTTCTTGTGGATCATTTACTATACTGTATTCATGGCAGTCGGGTGTCTTGCTTGTGGAAAAAACAGACCTCACTTCAATGCGACGTGACAGGCTAAGCTCCATGAAAAATTTTGTCCTGTTCAACATTCATGCTACTGTGTTCTGCATAATAAACATGCCCAGGCTAAGATGGAATAATTACAAAAACGTAGTGCTTTGCTCTAGGAAAGGGGGGTAGATAGAAGCCATTCCAAAGGATAGTGAAATGAGTGGTTTGCATATTAGTACGGACCACAATCCTGTCACTGTTGTCAGTTGCGGTGAGATTCACTGCATAATACAGCAATGTTTGATTTAACAAGTTGCTTGCCTTGGAACAAGGCGATGTTGCCCCGGGGAAGAATGGGCAGTGTGTCTTCAGAACTCTGCCAATGTTCGACAGTTGTGAAGTGTTCCCTGGCTGTTATTTGCGATTGCCGACATAATATTGTCATTCATGAAAGTCTCTCGAATATAATAAATCCTTCATAGCGGGGCTAACGGGGGAGGCCACTTTGTTTATGGTGGGGATGTTTGGCATAGTTTAACACGTAGACTTTCGCGACCAATATCATCCATAATAGAGTTTTTTTGGGTTAAATCGCGTAAATATATAAATGTGTCGTTAAAACCTGCCACCACCCGACACATCCAACTAGTAAGGGTTGTCACGTAAACAGAACATTAATTGGGCATGTTCTGTTTACGTGACAACCCTTGTTGGATGTCGGGTGGTGGCAGGTTTTAACGACACACATTTATGCGATCTAACCCAAAAAAAACTATTATGGATATTTTGCGTACTGCAAATAAATAATGTCTAATTGTTAACGTTAACTTACTTTTATACGTAATTAACAATGCACATACTTAATTAACGTGTCATAAGTTACGAAGACGTAATTGGATATTTACAATTTAAGTCTTACTATATAATAATACTTAACAAAAATCGCTAGGTATGCTGTACAGTTTAATCTATGTCACTTGCCATCAGCATGAAGTCTAGGCTGATATTTTTGTAAATCCAAGAAACGGAGCAATTCTCACGGGCTTCAAGAATGTATTTGTGTTTTTTAAATAAAATAAGTCTAGAAACAAGAATGAGGGTAGAGAGAGTCCTGAGCAAAGCACATCGATGATGAGTGTGGTGTTTCAGAGGAAATGTCCAATTCCATACAACCAATAAGTACATATGGTCTAAAGCTTTATAATTGCTTATGTCCACATGGACATTAATTGTAGTTACTGTATTACCAAGGTCAGGGATAGCATTTTACACCTGCTAGGCTTAATAAGTGCCGATAGAATTTCGTACACAAGATTATTATAGCTTTTCACCATCTCCTGTAGCACGCAGACTAATTAGCATATGAACACTGTTCCCATCGGAGGTTTTTTTAGAAGTGTGTTAATTTATTTTCCATAACCTTTCTGGCAGGAAGCTAAACCATCTGGAAAAAAACCCTCGCACATACAAGGGGATAACACTCAAATGTCCACACAGCCAAGTTTTGGAACCTGCTTACTATACTGCCATCTCTTGACAACTCCTCTGCCCAGTGGATTTGGGAGTTTCGCAAATCTATTTGATCCACCAAACCTTTCCTCCAGAGTGCTGGATTACAGGCGTGCCTCACCATGCATGGTTGCAGCAGCCCTAAAAAGGGATTACATTAATCTACTCTGAAGCAATGTAACAATTTCTAGAGCATCGGCACTTGCTGAGGACTAGTCGAGTAACTGTTGTGTGTTTTCTGCAAAGAGATTTGTGTAAAAAAAAAGAGGTTTATTTCTATATATGGTATCTGCACTGCGAAATGCGATACACTGTATATGCTTTTTAAACGAATAATAAAAACACATTGCAGCATGTGTGTTTAGTAAACAAGTGGTTTTAGCCCTATGGAGTATGGCCAATAGGCTATAGGAGTATATTTATCATTCCTGAAAATAGACTTTCTAAAGGGCAGTTAGCAACGCATGTTTGGAATTGAAATGATTACAAAGAAACATTTATAGAACAGAGATGTAAATTGTTTAGCCTTATCTGATTTAGATAATGTCCTGTTGGCTTGTTATCCAAAGTGTTGACTTAAACGGGCACTTCTATTTGTTGAGGTGTTGTTAATTCTCGTCCACGTTTTAGTCGTTTAAAATTAGGCGGACTTCCTGCACATTTTATTTTGCATCTTGGTGCACGCTGCTCTCATTTTTCAACGCACATTATTCTTAGCGTGACATTAACTAAAACTGAAATTGCATCAACCGATATATAATTTCAGAAATTATTACATTAACTAAAGTCATGCTCAGAAATTCCATGAACCGAAACGAACCTGGAAAAATCGAAGCTTTGCTTTTGGCCAAACATAAGTATTGTTTGGTATACGAAACGAAACGTCATCATTGCCTCCAACCAACCGCTCGAAATGTTCCCAATGTCTTTGTATTTTGGAATCGAAGCAGGGTTGTGCCAAGTAAGTAATTAGATGGGTGACTACGAGGCCTCGCTAGTTGGTGTAGGCCCTGGGACTTCAAGTTTACCAGAAGATGTCTTGATCGCCTCCCACCAGCCAAACACTCATTAATGGCATTAACCAAACATATCAAAGCAAAACTCCCCTGGAGCGAGGGCTTCATGGGTAAATATCATTCGTCTATAATATGCAGCATACTTTAAGTTCCAACACGTTCCATTTCCATAGTGAGCTTGTGACAATACTGTCTTGAGTCATCTACATTAGAATTATTCTGAGAAAAGTATAATTCTGGCACTGTACCTTAATGTCTAACGTGTAAATTAATAGTTATTTTGTGCTGTCTTTATTAACATCAACGTCCACTGTGTAGCTCTGAAATGTGCTCAAGTTATACCTCGTGTTGTTTGGCATTGTCAGACATTCCGCTCTCAGTTCCTTGAAGAAGCTCTCGGCACATGGAGTGAAACGTCAGTGATATATAATGCTGAACAATTAAGCTATACAACCCAAACAGATCTGAGAGCTAAACAGCACAACTGTGTATCCCTAGTTTGTGATTAAATGGAGGCCATGTCTCATATCACAGGTGACAACATCTTGGGTCTGGTACGCTACCTGGCATCCTCATCTCTGCTGGCCGACTCCAGCGAGTACCGCCATGGGAAGATGGTATTCTTCGACGTGATCGGCCTGCAGGCCGTGGCGTACCCGGCTCGAGTGGGCATCCTCATAAATTATCTTCTGGCATCGCTGGCTGTCCTCTACCTGGCCAGTGCAGGTGCGTGTGCCCGCAGCAGCGTGCCCGCGGCAGCGTGCCCGCGGCAGCGTGCCCGCAGCGTGTTCTCAGACAACATCCATCGTGCCTCCTTTGTGATGTTTTAAACACATGTAATTGACACAGTGTAAACACTCCTAAATATCATCGTGCTGTTTGCGTATTGTCCACAGCAAAGGCGACGTTTTGTACAGTTCTCTGGAAATGACTGAAACATTCAGCTGCATGTTAGCACTTATTATTTAATTGTTTTTATCTTGTAATTTGTACTGTTCAGATTTGCTTAATATGTTTTGAATATAGCATTACTTACAACAGTTGCATCTTTATTTAATTATACCATTTGATAAAGAATGGTTTTCTTATAGTGAGAATAACCATATTACACGATAAGATACATTTGTTAGGGGGGGAGAAGACCCTTGCCGCTTCGGGGTGGATTTCCACACAGATCTCTCATTGACATGCTAATTTCTCTGCTCCAGCAGACCCACCTCTCTCTGCCCCTCCTCTCTCTCTATTTAAGGCCACGACACCGAGGTATTAGGCCTCTGTGTGTCTATGTTGTGTGTCTCCCTCTGTGTTGTCTCTCCCTCTGCATCTGTGTCTGTCTGTGTGTCTCCGTGTCTGTGTTTTGTCTCTCTCTCAAATGTAGTTCTACCTGATGAAGACTGCTTGTGTTGCAATCGAAACGTCGTATTTTATTATTAAATTTCTTTTCTTTCTACGTGACTTTACCGAAAGAACCAAAGAGTGATTATCATGTTCACAAAAACCCTCAAAATAGGCCATAAGTCTTTGTCCTCATTGAACTGTACTGTCTGCAACCCCTTCACTCTGTCATCCTCCCACCGATTTTTTTCCACTGACTGAACAGGCCTGGCGTACCTGCGGGAGGTCTTGCGGGCAGTGGGCGTGCTGCTGGTGGCCTGGCTGGGTGCCGTGGTCACCGTTGCTGGAGCCGCGCTGCTCATCACTCTGGTCGGCCGCTCAATGTCGTGGTACACGGAGAGAACGGTTCTCGTCGGCCTCTACGCCGCGCCCGCCCTCGCCGTCATTCTGCTCGTGCTCGTCCTGGCCAAGCGGCGGTATTGCGGCGTAAGTTGTCGTCTCGGGGTCTCGCGTCAGATTTAGATTATCAGCTTTTATTTTCTTCAGCGGGAAGGGCTAATGCTCTTGGGTAGAGCAGGTGGATGCACTGCACCACACGAGGGCACGGGAGGTGCGGGGAAGGCAGGGGGGATTAAAACTGAATTGAGAAAATCTGAGTTGAATACTATTTCAAAAATGAAAATGGGGAAGGCCCATAAAAGCAGTTATGTGACTCGTGGGACAAACAATAGAATTGAACCCACCCCTACCCCACTCGCCCTTGCTTGAAATCTCCGTGGAGCCAAGTGGCTAACAATAAACACTTCTAAATCTTATAATCTTATTGTTAAATTACTAACATGTACTTTTGACCATTAAAATATGACCAATGCATTATAGATGATATAACGTACAGCCCTTTGGCAATCTACTGTTGAATGAAGGCCTCACACCGTGTTGGTCATGGAGGTTCTGTGACCATACTTTACCACGCTGGGCATTGAGGGTTGGTGAAGCGAGCAGGGTAGCCAAGACCGGTTGAGATGTCACTCGCCACGAATGGCAGCTGTGGCCAGGGATCGAACTCGGGTAGCCTTGTCCATCGTGCGGTGCGTTAACCACCATGCCACCATTTCTCTCTACCATATTGCAATCGCCCGGTATAAGTGTGGGTTGGAAAATATAAATAAAATTAAGTAATATGATGTTAGAGACTGCACGGTATCTCAAGGGCTACCCTCCGAGCATGGGGGCCTCCATACAGTAAATGCCATTTAACTCCCCCCCCCCCCCCTCCATAATAATAAAGTAGTGGCACCGCCCATTGCTCACAGGGCTGAGCCTTGGAGTGACACACGTTTAGAGATAATATTTTATTTACAACCCAATTTCTATCAAGATCCAGTGCTGGCAGATAAGATAACCTCTTATTGTGAAATTCACAGCACAGGTCACTTTGTACAGATTCCAAAAATACTTTTACAGTTATATATGTTTTTAGAGCAGTGCCCTAGGTTACAGGAAAATATTTAAATAAATCTAACAGACATAAACGCGATACAATTAATCTACACAGTTATTTTGAAATTAAGACAGCTCCATATAGTTGATGCTTAAGTGGTTAATGATCATAAGTCTTCATATACAGTTCCAGACATGTAATTTGGCGCAATACCATGCAAGATATGGATAATAATGATGACATTACGTTGAATGTGAGCTGACACGGTTAGTGAGCAGCCATATTACTTGCGTACATTTTCATCGCCATGGTCACAACCCCCTGCGTTGATGTGCTTTGTCCAGAAATAGACACCACCATGTGAGATAAAAACTGGCTTCAGAATTTAATGACACAAATAATGAAGTTCTGATGGTCACAATAATGATTTATCTTTTTAGTATTACAGTATTGGTATATTATCAGATTGAGATGTACAAACAGTTTTACAAAACCTGTTTCAAGATTTTTATTTTGTTTTGGTAAAATTATTGTTTATGTCATCATAGTGTTAAGTGTCAGTGATGTCCTGAGCTCCTTGATGCGAATCCAGACAGTCACCTCTGAGTAAACCAGTTTCTCAAGTGAAGTGAGTTGATGTCTCAGCCTGGTCACCAATGACTGCACAAAAACAAAAATGTAACACTAAATTTAGTTTTGCACTTTTTTAGGCTAAATTCGAGCTCTGAGACTAAAATATCTGGGAATTACTTTGTAAGCTAAACTGATAGTGGTAGGGTCGGTGGTAAAGTGCTGCCCCCTACTGTGTTGAACAGAGGTCACTTGAAGGGATCTCATTGCTCTGTGATATCCACTTACGTGAGTTGTCCTCTAACACGGAGAATTGCGCCGCTCTGTCAGAGATTCTAATTTATATATCATCCCATGACATGACTTGAAATTTGATGTTACGCCAACACTAAATAAAATTGGAGGACAGGATTTATGTTCACATTTAAAATTAACAAAACGTCCCTGCGGCGTGTAATGTTGTGTGCATGTGACTGCAGTTGGCGGGACAGACGGGACAGCGGGCAGCTGAATGCAGCTTTGACGCGGCACTGATGCTCTGGACCGCGCTGCTATTGTGGCTCAACACGAAGGGCATCTGCTCCGCCTTCCTGCCCGCGCTGTGGGTTGGGTTCTCCCTGGCCGCTCGCCCTGTGCTCTTTGGTCTTCAGAAGAAATCGCTGCACAGAGCAGGTCTGGCTGCACCGTGCGATGCACGCGTTTCACATTATGGGTCAGTTGGCAATCGTTTTGCTGTGAGTTTTTTTTACGTACAGTAAAACCTTGGATTGCGAGCATAATTCGTTCCGGAAACGTGTTTGTAATCCAAAGCACTCGTATATCAGTTGTGATCACGTGGCGCTCGGCAGACCAAGCATATATGTACTACTCGTATTGCAAGACCTCGCTCGTTTATAAAATTAATATTTATTTAAAATTTTTGCTCGTCTTGCAAAACACGCGCAGACCAAGTTACTCGCAATTAAAGGTTTTACTGTATATACTTTTGCCGCATACATGGCCAAAAACCCAAACCGTTTAGCGACCAGAAACAAATAGCATAATGAAATGTATAATAATAGATCAGAGTTCAAATGTTTCTTGTATTGTGCAAGGTTATAAGAGCTTGGGAAAAAATATGACGGGAGTGTTGTGATGATACTGAAATATATTATAAGGTAAGAGCCATAATAATTGTATTATCAGTTTTACTAAACATTATATCAGATTCGTCATTGTTCTTAGTTTTTTAATATTTTATTTCCTGATATAATATTTATGACATGAGAAAAACACAACTAATGTTTTAAATAAATAGCTATTATCCATTAAATTGGTGCTTTGGTAAATGTTTTCCAGAGTAATTGACGGTGTGGTTATATGGTATAATATTTTTTTTAGCTCCTCTGATTCATTATTACTTTTGTAACTGACAATATGTGCTTTATAAGCATTGCATGTTATCAAGTTGCAATGATTATAATACTTGTGACATGCTTACGCTCGTTAACTGCAATCAAATATCTTTTTAAGTAATCTTTATTTTCTTGAAGTCCTGCAGAGCACAATTCCATAGTTACGGTAATCGGTATGTTAATTATTATCAACACTTCGTACTTATATCCTGTCTCCCATGCTGTACATCTCAAGGTGCTCTACAGCAGGCAGGGGGGGGGGACCCCCTGTGGGAAGCTGTCCCTAATGAGGCAGAGGCAAATTGAACCGCAGCTGTTGGCACCGAAAGTGTGCGTGATTTTAATTCTGCCTGCCGTTTTTTTTCAGAAGCGGCTGCGAGTGTTGGCGTGAGCCCGGGTCGCTTCTCTGTCTTCCTGGCGATACTGCTGCCCCCGTACCTCATTACGCTGTACTCGCTGTGGAACCTCTACGAAATGTTCCTGCCCATCATGGGCCGCAGTGGCACGCAAATCGTTCCCGACGTCGTCATGGCCATCGTTACCATCGCCTCCGTCATCGTGCTTTCTTCCTACCCCGTGAGTGCCGATAAAAATGTGAGGTGTCGTGCAGCTTTACCGCTTATCTGTGGGAATCGCTAAATGTGGATTTACCAGTTTTTACGTATATGCCAGGCATGTCATGTGGGTTATGTAATAATGCCATTCGTATTATCACATCAAAGATTGATGGGGAATGATAAATCATTAAAGGTGTCGACATTTAAGTATTAACTTTGGTTGCAAACTTTGAATAATCTGTTCACAAGGTGCATGACTTTAGTGGTGGTCAGTCAAAAAAAATTGGACTTTAAATTATACACTAAATGAAAATAAAAGTTAACAATTGATTCATTTTTTAAAAAATGCTTCAAGCCTGTACAATAAACAAATCAAGTGGACTGTAATCTGCTCCCTTTGTTGAAAGCTTTGAACACATTCCCAACACGGATGCAGCTGAAATTCTCTTTCTCCACTGTGTTTTTATTCCATGGTATTTTGGCAGCCAAAAGGAATTGATCATGCTTAAACTCAAAACAATGTTTCTGCTGGTTTGCTTAATTTTCATTGGGATATTGAATACTGTGGGTTTAGTGTGTGTGCAAATGTTCCATGATATACATTGAAGAAAATATTTGTTTTTACATAAAATTATGTTCATTTAGTCTGTAAATGTTATAAACAAATTGTATTATTTTTAAAAGGGAGTGAGATTGATAGGTACAGCTTGCTTTGTAAAGCAATGTTCAAGGATTGTCACAGTTTACATGCACTGCTGCCTAGTTCAAGTGAACTTGTAAATTTACACTTGGCGGTAAGAACATTTGATTTGTTTTCCTTTTTTAAACCACCCGTAGGGACTGATTGCGGGTCCTATTCGGCAACAATTTGGCAAGATTGTGAAATTCCTCTTGGCGCACTGGCCTTTCCTGACTGAAATTTGACCGCAACCATGGCTGGTGAGGCTTCGACAAAACATCGCGCGAGCAGTAATGAGACATGAACTCACGCTTGTGGCCCCGACAGGTCTGCCTCGTCTACCTGATGCCAAGCGCCAAGAGGACGCTGCTTTCCCTGGCAGCGGTCTTTCTCTTGACCTTTGGCCTTGTTTGCGCCGGTTTTTTCTTCCCGTACGGAAACGACTCCATCCGTCCGACTCCCAAGCGGCTTTACATGCAAGTACGTTCCATATTTCCTGGGCACGGGCCCGCCTTTGGAGCAACTGACAAGCACAACTTTTCAGAGTCTTTGCATATTATTAACATGATTTAAATTGAGCGATGCCAGGCATAAATGTTTTTCCACGTATCTATGATTCGTTCTACCTTATTGACATAAAGGCATGATAAAAGTGACACTGAGCTTCCATAAATCATTGGAGTCCTTGGCAAACAAGACTGCAAAGATAGGCTCAAAATAAATGTGCATTACAAGTCATGCATGATAAGTGCACTGAACAAAAAAAATTAGTGTGGGGGGAATAGATCAGGCCTAAATATGACTATTAGCATGATACAGAAAAATCCATGTATAGATGCCATACTAAAATGATTGAGAACAATCCGAGAGAAAACCGTTTTACCCCAAAGCCTCTCATATTTCCCATTTTTCTTAAAACACTTTGATTAAATATTGAAATGTTAAACAATGCCGGTCTAACCTGCTCACAACATTCAACAATGCGTGAGCGGAGTTCATTGATATCTCAATTTTGTTGTGTCCACATTGCCTTGAATAGTGCTCGTCAAGAAACAATCCGGTTACGTCAGGCGAATGCAGGGGCCATGCAATTGTTTCATCACGGCCGATCAAACTCCCTAAATGTCTCTTATTACCAATTACGTACTTCATGACACCAGGGTCAATAAGAAATCAATGGGGCACTGTGGAGTTGAGGGTTGGTTACCCACACATGGTTCGAAATTCCCTTATTGTTTGCATCGAAGTGCCATACCCAGACTTGTAAGGAGAAGGTGGTACAGCAAAGTGAAGATTAATATTTGTCCGTTCTGTTTTGGGATAAAGTGTTGCCTCTTTGCACGCATGGGTTTTCTCTAGGTGCTCCTGTTTCCTCCCACATAAATTGTCATTAATTGGTTAGTCACATCTTGAGGTGTACATGACTGTAGAGCTTGGGCATTTGTTGGTGCCGGATCACCACTTGGCTGCCTTCCAGCTTTTCTGTTTCCTAAGCAATTGTGAGGTGCAGTTTTCATGAACGATATTATACTAATGGGAACATATTACTGTGGATCGTTTTGAATATACATTTATCCATCTTGCCTTCGGCGAGATGGACGCCCCCCGCTAGTCATAACATGTCCTACGCGCATCCAAATAGAGCGACGGGCAAAAATAACGGAGTGGCGTGCGCGTGAGCTTTCCGTCCCGTTTCTATCCACCAGCACATCTCGCGGCGGCTGCACGACGCGTCGGGTGCCGTGGTGCACAGGGACTCCGGCGTGTGGGTGAACGGTTTTGACTACAGCGGCGTGTCGCACCTCGCGGGCAGCATCCCCGCTCTCAACGACTCGATGCGCGCGCCCTGCCTCCCCGCGCCTTTCTGCGGCTACCCCTGGTTCCTCCCCGTCAACTCGCTCGTTCGGTGAGGGGGCAGAGGCTGCCGCTTGCCGTGCTGGTGCTCGTGTTCTTGGGTTTTGTCGTGGCGGAGTGGTGGCTCGTGGTGAGCTCTTAGCAGGCAGATTTTATACGTGGAGCAGATGTTATTTTGTTACTCGAATGGCTAGGGAAATGTAATTTAACGGCAAAAACAATGAACATTTGTAAATACAGTCATTCCCAGTTTGACGCGGTAGATGCGTTCCTAAAAAGTACCGCGTTCAGCAAAAATTCGTTGAGCAGGAAACCACTGTACTGAATCACATTTGCACTGTAAAATCAGCCTGCAGCCATCCCGTGGTGGGACAAAGAACTGAGATGAGGGTACGCTGCGTACTGTATCATTCCGTGTACTGTATTGTATTGCTCGACCGCGGAGCAGCTAAAGAAGACAGTACTTCGTCGTCGACCGCTCAGAAACCGCGTTATAACGGGCGCGTTCCACATTCTGCGAGAAGTGTTCCATATAATAATTGTGAATTGTATCACTTTGAAGGCGAAATAACAGTTTTGCTCTTCTCGTGCAGGAAGAGCTGGTATTTGCCTGCACCAGATGTCTCCCCGTCTCCCCCATTGTCAATGCTTTTGGTTGATAAAGAGCAGCTTCTTTCGAACACATGGAGGCTGACCTTTGAGGTGTCTGGTAAGTAACTGACATTGACTCCGGGCAAATTATAATAAGAAATACAAATTTATACAGTGAGGGAAAAAAGTATTTGATCTCCTGCTGATTTTGTACGTTTGCCCACTGACAAAGAAATGATCAGTCTATAATTTTAATGGTAGGTTTATTTGAACAGTGAGAGACAGAATAACAACAAAAAAATCCAGAAAAACGCATGCCAAAAATGTTATAAATTGATTTACATTTTAATGAGGGAAATAAGTATTTGACCCCTCTGCAAAACATGACTTAGTACTTGGTGGCAAAACCATTGTTGGCAATCACAGAGGTCAGATGTTTCTTGTAGTTGACCACCAGGTTTGCACACATCTCAGGAGGGATTTTGTCCTAATCCTCTTTGCAGATCTTCTCCAATTCATTAAAGTTTCGAGGCTGACATTTGGAAACTCGAACATTCAGCTCCCTCCACAGATTTTATATGGGATTACGGTCTGGAGACTGGCTAGGCCACTTCAGGACCTTAATGTGCTTCTTCTTGAGCCACTCCTTTGTTGCCTTGGCCGTGTGTTTTGGGTCATTGTCATGCTGGAATACCCATCCACGACCCATTTTCAATGCCCTGGCTGAGGGAAGGAGGTTCTCACCCAAGATTTGACGGTACATGGCCCCGTCCATCATCCCTTTGATGCGGTGAAGTTGTCCTGTCCCCTTAGCAGAAAAACACCCCCAAAGCATAATGTTTTCACCTCCATGTTTGACGGTGGGGATGGTGTTCTTGGGGTCATAGGCAGCATTCTTCCTCCTCCAAACACGACAAGTTGAGTTGATGCCAAAGAGCTCCATTTTGGTCTCATCTGACCACAACACTTTCACCCAGTTGTCCTCTGAATCATTCAGATGTTCATTGGCAAACTTCAGACGGGCATGTATATGTGCTTTCTTGAGCAAGGGGACCTTGCGGGCGCTGCAGGATTTCAGTACTTCACGGCGTAGTGTGTTACCAATTGTTTTCTTGGTGACTATGGTCCCAGCTGCCTTGAGATGATTGACAAGATCCTCCCGTGTAGTTCTGGGCCGATTCCTCACCGTTCTCATGATCATTGCATCTCCACGAGGTGAGATCTTGTATGGAGCCCCAGGCCGAGGGAGATTGCCAGTTCTTTTGTGTTTCTTCCATTTGCGAATAATCGCACCAACTGTTGTCACCTTCTCACCAAGCTGCTTGGCAATGGTCTTGTAGCCCATTCCAGCCTTGTGTAGGTCTACAATCTTGTCCCTGACATCCTTGGAGAGCTCTTTGGTCTTGGCCATGGTGGAGAGTTTGGAATCTGATTGATTGATTGCTTCTGTGGACAGGTGTCTTTTATACAGGTAACAAGCTGAGATTAAGAGCACTCCCTTTAAGAGTGTGCTCCTAATCTCAGCTCGTTACCTGTATAAAAGATATAGCTGGGAGCCAGAAATCTTTCTCATTGAGAGGGGATCAAATACTTATTTCCCTCATTAAAATGCAAATCAATTTATAACATTTTTGACATGCGTTTTTCTGGATTTTGTTGTTGTCATTCTGTCTCTCACTGTTCAAATAAACCTACCATTAAAATTATAGACTGATCATTTATTTGTCAGTGCGCAAACGTAAAAAATCAGCAGGGGATCAAATACTTGTTTCCCTCACTGTATACTTGTATGGAGATAATCTCGTGTCAGTTATTGAAGTAAGTTTAAATTGCAACAACTTTATTTGTATTATATGTGTAGAATATATCCTACGGATATTATCCCATGACAACATTTAAGTACTTCAATTTCATTACCAGAAATGATAACCAAAGTTAAACATAATAATAAGCATATATATAATTTGTACTGTTCCATTTATATTCTGAAGTTGATAGGGAACTTATATGAAACATTATCTTACATATGATATGGCTGAAGGTATATCTGTAATCACCCAAAATACAAACATTGCCTTATGACAAAGGTTTAGTTTGAAGTTTATTTTGTTTAACCAGGTGAGACCTCGAGAGACCAGGTGGAATCTCGTTTCCTCGAGTATAGCCTTGGTCACCGAAATAACAAAATAAAGTACGGTAATGAGCATTTTATATTCTCTTGAAATCGACTTTTTGTGTATTGTGGTTCCACGTTCAGTAGATAGGCCAATATCATAATTCACCACCCACCTCTTGTGATTTCATTGATTTGGGTCGTGATTCTATTTAAAAAGTTGTTAGTGTTTACACGTTTTCATTGTGGTGAATGTAGCACCTCTAGTGGCTGCAGGGTTTAAATGCCCCAACTACATACAAACTTGCAAAAACCAAACGATTGATTCCCTGCACACAAGATTCGATGCACGCATCATGAGTATTTGAATTATTCCACTCCCTCTTGTCTGTTTATTTACCCGCGATACCTCAGGACCGCACCACATATCCTTGTACGTGCGTGAGCCCGAGGGAGCGACCCTGGTGGGCTGGTCGCTGGGGGAGGGGGCACCTCCGCCACCACAGGACAACTACTCGCAGGCGCGATTTGTATTCTACTCGTACGGCACGTACACGGCACCATGGCGGTTCTGGCTGGACATGCAGGTGAGCTGATGACCGTGGTTTAAGCACCTTGATCCGCCAATTGCAGAACGATGCATACAAATGTGTTTTTTCATCTTCGATAAATCAATTTTCGACTTAATTTTTTTCTTCAAATGTAATAATAATGATAACAATGAAATGTATACATACAGCGTGTATGTAGAGTGCAATCGGACGGCAAAAAGAGTTTAAAACAACAACTGCTGAGGTCAGTTTTATCAAAGGCAGTGCCCTAACATAGCATGCCATTATAAATGTATCCCAATTGAGCTTTGTCAGTTGTGTCCGAGACGATGATTCCAGATCATTCGAATAGCAGTGCAACACTTTGTGTTATAGAATGGCCCATGGGAGAAAATGTATCAGAACTATGTCTGAGATCCCTTAAAGTGACCTCGAATCCACACAGTAGGGGAAGCACTTTATCCACCTTCCCTGACACCAAGAGTAATGTGTGTTTGCATGACAGTAATGTGTGTTTGCATGACAGTAAAAGCAATATTGTTAATTCTCAGAGCCAAAATTTAGCCAAATTAAGTGTTGAACCAAATTTAATGTAATGGATTTTTTGTGCAGTCATTGGTGACTGGGCTGGCACCATCATCTCACTACACTTGAATCCAGTTTAATCACAGGCATGTGCCTGGATTGACAAAGGGCTATGAATATATATTTATATAGGTATGTATTTAAAGTTAAACGTAGATTATTAAGATTATGTGCTTCAGCTTTTCTTTCTAAGCCTCCCAGAAACCTCAGAGTAAGATCTCTCACTCGGCAGAAGGCACTTTCTGTGTGTTATCATTTATTTGTGGAGGGCAGTGGGACAAATTAAACAAAAAGTCTTCGATACTGTCAGTGAGGTTTAGAATTTTGTAACATGACTTGGTATACATCTGATTATCCTGTCAATTCACTCACAAAATGTGATGTTTTTACATGTTCAAATTAACCCAATCTTCATAATCTAAGTTTGCATTTAAATAAATAAAATATAACTGCAGTATAATCTTGACATACCTTTTATAAAATAAATCGATTATTCACAGTCCTTTCTCAAACCATGCCATGTCAGTAATGGAGGTTGTTTGACCACACTTCACCATGCTGGTCAGTATGTTGGTGAAAGGTTTCCAGGAAGGTTTCAGATTTCACTCGCCACTTATGTGAACCAATGCTGGGAAGCAAACTTGGGCGGCCGGGTTAGTAGAGCGCTGCGCTAACCACTCGCCACCAACACTACACATCATGCATCTGATTCGCACAAGAGTAAACGTTGTATAAATATGAATTGAGAAAATTGCTGTGACTGTTGGAGAGATTAACTGTTTTTAAACCATATTCTTAGCTTTTTCGGTAAAGTCACGTTAAAGGGAAACAATAAAATAATAAAATATATATAAAACAATAAAAATTCTCACGACGTTTCGACCATAACGCAAATGGTCATCGTCAGGCGTGAAAAGCAACGGCAAGACACTCGGGCTGGGTGTGAAGAACAGCAAATGTTTCGTGTTGCATGTTGCTGACAGAGCTGTACTTTGAACCGACCCGGTCAGATTTGACTTTTAGGCGCACGGAAGAAAAATGCTCTTGAGCCATTTATCGCTTGCACCGTTTTTCTTCACATTCAGGTCACAGACCCCGAGAAGCCAATGGTGGAGGTTGCTGTAGCAACACATTACCTGTTCGGTCCCAGCCGAAGGACCCCGCAGTTGTCCAGTCTGCTCAAGCAGCTGCCTGATTGGACTTTTTCTTCAGACTGGGTCAGCACCTATGACTTGTGGGCATTTTGAAAAGAAAAATTGATTTATTGTGGTGGGAAAAAAAACGACTTAAAAAAATAAAGAAATTAGCACAGTTTGTATGTCATTCAGAGCAATGGCCGCACTGGATGAAATAACTTTCTGCAAAAAAAATACCATTTAATTTTAGAGTGCAGTGTTTGTTACACACTCATTCCCCATTATTAATTTATTGTTCACATTTGGTAGCGGAACCGTTTTGAGCTGGAAGATGGTCTCTTTCCCTGGTTCAAAAGTAAAAAAAAGGTTTGTATTAAGGATACTGCTGCGTAGTAAATTGCGGTTCTGCTGTACAGCTCTCCGATGTATGTTCTTTGGGTCTTTCGGTAAAGTCACGTAGATAGGTTCAAAGAAAATAAAAAAAACTATGACGTTTTGATCGCAACACAAGTGGTCGTCTTCTTTTCCTGAAGACGACCGCTTGTGTTGCGATAGAAACGTCGTCGTTTTTTTATTTTCTTTAAACCTATCTACGTGACTTTACCAAAAGACCCAAAGAATATTAATTCACGAAAGCTTTAAGTCTCCGATGTATGTTTGGGTTGTAGCATTTCCTGAAGAAGCTTCTGTCACGTGGTGCAAGATGTCAGAAATCCTGCTGAACAACACATGGCACAAACCAAAAATACATCCGAGAGTTGCGTTAATGATCTTACGTGGTGGACGTTGCCATGACAAGCAAGGGTTAAAATGCAAATGCACTTCTTTTGTCAGATCCACCTCCCCTGCCTTTTTGGAATGTGTGGGTCTAAATGGGACACATCCCTTGACCACCACGTGTTTCGCATTTAAATTCTGACTTCCAAAGTTGTGCATGGGAGTTGGTGTGGTGGGGTGGGATCTTATTAGAGAACTTCTATACTTGGTAGTCCCATGTCACGCCTCGAAGAGTCGGTGGTGCACTGACAGAGATTAACACTTTCAGTATTGTATATTGTGTGGTTGAGCCATCTCAGCCCAGGAAACCAAACCAGTGTGTCGCACGTCTTTGACCCCCCCCCCCCCTTGCCCGAGATAAGGCGTCTTGCCTAAACTGGTCCTAAACTGAATTTGCATTTATTGAAGTGCCATTCTGTTTTTACATTTGTAATTTAAGCAATTTGCTTTAAAAAAAAAAGTCAACTGGTAACTTATGGCGTCTTGGAATGCACCTTTGATTATATCGTAATTTATTAACCTAGAGATCCTGTCTCATGATCTAACCAATCACTATTTTTATCTACACAGTCCTTATCGGAAGTGGCCTTAGTAACGTTGAATCCGTTAAATGCAATCGATACCTCCCGATTTATGATGTGTCCCTGGAATTGTGGATGGGCTTCCAAGGCTGATGCTTCATTTTAAGATGGCTAAACCACGGATAAAACTCTTAGGTCTCCTTGTGTGTTCACCCCACTCCACTAACCACAATTGATTCGAACATTCCAAGACATCAAATTGTTTAACACCCTCGTACAAAACAAATATTAAAAGTAACGGTATTTTTGTAAATTTGTGTTTTGAGCTTAAACATGCAGGCAGTAGTAGGTAGCTTGAAAGTAGAGGCAAAGTTTGTCAAGAATTGGGTTTAAAATAATGAACCTAAGCAGAGCAGAGCTACTTGCAAGGAGTGATGTAACTTCAAGTTTTGGCCATTTTCCCAGAAATTGGTTTTGATACGATACATTTCCTACTTCATGCCTGTGATCAAATTAATACAAACTTATACCAATACGGGAATATGCACACATGTATTGACTTAATGGTTACATGTAACATACTTTGAGGATCCCTGAAATATCAAGTCATCCGTGTTTTATTATTTACCGGTTAATGGACCGTAAAGATACATGTGTAAACAGTACATAACCTCTGCATGTACTGAGCGCTTGTTAACAAATGTAAACGCGTGGTTAATATCGTGAATTTGGTGCTTTTTAGTTAGGTCTTGTGTTCAAGTTTGGAATAAAACAGCAGGTTTAACCAACTACCTTTCCGGATTTGTTCATTAGACCTGATATTTCAAGAATATTTATTTGAATTTAAATCTAACACAATAACATTATTCCTTTTAACATTTGTTACAGTAACGGATTTATACCTGCCAGGCAGTGCATCTTATTGACCGATTTTTTTTGCACTAAGTTTTAGCAAATACAGCAATCTGTATAAAGGTGGTGTTTGATAATAAAATATCAAGCCTCAAACTTGTGTTGTATTGCCATATATTCTTATTCCATGTCAGTCATATAAACAAAGTACAATGCAAAATCGATATGAATACTGTATTGATTTTAAAAAAAAACGTTTTCAACGTAGCAGTATTTTTTCTTTCCTAAAAATATACTTTACAATTCATGGTAAGAAACATTTCTGTAAGTACATTGGCTGCATACAGTGGCTTAGAATAGTTAACTCAACATTCGTCAACACTGCCTGAAAATGAATTGTATAATCGGCTACGCGTTGGCCAATTGCTCCTACATAGCACAGCAGATCGTGTACGTACTATGAAGGGCCATTGCCTGAAACGTCGTTTATTATATTTCCTTTATAAGGCAGTGTTTTTGACAAATGTGTTTTTTCATTGAGCTTGTGTACCACTGCCAATGTAAAACAGTACAGCATGACCAAATAAATTGTTAGCATGATTATGCAATTCCGCCCTCTCCCTGTCTACGTAACCCAACGTATGGACACCCCGCGTCCGGGGTGGAGGGGGGGGGGTGAGCGGGGTGGAGGGGGGGGTGAGCGGGGTGGAGGGGGGGGTGAGCGGGGTGGAGGGGGGGTGAGCGGGGTGGAGGGGGGGGTGAGCGGGGTGGAGGGGGGGGTGAGTGGGGTGGAGGGGGGTGAGCGGGGTGGAGGGGGGGTGAGTGGGGTGGAGGGGGGGTGAGTGGGGTGGAGGGGGGGTGAGCGGGGTGGAGGGGGGGGGGTGAGCGGGGTGGAGGGGGGGTGAGCGGGGTGGAGGGGGGGTGAGTGGGGTGGAGGGGGGGTGAGTGGGGTGGAGGGGGGTGAGCGGGGTGGAGGGGGGGTGAGTGGGGTGGAGGGGGGGTGAGTGGGGTGGAGGGGGGGTGAGCGGGGTGGAGGGGGGGTGAGCGGGGTGGAGGGGGGGGTGAGCGGGGTGGAGGGGGGGTGAGTGGGGTGGAGGGGGGGTGAGCGGGGTGGGGGTGGGGGTGGAGGGCAGGGTGGAGGGCGGGGTGGAGGGGCGGGGTGGGGGTGGAGGGCGGGGTGGAGGGGGCTGGGTGGAGGGGTGGGGGTGGAGGGCGTGGTGGAGGGGTGGGGGTGGAGGGGCGGGGTGGAGGGGGGGGTGGAGGGGGGGGTGGAGGGGGGGGTGGAGGGGGGGGGTGGAGGGGGGGTGGAGGGGGGGGTGGGGGGGGGCGGGGTGGGGGTGGAGGGGTGGGGGTGAGCGGGGTGGAGGGGTGGGGGTGAGCGGGGTGAAGGGGGGGGGGTGGAGCGGGGTGGAGGGGTGGGGGTGAGCGGGGTGGAGGGGTGGGGGTGAGCGGGGTGAAGGGGGGGGGTGAGCGGGGTGGAGGGGTGGGGGTGAGCGGGGTGGAGGGGTGGGGGTGAGCGGGGTGGAGGGGTGGGGGTGAGCGGGGTGGAGGGGTGGGGGTGAGCGGGGTGCAGGGGTGGGGGCGAGCGGGGTGGAGGGGTGGGGGCGAGCGGGGTGGAGGGGTGGGGGTGCTGCTATTCTCACGTTCCCGGCTCCCACGTGGAGGTGGGGAAGGCGATGGAGCGGTCGTACTCGTCCCTCGCAATCGTTCCGGGGCAGTTCGACGACGCCGAAGCCGACGACGCCGTCAACGGTGCCACAGACGAGCGCGAGAAGAGGTTCGAGGAGCGAGAGGAGAGCAGCGGGGATGGTGGAGGGATTAGAAAGAGGAGGGCCCACCACCCTCTCGTCCCGGTCACGAAGCCTCGTGCTTGCCTTAGCAGCCCTGCCGGCGGAGGTGCCACTCGCTCGGCAGGGGTGGAACGGTCGTGGTGGGGGGGGGGGGTATGAGACCTCTGGGGCGACGCAGTTACTCCGCTTTAACAAATTAACGAGTTTGAAACACGGGGACTGTTACGGGTTGTCGACGTTGTTGAAACTAAAAGTTTGTTGTTGTTGAAGAAGTGTGGTATTTATTAAACGAGCAGCGGCGGTGTTGTTTAAAGAGACGACGTTTCGTGGGTCGGTAGGGGGCGAAGCCTCACGCTTTGCAATTTAAAGCGGACGTTATAAATTTTATACTGTTACTCTACGATACAACTACGGTTCTGAGCATAAGCATTATACAACTGTCTTCACTTGGTATTCATAGTTCTTTTTAAATAAAAATCCTACGTTAAATTGTAGGCTCCTACGATGATTGTGAGGACAGTTCATCAAAATCCGCTCCACTCTTCTATGCTCCTAACGTGCCTACTTTGCTCTTTTACTTTAACCAACTCGCACTACTGACCAGCGTGGTGAAGTATGGTCACGTAACTCCCCTCCCACGATCCGCACGGTGTGGGGGACATCCTCATCCAGCAGTAGAGTGACCGAAGGGCTTTCGTGAAGTCGCCGTAATAGTTCGTGAAGCCATATAACGACTCGACTAAACTAAACTTTGTTTTACTTCACCAGGTAAGGGCCCAACGAGCTGCTTATACAGCTCGTTTTCAGAAGCGACCTGCCTACGAATGATGGGCTCAACGAAGTGGCTTGTCGTGTGGAAATCAAGACCGTAGCCATGGAGTCAAGATTGGGGGGGACCAAATCTTCCAGGGCCCCCCCCCCGCCCTCCTAGAAAAAAAAATCAAAATTTGAAAATAATTTCCTGCCTAAAATATAAACAAAATCACTAACGCATGATGGAATTGTTTTTGTTTACAATAATGCCTAATAGTCTACTATATTACATTGCTCTGTTTTTTTACCATTGTTTCATTGTATGTAATGGCAGATATTAGGGATTAATAAAGTACAACCATAACCACAATCATATAAACAAATCTATTTTATATATGGGGGGGGGGCATTGTGAGCATATTTTAATATTGGGGGAAATGCATATATAGCATCCAATTATCTTAAGCGGGTGACATCATGCAATGACATTGGCAGGAATAGGCTTTGGGCTGTAGCTTAACATTTCACGTTCAGATTGGTTTCAGTTATTTTTCCATTGAAAGTATGATTGTTGGATTGCGATTGATTCTGCTTGTGTAAACATGCTGGTAGCACACCAGGCAAAGATGTGGAGCCATTACTCAGCGCCACGGTTATTATGAAGGATGTCGGTTTTGTGCTGCTGCGTTTTAGCCTCATTGAAAGCGGTGGGAAATGTTGGTAGCTATGTTTGTGTTGCCATTTAGCAGGACATTATGTCGTACGCTTTTGATCCGCTCCCGTGGATACAAGGGTTGGTGGGACTCGTAGGGAATTTTGAGACTGCAAAGTCGGCTGAGTTGCGAGCTCGTCAGGACAGTACAATGAGTGAGTTCTTGAACTCGTCAGTGTGGACATTTGAGTATTAGTTCGTCATTACAGCTGTCTTTTTTTACGAGTACTCTGATTTTCACTGCAAAAGACTGTCAACAAGGATGTGTCCAAATATCTTAATGTAAAAATATTCTTTAAAAAGAGTTATGAGGCTTTTCTGAGGATTTCCTGGTTCAAGTGGAAAGTTGTACCTTGGCTGACGGGCGTGATCACCGATGAATCTGAATTGGTCTGGCTTGCGTGTGCTGCGTTCCCTCTGCTTGCAGCACAAACGGCGGAATGCCTGGGACGGAGGGACTACAGATCGGGCACGATGTGGAAACAGTGGCGAGAGAAGGGGAGGAGGAAGCACCTGGGGAGGAGGAGGAGGAGGTCGACAGCGATGAAGATGACGACGGCTGGGATTGGGACGATGCTTCTGATAATATCACCAAGCGCGTTAACATCTACCGGAGTAACAACCAGCAGGTGGGGCCCCTGTATTCATGAAATAATATTCAGCCATTCTCAATTCGTCAATATGTGAAAGCATGTCAAACCCACAGCATGTCAAACCCACAGCAAGACTGTCATGGGTTTTTTTTGTTAACATACTTCACCATGCTGGTATTGCGGGCTTGTGATTGGTGTCTACCAATGGTGCAGATGCCGCTCCCCGCTGATCGCATCTGTGGCTGGGAATCAAACGCAGGTCACAGTATTTGTATCTGCTGCTCCACACCTTCCCCTAGAGTGATAGTCCACCAAAACCACACGGTGTGAAGTGGAGCAGCATTTCTCAAACTGTGGGTCACAGCACCTTTAGAGGTTTCTTTGTCATTGTTCTGGGGAGGTAATGTGGTCCAATAATAAAAAAAATGGAAGGCAGCTGTATTATTCTGCTTCATCTGCAATGATAGGTGATAAATTTATGTCTTGCGCTGTCTTCAGGCTTGAATCGGTCACGTTGCTTGGAATGATTGTGATCTTTTTTTTGTTAAGATCTTTTTTTACTCCTGCCTACCTGCTTTCCTTATTCATTCTACATAATGTACATTTCCACGTGTCCAAGCCATCGCAGCTCTTTGCTCCTGGATCTTCCCCAAAAACAGTCGTTTTCTGTCCGAGTCTTATCTTTCCACATCAATACCCTCGGGGTTTTTATTCTAAGCCAGTTCATGTCCACTGTATCTTCCTCTCGTAAATCTTTCTCCATGTTCCAACACTCCGACCCATACAGATGGACTGGCACAACCTGTATAATTTGCCAAAATGTTAATAAAACAAGTGTTCACTGGGATTGTATTTGACTTTGTGCATGTGGTGCTTCAGTAACACTGCGTTGTGTGTTTTTTTTCATTCTAGTGCAATCGGCAAACGGCGCCCAATGCATTGAAGATGTGTGCACCACAAGACAAGGCTTTGAGAAAGTTTGAAAATAAGATCTCTCTGGGTAGGTTTATCTGTGCTTTACAAGAAAAAATGTTGTCGTGTCCTAGAATTATGATGACACCTTCATGATTATCTTAACTTACGTGTACACGTACAAGCCCTTTGACAGTCGACCGCTGGATGAGGTCCTGCCCACGCTGGGTCGTGGGTGTTATTTGACCATACTTCACCACCGGTCAGTACTCGGTGAATTTGGGGAGCATAGACAGGGCAGCATAGTTGTACAGTACAACAATTGAATTGCTACATTGCTCACTGCTGCCCACCATGTAACCCCGAAGACTACTAACTACCTGGATTTGCATGGTGGTCATCCTTCCAAGCACGATCCAGGCTCAACTGATGAGATCGGGTTGGTGATTTGGTCATAGGCTTATCATACAGTACTGTAATGTATATATTGGAACTTCTTTCGCACCATACGTAGCCAACCATGCTAATCGGGGGTGTGGGGAGAAGGACAACAAACTAAGCACATAAAGCAGTTGTGAAGAAATTCGTTTTCAATCTAGATTGTGTGTATTAAGAACAGAGGTGGTGTTGTTAGTGCATTATGCTATGAATCTATTATCCCATGTTCATTGCTCTTCCACAGCTACCATCCTTGATGAGTGATGTATGAATCGATCCTGGTACCTCCCCCTCCAAAACCCGCACCTCCGATTAGCGCACTTGGCTACGTACGGTGCAAAAGAAGTTCAACGTACATTCATCCACACCCACACTGGCTAACGTGGCAAAGTGTAGTAAATCAAATTCCATGACTAACACGGCATGGGCAGGCCTTCATCCAGCAGTGGATTGACGTAAGGATGTCCATGATAATTTGAATGATAATGGAAAAGTTTTACAACTTAAAATATTTGACGCTTGATCTTTTTATTTTTTTAGAAAAGTTGAACTTTGCCGATTCTGTGATAAACAAAGTGACGGAGCGCTGCAGACAGAAGGATGCTGAAATGTGAGTCGAGAATGTCTTACCTGAAATTTTCTGGAGGTTAAAAATGACAATTGTTCATTCATGAAAACACCGTTTCAAACAAAATTGTAAAAAAAAAAAGCGAAGTTGCTGGAAGATTTTAAGTTGCCAATTAAAGGGAGCACATTTCGCATCTGAAGGAAAGAAAAAGACAAAAAGTGTGCCGTGTTCTGTGAAACAATGCATCATGATCTTCTGTTTTTTTTTTAAATAATATCCATGAGGTAGCCAAGGAAGGTATTGTACCCGAGAGGATGTCAACCATAGAGATAGAGCGATGATATCGACCTGTGTGCAGGCGTCAGGCAGATTATTATATTATAGAATAGAAAGAGATGGTGATGGTTTTTGGAGACCCTTGTATAGCAGTGGGTTTATCATGGCCGAAGGTGACGATGCAGACGTGTTATTTTGTGTTATTTCTTTCCAGGTACCGCGTTAAGGACAAGGCAGACAGGGCGACTGTGGAACAGGTGACATTTAGCATTGCGAAAACAATATATGGAGCAAGCGAACGTGTCAGATAAACACTTTTATTCAACTCTGCTGAAGATGCATTGCACAATTAAATGTAAAACAAAATGTTTTATTTCACAAAACATTGCGCTAAATCCATCAGGAATTTAAACTGCTCCCATATATGTAGTAAAATCTATGTTATATATTTAATAATGAATTCTTTTGTGGTTTTGATGACATGTTGATTTGGAACTTTTGCCAACCTGCCAACTAAAACATGGCAGATTTATCCACCATTTCTTGTCATTGTTATTATATTCAGACGGGACATTTGACAATAGACTTTGAATTTTTACATGCGTCAGCATGTGAGCATGCCCCATCATTGGTGATGCGAAGTAGTGAGTATTCTGTCACCATTAAGAGTAATGTTTGTCAAGTTTGGCTCGTTTAGCACATCATTTTGTAAATGCTGCTTCCATCAATTGAACGGGGTGTTGCGAAAGTCAAAATCCTTATTTCTTGTAAATGATAGCAGATGCTCGGAACCGTGCACCGTTTGCTTGGACAGACATCTCAATCCACTCCACACAGGATGCTTGAACAATCCACAATGGTCCACACTGAAAATAAATAAGCAGACAATCCACCGTTTCCCATGTCCCCGATGAACGCTACTGAATGAATACAGTAATTTTTTTGCACATTCCTATCGACCAACACGGCTTTCTGGGAGTTCTTTCTTTTTTTATCAGTGTACAATGCAACCAAACTTTTTTTTATTACATTCGGTGTCTTCTCAACAGTCAGACTTACTTAAACCAATGCTGGTGAACTGCCAGATGTTAATAGGCAAGGAACCCTCTATTAGATATGGGTCCTAGTTCAAAGCAGAATCATATAGTACATAACACAATAATATGGTTTACGTGGAGTGATAGGGAAAGAGGAGGTCTGTTGTCTGTGTTTATTTTGTTATATTGCACACAACGGCCCTCATGATTATATTGCGTTGGCACACTCGGCTCGTATTTCAATAAACAATGATATATACAGTGCAGTCCTGCAATCGCTTTGACGAACCTCGTGTGTTATTTAATAAGTTGACATTCCTGAACATGATGCTAAGCAAACAGGCTTTGTGTGACTTGCTACAAGTAAAATGAACACGTTTGAGGCCCATATTTGCTGTTTGCTTTGTTGTAAGCTAACTTGTTAGAGGTAGTAGGTTAAGGTGTCCAATTCATCTTTTGTGTGCGCTTTGACTGCGGGTTGTTATTTTAGATTAAGAAGCTCTTCCCGTTCACAACACCGGGGTTTTTGCTGCATTTGCCGAAGCTGGCTTTGTTTTGCAGGTGCTGGATCCGCGGACACGCATGATTCTATTCAAGTTGCTGAGCCGAGGGGTCATCACGGCGATCAATGGGTGCATCAGCACCGGCAAGGAGGTTTGGCTTAAACGCGACCCATGCTTAGTTCTATTCATAGTCATTGTCAGCCGTGATCTGTCCATCGCTGGGCAAAGGCCTCTCCAAGTGGTTGCCATCTTTCATGCTCCTGCGATGTAACAGTAATAATAATGCACAACATTTATAAAATGCTTTTGGGCAAGGTGTACAAATGCGCTGTCCATCACAAAAAAAATATATATAAGAACTGGGGGAGGAAAAACAAAGAAAACAAATTGAAGCTAATTCGAATAACCGAAAGCAAGAAAATATAAATGTGTCGAGGCAGGGTTTAAACATAATCTAGCACCTGTGCACGAGCCAATTTCATCACTGCATCTTTGCTGTGGATGCGCTTTCTGGTGTGTTCTTTCCTTTGGCTGCCACTCCCATACTTAGTCTCCAACAACTATTAGCACGGTTGGTTACGTATGGTGCAAAAGAAGTGCAACTGGCCATCATCCTTCATAGTGGTGTTGTTTTATGCCCAAGCCCCCTTTTCTTAAGAGTCAGTATGTTGTCTCAAAGTTGCACGTGTTCTCTAACCGGTGTATATTTTTTTCTATTTCTCAGTGCAATTCCAAGTTTGCACATAATCACGCTGCTTTGCTCATCTTTAAGCCTTTGTTACATTTTCTTAGTCACTGTCCATGTTTATGATTTGTACGTCATAGCAGACTACCTATACACAATATGAAGTAAGAATAGGGTTTACCCTTTCTGCAATAAGACCGGTGTTAAGATATTGCAGGGAATCAAGCCTGAACGTACTCGTAGCAAAACATGCAAACAAACATGCTCTGATAATATACGCATTGTCTGTGGAACTGATTGGCCGACACCAGAGACGGCCTTCTTTATGGCCTAGTCTCACCAGTGTTAGACCAGAGAATGCCAAAAGGCCAGCATGCAAGTACCAGAGTATTTGGTTGCATGTGATCCATGTTGTTTTGTTGTCACATGTGATCTGTGTTGTCTTGTTGTGGCATGCGATCTGTGTTGTCTTGTTGTTGCATGTGATCTGCGTTGTCTTGTTGTTGCATGTGATCTATGTTGTTTTGCCAGCGCTGAGATCATTTGCAGTGGGTTCCGAGTGTCTGCCCGTTGTCCTAAAGCAGGGAAAAGCTCTCCTGGTTGTTGGTTTGATTCTTTATCCAGGCGAACGTTTACCACGCATCGCACGGAGCGAACGAGAACCGGGCCATTAAGATCTACAAAACGTCCATCCTCATCTTCAAGGACCGCGACAAATACGTCAGCGGCGAGTTCAGGTCCGGCAACAAAAAACGCTCGGGATTATCACTTCGTGAAACTTTCAGATTTGCAAGGTGTTATAATGGGAGGCTCAATCCTGTGGTTGTCAATTGTAGCTTTTGCTATATAAATCACCATTTGAGTTCATTATTCTAGATTTGAAGCTTTCGTGACTGCAAGGATTCATACTCTTTGTTTTTTTCGGTAAAGTCACGTAGGTAAATTAAAATAAATGAAAACAACTAAATTAAATCACGACGTTTCGGAGGCAACACAAGCTTCACAGCAAAATTGCAGTGACGGTTTCCACCTGAAGACGGAAGCTTGTGTTGCCTCCGAAACGTCGTGATTTAGTTTTCATTTATTTTATTTTACCTTCATTATTACGGTTAGATTTCCAGCCTACACTTGTGATTGAGTCTTCAGTGTTTTATTCTTTTTAGAAAGCGTTGGACTTGGTTTACTGCCACCTTTAGACAACACCAGACTGTTCCCCCCAGTGATCATGGAGGACTTGTCCCACATAAAGCCCTCCTGAGACCCAAGGTGACAGCAGTAGTATTGACGATTCCTCAAGGATGAAACTGGTATACACTGGTCTCATTGTTTCTCTTCTGTCTTAAATAATATGGCCACAAACATTTGACTTTTGAGTCCGTGGTCTAGAACAAGGTGACAGCAGTAGTATTGATGATTCCTCAAGGATTAAACTTGTTTACACTGGTCTCATTGTTTCTCTTCTGTGTTAAATAATGTGGCCACAAACTTTTGACTTTTAAAGTCCGTGGTCTAGAACAAGGCTGTGTGGCTCTGTACTTCCAGTACGGTGATGTGACGTGAAAATCAAAATGGGAGGACCGATCCTCTGGTCATAATGGCTCCTGTTCCTGTCTATAAACCATGTTTTGTGTGTGTGTTATTACCATTGTTTATTTGCTCTTTGTAGCAAAGGTCAAGTCATAGTATTTCTATGCTAGATGAACGTAGGGGCAGTGCTTATTTCTGCTGGTGGCTCTGAGCCAAGTGATGGGAATGATTCCCTATCATAGTCTTCCTTTGAATGGCGGGGAGTTGATCCGGAACGTTTGTATGATCGCGGCAAGGTTGGTGAGTGAGTCGGTGGACGGCTTGAGAGGTACCCTGGTGAATGTCTGAAATCTTTTCATGGCAAATGATCGATGCGGGTGGTGGGGGCTATGCGTCTCCCCTAGGAATAAATAAATAAGTAGACAATCCGCCTCCACATACCTATGCCCACAGCCACACGCTCTGTCTCATCAGCAGTCAGACTTGTTTGAACTAATGTTGATCAAATGCCAGATGTGTATAGGCAAGGACCCTCTGTTAGATATGGGTCTGCCTCGTATGAAATCACTGTTGACCTCCCCCCAACTAGTACTCATTTTATTGGCCGTGGACGGATGGTGGCCCCGAGTTGACCCCTGACCAGAAATTATAACTCGCGACCCCTCCTGATCGCAGTCGTGTAAAGATCTACAACCACAACGACATTTGACCCTGCTCTTGCAGATTCCGCCACGGATACTGCAAAGGAAATCCCCGGAAGATGGTGAGGACGTGGGCGGAGAAGGAAATGAGGAACTTAACAAGGTAAGCAAAACCCTTGGCGTGCGTCCTGAAAGGCGAACACCTGCGCGCTAACTCTCATCACACCTGTAATGTTTATTGACAGTTTTTTTCAAATACGTCTCATTGCACACACAGGATTTCAGTTTGTTTATCGGCAGTAATTAATATAGAACCTAAAATATCTCCGAACGCACATCTTGCCCGAAGTACGTTTGGAGTAATTGTGGGTAAGTCTAAGAAGTAGGTTAAGGAATGGAGAAGTAAGGGAAAGACAAGAAGTCACCGATTATGCTGTTAAAGCAAAATACAACGAGCAGAAATGGCCAGGAACGCGTCGTGAGAATAACTGATGAGAAACAAAGGACAAAATTAACTTTGGAGTGGAGGTCGAGAGAAGGCAAAAGAAGAGGAAGACGGTGGAAGTGGTGGTGAAACGAAATCACAGAGTTCAGAGGCCTCTGCTACACACGGACAAGGAGAAAAGGATGAATGGTAGAAAATGGGGGGGGGGGGTTGCCCAGCAGCGAGAAGTTACAGGCCAACAACAGCATTTCCAATTCGCACGGTCGGCTATGTATGGTGCAAAAGAAGTTCAATATACACAGAGCATTTGATATTGCTAGCACCTTCCTGACAGTGCATGTGGAGTCAACTTTGTGTTGATTTCACTGTGACTATGCTGAGTTTGGTGTGTCTGTTATATACTTTGTCTACTGTAACTGTGTCAAGTTCGCTGCGACCGCATTGAGTTCGCTGTGACTGCGTTGTGCTGTACAATCATTAGGTTGCACACGGCAGGAATCCCGTGTCCAGAACCGGTCATGCTTCGCAGCCACGTGCTGGTCATGGGCTTCATCGGCAAAGGAGACATGTGAGTTGACAGCGTGGCAACTCTTGAGCATCGTGAAAAGTAATTGAATTACTTTGCAGTTTCAATGGGATGTTTACACGCCTAATTATTAAACACAGAATTGTTGGTCAACAGGGGCAGCTACATTGTTGGCAGCAGAGGGCACGGCAGTTACGTCCATTGTTGTACTGTAAATCTATGTTCCTACGGTTGCTTCTCACCACCAACCCGCACAAAACGTTGGGGTGCGGCATGGCGATAACACCCCCGTGATGTACATTGGGTGGGTAGGCCGTCACCCAGTCGTCGATTGATGAAGGGCCGCACGTGTACATGGACACTTCGTATCAGCTGATGAACTGCATTAATAAGAAAAAAGTCAAGGTGCAGCCCTGCATTTGGTTGCTCATGCCACTGCTGATGGAAGGGCCTGCACTAGTGGGAGTTCTTAGAGCAGCCCTCCAGAGAGGGTATTTTTGGCATATTCTTCCATGTTGGCCGGACGTCTTGGCAGAGCTGTGAGTTGCCCACGCTTTACTCCACCACACACGACCTGCCGATCGCCTAAGTGCAGTGCATTCATTTATAACGCTGGGTGGCCAAAGGTGGGAGGATTTAAGAAACTTGTCCATTGTTTCAACTGCCGCACGGGGGAGAATATCTGGATTGATATCGTATAACATTTCTCCGTGTAGTCAAATTTCCATCCTGAGCTTCGCTCGTGTTACTTGTGAAAGTGGTTGCGCAAAGAACCGCCGAGCGACACGCTTGCGTTGACGCTGTTCTTTCTACGTGTCTGTCCGTGCGTGTGTACGTTGAACGTGCGCGCGGGGCAGGCCGGCGCCACTGCTGAAGAACGTGCAGCTGTCGGAAGGCAAGGCTCGCGAGCTCTACCTGCACCTCATCCAGCACATGCGCGCCATGTACCAGCGGGCGCGCCTGGTGCACGCCGACCTCAGCGAGTTCAACCTCCTGTACGTGTGTGTGCGCGCGCACTTGTGCGTGTGTGCACGCTTGGGCGTGTGTATGGGGAGCGGTAGTGTGGCGGTGAGCGCGCTGCCTCTGCGAACATGACGACCCGGGTTCGATTGCCGCTCACGGCCAACACCATAGACGATTATCTGAACTGATCCTGGGCCTCCCCTAGGTCGACTCGGCCTCAAATGAGTACCTGGTACGATGTGCAAACATCAGTAGGGAGACAAAGGTGGCCGGGCGTGGTGCTGGCCATCTACCCCCTCGTGTGCCTTGCCGGCCTTCACAACAGCACTTGCTCCTACAGTCTGTTCTGGCTTTACCGGGGACCTTTGTCTTTGTAGAACTTCTTTGACACCGTACGTAGCCAACCATGCTAATTGGAGGTGTGTTCAGCGTTACCTCCCGCCCTGCACCCTGCCTCCACGCGTTAGTCGGTGTGTGACTGTGCCCGATCTCGTTAGGCCTCGAAGAAACCTAAGTGTACATTGATTCATTAATAACATTTGTAGCGTGAAATAATTCAACTTTTTAAAATGACATTAAAATTAAAGAGAGCAAAAAAATATATTCTTATTCTGACAAAAGGTCGACGTCGATGTGCGGCACACCGAGAGAGGAGGAGGGAGTGAATTCTAGACGACCGGAGCTGCGACAGATAAGCGACGATTGCCTTGTTTGGTCCGAGAGAGACGGGCTTGACGAGGAGAGGAGGCCACTTGAGGCCGATCGGAGGTTGTGAGCCAGCGGAAGCTAAATACGCCGGTTGACCCAGCCCATGTGTGCTTTGTAACAGAAATCAGTGACTCTACAGGATGTGCTGTTCAACTGGAAGCCAGTTTGGGAGGGTTGTTGTTGCCGACGTTTCAAAACGTGCAGTTCCAAATGGCCGTACGATTGTAATTATTTCGCAATGAACGACGCCTTTATTGATACCTGTGAAATAAAAGCGTCCGCGCTCATCGCCCAGAAGGCGCCTGATCTCGTCAAGACTAGGGAAACCAAGCAGGGGTTGAGCCTGGGATGGCAGTTGGATGGGTGACCAACGCTGCGTGCAACGGGCGTCGCAGGCTGCTGCGGTCGATACCGCTGTCGGCATCGTCGAGTGTTGCAGCAAAATCCATTCCACATTTATTTGGTGTACTCCCACTATGCTTCCCCTCTGTATTGTGTGGCTTTAACTTGGGGAGTTGTTGCCAAGTGTGGAGATATAAGCGCGAGCCTGAGGTGTACGATACAGTGTGCCACTGGTGACTTCAAGATGCCAGCAAGTTGAGAAGTGTTTAGCCTTTTGAACGCTTCGTATTGCTTTAGCAGAACACTTCCACAAATCCCTAGAGGGCGGGCCTTGTTGCGTTTAGAGCAAACTTATATCGCTGAATTCACCTTTTTTCATGTTGTTTTGTTGGCCGGGAGTCAATGTCTGCTGAAGTGTTTTTCATTAGTTTTTTTTTCTAAACGTGATTTTTTTTTCTCTACAACCGAAATCCTCCTCTGCCGCCGCACAGACGTCGACCTGTCTTTGCGTCGTGTCGTTTGTGCGCCTGCACACACCACGAGGGAGAGGTGTACATAATCGACGTGTCGTTTGTGCCCCTGCAGATACCACGAGGGCGAGGTGTACATAATCGACGTGTCCCAGTCGGTGGAGCACGACCACCCACACGCTCTCGAGTTCCTCCGGAAGGACTGCAGTAATGTGAATGGTGCGTTGGGCCGCAACATTTTTTGCCTCCGTTTCTTTTCACTTCTCCTTAGAATTTGTCCTAACTCGTACAATTGCGGGGAAAGGGCCCCCTCGTGCCTTTTGCGTGTACACATTTAGAACAAATTGTTGTTTCAGATTTTTTCAAGAAGAATCACGTCCCAGTGATGACGGTGCGCGAGTTGTTCGACTTCATCACTGACCCCACCATCAACAGCGACAACATCGACCAGTACCTGGATAAGGTGTGCGACACGCTTCTTCACCATTTTCAACTGTAAAGGCACTCGGGGGTTGTTTTTGACCTTTGACCGTGGTAGGGAGATGTTATCTCCCTCGCCAGGTACACAGGAAGTCGTGGGTTCGATCCTGACCATGATGCTCGTATATTTGGAGTTTACATGTTTTTTCCACGATCAACGTGGATTTTTATCCGGGTCCTCTGGTTTTGCCCTCCACATTCAGAGAAAACATGCGTGTAGATTATTTGGCTTGCATAAATTATTCCCACGTGATAAGCTACTTTGATGAGCCATCATGTGTGGGCGTGTTTCCTCTGAAAAAGAGCTAAGAGCTCAGTGGGCTTTATCTGGTGAATAAAATAGTTGAGTTTAAAGGATAGAGGAGGCTGCGACTCGTGTTTTAAGATTAACGTGTCTCTCCCGAGTCACTGGAATAGCAGCAGTTTTTGTTTTTCTTGTGCAGGCTATGGAGGTAGCATCTGCACGAACAGGAGACGATCGCTCCTGCCAAGACGAGGTGGATGAAGAGGTGAGTGAAGGTGGAGGAGAGAGGACTTGCCCTCTGGCAGCTTCGGGGGACCGGTGGGGCAGGGTTGTGAATCGATTATTAGACAATAGTTTTGCGAATCGTTTACGTATTCTAAAAGTCATGGGATCGCTTTTTTTGTTTTAATCCAGTCCAATTTTAGTAACGATTTAAACAGATTGGCGCACGCGAACGCCCAAATCTCACGGCGCGGTCGAATGCGATTGGTTAGCGGCAGCCGTCGTGAGGCAGCAGCGGGCGGGGGCTCATCAGTCACCGGCACGTGGTACGTTCCAACAAACACACAGATGCACACAAAGGAGGCCAAATTATTAATTTTTATTGTTAGCCATTTTTGTATGTGCCACGTGGCCATGAACAGTACGCCCAGCATTTGGGGTTTTACAAATGCAATGCAAAACAAATTTTGATTTAAAGCTTTCGTGACTACAGCGATTCATATTCTTGGTTCTTTCGGTAAGGTCACGTTGAAGGGAAACAACGTGACTTTACCGAAAGAACCAAGAATATCAACGCTTAACAGTTTGGATTTATGTACAGTAGTATTAACATGCAACTGTATCTCAAGACGCTGGATATATAAAAAAAAATAGAGCTTGCGCATCACAGGGATAAAAGCAAGGTATTATATAATTTGAGCTGCAATTGCATTGGTGCTACATTTGCAGGGATGATAGGCCACAAAGTTGCAAAGCTTTTAAAAATATGCCTTACAGATAAAAAAAAATCCTCCAACTAGGGCTGTACTGCAATTTCGCCTTGTTTGAGTTTACTTCATTACTACAATGAGCGGCTGCCAATTTCCCGAATTAAAAAAAAGCGACCTTGCTTCTCACCCCGAAGTGTTGCAATGGCAGGCTGCATTGTTGCCGTTGTGCAGGTGTTCAAAAAAGCCTACATCCCCCGCACACTCACCGACGTGGTGGACTACGAGCGGGACTTTGACCAGATGATGCAGGCCAAGGAGGAGGACGCGGCCTTCAGCGTGCAGCACGACAACGTGAGTCTCGCATCCCCCGCGCGGCACGAGACTAGCTCCTTAGCTTAAACTTCCCAGGGCGGTGATTAATAATGATTATAATCATCAATAATGGTACATTTAGCATTTGCGTCATTTTTACGGTGCAAGGCTGTCACGAAGAAAGGCGCTCCTGTGTTTCACAGGCGCGTATAGTTTTCCAGTAGGAGGCGATCTTGCTTTGCTGTTGTACCCAAGGAAGTACATTCTGCCGTGAATAAAAAAGAAAATTGGACCATGACGGCGTCACGCCTGCGTATTTCTGACGACGTGTGTTCGTGGTTGGAGTATTTCTGGTCGCGTAGGCCCCCGCAGTATTTTAACAATTGCGGCCGCAGTGCCCGAACCATGAACCTCTCCCAACAATCGGCAAACGTGCCACTGCTCGGCAACATCACCGCTTTTTTTATCAGCAAAGTAAATGTCCCGTTGCACGATAATGTGATGCACAATAGAGTGGAGTCCTTCGTCGAACTTCACCACACTGATCAGTGGCGGGTTTATGAAGGTGGCGGGGGGGGACCCCAAGGCTCGGTTTAGATTTCACACGCCACCGATGTTAACCGTGACCAGGAATCAAATTTGCGTCACACCGGGTTCAAAGCGGAGTGCGTTAACCTTTGCGTGAACATTCCACCCCGATGCAGTAAACCTATGTGACGCCCGTTGAGTGACCTTTTTAACTGCAATAACCCGCAGACCAGTTATAATTATTTCAATAACCTGAAAACTGATGTATGAAAATATAATTTTAACAATTATGTATGGGCCTTCACTGCTGGATTGATGGGCTTTCAACAATACCCGTTTGTGCAGGTTGGTAAGGAGAGGTGAGTACTGTCCACTCGTATTAGCCGTGCATGGCCAGGGATTGAACTCGTATCTTGCAGGGTTCATAGTGCAGTGCACCACCGCTACACAATTTTAAAACACATCGATATGAAGCTCATTAAATGTGCACAGCCTTGTATGATGCTAACCCAAGTCGTTTTCGTTCCAGATCTTATATCAGACCGTTACAGGCTTGAGGAAGGACCTCACAGGAGCACAAACGGTGACGATTCAACTCGAACGCACATTCTTTCCCATCGAAGCACTCGTGCGCGCGCACAGCTGTTTAATGTTTTCACTTGCTGAAAATACCCGCCCCCGGTGGACACCGCGTCGCGCCGGTTGAGACGTGCTGCTGTGACGTGCTGCTCTGACCTGCTGCTGTGACGTGCCGCTGTGACGTGCCGCTGTGACGTGCCGCTGTGACGTGCCGCTGTGACGTGCCGCTGTGACGTGCCGATGTGACGTGCCGCTGTGACGTGCCGATGTGACGTGCCGCTGTGACGTGCCGCTGTGACGTGCGGCGCCGCAGGTCCCCGCGTTGCTCGAGGAAGACACCGATTCCAGCTTGAGTAACGGCAGCGACGATGGCGGCAGCAGCAGCGATGACAACAACGAATGCGTCGCTTCAAATGGCGACGGCCCGGGGTTTGTCCATCCCAAGGACAGGCCTCAAGAGTCGCCGGCGGATAAGAAGGTGGAGATGACGCTTCATGAAACGTTGTTGCCGTTGTTAATTTTATACTGCTGCGTCGACCGTGTCGCTGTCTTACAAGTGTTCGCATCGTTCGGTATGACGTCTGACGCCCCCAACAACAACACGGTACAACCTGAAAACGCATCGGATAGTCTGTTTAATGACATTTCATTTATATCATGATGAATACTTTGATACCGATGTCGTTTTTTTTTTCCGTTGTAAATGACCAAGATTGTATGGTGGAGTGAGAAAAGAAAAAAAATAGGACTTTTTTTTTTCCCCCGAAAGACATTCGTGAGAATGTGCTGATCCGGAGGATATTTGGGCACCACCATCGTGTGCTTGAGTAACAGTTTGCAAGCGCTTTAATATGTTGGCTTTCAGCAGAAACGTTCCCAACGCCCTTTTGCTTCGGTCTTTGACGGAGGCGCGACAGCTGGAAACGCAGCCCCCCTCCCCCAGCCTTGTATTTGTCTTCCTCGGTCTGTTTAAAGTTCTCATTTATTTTTGTTGGCCGCTAACTAATGGATGCATAACAGACATGTGGCACGAGATTGTTATGATGTGTATTTACTCTAGCAATTGGGACGACGGGGGGGGGGGGGGGTATTTTCGAAATGGTAAAGCTGAGATGCAATATCATTTACAGTGTGGTCCTGGCAGTGACATTAGGGTCACATTCCCTCACAGAAATATTCGATTAATGGTTGTGTGCGGAGTGACGTTGCAAAGTCAATAACCGGCGTTGGTCAAAATAACCTAAAACAGATGTGTAGACCGTTTCAGGTCGTTTTTTTGGGGGGGGGGAAAGAGGGCTTCGTTTGCCTTAACGGGTTTGCGACTTCGTTTGCCTTAACGGGTTTGCGACTTCTCTCCACAGGAGCGAAAGAAAGAAGTAAAGGATGCGCAGAGAGAAAAGCGGAAGCAAAAGACTCCCAAGCATGTCAAGAAACGGAGAGAGAGGCTCGGCAAGATAAAGAGCAAGTGATAGAGATGCCGGCCGAAAGTGACTTACACGCGCGTGCCTCCACGGTTTAAAAAAAAATCAAGATTCCGTGGACCGACGACACAAAAATGCCCAGTGGATAATGCAATGAAAGTAATGTTCTTTATTATGAGCTTCGTGTGTGGTTCAATGAGAAAATGCTGGTGGATTTCGAGTAATGAGAGGATCTGCTTGCAGAGGTAGATCTGTAAACCTAGGGGCTGGGAAGGCAGTCCCAAAGTATACAACTTTTTAAAATAGGAGCGTTACATTCATTTAAACACATTCAATGTATTTTTTTCGAGCAAGCATCAACAGAAACACCGATTTTGACGATCTGCCACTGGCTGCTTGAAATCCTAAGAAATTGCATAAAAAAACCCGAACCTCTTCTGGTATTCATATTGTAAATAAATACTTTGAAGTACAACTGTGTGTTTTTGAATGTGGGATGTGTTGCATTTTATCATGGTTTCTAGGCTATGTTTAACGTTACAGCATTGTGAATGATAAACAAGGAATATTAAAAATAAGTACCGGATATTCACATTAACGTCGGTGTCCCGTAGAAGTTTGAATATAGCAATTGGTTCTGATGGGGAAATTGCATGAAAGTGTAATGTTGAACAACGTATAGTGAAATGTAGTGGTGGGATGCTGCCATCGACGGTACCAGTTCTATCTCCTCAGCGTGACAGTTGCGACCGTGGGAAAGGTTCCGAAATTCCTCCAGCTCTCCGGCTAGCAGGTTATGTGCAGTAGCGTAAAGTCTGGGCAGGTCCCACCTCTTCCAAGGCATCTGGTCGATGTTGAAGAGGAGACCAAAATACCCTCCCGAGGGGGCTCAGGAGAACTTTGCGTCAGCAGTGGCGTGACCGATACATTGCAAGGCAGCACCTTTAACTGATGGTAGTTGAACCGCACAATGCGTAAGCAAAACAAGTAACGCACAGCTCTTGCGAAGGTTTCGCCATTAAACCGATCCTCCCCATGTGTCTTTGTAGCTTGGCTCCACACATTTTCACCTTGTATAAATTTGACTGTCAACCTTAAAATGTATTCTCTTTCACAGGTTTCGGTGAAGTGGGTTTGAGAAAAAAAAAATACCGTGATATGTTGAACCCACAGATCCATTGCCCGTACAGAATACCGTAATGATATCCTCTTGGGATGAGGTCATGGGCTTATGCTTCCATGCCTGTCCTGGTCCATTCACTCCATTCAGCACCATCTCAATGCCCACGTTGTTCTATTTATCCACCATTATTGCTGTTAAATATACCAGATGGTTGGTTTTATTTGGTCAAGGACAAAGGCATGTTTGTATTCTTTGTGTTTGGCTTTTCAAGGGTTAAATTTCGACACTGTTTATTTTATGTCATTAACAACTATAGTGTGCATTTCCCAAACGACCAATGGTTATAAATGGGATTTTTCTTGTTAATGTTACTTTGCGTGTACATCTACGGTACAGCCCTTTTGTCAATCCACTGCTGGATGAGGGCCTTCCAACTCCGTGCGAGTCGTGGGGGCTATTTGACCATACTTCATGCTGGTCACCGTGGGTTGGTGACGGAAGGGAGCATAGCAGTACAATGCAATGATGTTTTGTTTCTGCATTATGTATGTTGGGCATCTTTCGCACCGTACCAAGCCAACCGTGTGAATCGGAGGTGCGAGGGAAGGACACCAGCCTGTAACACCTGTTCCATGTATGGTGGTCACCCCATCCAAAGCACTATGCAGGCTCAACTCTGCTGAGATTCCCAGACTGGACGATATTGTCCACACTCAAGGATGATGTAGTCAATAGGCTTATTCTTAAACGTTGTTACTTGTAGCCTATTTTTATGCCATTCTAATGAATGTGACCCGAGGACCAGGTTTTGACCGAACGAAAAAAACATCTGACAGGCGAATGTTGGGCCACAGGTGACCTCTTGACTGGAAAGTTAAAGTGCTTTGTTAACGTTGCATTTTGGTGACGCAGTCGGCAGTCAAGACACTATTTTAACACCCACTTCCAAATACGCGACGCTGCGCTGGCAGTGATGCAAAGCACAAATAATTAAATAAAACAACACCGGTCAAAAACACTGCCACAAAGAGGGGATACGGATGTAATGTATGCGACGTCTTGGGTTCCTCTGCTAATAATCGGGGTCATTGCCCCCCCCCGTATGTAGGGGCCAAGTGTTCTCTCCAAACACCACCGAGCCACACGCGGGTTGCGTGGAGGTTGAGTGATGATGTACCTGCAATTGGCGTTACGGTCAGGCGGACCCCCCCCCCGGCTTTAGTTGCAAGCGAAACAAACAGGCTTCCTCCGTAGCGGGTGTAAAACTTGTTTTAGTTTGCATCAGAACGATAGCTTTTGTTTTGTTTTGCCAAACGCTCTTGCCGCTGCAGGGAAGCTGGCAGGTCGTCACTTGCGGACAGCGCCTTCATCACGCTCGCTAACCCCCCCTCCCCAACGCCAGGGCACCGATCATTTGCCCACACCTTGTTGTGACCCCCATCCATTTAAAGTCAGGGGGGGTGGGGGGGGTGGGGGGGGTGTCCCACCCTCCCCACATTTTATTTTTTAAATCCCCCTACTTTTTTTTGTGGCCCAATGTCCATTAGGAAGCTCTGGGCTCCACCCTTTGCCTGGTCCCGCCTTTTTGAGTAATAGAACCCTCCCTCCCTCCTCCATCACCACCACCACCAGCAGGCACCACAACCACCACCTCCTCCTCCCCCCCTCGACTCTTCCATTGTCCCGAGGGATTAAGGGCCGCGTGTGGCTTGGCTGGCGTGCACTGTACTGTGGTTCAGCAACTCGAGGAACAAATCGAGAATTATCGGCATTTTGTGTGTGTGTGTTTCCAGTCGGTTACCACACACACGTGCGGAGTGGGGAGCATTGTCTACAGACGCACGTAAGGGAAGAGGGGACTGGATTTTTTGGAAGCTTCCTGCCTTTTTTTTACATTTTCTCTTGTGGCTCTCGTGTGCGTGCGCGCGCGCGTGTTTGCAAAGGCTGTTAAAAAAAAGTTTAAAGAAAGGTCATCATCATCATCGTCGTCATCATCACAATACACAAGCCGTGCTTGGTGGTGGAACAAACACGTGCTTGAGCTCTTGGGAAGACGAGAGAGGATTTCGTGTCGTCCCACCACTGGCTGCTCAATGAGTTGCACATTTAGGACTGGCAAACTCGTGTAAAGCGACTGGGTTCGAGCCACTGCGCGAGTCTGCAACCAGCAGCAGCATTTGTAACCATCAGCGTTGCCAATATCAGAGTGAAGGAGCGCCAGCAACTTCATCATTAACAGAAGTGGAAGCAGCAGCAGCACCAGGTGCTACTTCGCGCTCGTCGCCAGCTCCACTACACGAGGATTAGCAGCAGCAGCAGCCCCATCTCCATCATTGACGGCACCCATCAGCAGAAACTTCACAGAGAGTTACCACCGCAACCAGGACCTTCGCCATCATCGGTTGTTACCATCAAGTTGGGGGTGTCGCCGATGCAAAGGCACCACTGACAATCGTCAGCACTCGGGAGCGCGTTACCGTTAGCGCGCTCAAAGCAGTAGCAGCATATCGTCAGCGTCGTTACTTATCATCACGATCGACGGCACCACAAGCGTTCGTCACCATCATCAGTAGCGGCACCGGCACCAGCAGCAGCAGTAGTGTCATCAACAGGTCCCGTTGACATCTGCAGCATCATCATCATCACCACCCATCAACCATGCCGGGAATCCTCGCCCGCTGCTGCTGCTGCTGCACTCTGCTCGCCCTTGCGTCCGCCGTCTTCACGGCCGAGAACGAGATCCACTCGAGCTTCCTGCAGAGACGCCTGCGTGGCCAGGAGAAGAAGGAGATTCAGCGCGAGATCCTCTCCATCCTGGGGCTGCCGCACCGCCCGAGGCCCCAGCAGTACGGCAAACTCGCCGCGGCCCCCATCTTCATGCTGGACCTGTACAACGCACTGGCGGTGGAGCAGGGTGGAGGCGGTGTGGCCGAAGGCGCTCGCGGCATCCAGCCGGTGCTGCTCGCCACGCAGACGCCACCGCTCGCCAGCCTACAGGAGAGCAGCACCTTCCTCAATGATGCGGACATGGTCATGAGCTTCGTCAACCTCGGTGAGCGCGGCGGGAGGAGGAGGAGGAGGACGCGCGCGCGCGAACGGATGCGTGCGTGGAGGACGTGCGGTGGTGGTGCGCGCGTCTTGTGAGTGTGTGTGGGGAGCGGTGGTGTAGTGGTTAGCGCGCTGCGCTATGAACCTGGCGACCCGGGTTCGATTCCCGCTCACGGCCAACACCACCAGGTGACGATTGTCTGAACCGGTCCCGGGCCTCCCCTAGGTCGACTCAGCCTCAAATTAGTACCTGGTGCGATGTGTAAACATCGTCACTAGGAAGACAAAGGCGGCCGGGCGTGGTGTTGGCCACCCACCCCCTCGTGTGCCCTGCCGGCCTTCATAGGTGCTACTCGCTAACAGCACTTGCCCCAAAAGTCTGTTAAGGCTATACGGGGGATCTTTGTCTTTGTGTGTGTTCCAGACTCCCTTGCATACTACTTGTGATCAGATGCGGAATATTGGTTGCTGTCGGAATCCGATGAGCAACGAAGCTCTTTGTTGTTTTCACGGATGTCCTGCAGTTTCACAGATGTCCGGTGACGAGTGGGGTGACACCCGGCTAACTTGGCACGCGTTTAAACTGGCCGCAACACTGCTGATGAGAGACGTCGAGAGATTGAACGCGGTTCGACAAATGTTGCTGGGAAATGTAGTTCTAGAAGGGTCGCCGTCGGTGGATGGATCAGAGTTGCATAAATTTCACCTGTTAAGTTCTCGACTGAGTCTTTAAGACTCGTTTTATCAAGCGTGTGCCTGCAATGGGATGTTCGCTTTGGCCCATTCCGTTGTATGTAATGAGTGTTTTGCTTCGTTTGGTAGTGAGAATACGCACACTCATTAGGGTATAACGCTCAAAGTTCCACACAACTGGAGCCTCATGTTCATACTGCAGTCGTCTGGCTACGTACGGTGTGAAAGAAGTTCAACATACGTACAACCGGCATAGCAGAGTTGAGTCTCAAAATAGTATACGTGATCCGACAACCCTAGAAACTCTGACAATTGATTATCTATGTTCATGTAACATTGCATGTGAGTTAAACAGGGTGATCCATTTATAGACAGCTCGCTACAATAATGAGGAGGGCATCACAAAGAAGTCTATTTGATTTCTAAGCATCCCAACACGTCTACCGTGAGTCTCAATGTACTTGTCAACCCTTCTAACACACTTCTCTCTGTAAGATATGGAGCCATCCATCTCACAATACTGTAATCGAACACCTTTTTGGAGAAGAGGGTAATTGGAAAGCACTAGGGTGTCTATAAATGGATCGCCTTGTATAAATGCACGTGCACAT